TTGAGACCTTGTCTTTTCTCTCCTCTCCTCCAGACAATCATTCTCCTATAGATCAACATCTACCTCTCTCGTTTTGTCATTGCTCTTTTGTTGCTACTCGGTTCTAATATTTTCTTCTAGCCAAGCACGTCTATTTCATTGCTTGCTCCTCTCGCTTGCCGTCCTGTTTGTTCGTGGGTAACTGGTTTATCATAGAGCAAACGGAGCCTTACTTTATAACTACAGGGCATATTCTTCTCTGCGGCCTATTTAATTTTCTCTTATTCCTCTCCCAATACCAGGGCTGTTGCAGAGCATCATCCCAAACCATCCGGACGCAACTACCGACAAAACACACCTTTATCCAAATCGACCACTATCAAGATCCCATTTACAGTCGCGGGATCACTGCTGTCTTCGACAAGACTACAACTTTACATCATTTACGCATAAAAATGTGTTACCAACTGCTGGAGCTCTTCTCGGTCTGCCGCTGTCTACACCATCGCCACGCGATTGATCCATGTCAAGCATACGGCCAGCGAGGCCATGTTGTCCAGGAGAAAGTAGTCCTGGTTGGCTATACCTGCCCGAAGCATTCCGTTCAGCAATGTGGTACCCCCGGATACCCTCGAAGTTCAAAGCTCAGACCCGATTCAGGGTATTCTTCTAGTGGAAAGGGTCTCTATCGGTAGGAGGTAGACAATTCCCTTTGGCTCTTGTTTCCCCGCCATTTTGTGAAGAGACACAAGATATGAGGTATGATTTGTTCCATTTTTTTCGGTTTATACGAGACTTGGATAGCAAGGAACATCACTAGCTCACTATCATTGTTTTGCGGGAAACCCTTTTATTTTTCTTTTGTAACAGTCACTGTATCTTGGGGGATATGAAGACAAGTGTTCTACAGCCAGTATAAACTAGTTTATCGTTGCTAACATTTTTAACAACGGGCAGGACACGAACGGCTCCTAGTTACAACCACCCCGTGCACAATAGCGCTGGACGCTTTTGTGTATTTTGCTCTGGGTACCGCCACACTCTTCGCACCTGATTTCCCTAGTGGAAACGAACCCTTACGATTTGCATGATATAGCCTAGACAGCTATGAGCTATGATCGAACGAGCGGAATGACGAAACGGGAAAGCAGAATTTATGACAATCGCAGGGCGATTCAAATGACAATAATTCATTATCAAATGTCCGGGATCCCAATTATTAATGGGAAATAGGATATGCTTGAAGGAGTCCTTCTGTGATGGACCTACACATATCATGTAACTAAATCAGAATAATCTTTTCGCAGTGGCTGATCACTTTGTAGAACTAATTGCGTTATTCCTTTCTTCTTTCAAGGGGCGTTCAATAAAATATACCATGTTCAGTGCGATCAAAATGCAGTATAGACCAGTTATATGATACTCATCTCACTACCAGCGGATAACAGCTCAAAGACCTTGCCTGTTATTGAACGTCGAATTAAAACTATTAGGCTGATATTCACGAAGGCCATCAACGTTCCAACGGTTTTACTGCTTGAGGATTATGGGGAACTGCAGGGCATCATCGACTGAGAATGCACAGCTGCAGTGCCGCTACGGAAAGCAGCTCAATTTCCACTCTTTCTTCAAAGGCGCCAACGTACGGAGAACCTATGAGAGAGGCATCTTCAGCCAACGAAGGAGGAGATAACCTATTCCATATACATTTACTGGAGAATAAGCAGACACAACTCGGAGGAGTATTCATGGGGACTATAGAAAAAGCAAGTTCGGACTGAATACGCATGTTTGAAAGCAGCAGAAAGCAAGCCGACTTCGATATTGTTGTTCAGGTGTGCGACCTTCATAACCTTGCTCGGAAAATGATTAGTTACTGAATGGTTAGATGGGTTGGGGAATGGTAAAGAGAATCGTCCATATGTCTTCTAGGTGAAGACAATTCAATCTTCCTTGCACAATGTGAACATTATTATATCTTATATCTTACTTTCTTCCGCGGTATCCGGCCCGGCAGCACGTGAAGCTGTAACTTATTCATTTCTAGAAGATGTTAGTTTAAAGCAGGTATAGAAGGTCGAGGTTAAAGCCGGCTATAACTAGTGGTTACAAATGAACCCCCCCCCCCCCCTCCCATAATCAAATTATTGCAGCTAGGCGGTTTTTTGGGGGGTTTGAGCTTACCAGACACAGCGGAATCTCCAAAAGCCCTGATTAAATTCAGTTTGCACGGTTGGGGTTTGTTTGCTATCCTGGCTCGTGAACTGGAGTAGCCAGTGGGCCGTTATGACGGACTTTCCGAACGGGAAACGGAAAGTGTTTGTTAGGGAGAGGCCGGGTTTGCTATGAATGAATGTGCCGGGTTGAATATAAACTACCTTACTCCGTACTTAAGCTATATTTCACATTCTCATTGAAAAGACAACATAAAACCAAATATCCTTCCTTCCCCTTCCTTTCATATTACCGATTTCGAATTTAGGAACTCCGAAAATCAAATGAGTGGTGCATATTTCCCATTCACCTCCCCGTACTCTCATACCCCAACAAAGATATCATGTTATTCATTCTTCGTAAAAAAAGTAACCGGAAAGGATCATAAACAAATGACATGACTTCGTAACTAGTGCTTGTCCTCTTTTCATTAAATCATACACAAAACGAAGGTGCTGTTTCCCGGCATCCCTTTGGGTAAGACAAATATATATTGGCAAGGAGAGGTGCACATGCTTTGGCGGTGATGGACCTATGGACCTTAACGTGTAAGGAAGAATCCGTTGTCAATGGTGCAGCAACCTCTTAGCAAGAGGTTGCGCGGGGAGGTAGCCCTTCCGACTGGAAGAAGGAGATATATTTTCATAAGCCCCTTCGTTTCCAAGCAGTAAGTATTGACAAGATGGCTGCATGGACGGAGAGAGGATCTCCTTCAACAAAGCAAAAAGGTTTGAACCCCTTGGCTTCGACTCCCGTGGCGTGGGTTTGGCGTGAAGTCCGCCAACGGGAGGAGAAGAGGGCAGTTTGTCATTGGTGTCGCCCCAACCAAGCGCCCTGTGAAGAGAAGAAATAAAGGAGAGCAATCGAGGTCAAGGTGATAAGACAATGTCAAAGCGAGTGACACAAAAGCAAATTGCGTTGAAGAAGATGAAATTTGAATAGAAAATGGCTTCTCATCCATCATTTCCTATGGTAGGTGTGAAGATGCTTGACATGACACCTCGTCCCCTTATATGTGAAACTTTGAGCTGGCCATTTACCTGCGGACAGCGATGTTCTGGCGGCGAAGCTGGGTACGGACATGCTTGTATTCTTCGTCGGAGCTGCATGCCTCGTCAGAGTCATCAGAGGAGTCGGACAGGGTGTTGTAGCCACATCGGCGGCCACCACAGTCGATCTTGACCTTCTCTCCGCTGCGAGTAATTCCGAATCTTTGACAGCTGCATGCTGAGTCAAGGTCGCTGAATGAAGAGACAGAAGATGGAGAGGTGTTGTTGGAGCGGGAGGAGAGGGAAGATCCTGATGACGATGGTGGGGATGAAGAGATGTCAGAGTCGTCGTCTGAGAGGTCGGTAGTTCTGAATCTTGCGGTCAGAGCGTCGACAGTTGGCAGATCTTGGTAGTTGGCCTCTCGGATCTGGCGCGAAGCGTATGGCTTAGAGGGACGTGGATGCAAAATTCTGGATGGAGACAGGGCACGTCCGACTGGAACATCAACGCTGTCGCGGCGGGGCTTGGAGGTGGGAGCCGACTTGGTGGAAGGCGTACGGGGAACGTCGAGGATGTTCAATTTGCGTCCGGTGGTTGGCTCGACGGTGAATTCGGCTGCGGGATCATGGGAGACATGGTAGCCATCCATGATGTAGTAGTACCAGTAGCGAGAGCCGGGGTGAAGCATGGTAGTCTGGAAGCGGAATGCTCCCTGCCACGAGCCAGGCTTGGACTTGGAGGAAAGGGGAAGCTGGCCGGCATAGTTGTCCCAGGAACCCAAAAGATGGACGGTCTTCACATTGGAGGATGTGCGAAGGGAGAAGTTGAGCTGGATAGCAGTAGAAGACATGATGCTTTGTCGAGGGTGTTGTGTATATTTTTGTGTGGTTTTCTAAGGTGTTTATGTTCGAAGTTTGATGTCTTTTTATACCGGATAAAAAGGCGATCGGGGAATTAAAGGGCGGATTGGTCGGTCAAAAATTATTAAATATTATAGAATGAAGGTTGAAGAATGTTCGGCACGTTTGAGTCGTTGAATAGACGGAGGTAGCTAACCAGAGCTTCCTTGAGGCGTCAAATCAAAAAGCAGTTGAAACAAAAGTGCGTTGAAAAAAACCACGTAGGTGAAGGGTTGTTTGAGAAAAAATCACACGAGCTATTATCGAAATCGATTCAAATTGCCGGACCAGCGACAACGAAGTAGATAACGGATGAAGTTGTATATTAAGAGTGCACAAAAAAAGGGTATAAAAGTAATTATGCAGGAGAAGAGACCAGCTCTATAGAATTCTTAATATAGGAATAGCTCGAGGACGAAAAGAGAACAAAATTAAGGGGATGGGGGACGAAGAAGAGAAGAGAGGAAGAGAAGAGAAGAGAGAGGAGCAGAACTGGGCGTGGAGTTGGACGGTGTTTATATCTTCTTGCAGACGGGATTTTCGAACCTGGCAGGCGACAAAGGCCCGGGCGGTGGGGAGGGTGCGGGTGGGGCCCTAAGAATAGACGGCGGGTAGAGACCACCGCTTATTGGTTATGGAGCTGTGGGTCCCGAAAGCTGGATAAAGGATCAGCCAATCAAATGCCGTATAAGCGAGGATCGTGCACTGGGACTAAGCCCGATCAGGAGTTATGGGTCCCATCACACTGCATAACACTGCATGTAGCCAATGAGTGCTCCCGGCGGTTGATGCCGGTTGTATTTTTAGTAGCACAAGAGGGGCAGGTACCTTGCCGCAGAGATCTGGTGGTGGAGTACCTGCTGTGGATGCAGAAGTAACAACCAACACCACACAGAGTGACCACACCACACACCATGCCGGCTTCGTGCCGCCTTTGCCTGCCACGTCCCCGTCACACACCTTAGACACTTGTTGCAGCCCTGAGCCAACATGAAGGACCATCCCAACGGTTGCTTCTCTCCAATAATGCAACAGAGTCAGGGTCGCCCCTTTTCACCTTGCAGCGAGTAGCGAAACAGGTAGGTAGCTTAGCTGGTCAAGTCGCTGGAGAGCTTTCAGTAACAGGGACCCCAGAGGAGCTAGTGCTTGCGCTCTTGCATACCTCTCTCGTCTTCCTGATCCCTTTGAAGTTTGTTCTGGTGGGCCGGTGCATCCACGACGGCCATACTCAAGCATGTGTGCTGAGTAGTTCCCTGTAGGCATGGGCAGCCAACGAATTCTACTGATCATCCGGGCGAAAGAGTGCAGGATAACAGGGACAGGGTCCCTGTCTGTCATTGGTGGCATGGTTGGATCAGAAAATTAATATCACACCGAGCTGCACTGCGGCTCCAAACACGGTATAGCTCAAGTGGTGCGGCATAAAATCACGTTCAGACCCGCCACCTTGAGAGTGAACGGATGCCAGTGTTTCTATTACAGGGGATAACCCAGAGAATGGTATATTGTTTTCGTGCTGATCGATGTTGAGCCATTTCCATGTAGGATCAGTTATGATTCATAACCAAAACAAACATACCTTTATGATGTAACACCCAGGAAAAAGGTTCGCAAGACAGGTCCTCCCGCCTGTTCGGTCTACTCCCTTTGGCACAATCACCTCCGTTTGTTCTCAATATGTGCTGGCTTCGTGCATGGAAAGAGTTCAAAAGCAAAGGATAGCTTCGCTCCGCTAGCAGCCATCCCTAGCCCGTTGACGAAGCGAAAACCGTTCGTATAGTTACCTGTTTAACTAGGTAGAGCACACTCTACCGATATGCATACCTATGAGTGCGATATTTCACCGGTTAATGGTTAAACTTAATCTCTCAGCTGGTCATGAGTCCAGCTTGGGCGCATAAAAAGTAGTTGAATACGTATCCCAAAGTTAGCAGAGCGGCGGAACCCCGTATATTGACAGATTGGAGGACGGAAATCGGAGTGCAGATATTGAAATGAACTAGCAGAGGGGATGCGTTGATGGGCAGGCCGTTCATTTTGCTTTCGCTTTGGGGGGAGAGCCAATCGTTGATTTGGCCCCCAAATTTCTTGAGCCTTGTCAGGTCAATTGACCCAACACCAAAATCAACAGCTCCACCTGCATATCGAGAAACTTCCCGGAGAGACTTCATGGCCTATGTGTGTATTCCTTGTTTGTGCCGTGCAATCTCGAATAACTTAACGAAAACTCGATCCGAGCTGTGCCAATTGACGGTCCTTCTGTTCCTTCATGACGATTCTTGCCCATTGAGGGGTATATTGTATTGCATATCCCCAGCATCATCCTCATAAACCTGGAATAGGCTACTTGGTATAGCAGAGCAAGAAGGCTCAGTATTTATTCTAAAGATCATCGATCTGATTTCCGATGATCAGTTTTAGCCAGTGGTCCACGTCATAATCTCCGGTGATTATTTATCTCATTATCAACCGGTGGCCACAGTTGATGTGAGTGGTTTACTGCAGCCATATTCGTTCTCTCCATGGTCACTAGAGAGAAACTTCGAGGGTTCCTCTCGTCCGTCAATTCATCGCTCCCATCCTCGGTGTCGACTAAAGGATAAAGCCACCGGCCTATCATCGTTACTTTCGAGCACTGCCTGCATGGCAGAGCGGCACATCATGCAGAAAGGAAGGATGCAAGGGTGACATGCGCATGTCCAGTGCGATATATTCACATGGCACCATCTGGTTACCAGCAGTGGATGAGAAGAACACTCTGTTAGCTAAAATCTCTCTGCTTCTCAAGCGGCTTCTTTGTGTTGACTCCTTGATCAAAAAATCAATGTGATAATCACAGATGTGTTGTAACACGCAGAATTCAAACCATCCTACCAACCTACCTAGCTGGTTACGCGTCCAGCCAGAACCGACCCACGTGACCGGTTATCTTCCTAATGTTCTCTCAAAGGGGAATAAATTGCACGGATTATTTTCTCGTCTGAAAGTAGTGCTTGAACCCAAGGACTCAAAGTCCAAGGCCTATACGCCATAGCTACATAACTCTAACGGAACTCTGGAAATTCTTATTGAGTCTAATTTGTTCACTAAATAACTAAGAGCAAACAAGGACTATACGGATTTTTATTTTCGAGAACTTGCGCCTATCCTTTCCATCCACGCGGTAGAAGTATCGATTTGCAAGACAGATTAACGGAAACTCGCAGAGCCATGCCATGAGAAAGATATTATTGAAGTAGTTGAGTAGGCACACGCCTAGGAAACGGAAGAACAAAAATGGGAGAAGGCAGTTTGTGTAAGACAAGGAAGAGAAGAGAAGGGTCATATCGGAAGGAAAACGAGGCCCGAAGTTCCGCAGTCCTGTGATGAGGAGAAGTAAGTACTGATGGCTGGTCGAGGGAATGCAAAGCGGAGGGAAGTGACTTTTTCTGGAAAGTAAATCGCCGTCTTATCGAATCGATACTCCAGATCGTTTGGTGTACATGCGCGCCGCAATATTCATGGATGCCAATTCCTGGAATAAGAGCTTGGCGGCATACGGTATATGCACCTGTGAAATCTTGTTCTTGTTTCTGCAAGCTCGGCATTCGAAATCACCCTTCTTGACTTTGCTGTATATTTTTATCTTATGTTAGCCGGCTCTTGCAGCGTTTATCATTGCGGATTGTATGATCAGGGGGATTAGAGGAACTCACGCAATGGGGGTCATCAATCCACAAATATCACAGATGTGTACTCGGAATGGATCAGACACATCAAATAATCTCTCCTTCAAAAATGAACTGGCTCCATGTGCAATCATGCAGTCACGTTCCATCTCTCCGAATCGCAAGCCACCATCCCTAGCACGACCTTCCACCGGCTGTCGAGTTAGAATCTGTGTCGGGCCACGGGCACGAGCGTGAATCTTATCATCTACCATGTGTCGCAAACGCTGATAGTATGTGGGACCCAGGAATACCTGAGCAACCAGCTTTCTTCCCGTGTGTCCATTGTACATCACTTCAAATCCACGTGATTGATAGCCATGTTCGCGAAGCAAACTTGATACCGAGTCGACAGTAACGTCGGTGAAAGGAGTGGCATCACCTTCATATCCACGTAGCGAGGAGACTTTACTCAGTTGACACTCGATCAAATGGGCAATTGTCATTCGAGATGGGATGGCGTGGGGGTTGATAATTAAATCGGGGGTGACACCTTCTCTAGTAAATGGCATGTCCTCGTGCCGGTATGTTATACCAATGGTACCTTTTTGACCGTGTCGAGAGGCGAACTTGTCGCCAATCTGGGGAATCTTTGTGGTTCTCATCCGCACCTTCACAAACTTCAGGTCATCGTTACTTGTGGAGACAAGTACCTGATCAACAATACCACTTTCTGTGCTCCTAAGAGGAGTTGAAACATCCAGTTTAGTATGTTGCTTCGTTCGCTGACCAAGTTCCTCGGCTTCAGGTGCTAAAGGTGACGTCTTCCCTATGATGATATCTTCACCAGACACACGAACACCGGGTGACACAATCCCATCATCGTCAACTTTGTCGTACGTTCCATGTTTCATCCTAAGAGTATCTGATCTCATGGGCTTTTCAAATCGCTCAACGACTGTCAACCCGATCATCTTCTCAGAATCAGTGTATGTTCGGTAGAACAAACTCCGGAATAAGCCACGATCGATACTGCTTTGGTTCATAATGACGGAATCTTCTTGGTTATAGCCTGAGTAGCAAGCTATAGCCACAATAGCATTCTGGCCTGCAGGAAGTTCACGGAACTTGAGGAACTCCATGGACCGAGTCGTAGCAAGAGGTTTTTGGGGGTAATATAGAATATTCGCCATTGTCTCCATACGTTGCTCGAAGTTTGTGAGGAAAACGCCCATAGCTTGTTTACCCATAGCAGATTGGTATGTATTACGTGGGGATTGGTTGTGGTCGGGGAAGGGAATAATACTGGCACAAATGCCTAATATCATACTCGGATGAATCTCGCAGTGAGTCCAAGTATGAGCCTTTTGGCTAAGATTTGACTTCACACGTCGGTTACGGTCTGTCGTATCCTCTTCAGGCATGCCATAGCCAGCTTGGTATTGCTTCGATGCTTCTAGGTCCTCAGGTGTCATGACGATCATAATAGTCTCCTCTTCTTCCGCATCGACATATTCAATGACTCCAGATTTAACGAGTCCATCCCAGCCAAAATGTCTCTCTCTTCGCTCTTCCGGATCAAGGTCTGCCGGAAGTTCTTTGTCTGCTTCAAGTTTATGAATATGTTCTTTGACAAGAACAAGAGACCCGCTGTTTTCGCTCTTTGGATCGTTATCGACCACAAAGAGAGGTCGACATACACGTCCGGCATCGGTGAATATTTTGAACTCGCGATCTCGAATATCCCAAACCAAACTAACCTCATGGGAAATCATGTTTCGCCGCCTTAGCGACTGGACTGTTCCCACAAGGTGCGCCGGATCTCTATGTACACCCACCCATACACCGTTCACAAATACCTTTGTCGAATTCGGCGAGACTTGGGGTTCGAATTCTTCCAGGACTTCCATGTTTCGCTGAATCATGAAATCGATAATGGGTTCGCTTGGAGTACCGACGGTGATGCAGCACATGAGAGCCAAATTCTTGACAAGACCACAAGCCTGACCTTCAGGTGTTTCGGCAGGGCAAACAAGACCCCAATGGGTATTATGAAGCTGTCGCGGCTTGGCAATTTTTCCGTCTCTGCCAATAGGCGTGTTTGTTCGTCGAAGATGGGAAAGTGTAGAGGCGTATGTGTAGCGGTTAAGAACCTGTGAGACACCAGCCTTTGAGCTGGCAGCCTTCTTTTGCTCACCCCAATTTCCTGTAGCAAGCGCATATTTAAGACCACCGGTAAGGGTGCTAGCCTTGACACCAATGTTCAGGTAAAGCTGTCTACCAGTTTCAACACACCGCTGGACATATTTGTAAAGGTCTTTGGTGAGTCTCATAAATAGAACTCTGAACAAGTTTGCCAGCAAAGGTCCGGCCAAATCGAGACGCTTCTTTCCAAAATGATCTCGGTCATCGACATCACGGCGTCCAAGTGCACATTGAAGAAGACGGTGAACCATGTAGCCCAAAAAGAAGGCTTTTCTAGTTTCACTACCTTCGCTCTGCGAGATATGAGGTAGGAATTCCTTTTGAATGATGTCCCTCGCATATCGTACTCGCTTCTCCTGGTTCATGCTCATCGGAGAGGATCCTCTCTTACTTATAAAGTCAAGAGCAACTTCACGGTCCTGAATAACGAATCCCTCTTCAATACAAGGCTTGAGCATTTCCAACATGGGTGTGTCATTTCGGTCGTAGCAAATATGGTTCAAGATATCCTCATCAGACACCACACCAAGCGCACGGAATACGACGACAATTGGGATATCGGTCTTGATATAAGGAAGTGTCGACCTGATTGTTGGACCGAATCCACCCTTGGCACTGTCTCCTTTGGAAAAGAGTTTGATAGATAGCTGAGAGAGAATCCTAGAACCTTTTTCAACAGCACTTCGGATTTCGGCGACGTAGGGTGTTGGGCTTGGAGGAGCCTTCTTAAAGACTTGTACGATGTTTCCAGCACTCCGTTCCTGTGCAATCAAAACTTTCTCACTTCCATTGATGACGAAGTAACCGCCTGAATCATATGGGCACTCATTCCAGTTGTAGAGCGCTTGCTCACCAAGGTCTTTGAGGATGCAGTATTTTGACTTGAGCATGATGGGCATCTTTCCAATAAAAATGTTCTCCTCTTCCGCTTCGTCTTCCATTGTTGGCTTACGTTCCCAGTGCAGATACGTTCCTCGGTTCCGCCTTTCTTCATCGCCCTTTTCCTCAATTTCTTCCTCCTCTTCGTCTCTTTCCGATAGTAGACGTTCCCGCCCTTCCATAATCTTTTTCGAGATACCAAGGTAGAGAGGGCTCGCATAGGTGAGATTTCGTAGACGGGCTTCCTGCGGCAACATGATGCTGGTCGCGCCGTCTCCTTCCGTCATAGAGGGGCGAGCCAACATAACCGTACCAAATTTAAGCTCGTAACGGCGTAAAACAACGGGGTCATGTTCATCGTCGCTAGGAGGTACTGTTTGATCGAGTGTCACTTGGCCCTGCTCTTCTACCAGCTCTTGCATAGTAGTCGAGATAAACTCGTCGAAAGAGTCTAACTGCTGAGAGACCAAACCCTTGGACTCAAAAAAGGCTGAAATTACCGTCCAGCAGTCTTCAGATGTTATTCCCTCCTCCGTCTCGTAGTAGACATCGTCCCCATATTCGTCTGCGTATTCCATAATGGCGGTGCGTTGCTGATCAGAAACTGCGTGCGCGACAGGTTCACCAATCCGATCCCCAGAGGGATCTAAACTGAGCAGCCAGATATCAACAGAAGGTAAAAGCTGCCCACATCAATGTAGATTCATTCACTTCCACACCGGTGAAAACGTGGTGTTGTATTAGTGACGGATTTGAGGTTGCGCGGGTGAAGAAGCTCTCTCAAGCAACAGAGACCTCGTTGAGCCGCCACTGAAATTCCCGTTTCTGGCCAAGCCTCCCAAAACGCGCCTGTATCACATGATATCACGTGGACCTAGAGCAGTTTTCTTGGGTGATTTTGTAAACAATTATTTACGTAATAGTCACGTGAATAGGAATACTCTTGATTAGTAATATAGATCAATACTGGCGAATTTTGAGATCACGTCCTATCTACTTTACTGTCTCAATCGGCTATTCCTGGATACCCTCCCCCCAACGTTTGTTACGTATGCGTCAATTCAATAGCTATGGACATGAAACTTATATTATTGATTACCCACCCGATTGATTGCATAATAACAGGCTGATAATTCAAATGGATATCGACAATACAACAGTGAAGAAACAATGAGGCCTAGATGAACTTGATATACAACCTCCGATGCTATCACATTAATGAGCTGTCTGACGTATCTGATCGTCTTGATCATCGAGTTTGATGGCGACAAACACCGCCGATGCAGTAGTCCACCACGACATCATACCACAATAATATAAATCAACATCCAACTTTCGATACCAAGAGAGACCTGCGTTCATAAAGTTGAAAGAACAACAGTGCCAAAGCGGACCACGACAGTGGTCAGTCAGCAATTTTTGTGAAACGGAAACGTTGATTCGGCGCACGGGTGTATGGTCGAAGTCGCAGCTGTGTAAAAGTAGGCGAATAATCTTGGGTGGTCCATGTGAAGTTGCCGTCGGCCGCAGAATTGCCTATGGTAACGATATAATGATATTCTCCCTCTTCTTCTAACCGATATATCGTTGGAATCTGGCTGTAATCCGCATAAAAGCCCTCTCTATACGCGATGACATTGAGATACCAGCTGCCCTGATGGATAACGTGCCAATTTTTCCCATAATCCGGGGAAACCTGGCTGACAGTCCAATTTTGACGTTCTTCTCTCCCAACGACACCGCCTCCATAGTTGTTAAGATAGAGCCCTGCAGGGGTTGTGATGTAGTACTGGGCTGCAAAAGTACTGGCCGCGAAGGCGCAAAGGAGAACTGCTAACGATATAATACGCATCATAGAGATCAAGGAATCGTGAAAAGGATAATTGTGGTACTGAGTTTTTAGTAGAATGAATGGGTTGAAAGAGGTGGGATTACATACATATATAACTAGGGATATATGGCTATGACAATCAGAAGGGTATATCCGTACCCAGGCCCGTTGGTATACATACCGGCCCACGGTTATGCTATAGATTGTGTTATCTTCGGGCCAAATAATTCCTCAGCTATGCGAACCAACCCTTTGAAATCGCTGCGATATGGCAAAGCCGGCATCTAACATATCGACTTGAATTACCGGCATAATTCCCCACTTTTTCCCGCCTGGTTCCCCCTGATCATCGCGGACGGTTCACCTCCCCCCGAGCAGGGTGCATCTGCATGTCCCTGGCTATGAAATATCTCTTGGCGTAAGCTTGCAATCTCAACTTCTTCATGCTACCTCTAGTATTTACGGAAGTACAGGCCTCCCCTCTCCTTTTCCCTCGTCGTTCTTAATATAAAAATAAGGCGAAAAAAACTATTTCTGGGCGTAAGCTTACTATCTCTACCTCTATGATAGTTCTCGTATTGACAAGATGGCTTGCCGTGTCTATCCAGCTTCGGCAATGCAAGATACTTCATTTTGCACGGTATCTCCGGTTATTTGAAGTCATAGTTATAGCCCAGGAACAACATCAACCTACAATATGCGCATGTGCACAGCAACTCTGAATTGCCGAAATAAGCAGATTTGTCTCCTCCATATAACCTGGAATTGCTGGCTTCACTTTCGTCTTACTTGAGACACCACTCAACTCTTGACCATTCTCGCATCGTTTCAGCTTTACCAATACAATGCGTGTTGTCTCTTTCCTTTTGATTAGCCTTCTGGCTGGTCTAGCTCCAGCAGTACTTTTCAACGGTTCTTTCTCCATTTTTGATGATTACAGCGGCAGTGCGTTGACTGTCGGTACAACTGGTCCGCTTAAAGGACTTGTTGAAGTTCGGCCCAATACCATAGACCCGTGGCTTATCGAGACGATTCCTGGTATCGACTCGACTACTGGCACTACAGCGATCATACGGCACGCTGCCACTAATCTATATCTCGGCTTCCGAAACATCGAAAGCGGCGAAACTGCCATATTCACCGACGAGTATCCTGCTATAGTTCAATTTGAACCTCGCGGGAATCTTCGTTTCCGGGCTGAGCTACCTACTTCGAACAGCCTTTACTTAAGATGGGTCGTCGAAAAATTCAGTACCTTGGACAACCGCCTGGTTTTGAGATTGCGTACTAGTTCTGCGAAGCCGGAGGGAAGAACATACTTCACTGTGCTTGGAACGCCGAATGCAACACTTCATGAATGAGGCAAAGGTACAACAATATGGGCAACGACGGTTTTGTCACGAAATCACAACCGAACAGAGTATTGTTATTAGGAAGACATATCGACTTGGGGATGACATGTAACTACTAAAAAATACTCATATCAGCAGCATTACCCCTACTCTATCCTGGGGCTCTGCTTTAGCTGTGAAGGCCTGTCGCACAATTGCTCAAGAAAGAAAATGGCGAGGAAGTGGAGGAAGAGTAATTTACTTACAGTTCACCATAGTCAACTAATCGGCAGTTAGCCGGGAACCTTTTTCTTAACACACAAACTAGATTGTTAATTTGCTAGCAAGCTCCCTTGAAGTTTAGTTGAGCTTTCTAGAGTCATAATCAGCCTCCGCTAGGTAACCACCTAGTACATTCCTAAGTACACACCCAACTACTTGTCTAGTGCGGGTGCAGCTCCATCTACTTTACCAGCAACTACTCACAAGTTATAGTTTATCTGCCCAAACATCAAGAACCATAGCAGCCAACTAACTTGTATTGAAGCATCCAGCAAAAAAGGGGTAACTATTGATTAAAATACAAGTGTGTTGACATGTTGGCTGACTGAGCAATATCTTTCATCAAACCCCTACACATGTCTAGTTATCCTGTATTGCGGCCTTCTTCAGAACAAATCTCTGCCTGGCGTTTCCTGACTCCGGTTTTCGTAACTTGAGAACTTTGCGTGGATCACGATCACTGTATGCTTCCACAGTCCACATAAGAGGGCCGGTGTCGGACTCCATAAAGGTAGTAGTGAAATTGAATATGAGATTTGGAGTTAACACAGCGTTGAAGAATGTTGCAGTATATTCGCTGAAGGTAGCAACTGCTCCGTCCTTGAGTTCCGGGAAATGTATGTATTTGCTGCTGTTTTTATAGCCAACGATATGCACTAGATTCGAAATATGCTCAATAGACCATTGGAAGTCGTTATTGCCCTTGATCTCGACGACTCCGCCAGCGCCAGGGGCGAAGGAATCATGGTTGAGGTCGTCAAGAATAGTGTAGTTGCTTTTCAAGGACACCGTTTTATAGACATAGTTTGTTGGTGGCAAAATAGCTGATTTGTCGATTGAGGTAGGATTTTTGGAACGAATTTGAATCCGAGCATGTCCGAGGGATGATAGGAAGCAGAGTATCAATATATAAAAAAAGTGCATTTTCAATAAGTCAGTTTCGTAGCCAAATAACGTGTAGATTGTAGTTGAAAGTCCGTGTTTTTTTTTTTTTTGCTTTGCAAGACAGAAGTTAAGAGCAGAGGGAAAAGGATGAGGTTTAAGAGTCCACTATTGCCATGTCCTAAAAATTCTTCTTTACAGGATTTACAAGTTCGAAGAGGGGAAGGTCTTCTAATGCATAAATTGTGTCTTTACGATAACTACCCAGTCACTAGCATTGAGCAGGGTAATGATGCTTACTGGCCAAGTATCCTATCAATTTCTTGGATAGACACGGCTATTTTTTCCCCCTGATATTCTAGTAAGTAACGCGAAGCAAACCGATGTTGACTACTATTTTGAGAGCTGCTCCGAATTGTTCCCCCATAGTTAACAGATTCAAACCGGAACTAAAATCTCACTACACTTGCAATTAGAGGTTGCAGTGAAAAAGTTGCCAAGAATGTCACCCTTAACTAGGGGGCCCTTGTAACGTGAAAATGCCCGTAATAGTCCCTCATCATCCTTGTAACTAGGATCTATAGATACTCCCTGTTCCTTGTAGTAAGCATAGATGAGCTTGGCATATCAACGGGTTGCTAATAGCTATTTATTCAACTTCTCTTGACGGTCAATGGACATTAGACTTATCTGGTTGGTAAACCCGGGTAGATCCGCATACGGCTATACCCCCCGACTCAAACAAAGATGCATAGGATCTTGCTCTGTTCCCTTATAGATAAAAGGCATCGCTATCTTCATCTTCTGTCATCCCCATGATCAAATACTCTAACAACCATTCTATACAACCTCCATTAAGCGGATCCAAATCGCTTCCAGAAATATGCACGTTGCATCGTTAGTTATTGCTCTCTATGCCTTCGCGGCGAATGTCTCAGCCCAGAAACATCCAGACTACTACACGGTCATCAAAAATCTGCAGAATGGGTTGAATGTCACGCTCAATGGCACAAGGCGCTCTGTCGAGTTTGGTGCCGGAAGCCCTTGCCGCTATTGGAAGTCTTACGATGCTGGCAATACTAAAAACTGGAGGTATTATGGTATCGCCGGTTCCGGTTACTATGTATATCTTCGATACCTCAAATACCTCTCTGGTGCAATTGCACAAGCAGACACGACGGCTCCATCGCTGTTTCGCCTCGAAAACGATGAGCATGCATCCTACATTATTAGCCTTGAAACCGACGCTACTGGCCAAAAACTCGCCTGGACTGCCGAAACCAACGCCACCGACCCTCGTGGGAACATGATCGTGAAACTACGTCCATACGACCGTAGTGACAACCAGAAATTCGCTCTTACCGAAGAGTATATAAACCCAGATGATTGTTAGCTATAGTTCTGGAGACTGGTGAATGTACCGCGAAAGGGTAGAATGCATGAACTTAGTTGTGGTGGAGACGTTGGAGAACTCGCACTTAACTCCATGGCTTTCGGGTATGATGTCATAGCTAACTAGGTAGTTAGTTGCTTTTTTTAACTTAAATATACACAACTCAAACTCAACGTGCATGGGCGAATCGATGTATGAAATATATGAGATATACGGAGTATGTAAATACCTAATCTCTCTTACGGGACGTGTTTTCCTACTTATTTTTCTCACTTTGTGCTTCTCTCTGTACCGTTTAGCCACATTTTGTATCTCCACGGGCCGTGGGATAGCTGCATCAATCTATGTCTGGAATTACAATACTTTCGTTCCCTTCTGCGAGCCACCGAGAAGGTATTAGATACGGAATCATTTGTATGTGGTCTTTAATATTTTAACTGTTTGAACGCGAAGCAAGGATAGAGACGTGATGAGAGAATGGTTAACTAGCTAGTACACAAAATTCTGACATCAGATTGATAGAGTCGTCCTTGAGAAAATGGGAAAGCAAGACATAGAGCTACCCAGCTATTGCAAACTCAATTCAAGCCACCGGCGGCAAATTAGACAACATATCGATTGGGTCTCCGGGTTCTTGTGTTATCGTGAACTTTTGGCTCGATGAGCGCGAGTAAGGCCGCAATTTCAAGAGGAAGTTCTCACTCGTGGTGGAATTGTTTTCGATAGTCCAGGCTAGTCTTCTATTCGGGTCTGAAGGTTCAAGTGACACTATATAGTAGGTGTCGCCGACTTTTTCGATCTCAAATAGTGATGGATGGTATGCGTAATAATTCCCTCCTCGTGAATATGTTGTTGCGGCTTGGCCAGATATATAGTTCTCAAACCGAATCCACCAAGTTGACCGCTGCAGCTCCTTTTGAGCTGACGACCTAAAACAGTGCCAGTTTTTGACACCCTGAGAAACTGGGACATCAATCCAATGTCTGCTAAAGCTACCACTCTGGAACCCGACTTCCCCCGTTTCGATATCGCGTGTAAGATTTAACCCGTATTCTTTACTTGTGATAAGTGTATAGAGCGGTTGGGGTGGTGTCGCGGCGGAAATCCTTGCCACAAAGGCGCAAAGGGCCACAACTAGTAAAATTTGCATCGTGGGTAGAGAAGTAGTAAACTGGGTTGAATAAAGAATTGATCCAGATGTATAGGGATCAGATATGAAGGACACATGTGCCTTTATACCCGCGTTGTGTTGAGAGTCGACCTACTTACCGTGTATATCCAGAAATGATTCAAATACCCCCTGTTCATCCTTCAGTTTAGCATTATTCCCCATGTTGAAGTTAAATTATCCCTGTTTACAAAGTGATGTTTGTAGATAAGAAATTAGAGTCGAAAGTAATCCACATCCCTTGATATTATTATATACTTCAAAACACAGCTGCAAGTAAGATTTTAGTTTCTTAGTTCTTCAAAGCAGGGGTTGATATTTATCCCTAGATATCCATATTCCGGCTGGATACTGACCGCATCTCGGTTAGAAGTATTCGTCGGATAGAAATGGAACGAACGAATATCCGAGTCCTCAATGTCAGCTTGCAATTTTTCATGGAATATAGCAGGGTGTGCATTCCCTCCATCCCTTAGTTTATATAACTGGTCCAATTGTTAGAGCGCCATATCTTGCCTGACACACTCCTCATAACTACTCTTCAGATTTTTTGAACTTGGCTTCAACTCCATATTGCAACATGCATTTGATATCCGTGGTATCTCTATGCCTCCTACTCTGCAGGGCAGTGGCCGCCGATACCTATATGTTAGAGCAGCCGTTGAACTCAACATTTACCCTATTTGACAATTACAGCAATGAAATTGTATCTCCTGGCAGCGATATGCTTGAGATTACACCCAACGCAACCGATCGGTGGCTTTTCGAGCAAATCTATGACTACAACTACATTATCAGACACAGCACCAGCCAAAAATTCCTACATTTCAAAGTCCTACAGGCTGGGGCGACTGCTAGACTCAGCGAACTGTCTGCGACTGTATTGGCACCGGTGGTGGTTACGGATGCCATCGTGAAATTTGTCATATACGGCCGAAGGAACCAGTTGTGGCTTACCTTGGAACCGTACAACGTTGAAGAACCAGACCGTTTTGTTATAAGGCTACAAGAGAGGGAACCAGCAGGTCAACATCAATTCACCATGCTTAAGTCACCTCAAATTAGCAACTAGACTCCGACACCGCCGAGAAAAATCATCGAGACAAAGTTGTTTGGGGGAAGGTTGAATACCCGCAGCACCCAACAAACCAGGTGAATTGTGCCCGGAAGATATAATTAGGGAAAGGGGAAAGGGGTTGGCTATCTCAGCACATTAAGGAGAGAAATGGCTGGAATGTACCTAGAGCAGCTTGACAAACGAGGGCATTCCAAGACCAGTCGAGAACTCATATTACCTCCTTATAAGTTTTTGCCTCGCTAGTGAGCATCCTCGCAGTCGCTGACCAATCTTTCCCTCTAATATACATAAACACAACTACCTATTTGCAACAAGGCTGACGTGGCTAAGTGAAGTTCTGACAGTGTAATTACATAAATGTTAACCGTCTACAACTCAGTGAGCAGCGCAATATGTTGGAAAGGGGGCAGCTGGACCTCGGGAGCCATATCTTCGGACGGTGTAGACCGTCTTCTTGCCCACAATCACTTTCTCCTTGGTAAATAATCAAGATTCAAACTTTCGTTAGGAGTTTGTTTAAAAAAATAGCGTAACGTGCTTCATCACCCACTCAATGAATTAATTGAATATATAGACTTCTGTATGGACGGGCCGGCCCGTGGGTCGAGAGGGTTTGAAATACCTGATAGGCCGTGGGCGGGCGAGGAAGCTCGTTATGTAATTCTTAACACCAAAGCTCACTAAAACTCGATTAGTAATTGTGTGCTTACACATGGCTAAAACATAATATACTTACGGTGAAAATCGGGTCATCTTGTGTTGCCTATCTTACATAGAAAACGCATAATCTCATGAGATGGGCAGACGAGAACGGACAGTATGGCTATAAAAAGCTCATAAGTGTGTCTAGCATATCTCTAGTGTCCTGATAGTCTGGCTCAGAGTCATCAAGTCCGCTCAGCTGTTCTATATTTCAAGTTAATTATCAGTTTCATTAATTAAAGAGAATAATCGAATCTTCACTAACCTTGGAGCGTTGCACGGATTACACTCAAATCCTCATCTTGATCTGCCATCAACGACTTTATTTTGGCTTTTGCACCGTCATCCTCGGCGACAAGCCACGCAAGGATTACATCTATAGTCTAAATGATGGGCGTAAGCTTAACGGATATAGAAATCTTTCGAATCGGTAGATATCCTACCTGTAGAGAGAAAAGCCCGGCATCAAGCCTGCGGGATAGCCATTCTCCCGCCAGCGCGTCGTGATCATCTTGACCAAGATTGCTCTTTTCCTGGTTAATATCTTGTTCTACAGCGGAAAGCTTAGACTTATACTCTCGCCGTAGTTTGATCAATCTCGCAACCTTTTCATACTCTTTCTCCACGAATTTTGCTAGCGTTCGAATTCGCCCAGGTGTGTCACCAGGAAGTAGCCTTAGCAATGATGAAAAGATTCCCAGAAGATGTTCCGTAAGCGATTTATCTTGCTAAATACCAATCAACTGTCAGAATTATCAAGTTTGATAGGGAGTGTCAGAAAGTAGTTACCTTTTTCATAAACATGCCAAAGACTGTTCTTAACAAGCCAGCTTCAACAAACTTCTCACATGCCCCTAACCCTCCTCGTCCACCAAGGGTATGATTCAGAACACGCAATGCCCGTGGCTTACTTAGCGTGCCTTCTCGCAGCATAATCTGTGCAAGCTCAATTCCCTCCGCTTCAATAAATTTGTCTTTTCCTTCATCCTCATCCACCACGCAGGTCAAACAGTCAAATAAATTCTCAAAGTATTCTTCTTCGTCGGAATCCTTTTGGGGGTCAAGTTTTCGGTATACACTCAGTAGCTGGAGTAATGTATCAACTCCTCCTAACCTGATAAATCGTAGTCGGTTCTTTGACGAGGTTTGTAGTAATATGGCAAGTATCTCGGTAGAATACTGTTTATTTTGGGATACTCTTCTTTCATTCTTTGATATGCGCTTGTGAAGCCAGGGCATGATGCCTGACTCTTGTCCAATCCGATCTGCGATGGATGGCCTCGAAGCCAAACTCTCCAAGATATCTGGGGGCGTTAGAAAGATTGTTGTTATCCCTGGGGGTATGTGTATACATACCTAGTATGTGATATACACCGGACCGGTCCACCTCATTATCCTCGTTTAATCGGGTAAGGTTTTGTGATAAAAGTTCAAGAATATCCGCGTCCAACTTGAAATGATCAGTTAAAGAGATAAAGAAGTTGGAACAAAGAGTCTATCTTACCATGGAGTTTGCAACGGCATCCCACTGATCTTCTTCAGCTTCCACATCCTCGTCAATCAGCTCACCAAGTATTTGTATCGCATCAATTGAGATATCGGTATTCTCGTGGGTTAACAAGGAAACCAGTGAGCCAGCGCAACCAAGTTCAGCAAACTCTTTATACAGTTGCGGATGCTCTGATAAAATCGAGAGGGCTTTGATTTCGACATCTAAGTCAGCCTCGGAAGCCATGAATCTAGCCAACCTGTTAGACATAACATAGAAGAGCATACGAAGATGTGAAATAAATACTTTTGGGGATCATTTTCAAATTTAACCCGAAGTTCAGCATTCTTCGATACTTTCTTTTCAAAATTCAAGGCAGTACGTCGTAACCATGCCGAGTCGATTACCTGGGGCTAATTTGGAGTTAGCTGGGTTGCAATCCAAACACAGTCCTCTCATGTATTCAATTACCGAAGCCCCTTCATTCTCATGCTTGTCAATGTAGTCAAGGGCATTGGTGGTGTCCTTCGTTACACCACCTCCGAAAAATCTACCCTCTTCGTCATCTGGGATATCTTCTTCGAAGTCTGGCGGAAGTTCAGGACCTGCAACACCATCATCATCATCTTCATCTTCAACTGTTGCTTCTTTGCCTCTGATTGTATCTCTGTTCGCGTCGAGCTTCGCGGCCTTGTATATCTCAGCTGCCCACCCATTGTGGTCAGTAATCGAGCGTATTCCTTCTAGGGTGAGCGCATTTAATATAGCCGGCTAAACGTACTGGGATCCCGCGCCGGTTCAAGCTTTCGTTTAATATTTGACGGGTGGGACGGTTTCTATGAGCTGGTCAGCCTGGAAATGGAGCTGTAGAAATCCGGCTCATGTTACATACCTTGAAAATATCATCAATGCTTGACATCTTTTAGCGAATGAATAGTTCAACTATGGTAGCCGTCGCAAGGCGCCAGATCAATGGCACGTATCTGTATCACCTAAAGCTCAAAGATGAAGCAGTCTCTGTCCGCCGAAGAAAGCTGTGTTTGCGCCAGAGGTGAGTTCAAGAAGCTTTATACGTTCACGCGCCAACGCCAAGAGCGCAACTTTTATCTTTCCATTCCGTCCCCGAAATTTTTATAACTACAACAGTCAAACACCCCAATCCATCACCAACAGCACAGCAGGTCAATCTCTTCCGAAACTAAAGAGAGCCACTCTATTTAATTCAATAGTTTTCAAAAATGGCCCCAAAGCAGCGTGTTATCTCCCACCCATCCCGCGGGGAACCCCGTGGTGTTGTCTCAACGGTTTACTCGGAGTTGACTTCATCTGAGAATGCCACCGTAGTGAGGAGCGTTCTCATTTTCGGAGTATGTTCTAACTGCTATATTATCCTTTGAATGTTTATACTGGAAAGATAGCGGCATCTTGTTTGCTCTGGCTATGTGCTTATTCACCGTCTCTAACATATTCTTTCACAGGCCGCAGTTGCTTTCCTCCAGAGCCCATTCAGCGAATGGCTTCTTCCTGCGTAAGTCGCCTCCTATCTGCCGTTATACCTACACTCAAACTAACATCATTTTTCAATCCAGCCTTTAAACTACGACCAACGTATAGAATCTTCTCTATGGCAATCGAAGCCACCTTCTCACTCGAAAATATTTGTACGATAGATGGGACTTTTCTTGATTTCGGCGAAGGCGGAACACATCGTTGAACTCCATTCGCTCTATTAAACATACTGGCATGGCCTGAAGGAACCGTTCTATCCACTAGGAGTCACGCATGGAAGGCTACTGTCAGCTCATATGAAGTGTCCGGGTTACTTTTTTACGTTTTTTCCAAAGCAATTATAACAGGCGTTTTGGCCATGGATATATATCAATTGTCAATGAACCTGATTTAAAAAACTCGACTAGTCTGTTACTGGGGTTTTAAACACAATGTTTTCGAGAGACAATAATTATATATGTTGTATCATATCTAAAATCGAGTGGACTAGCAGTTATGGGTCTTGAGGAACGGATCTATAGACATTGAAATGAGGGGGACAGTAAGTTCAAAGAGATGGGATATCATAACTCCATTGCAATTTGCGGCCGCAAATTCAAAAGGACGAGGTAAAAATACATTTAGCTCCATAAGGCGTCTTTCCAAGATAAGATGAATCTAATAATTCAGAAGGTCAATGGAGAAACCCAAGGGGCACAGTGGCGCGTGATTTCTCAGGGCGGTGGACAAGGCGAACGGCTTGGAGTCCGAGTAGTACAGTGTAGAGGTTGACATTAGAAATTGTTGCTTCTACCAAGTCGCCGGGCCTGAATTCAGTGCAGCTTTTGTCAGTGGTCACGACGCAGCGAACCCGGAAAGGCAGTAGATTTGCTGTGTATCGAGTGGAGTCCGGCGCAGATGCAGAGTTAGAACTTGCCGGAAGTTGGCTGACAATGACACACTGGAAGCCTTCTGGGAGATTTGCCTCGCCAAAATAATGGGCACGGAATAAGGCTTGGAGAACCCAAAACTCTCGTGAAAGCACTTGAGCCCGATCAGCGGCTTTGTTTTGCCAATTTGAGCGGACTATAATTGCCTTAATGTCCTCACGAGAGAAGGGAAGGATGGCCTCGTCTATTTGACCGGGATGTCCTTCGCTTTTGTCTTTCATATTTTGCTTCGCTTCATGACGTATGGCCGCCTCAACTTGCCAGTGGACGATTAAATCGGAGTAACGCCTGAGAGGTGAAGTGCATTTGCTATATTGATCCATACCAAGTGTGATATGAGGTGTGGGCTTTGAGGAAGAAAAGGCCCTGGGAAGTTGATTGTATGGTGATGATCCTGGAACAAACTCCCCTTGGTCATCGGTGGTAATTTTATCCATGTTGTAGGAAGCAGCGGAAAAAATGACTGAAATACTGCGCTCTTTGCACCACTGGGCAGCGATTTCTCCACCCAGAAGCATAGCATGAGCCACAAAATCTGTTTTGGTAGCACCCAAGGACCCATCTGACTGTGAAAAATGTCCACTAACTCCTATGGTGGGATCATCATTATAATCATAACGCCCCGAAATATCCCCTGTGTATGAACGTATACCTTCTTCGCCTCCAGAAACAAGGGGTGACGACGGGTAGTTTGAAAAGAACTCTATAGCGCCTTTCTTCATACGTTTTTCTCGACGCCCGGCGAGTAACCTCTCCATAGTTTCTAGAAGGGGTTCATGTTCCTCAGATATGTGTTCTTGTAGCTCGGGACGTTCTGGTCCTTTGGGCGTCCCTCCAACTTCCAGGGACATTGAAGGATTGTCATTGATATTAATACCAAACATTTTGCGTAGTCTGTCTGGCGTAATGTATACGACGTTGTTAATATAGCCATGGGTAATTTTGGTATCAAGAATTTCTCCTTCCAGGTCGACAACAGCGCTGAATGTTATGGTAGGCTTACCAGGCCCAAGACTGAATTTCTCGCGGGTGAGGCTTGGTGGGAACATCGGATAGACCCGCTCAGGCGTGTAAAAAGAACGCTTAAAATGAGATGCCCCCTTGGCAAGGAGATGGTCGTGAGGAATGAACGCCGATGGATTAGCAACATGGATGTGAATCCAAAATTTATCCAATGAGCCTGGGATTCGCTCGAGTGAGAATCCGTCGTCAATTTCCGCAGCAGACGCACTGTCAACACAGAACACTGGTGTATCACCCCAGTCTTTGCGGAAATCCTTCATAGAGTCAACCAAAGTATCTGTGCAACTGGATAATTCGCAGAATCGATTACATTCCTCGACTATTGCATCAGATACTGGTGAAAGGCCGTGGCCTGGAAGGGCGACTTGTTCATTTAGGACATGGATATTCTCCCAAGGAGTTAGGATACCGAGCTCCTGCAAGGCTAAATACCCAGTGGCTTCGTTAAGGTTGAAGTTGTCATATAATCCAATATGAAAAAGAATAAAAGATCCTGTACTTCGAAGAGAAGAATCGCGCACAAACAGAGGCGGAAGAATCCAAAGCCTCAGAAATTCAATTATATCTCTGTCTGTTTCTGAAAACGATGGGGTAGAGGGCTTTGGGTCCTCTTTCGGCTGTTCCGCGAGATGCTCTGGATCGCCAGCGGAGTCAAATCTTGGGCTTAAGCTGAACGCCTGAGTTGGTTTTCGAGAAGCACGGCTCCGATAAATCCACTGTCGAGCAGTTTTGACAAATAGCCCAATGGGGTTGCGATTAGAAGACTTCTTTTCTTTCTTACCCATGCCACTACTCCTTAGTGACTGGTACTCTCGCATCCACTTTATCACACGGTTGATAAGTTCAGTCTGCACTTTCGGACGGAAAGTGTATGATTCAACCACAGACAAACTCTGATTGGCAATTATCGAGATTGGATTCTGGTCAATTGCTTGATGAATTGCATATCTATCAGCTTTTGAGAGGGTATTTGGATCTCGTCCTATGAGCTCAGAGGCTATTTGCTCGAGAGTCAGAGTTACTGGCTCCGTATCCTTCGCAAGGTGGTCATGTACGGAATTGAAAAGAGTAGCATTTTCTGCAAACATTTTCGAAGCCGACGCTTCAAACTCAAGAATTGAATTGAGCAAAGTGGCACTGATATGGCGGGGAACACCGCCTTCCATAGCTAGTTGAGGCATATTTCCCTTCGCTACCACCGAAGTTGGAAGGTATGGGAATATCGGTTCTAGTAATTCAGGTGGAAAGCGATGCTTTGTAATGTAGTTCACTTCCGAAGGTCGAGCAACTCGCCATTTCCCCCTTGTAGTGTAGAATTGTTGCTGTTCGTTTATTGTACGTAGGTATACAGCTAGCTGGCCTGGAGAAGTCCCATTTTGACTATCAAAAGATTGTTAGTCCCATACCACTGCATAAAATATACTAGCACTATTACTCACTGCCGTAGTTGAACTAGATCGCCTGGACGTAGAAACGGTAATGGATCGCCCTCTAAATCGGATTGTCCTTGCAGCTCGGGCAGGCTATCACTAAGGACAGAGTTGTCAAGAAACATGCCACCGACTTTTTGTGTAGATGGAGCTATTCCAGTTCCGTTGAATTCCATGATGGGATCAAGGGTTTTGGGTTGTTTTTCTATCCATTTTCGGAGGTAGGTTCTTATGTCATCCGTTCTCTTCATGTCTTGTTCGATGAGCTGTCTCATGCGATCATCCATAAGAGAGCTTTCAGTAGAGGATCGTGCCTACAGGTATCCACCGATAGATTAGTCCAGGGTAATTGGAGTATCATTCCATTATCTAACTTACATTGCTTGTCGCGGAAAACGACCGCCTAGACACACTGCCATATTGCACGTTGCCATTGGGGCCGTACGAAGACAGGCAACGTGAAGAGACATCAGCAGATCGACTCAAGTTGCGTCCAAGAGCTGTCGCGCATTGGGAGCAGACGAATGGCCGGCCAAGCTTTCCTGGAATTTCCAGAGAGCTTCTCATCCATCGACGAGACGACATTGCAGACCTAAAAGGTCTTCCTAAGAGCAACGCAGAAGAATTGAACTAGCCGTGATTAATCCAACGTCCCATCTTGGTATTTCGTGTGATATCTGCTTTCACCAAAACGCTCCTGATCTGACGTTTCGATTAAATTTCAGTGACTTTTATGCCAAGCCTCAAGGCACAGCGGATGAGGCTCCACAGAAATCTTATTATATAATCATCTCAATGTCACCTGATCATCATTTTTGCCCATAGCGGAATCGTGGATAATTATCCTAGCATGACACTAAGAAAACTTAGTAATAGTACAGCTCTATTACCAAAATTTGGTAATAGTAACGTTACTGTTACCAAATTTTAGTAACGCAACTGTACTATTACTAAGTCTTAGTCGTATTACAGTAGAAAAATCGTGCATGATTCCCGTATGGGCTTGGTGCGACGATATGTTTTGAATACCACAACAACAAAACCTCAAGCAATATTCATCAGGCCGGGTCAGCGAAAGATGGCCAGCACAGCCCGACTATACGTGGAAATTGAAATCTCGGTCGATGCACCTCGAAACCATCTTCTCGAGACGGGTCCTGCTGCAGGAAAATTTTTGGGAATGATTTGTCTCACAACGTCAAATTCCAGGCTGGCTACCCTGAAGATGCATAAGTAACCGAAACTTGGCTCTTTAGTACAAATAAAAGAGCGCTTTTGATCGCTTTTTCATCATCCCTTCTTTTTTCCCCTCCTCTCTTTTTGTATAGACTTTTCCTTAAGGTGCAGGATTCCGAAGACTGAGAACGACAGTAGGTATACGGAGTACGGAGTGGTTAGCTGGGCATCACCCGGCCAAACAGGCTGAACGGTGGCTAGCAGAAACAAGCTGAACGTTCTAGGCCTCATATACTCCGTAATGAACTATACATAGCATGTTAACGTCAAGCAAACTCATCTTGCTCTAAGCGCCAGCCGTGGGCAGGGCGAAAACACGTGATACATGTCGGTTAAGAGGAAAATATCATCAAATTGACATATTGGTCTTGACTACGAACAAATCAACCAAAATAGAATCCAATGCGAGCTTTGGACTGCCTTGGTTCAGTTGGGGACATGAGCCGTGTTGTGATGATTAGTCCCACCGCTGCCTCAGACTCAGTCTAGCCTCTCGATCGTTTGGCTGAGAGTTGCAGCCAGCAAGCAGCCAAGTGAAAGAGCAAGCGCTGTGGTGGGCCCATGTGGCGCTCCAGCCAAACAAGAAACAAGGGCAGGGGCACCTCCGCCGTTGGAGCTCCAAGCTTCGAACTCCAAGCTCCAGCCAGCCCTTCAGCGACGATGCAGCTCGTCCATCCTCTGGGTGCCCATCGGTGGGCCGTTTCCAGGACTCCGGGCCCCAAACACGGGCCTTTTGGGTTTGGTGAGCCGTGTCAGTTTCTATGAAACTGACTGTTCGTGATTTCATTGGAAATGCCAGCGCCTGCTGAAGAGAATACCCAACCTTGTGTGCCCTGAAACGTTCAAGTTCGAATTATTCAGTGAAGTTGCGACGTCGATGTTTAGAATAGAATTCTAAGGACGATCTAGACAATTCTATCAATAGGAACAGCCACGACGATCCAAAAATACTTCGCCGTTCGCCGTCAAAGATGATCTATCTTGAAGGCGCGTAGTGATATGGAGTGTCTAGATCATGGCCAAATCTGAAGATATAAAGCCAGTGGCTCTTCTCTTTCATTCTTGTTTTCCTCTCATTCTCCAGCAATCAACAATCAACTACCATTCTCACTCTTTGATAGAGTGTTGTTTCCATTTCCTTTTCCTTTTCCTTTATTTCTCTTATTTCATACCATTGCAATTCTAAGCTGTTTTCCTTTCAATCCCCTTTATTTCGCCAACAGTATCATATATATACACACATATACATCCCTCATTTGTCTATTTACCATTACATTTTCGTTGCATTCATATATCGGCGGCCCAGGCGATCCATTTCTCTATCTACGATAGCATTCATTCCCAAGGCATATTTTCTGCCTTTCGACCTTATCTCTTTTGTTTTCTTAGCTCCTGAACAAGACCTCAAACGTCGCTATGGCTGGTCCACAAGGCGCCCTCGCTACCTCCTTTAAGGCGGTCCGAATACTCCAGGCTATCAGCCTCATTGCCATCATTGGAATGACTGCCAACTTCATTGCTCAGATGGTCAACGCCAATGCCACTCCCCCAGATGTGCTCATCGGCACTCTGAGCGTGGTAAGTTTGAATATACCAGATACGCTTATGCTACATTGGCCTGACCTCTGAATAACTAGACCGTCATTGCAGTCTTGTACTGCGCTATCACCTTCATCCTTTTCCTTGATGGCGCTCTCCCATATTTAATTAACCTTGGCTTGGATGGAGCCCATTTGATTGCTGTCGTCGTCGTCGCCGTCACTGTCGGAAAGCCGCTATCATATCTGAACTGCAACGTGATCGGACAAGTCTCTGGCGGCCATGCATCCGTGTATGATTTCGCTAACGCTCTTGGCCAGAGCCTTGCCAAGGATGGCGGAAAGATCAGTTACACTCATTGGATCGGGGCATCTAAGCTCACCTGCTATGAAATGAAGTCGATCTGGGGTCTGAGCATAGCTCTTTGGTAAGTTCTTGTTCTATTGCCCAAAAGTTAATTAGTCAAATAGCTAACAAGGAGTTTAGCATCCTGTTTGCCTTCTCTGCTATCTGCAGTGCCTGTCTCTGGCGCCAAACCAAAGCCAGCGCTCCCAAAGACATTGAAAGCTAGACATGTCAAACTGTTTACCACCAAACGTCATTACAAAGAAACATACTTCGTGACATATCGAGTTGGAATGAGAAGCCATCCATCGTCATGGGTTCGAGAAATCTAGCAAATGGAAAAAAGCAAAGGGGAAGTGAACAGAAAGTTGGTGACCATCGTATTTCATATTTTTAGTTTTTTCTTTCATCGTCGTTGTCCAGCTGTTTTATTGTTTGCCTTGCACAATGATGTAATAGTAATATGTATTTTTGCATAACTCAGAGGAAAGAATCAATACATAGGCGTTTATGGTTGGGAACTGGCATGTTATTATACGGTTTCTAAGGCCCTAGGAGCAATCAACTCTTCAATCAATCTTTTAGAACAAACTAAAATAGTACAGCATAATATATAGAAGTTATAACCCATTCCACTGCGCCTGTTTATTAAGGCTGGTCAATGAAGGCTTGGGTCAGGCTCAGGGGGCCACAGAGCAGGAGATCGCCCATTTCCTCGACGTGTGCAATCAAAACCATCAGAGGAGTGCACTGTTTAGAGGAGACCGGAAACAGCATTTCCGGACTTAACCAGGGTATATAGAAGGCGTGCAAGGCTGTAGAACCAGACGCCGGATCTCAGGTAGCTTGTGAATTCCGATCCAGCTCCAATGTACAAAGCCGCAAAGGCTACACGGCATCCGATGTATTCAGCCGCAAGATAATTGAGCTCGCTGACTGGAAGCTTGGCGATGTTACCCGCAATCTAGATTAATAGGGTTAGAATGGAAATGAATATGAAGAGATGCGGTATAAAAAGATTGAAGCAAAGCTTACAATAGTAGCAGCAAAAAGGGGGATGCTCTCCATGGCATTCATATGGAGGCTTCTGAGCTTGAAGAGCTTGTTCCATTGTTCAGCAGGGATAACGCCACGGAGTGTGTCGAGGGCGTTTCTTGGCCTGGGTAGTAATTTTATGTTAGTTGGCTGTTTCTAATGGATTGGCTGGGCAGGTAACGAACATGAGGTTAGTATATTTGCCAGTTTTCATGGCTTTGAGGTAGTAGATCAAGTGTGGTGTCATGCCCAGCAAGTAAGCGCCGGCAATGGAATGGTAAGACCAGTTGAAGGTGTCCATGGTGAATAATGAAGAGCAAGCTAGATTCTTGAATAGGTGGCTTAAGAACACTTCTGTACGCTGGAGTAGAGCGGTAGTTAAGTATTGATTGATGTTTGAGCCGTCTTGGTGGTCGAAGGGTGTTTGGATTTACGAAAACAAGGAGCAGAGGAGAGGCTCGGGCATTAAATACTTCAGTGCGATGAAGAGAGCATAACTGTATCCTCTAGTCTGAAGATGATACGATAACCAACTAGCAAGCCTGGAATCTCGATGAACTAACGTAGCATCTCGTTATGCTGGTGGGGCCATAACTCACTGCCTCGATAAGTGGAAACATGGAGAAGTAACATCTTCTCCCTTCTTTTCGGAGTATATTGGGTGAAGTTACTCCGTATGGACCTAGAGAATGGTATTGTTCAAGCCGGTTCCCTACTGTCGCGATATCGCTGCATCTTGTCTTTTTCTTCCTCCATCGGCTCGATTTTCTATGTTTTCGTCCCTTTTTCATGCGATGTCAGAAAAGCCGAGGCATTTCCAGTTTCTCTTACATAATCACGGGGTGCGGCGCAAAGTTACTCCGGAGACAACTCTCGGGCCGCTGTTTGGCCGCTTTGGCGCTTTTGGGAAGTTCATTTTACTCCGCGCTCCGACACAACAACCACCAGCAACAAGAAGAGGAAGATAAAGGAGAAGGAGCGGACGAAGATGAATTACAGATGAACCCTTTGCAAAGAGAACAGCGAGCAGGGAGCAGGATCATACAAGAAATAGCCTGTCGCTAGTGGAAATATCTTTTTTCCGGCATTCTTTGGACCTCTTATCATGCCCCAGCACCGTTAGTACCAGGGCATATTGAATAATTGCTCGGCTACATGACTGACGCCGGCCCGTAGTTCTGCTTTGAGCAAGCAGACACAGGCCATTTATGTTTAAGCATCCAACTATGGAGCGTTGAGATGAAAGAGATATTTTCAAGGGGCTTCTTGACCTTGCGGCAAAGAGGTCACTTGCCCAAGAGTCTCTGGGCAGAAGGCTAATAGGCTTCTAGGTTGCTTCTATCGTAAAATAATGGCCCCCCTGTTGATCCATGGATCTGCCTTTAAATATGCTTCGAAGCAAGGTACATTTTAGCTTCCGAGGACCATACCCTGCCTGTCTTTCTAATAATAAGAATATATATGAGGAAAGCGGACTTTTATCCACGCCTGCGGATTCCCCCTCTTTGCATCCTGGGTTGATTGCAATCCTGCGAGCTGCTTGATTTTTCTATACGAGATGGCCGTTTCTCGCCGAGACATGCAAAGACCCCGGTGATCACGGACTTCATCCAACCTATTATACACAGAAACCCGGTTTCTGCCTTCTTATGCCTTTTCGCGGAAGCACTTGCCAAGGGGATGCAGAAGTGCGCTGGATGGGACTGCTTCTCACGCCATATCAAAGCAAGAGCCCGGATTTTCCTTTTATCACCATCTTGCAGGTTAATCCATTGATGCTGCAATAACTCGACTGCCGACTTCCGCGACCTAGGATCGACTTTCAGCATGCCCCTGAGGAAATCAATAAAAATAGGAACTTCAGCTTGTGGCATATCCATAGGTTTTAGGAACAGCTTAGTGCTCCCGTTGATAAAACGCTGAAGGGAAGGGCTTCATGTTAGGAATTCAAATAAGAATCCTTACTCAAGCCATCAATCACAATTGTGGCATATACATAGACTCATCTTTCGGGTCAAAGAAATGCGCTTTTCGGCCCCCCGCTTCTATAAACCGAGGCGGGAAGGGTCCAAGAATTTCGGTGATCCTTGCTAGGTAGTCGCCTTCAGCGGTCCAGGTCCCTCTCAATAACGCATCTCTGGCAAACATGACAATGCCTTGAATAAGTACCTTAACCTGTTGCCATTTTATTGCAGCTATCATAAATCATACCGTACTGTGGCATAACAATTATAATTACCCCTTCATATGCATCTAAGGCTCCATATATCCACACCGGTATCCCAGGGAACAGCTATTATTACTTCAGGGGCCTTCAGAGCTGGCGATTGGATTAACTCCGAGAGATGGCGTTCTCTCCACGATGTTAATACCATATTAATCCATATGCTTGTAAGGGACGCTGGTACCCTCCACACCTACCTACCTACACCAAAATCGATAAGTATGATATAGAAGTTCTCTGCTTTTGAAACAGGCACGTTGGAATGACTTTGACGGCCGTAACAGGCAATTTTCCATCTTCGAACCTGGCAGTTTGAAAACCAAGGTCGATGAAAGCCGCCTACCTGGTAGTAATCCGGCTCCTCGGTGAAGGAACAAGAATTAGGATGTCCCGGCGAGGCAAGCTGAGAGGATATTCTAAAGCATTTGAAGGTTCTTGAGCGTAGTTGCAGCAACGACGCCTTTAAAACTTTCATTCCATGTGAAGTGGCTGCTGCGCACTCTGTACTTCATGCAGACAGTGCTTGGACAAGCGTTACAGCTACTGATGTGAAAAGCGATAACTAGCATATCGTTTGATAGGGCATTGATTGGAATGACTAAGAAATTACCCGAATAACTATTGCCCTGGAAGACTCGGTCGAAGCCTGCGGGTGAGTATGCTACCTTGTTATCTTGCTGGCGGTCTTCTTTTTCACACAAAGCAGAGATGATGGTCGTCTGGGTCGGGTGCGTGTTGATCATGTGAGGGGCCCCGACTCCTTGAATTTCTCTTTCGTCGCAGACCTCACCACCTGCAAGCAACGAACTAACTAACTAGGTACCTAATTTACCTTACCTAGTTACCTGTTAGCTAACATTTAGCTGATTTCAACATCTCAAGACTCCAAGAATCGTCGGAAGAGATGCTGACTGATCCTGTTCTTCCGAAAGCTTCCTTGGCCCCCGGACTCATTTTATGCAACGAATGAGGGCAAGCTACACTGTTGTTTTTATACGAGGTCACCTGCGGCCTTAGATTAACCCGGGTGTACAGGATCACGCCAGCAAAAGTCAAAAGTCCAGGAGGCCCAAGAGGTTTAATGAGTTCGATTTGGTCAAGAGTTGGCTGTTTTTCATGCCACAAAGGAAATAAAGAGAGTTACCAGAGAGTCATGGTCTCCAAAGAACCGGGGTGGATAAACAAGAAGCGCGAAGCGAAGGAACCGGATACTGTTTCCCGCATGCGAAGGACAGGGAGGAAGAGGCAGAGAGGAAGAGAGAGCGCGAGAGGGAAAATGATGGCCGCTGAAGCTTTCCGCTTCTAACCAAACGGACAACAGGGGATCAAACTTCCCAGGCGATCGCACCCCTGCACAGCCCTTGCTGGCCAAGAAGAAAACGCCAAGAGAGGCAAGATATGGGAGCGCAGATAACAGTAAAATGGAGAAGAGGCATGCCTGTACGCTGTGCAACTCCGTTCCGACTTGCAGAATGCGGGTTAGCTCCAGGCAGGGAAGTTGTTGTTGGTGGAGTTGAATTGGGTCTTCCCCCAGGACGTGGAGAAGCATGGCATCGGACGAAGGAGCTGGGGGAGCAATGAGCGAGATAACTCATTACGGGGATACAGGGGGATAGGGAGTGGGAATATGGGTTGAAATTGGTATATAAGCCCTCCCTCTTCCCAGCTGTATTATCGAAGTGTGGAGAGGTCGGATTCCTTTTCTCTCCTTGCGACCAGTTGTTGCGGTTGGAAGCAAAGCTCCCTGATTTCCGACTAGTTACTCTCGTTTCTCCAGCATGAAGGTAGGTGGTGACGCCTGAGGATATGACAACCGGTGGTGGCAGCAGGTGACAGCTAAACTAACAACCACTCTAGTTTCTCTCGCTTCTTCTGCTGGCGGGCGTCGCCCAAGCGATTGTTCCTCCTCGCGAACCTCGCCCACCAACCGGTGGCGGGAACAAGCTGTTGACCTACAAGGAGTGTGTCCCCAGAGCTACCCTCTCTCCAAGGTCAACGTCCCTTGCCTGGATCAACAGCGATGAAGATGGCCAGTACGTCTCCCAGTCTGATGACGGTGCATTGATCCTCCAGAACGTCGTCACAAACACCAACAAGACTCTCGTGGCTGCGGACAAGGTGCCCAAGGGTTACTATGACTACTGGTTCAAGCCGGATCTTTCTGCTGTCCTGTGGGCAACCAACTACACCAAACAGTACCGCCATTCTTACTTTGCCAACTACTTCATTCTGGATATCGAGAAGGGATCTTTGACTCCCTTAGCTGAGGACCAGGCTGGTGATATCCAGTACGCTGAATGGAACCCCGTGGGCAACTCCATCGCCTACGTTCGCGGAAATGACCTATATATCTGGAACAACGGCAAGACCAAGCGTATTACCGAAAATGGCAGCGCAGACATCTTCAATGGTGTCCCTGACTGGGTATACGAGGAGGAAATCTTCGGAGACCGGTTCGCTTTATGGTTCTCGCCTGACGGTGAATACCTTGCGTACCTCCGCTTCAACGAGACCGGAGTTCCAACCTACACCGTGCCATACTACAAAAACAAGCAAAAGATTGCCCCTCCTTACCCAAAAGAACTTGAGATCCGCTACCCTAAGGTCTCCGCAAAGAACCCAACCGTGCAATTCCACTTGCTTAACATTGCCTCTTCTGAGGAGACCAATGTTCCGGTTACTGCCTTCCCAGAAGACGACCTTGTCATTGGTGAGGTTTCCTGGCTCAGCAGTGGCCACGATACCGTTGCCTACCGCGCTTTTAACCGTGTTCAAGATAGAGAAAAGATTGTCAGCGTCAAGGTCGGGTCTAAGGAGTCTAAGGTCATTCGCGAAAGAGATGGTACCGATGGCTGGATCGACAACCTTTTGTCCATGTCATATATTGGAAAGGTTAACGGCAAGGAGTCCTACGTCGATATCTCTGACGCTTCTGGATGGGCTCACCTATACCTCTACCCCGTTGATGGAGGAAAGGAAACTGCGTTGACCAAGGGAGAATGGGAAGTCGAAGCCCTTCTCAAGGTTGACACAAAGAAAAAGTTGATCTACTTCACCTCCACCAAATTCCACAGCACCACCAGACACGTCTACTCCGTCTCGTATGACACCAAGGTCATGACCCCTCTCGTCAACGACAAGGAGGCTGCGTACTACACCGCATCCTTCTCAGCCAAGGGTGGCTACTATATTCTGTCCTACCGAGGACCCAACGTTCCATACCAAGAACTCTTCTCCACCAAGGACACCAAGAAGCCTCTCAAGACCATCACTAGCAATGATGCACTGATCGAGAAACTCAAGGAGTACAAACTTCCAAAGGTTAGCTTCTTTGAGATCAAGCTTCCATCGGGCGAAACCCTCAATGTTAAGCAACGCCTGCCACCAAACTTCAACCCCCACAAGAAGTACCCAGTCCTATTCACTCCGTACGGTGGCCCCGGTGCCCAGGAAGTCAGTCAGGCATGGAATGCATTGGACTTCAAGTCTTACATCACCTCTGATCCAGAGCTCGAGTACGTTACCTGGACTGTCGACAACCGCGGAACTGGTTTCAAGGGCCGCAAGTTCCGCAGTGCCGTGGCTAAGCGTCTCGGCTTCCTCGAAGCTCAAGACCAGGTCTTTGCCGCCAAGGAGATCCTGAAAAACCGTTGGGCCGATAAGGACCATATTGGAATGTGGGGATGGAGCTACGGTGGTTTCTTGACTGCTAAGACCCTGGAGACCGACAGCGGTGCCTTCACTTTCGGCATCAGCACTGCTCCCGTCTCTGACTTCAGACTTTACGACAGCATGTACACTGAGCGTTACATGAAGACCGTCGAGCTAAACGCCGACGGTTACAGCGAGACGGCCGTGCACAAGACTGATGGCTTTAAGAACCTGCAAGGCCATTATCTCATTCAACATGGAACCGGTGATGACAACGTCCACTTCCAGAACGCTGCTATCCTTTCCAACACCCTCATGAATGGCGGCGTTACCGCTGAAAAGATGACTACCCAGTGGTTCACCGACTCGGACCATGGCGTCAGGTACGATAACGATTCTACTTTCCAGTACAAGCAGCTTGCCAAAATGGTCTACGACCAGAAGCAACGAAAGCCCCAACGCCCACCAATGCACCAGTGGAGCAAGAGAGTTTTGGCGGCCTTGTTCGGTGAAAGGGCGGAAGAATGAATTGTCATATGAGATCGATGTCCTTTTGGTCCGACACTATCGGTACCGCTGTTTTAAGAAGTTTATCATGTATATATTCGGGAAGACGTAGATTTCTCTCCCCAGCGAAATTAATTTCACCTTCATAGACTGAACTTTCTCTTTGACTTTTGATTGGCTTTCAACCTAAAACCTTTTAGACTGTTGAGTCAACTTCAGGTACGTGTGCACAGACCATTTTTCACTTATGCGGCTTACTAATATTTTTGATTACATCATCCGGTTTCCATGGACTTCGCTGGCAGTCTCTCGAGTTGACATAAATCAGGCATTCTCAGCAGGTGGCGGACCATGTTATAATACACCTTAGAGCCACTTTGTGGCAGTTAGGCACGACTTCCTCTCCCCCCTTGTTTACTGAAACTCATTTCCTCGATCGGTATTCCTCTAGAATTTAGAGATATGGAGGGGCTTTCGTGGACTAGCAAGCTCGCCGTGACACCGCCCAGCAAGACCTTGAAGCTCACTGGAGACAAGATTACTTTGCCGCAAACTGCTCTCGAGCAGATTCTTGCTGCTGTTCGCAGTATTCCGTCTTCTACTCAGGGAAACCCTCTGTCTGTCGACTTCAACTCACACAGTTTCCTCGATAACAGTGACGCGCGACAGCGAGACCTTCCGCACCCCCTGACGTTTCGCCTCGTTAATCCTATAAACGGACGAGTAGTGCATTCTGGAATTAGGGAATTTTCTGCCGATGAAAATGAAGTCTCTTTAAGCCCGTTTCTGCGTGAAAGTCTTGGTATAGAAGACTCTAGCTTTGATATCGAGCCGGACTCCACCCAGACAGAGACGCAACCTACGATCACGGTTCATGTTGCCCAGCTTCCCAAGGGATCGTATGTACGATTGAGACCTCTAGAAGCCGGGTATGACGTGGAGGATTGGAAAGCTTTATTGGAGCGGCAATTGCGGGATAATTATACAACGCTTTCTGTGGGAGAGGTTTTGACTGTCACTGCCAGCAGAAGCGAGACTATGCAATTCCTCGTCGACAAGGTTCAGCCAGATGGAAAGGCTATATGCATTGTCGACACGGATTTAGAGGTGGATATAGAACCCATGGACGAGGATCAAGCGCGAGAGAGCTTGGAAAAGAGGCTTGCAAGACATACCCGAGCGCCTGAAAACGGTGAACAAAGTTCAATTGGTGGTAAAATCGTAGATGGACAGGTAATAAACGGCCAAGTGCTCTTAGGGGAATATGTGGACTATGAGCTTGAGACCTGGGTATGGTCAAAACCTTTTACTTTCAAAATGAACTTCGATGATGAAATGGCTGTTGATATATATGCATCTCCATATTCAGCCAGACAAAGAGCTCGACCTCGAAGTGATCAGCATTTATGGGGTAACTTCTCTAACAATTCCCCGAAAATAATCGAGATTAAACCTACGAACGTGGAATTGCATGATGCGGATTGTTTATATGTCTCGATCCATGCTCCCCTCCCGCAGCCAGGGAGCCAGGATGGTTCTACAGAACCAAGCCACGCAAAGCCGATTACGTTCCAGCTATGTGTAACCACCTCCAATGAATCAGAAAATACAGCGGAAGAGGATGGTTTGGATCAAAATGCTCATGGCTCTGATGAAATGCGATGTACGAATTGTTATCAATGGATTCCAAAAGCAACTATGGTCCTGCATGAGAACTTTTGTTTTCGGAACAATGTGGTGTGTCCAAAATGCAAGAAAGTTTTCCAGAAGCGATCACCTAATTGGGAAAGCCACTGGCATTGTCCTCAGGACGACGCAAACGGATCTGGAACCTCAAGTAAAGACAGACATGATGCCGTGTTCCATTCAACCTATACCTGTCAGGACTGCCAATATGTCTGCAGGAATCTTCCAGACTTAGCCCAACATCGGACTACAGTGTGCCCTGAGAAGCTTATACTCTGTCAATTCTGCCATCTTGTTGTTCCCCAAAAAGGCGAATCAGATCCAGACGTTCTAGACCCAGAAGTGGTTTTATCCAATCTTACACCACACGAGTTGGTTGATGGTGGAAGAACAACAGAGTGCCATTTATGCCACAAAATTGTCCGTCTTCGAGATATGAATACCCATTTACGCCATCATGAACTTGATCGAGTCTCGCGGCCTTCCCCGCAGATATGCCTTAACCTCAATTGCAGCCGGACAATTAACGGTCCAAACTATAAGCAAAGAGATTTGACGAATGATACCCTTGGGCTTTGCAAGGTCTGCTTCGGCCCTTTATACGTGGATGTTTATGACCCTGAAGGTAAAGCGCTCCGCCGCCGTATTGAGCGGAAATACCTCTCTCAGATGCTTACTGGATGTGGAAAGCCATGGTGCCGTAATAAATACTGCAAGACGGGCCGTACCGGTTTGAATGTTGATCCTGGGGCTTCGCTTGCTTCCAAAGAGATTATTACAATGATCAAGCCGTTAGTTGAAGAGGTTTCTATTGGACCGACGGTCGTCAATACCTCACCTCTGTATTTTTGTACGGACGAAGCTACTCAAAGAAGGAGAGAACTGGCTGAAGTTCTGGCAGTAGAAGTAGTTGCCGATATGGACTCCCATACAGAAAGTTATGAAATAGAATGGTGCATAGCAGCTATGGAGTCTACCAGCGGAGATCCCTTTAAGGCTAGAGAGTGGCTTCACAACTGGGCTCCAAAGAAAGGAGAGACATACACAGGTTCATCTTGACAGCAGCTCCGTACTGGATATGGATTCTTTATGTGAATGGTCACGAATAATTGCGACGCTTTACGAACACCAGTGTGCTTGGTCCGATAACCTGATGCAGAGAAGAATGAAAATACAGTACTGTAATGTTTCACGAAGTTACGAATACGTTTTTCCTAAGGATCAATTGAGTCGACTGCATTTTCAGAAAGTTCAAACGCGCTCGGAAGAATTAAGAAAGAGAAAAAATTTTATTAGAGAAATGAGCGAACATAAACTAATAGGGGTTAGATCCCAGACTATTAGGTCCACCATCACACTCTGCCGAACAAGAAACCGAATACCTTCTACCCCTTCGAGGTTGCAGGATAACATTAATTAAAAATTCCAGGGGGAAAGAAGCAGAAAAGGAAAGGAAGAAGAGGAAACAAAGAGGGGAAATCCCTTATGATATACCCAGCACCATGCACAAATTCATCGCGGGAGAAAGCAGAGGATATGGCGTTGGGGATCGATCCCAAAAGCGCCCGACGTCTCAGATCGATATTGGCTGCAACGAATCCATACACTGGGCTAAGGCTCGAGTATGGGCGTTTTGATTTAGAAGAAGTCGCCGAATCCGAATGCCTTGCGTCCGAATTCCTTCTCGCCGTGTACCTTGTTGTCAAAGGCCTTGTGCTCGTTCTCCTTGTTGCCAAAGGCCTTGTGCTCGTTCTCCTTGTTGCCAAAGGCCTTGTGCTCGTTCTCCTTGTTGCCGAATTCCTTGTGCTCGTTCTCCTTGTGCTTGTTCTCCTTGTGGTCATAGTCCTTGTGACCGTAGTCCTTCTTGCCATAGCCATAGTCCTTCTTGCCATAGTCCTTCTTACCATAGTCCTTGTGGTCATAGTCCTTGTGGTCATAGTCCTTGTGGTCATAGTCCTTGTGGTCATAGTCTTTGTGGTCATAGTCTTTGTGGTCATAGTCCTTGTGGTCATAGTCCTTGTGACCGTAGTCCTTCTTGCCATAGCCATAGTCCTTCTTGCCATAGCCATAGTCCTTCTTGCCATAGTCATAGTCCTTCTTGTCACCACGGCGCTGCTTGGGGTGGATTCTGCTGTGGGCAATCTTGTTGTGGTCGATGCTGAAGTCATCGATGTCAACGAAGGTGATTGGGTTGGAAACACCAGCAGAGCAAGACTGGCCGGAGCGGTCCTATACCAAAAGCTCGATGGTTAATTTTGATACCAGCTCATGGGGTTCCTGTGGACCAGGGTACTCACATCTCCGTCGTTGTTGCAGCAGACAACAACGCTGTCACAGTTGACAGAGCTTCCGGTCAACTTGGAGCAGGTGCTTCCCTTGGTCTTGTCGGGAGAGCAGCAGTAAGGAGCGCCGGATCCACACTTGACCTGTTGATACCAGTTGGGTTAATACCAGACCAGAGGCTAAGAGATCAAGGAGATATCAGGTGCAGGGAGGACATAGAATGCCTGTGCCTCAGGGGTACATACATTTTGGATCTCGAGCTGACCACCGTGTGGGCGGTGAGGCTTGTTGCGGGCGGCGGAGGCACCGGCGGCCAAGATGGCGATGGCAAGGGCTTTGGTGAGCTGCATGTTGATTGAAGTGGAGTGAAGTACGGAGTACTGGACTTTGTTGTCTTGAGGAGTGGAAGGCTTTGGTTGCGATGCTTGCTTGTTGTGTGAGAGTGATGATGATAAAAAAGGAGACTCTTCACCGGATGTTCAGGGGCCTTTTATATTACATTCTGGGGCTATTTTTCTTGATTGTCCTGGACAATAATTCTTCTACGCTGTGAGAGGATGATTATTCCTCCTTCCAAGGATGGATCAGTATCTCCTGGAGGCCATACAACCTGTACGGTCTTCCATCTTACCATCTCAACACAGCTCGGATATTCCAATGGCTACACCCACTCCCAACAATTGCATTCATTTGCCCCTGGAGTGCATCTAGGTTACGAGCTGAGTCCATGTATGACCATGGCGACCCAGGAATAGCATCTTTCGAGCCATGGAACTATCTCCATCTGGCACTGCTCACTCCTGGTTGTTGATCTCCAAATGCCATCGTCGTGTTGCACCCGACGCGGACCGGTAGCACCAAGCCAAGTTAGCCCGGGATGAACCTTTCGGAGCAAAGTCAGAGATACATCTCCACCACCCGGCCCGCAAATTGAGATTCGGTCGAGTTGCTGCGGTGGTAGCAAAGATTACATAACTCTGATTGAGAATGGAGGGTTCTGGATCTGATAGGCGCTGCAGCGTCGGTTTAGACAGGAATTGATTGACCAGTATTCCAACATCGCCGGGGTGGGACGTGCGTTTCACGACGATCATCTTTTTTGGCAAAGGTCGAGGTCTCGTCCACCGAATGTGATACCGATGTCTTGCATGCGAGGGATATCGCTGGCTGCCATGGACTCGAACGCTTCATCTCTTCAATTGGACCGAGCTATTGCTAGTTTCCGCTTTCCCCCATGGAGTAGCTGGGACGCCTATTATCCGCCCCAGCAGCCTGCAGGAACGTGGCAGCTAGCTAGCTAATTAGAGCTAGGGGTTGTGTAACCCGCGGTTAGGATGGCTGGTATGATAATATCCCCCTATCCACCTATCTGTCTGTATCTAGAAATACATGGGCTCCGCACAAAAGAGGCTTTTTCTAAATAATCCCAGGATCAAGTTTTGGGCCATTTTGATAACATGGAGTCGCCTTCAAATCCCGGGAGGGGATGAATTGGTGCCATCTCCTAACGATGGATATTCGGGTCACCACATTAATTCTGTGTTGCTTCAAGCTCCCCCTTCATGGCCAGGCGAGCGGGGAGGAAACTGACCTGTTACTTGGTTCCGGAGAGACAATGGTCGTTTTGAAAATTATACAGCCAACCGATCGTGGCCACGATGGCGGAATCCCACAACTTCTACAGGACTAGGAGATATCCAGCAGCTTGACTCTTGTGCCACTGTCCACGCCTCAGTCTTACACAAAACCATTTGGAGCGGGGGATAAGAGGGGAAGGAAGTCTCGACCTAGCTGGGATTTTGCTCTCTCCTATCTGTTGTCCTCCAGTGCACAGTATACCACTTTCCCAGTCGGCCTCCTTTTTCTATAGATAAAGGACAGGTTCCCGCATCAGAGCAATAGTGGGCTAGAAGGCAACTGGCAACTCGCACCAACTTCACCATCCTCCCAGCCTATCCCCTTCACTTCGAAAGATCATAGTCAATTGTTCTATCTTCCTTTCAAAATGAAGTTCTCCTACGCTGCTTATCTCATTTCCCTCTACTTGTACCTCTCCTCCGTGACAGCCTCCCCCGTTGGTCCTGGCAGCACAACCCTGAATCCTGTCGCCGGACCTGAAGCTGGAGCTCTCAGTGATACCGCTTCTAAAAACAAGTTGCCATCGAACAAGGAGCCCGTCGTGTCCGGCACTGAGAAGCAGCCATTGAGTGCAGTTACTCCAGCTCGGTCTGTCGCTCGTCCTCATGAGAATAAGAAGACTCCTCATAGGAAAACCCACCATGTCCAGAAAGCTCGTCCCGAGCAGGGGAATCTATGTCAGACCGGTGAATCTTACTGCTGTAATGAGGAGGACGGGAGTAAGTTATCCATTCGTCAAATTCCAATCTCTTATCACTCTGCTAATTACCGTGTTTCTTTCCACCTATAGAAAACGTCTGTAACAAGTCTGGAGTAAGCTGTGACCAGACAGTTGTCTGCTGCAACAACTACGATGGCGTAGGTTATCGTCTCCCTTTATTTTTAGATACCCGGTTACTAATAGTTATCTTGAATATAGAACCAATTCTGCATGGGAGATATCAACTTCAACATGCCGATTACCTTTAACTTTGACTTGAACTTTGATTACTAGTTAAAAATACCTTTGTATGAAATTGCATGTCACCCTTCTTGAACGCTTTTTTGAACACGATTTCCTTGAATATCCTATGCCGTCTTTTTAATCCCTTAATAATGTTTCAGCCAGATATTGGGACTTGACCCTAGAAAAATGATTTCTGCTCCAGGGCATCGCAGACGACATGGATTCCCACTCCCTAATGACAATACTAGAGGGATATAGCAGCTCTTCACTTCCTAGCTCAAAGTAATCAAATCATTCAATCGCAATATGCCTCTCCATAATAATAGCAAGTATGCGGCTCGGTTAAGTGCCAAATTTTCATCCCCCAAGTAAGGAGTTAACGAGGTAGTCGTACCGAGATTTTCAAATGTAAATGCTTTATATATATTTAGATAGTCACAGGATATCTCATGGTGTTTTTAAGTGCCATCCCAAGTACACATAGCCGGCCTCATCCATTATCTTCAGACCTCCCCTGAAACGATGCATGTCTATGCTGAATGGTTCCAAAGCTGATGCTCACAGCCTTTACCCCCTAGGAAAGACGAGTAATAAAAAAAGGTCATACCATGTCATATATTTTGTGGAACCCTTCCTGTTTCCCCCTCTGCATTTAACCTCCCGTGGCTTTAGCGACTAGAGTGCCGCCGCCTCTAGATGAGAAGATACCCATGATCCCGAAAACGACATAGAACAATGCTAGAGGGTATGCGACCAGGAATCTCATACCGCGCATTCGAGCTACGGCACAAAACATGCCTGAACTGCTGTATGTGCACCACCCGACAGCGGCAGTGGTAAGCAAGTAGCCGAATACAGTGTCCATGGGTATCAAGATTCCAACAAGACTAGTTAGGACAAGAGGTAGAAAACAGTATCCCAGCACGCTGGCGGATCGAGGAAAAGTAAGAGTCGATGAAAAATGTCCCCCTTGGGCCCCATGTCCGTGACCGGCATCTGAAGGATTCATGTTCATGTTCATGCCCGTGGGGTCGTGGGATACTCCGTTGGTTGACGGGTCAAGGGTAGGTGACATCAAGCTGAGGATGAGATGGATAATTACTGATCCGAAGACGGCCACGCCATAAATGTAGCCGTAAAATACCTTGCCGGACAACAGGAGGAACGTTCCGTACAACAGGATATAAAGAAGGGCGCCATATAAATCGTTATCATCCATCAGATGCTGGTCGATTCGCGCGAACGGATTTAGCACCGAGAGTGTCTATACAGCATTGAATGTCAGTAAATTACAAATACAAACACACATGCTAAATTGAAGCGAATGAATCGGAAGAGTGAACCGACCTTTGTCCGTATATGTTCAAAATTAACCCCTAGCTCTTCAAGCAACGGGGGTTCATCCTCATAGCCTTCCGTCCCAAAAGCAGCCAGCCATCCCATCCGTAGCCCTCCCTGCTCTCCCATTCGACCGCTGACTGCATCAGCACCTCCACCAAACCCAGCTGATCCGCCAAAGGACGCTCCTCCGCTGCCTAATGGGGGATAGGTAGATGATGACGAGCTGCCCCCATAGCCGCCGTAGGAGACCTGTGCGGGTGTTGTATGTCCTGAGACTGAGGAATATGAAGAAGGATAGAACTGGAGGTTTTGCGCCGAGGGCTGCTGCTGTGGAGGGACACCGTATGGTTGGTGCTGCTGCTGGTAAAACTGGGCCATGGTGGCCTTTGCAGAGAGGTTGCCACAAATCCAGGGGAGTGCGGGCGGTGTCAAGGGAGAAGAAGTCGAAGAAGATAACTATCCGTCGCGCAGAGTATAGTAGGATTGAGCTGCCTGATAGGTTAATAGGATCGAGGAGTTATGTGTTGACCAAATTGTGGAATGGTCGTCGTCGTCCAAGTCCCAGGGCGTTGATCTGGTTATTTATTTGGTTTTGGTGGAGGATGGAAAGTTGGGTGGTTCGCGCCAATCAGTGGTGGATACTTTTTAAACTAGGTAGGCATCAAAGTTACAGAGTGCCGATGCTCGTTGCTGAAGAATTGAGAATGGATTTCTATCGCCCTCTTTTTGTTAATACGGGAAAATATATAATGTTGATACAGGTAGTCTACAAGAAGCTAATTCCGATTCCAAGCTGAAGGCCCTTTCTGCCTTCTTCTCCTTTTCTGACAACAAGCGGCAGCGAGAAGTTCAGTTCAAATCTGGCGGCCGGATGAGCATAAACAAGTCCGACTCCAGCGGCGACACTTGGCAGGCCGTTCTGAAGCTCGGCAAGGGTGTGGCAGATGCTCTCTCTAACCTCAGCGTGAGTGGCGGGAGCTGCACCGGTGGGTGTTTGCAGGGCAAGGAGACGGCCGCCGTTGACGAAGGCCTGGAGCCGGAAGGGCTTGTCAGCACCGACACGGGGGAGAGGGAAGAAGAGGTTGGCGCTTCCGGCGGCGTATACGTCGCCGCCTAGTGCATCTGGGCCACCACGAGGTCCTAGGCCACACTGCCTAAAGCCACGGACATCTGTCGGCCCTCCAAGCTGGAAGCGGTCGCTGATCCTCGAGGGTTGGGGTTTCGGGTCAGAGTCAAGGCCCAATGGGTACAGCAGGCCGGCGCGGAAGCTTGATGTGAAACTTATTCCGCAGTCCTTCTTAATGAAAGGAATGGGTACCGGCATCGCTGTCTGGGCTTCTACTTCTGATTTCCAGAAAGACACATCTCCCTTCAAGGGACCCCATCCGGCAAGTTCGTTCAGAGTCTTTGCGTAAAATCCTCTAGTGGGTAGAATTGGATTGTCCCGACGATCATTAACCCACATATGTGAGATACTGGTCTTCACGCTATCTCCGGCGTTTTCGCGAATAGCCGAAGACGCATCAGGAGCCAAACCGGTAACTTGGCGCCAGAAGCCATTGAGAGCCAACTCGTGTCGATGGCCGTGACCATTTAGCCACCGGAGCTTGGTCCAGGCCCCCTTTAACACCTCTTCATGGCTTGACCAGGGTTTCTTTGTGTCACTTGCGACAGCACCGGTCTCCCATCGGTAGTTAGGATCACTAAGAATTGGGGTTTCGAAAACAGCTTGGTAAGCCGACCTGGTCCGTGTTCCGAGGGAGGCATTGAAATTCAAGGTTTCTGCACCACCGAAAATATTTCGCCATAGTAGGTTTCCATATGCCGAACCCTCTGCATTTCCAAGGTCGGTTCCGGTTTTCAGAAGAAGTCTAGATTTCTCTTTGGTAGCAAGGTATATGCTGAGGTCCGTAGCGGTGGTGCTTGGATCGACTTGTGAAGGCTTATCAATATAAACACCAATTGGATGCTCGAATATGTCTGTCGGCAGAGGTTAGTGAGCATTCCAAGGGATAGCATCTTATGAGACCCAAATATATCAAGGTTTAAGCAACCTTAAAGGACCTACCGAATTGACTTAGTCTGCTGGTGCATTTTGATACCTCCTCCAGAGTCTCGGCCAAAGTGAGTGTGCGATCTTTGTTTTCATTTAGCAAAGGCCGGAGGGCCTTCTCTAGGAAACCTCGTCTCGTACGGGGCGCATTGAGGACTTGGACGGAGGAGATCGTGCATGGTAAGGTGGAATTCTGGTCAATCTGGATACCACACAAATCAGTACATGCCAAAACAACAGAGGGCAGGCAGGACCGACCAATTCAGCAAGGCGAGTCTGGGCTTTCTGGTAGATATTGCTTATCCGCTCATTGACGGCCTGCTTGCGCTCCTCCAGCACCTTTGGGTCTATCTTCTGGCTCTGAAGGCGGTCGAAGATCTAAGTAGACAAGAAACAAACATGTTAGCCAGATGCTCCAACCCGGCCCTTTCACCGGACAGACCTACCTCTTCTTCGCCGTGAGGTGAAGAAACCATTGCGGCTTCTGCAACAGCTGTCGACTGCGTCTGTCTAAGGCCGTCTTCCGCCTCCTCTTCTCTTCTTCTTCTCTTTCTTCTTCTTCTTCTTCGGCTTCGGCTTCTTCCTTTGCTTGTTTGAACTTCGCGACTTTCAACTTTCGCAAAAAGTAAGCAATATCACGTGAGTATGACGAAAGGTAAAGTCACGTGTCGCCACCTGCATAGAAAGACCAAAGAAAAGCGTCGAAACATCAAAACATCGAAAGATCTTCATCTCCGGCATCATCAGCATCATCATCAGCATCAACTGCGTTTACATAACGTTGCCGTCCTTGGGAGAGTGTTTGACAGGAGTTTCCGCTGTTTGCAGTGCAGGCGAGGGATACAGGCTTCTCTGGTTTATCAGTCTCAGGCTGTTCTCGTTTCTGTGCTTCCAAGATAACCCCTTACTCTTACTGTGATTGCCGCGAAAAGACAGCTAGACCAGCCAGGGCTATTGCGCATCATGGCCACCAAAGCCGCCACCAAGCGAGTAGGTATACGATATATCAGAACCGACCCATCTATGGCCATGCTGACGGAGAATCCCAAATCCTAGCTCACCCGCGAGTACCAAAACATCCAAAAGAACCCGCCGCCATACATCGTTGCACATCCGTCAGAGTCCAATATACTAGAGTACGCTCACACTCTCTTATCTTTCCCCTTCGCAAACCACCCCGGCCCAATCCTCGACAAATTGAGCTCACCGGCTAACTTGATGAAACGTATAGATGGCACTATATACTTACAGGAGCACCCCAGACACCATATGAAAACGGCCAGTACTGGGGTACATTGATATTCCCGCCTGAATATCCGTTCGCGCCTCCGGCGATCAGAATGCACACTCCGAGCGGACGATTCATGCCATCCACACGGTTGTGTCTGAGTATAAGCGATTTCCATCCAAAGTCCTTTAATCCGGCGTGGGAGGTGTCGACAATTCTGATCGGCCTGCTATCCTTTATGAACAGCGAGGAGATGACGACGGGTAGCGTGAGTGCCTCCGATGCCGAACGCAAGTTATTTGCTGCGAGGTCGAGATGGTGGAACTCGACTGGTGGCGGCTCTTACACAAAAGCCGTTCCTGGCGTCACGTCAACGATCAAGGGGATTGCGAACATCAAAGCCGGAGATGGCGGAAAGAAGTTTCGAGCCGAGTGGCCCGAGCTGGACCAGGAGAATTGGAAATGGATAAGGGACAGCCGGGTTGATCCAGCGACGGGGCAAATATTACCCGACCCTAATGAAGCCTTCCTAGCCGAGAGCAGCAATAGCAGCAACGGGAGCAGTAACAATGCCTGTTCACCTGAGACGAATGCTCTTCGACGGAGGCCTGGCGGTGGGAGTGCCACAGGGTTAGGGGCTGTTGTGGAAGGTGGACAGAGGGCGCGAGATGTCGGGGAGAGCTGGTTTCGAAGAAATAAAGTATGGATCTGCATCGGTCTAGTACTAGGGTACGCACTCTTATCTCGACTATTCGACGACATCCGGGCCTGGTAGATCTCAACGCCCTGCAGAAATCTCTCCTCTGTCTCGGCTATCGACAGGCCTCTCTCCCTCCCTCCAGCAGCCCGTTGGCGCTATTCATAGGACTGGGGGCCGGCTGGCTACATGAGCAGGCTACGCCTGCATACGAATGCACTAAACTAATAAAAATACGGACCGGAAGAGACATGAAACATACCCTGAAGGCTGATAAACTTCCACTCTTGGCAGCCAGCACACCTTTTGATATTCTTCATCGCTCCATGGGTACTTACTCCGTGCTGTGACCGAGTTAGAGCTCCCCGTATTCCCGTTGAGGCGATTCTTATCCTCGATAGTGCGTCCCAGACTCGTCGCTGATAGATAGATAGCCTGGGCAACCGTGGCGTGTTGGTCAAACGGCTTGAGGCCAGGGGCCCCATCCCAGCTGCGCATCATGTCAATCCGTCCTACTGCGGAGTGTATAGCAGCCGTCCATTAGATTAACCCAGCCAGGCCAGAGCCGCGTTTGCTGGAGGGTCCCTGTCCTTCTTGACTAACAAGCTGTCGGCGTTACTTGTCGATTGTAGCTGCAAGACATCGTTCTTGTCCCCATGTATGTAACTGCTAGCGCTAGCTAATCCATCCCCAATATAGCCATCACCCGCCTTCACTCTGCCAGCACCCGTATCACTTTCTATACCAGTCAATCAATCAATCAATTTATCAGTCAGTCAGTCAGTCAATGCATCTATCCGTCCGTCAGTCAGTCAGTAAATAAATGCCTAGGCACAGCGACAAACGCTGCCAGTGGGTCTCACACCAAGCAGACGGGCCGGGCAAAGGCTAAAAATAAAAACGACGACGCCGACAAACGAAACTTATGCGAACCAGGGGAGTATTTATTAACACTTATATTTCATTATTACTATTACTATAACCTACTTAACTGGCTTACTAGTTTCCTGCTGCGTAAGTACTCCCCTGAGGAGCAAACGGGCATCTCAGCACCTACGCCGCCAGCTTTTCTCTCAAATAGTTAAATAACAGCCTAGGACTGCTCTTTAGCTACTCCGTATACGGGGGAACCAAAAAAAGCCTTCTCCTCTGCGCCAGTCGCAACCTCGCCTTTTGGCCCCCTTTCGCTCGTTTTTTCCTTTTCTTTTCTTTTCGATGAAGGCCCGATAGGACGCTTGACGGCCTGCTCGTACACTAAGTACATATATTTTGTGATCTAGCGCAGTCGTATAGTCGATCACTCATGTCGACCATCTAACCAAATCCCTACCAGCACCGCCATCGAGGCCCAAAGAGAGCGAAGACAAAGAAAGACAAGAAAGAAAGAAAGAAGCCCGCTCAAAGCAAAGCAAATCAAATCAAAGGAGCTTTCGCAGACGCCGTCTGAAGCGCTGTTGCAAGATGGCTCCGAAGAGTCCCATCATCGTTCCCACTGGCTTTACTGCGTCGCCGAACTCCTCCTCGTCCGGTGGTACGCCTCCCGCGACTCACCCAAGACCATCGCCAGGTACGTTGATCGGTTGACCTTGCCCTGTCCAGACCCCTTTGACCGTACTGTCTCTCCCTGTCTCTCTCTGGCTTGTCCTGGGGTCTCGGCCCCAGGTTCAATATGTTCATTCGGGACGCCTTCATCATCCTTCATCGTAGCCAGACTCCCCATTTTCCTTTTGATGGAGAAGGAGAAATACGAGTTCGGGGTGTCTTTTTTTAGCATACCAATCTCCTTGCTAACTATGGCTTTCCAGAAAAATCACTGTCTCATGAACGCCCGTCGTTCACTTTTATCGGTCAAGATGATGAGGCGACCTTGAAGGGGAGAAAGGGTTCTGATACCCGAAAGATGATACGGTCTCACGTAATGCGAGATGTCCGTCGTCGCGAGAGAATTGCCGGTCTCAAACGAGTCTCAAAGAAGGCGTCCAAGAAGAACGACGCAGCCGCCTCTTCTTCTTCTTCTTCTTCTTCTTCAACGGCTCTTCAGCGGCGGACGGACGACCGGGGGGTGGCTGCCACAGGCCCATTCGCCGGTACAAAACCGCCGCCTTCATGGATCACGCTCAGGGGTGGTGTGAGCGACAAAGGGTCGAATATCTATATATTCCATAACCCTCTGACGACACCCATATACCGAAGTATAGAGCCGATGAATACTCTAAAGGGCTGCGAGGGACTGGGTCATGTAGTCAGCAACCTGCTCAGCTATAGTAAGTGGCATAGTTCCATCATTGAGATATAGATGTACCGTGAACGCGGCGAAGAACGACATGCTTACCACCCGACCATAGTCTCCCAATCCCTCATACCCATGACTTTTCCCATTGAAGCCAGAAAAGACAAGGAGACAGAGAAACGATTGGCCATCATGATGGTTGCGGCTGTCTCGTCGTCTGCTTCATTTTTCGCCCAGATGGCCCTCAGCGCTGCTCACAGAGCGATCTTTGAACAAAATCATTCAATAGCGCTGGCAGGCTCTGATAAAGAAGAAGTTGTCCTGGCAGATCCTACATACTACGTTATGAAAGCAAAGTGTATAGCAGAGATGAACCGGAAACTACGAGACCCAGATCCTATGAAGGCGGTCGACGACACTGCAATAGATATAGTGACGGGTCTTATATCTGCAACGGTACGGCTAAAATCTTCCCGTTTCTTAATCTGCGACGCTAACATATTGCTGTTGAATAGTTAACACTAGCTTTATTTGAAGAAGCCAGAGTTCACTGGCAGGGTGTGAAGAAGATAGTTGACTACCGAGGTGGGATATTAAACATGGCATTGCAAGGCTCTCGTGGCATAGGAGCCATTTTAACGTACGTATATCTGTCCAATGCAGTTTACAACAGCAAGCTCTAAGCTAAATAACCTCTTAGGTGCGATCTTAAAGCCGCATACACCCTATTAAGCCGACCGATATTTCCATTAGCCTGGGAGCCCCAAGCCCTTCCGTCTGAAGTAAAGGACAAAATCGAGCCTCCGCCAACGTCACAGCTACGTCACCTGGCCAAAAGATTATGCGCCAATAAACACCTTAGCCCCAAACTCGTCTCCCTAATGCAAGAAATCCGCCACGTCTTTTTCTTTGAGATTTTCAACCGCACCGACGCCGCGGGACTTACCACCATGGAACACGAAATGTTCCTCATGAAGGCCCACGAGATGGAATACGAGCTTCTAGACTATCCTTACCGCGAGCCGGAGGCCCAGGGTGTCGCAGACAAGGATATTCTCAAGGATAATCCGATAGAGTACGTTGCTCGACTCACTGCGTTATCCTACTTCAACTCCTGCTTTGTCGTCTCCCCACCCGAGTCTGGAACCGGAAGAGCGATGACAAAGAACCTGAAAGATGCTCTTGCAAGATGCATTGCGATACCACTATCCGAACAACCATATGAAGATCGCTCCTTGCTGGCCTGGGTGGCTTTCATCAGCATTTCTAGCGCATACGACCCGACACTACGGATATGGCTTGTGGAAGTCCTGCATGAAATTACCGCTCTGCAGGGTTGGCGGTCTTGGGACGAGGTTGAATCTATAATGCATGGATATTTATATGCTGGACAGCTACATGGCCATATCTGGAGGAAGATATGGTTTGAAGCCCAGGCTTTCAACTCCATCCATGAGATTAATGAATAATGCCTTGCAGCCTTGACTGCTGTATTTTTGTTTGGATTTTTTCCCCTTTTTATTCGGAACTTCTACACCGCCCGGCGTTCAAGTATATACCATCTAGAGCTTTGTTTTATCTTGATCGAGCTGTTGTGGGCTTTCCTTTCATTATCTCGGAGTCATTTTCGGAGTCATTTACCCTTTTTTTGCGGAGAGAAGTTATAGATGAAATGAAGAGAATAGCTTTATTCTAATTGGCCAAATATTTAAAGATCATAGTCAGTCACGTGTAATGACCTTATCAAACTTTTTTTTTTATTTGCGACAAGGAAAAAGATGTAAAAGCTGTTCACTGTCCATCTATTATTTTCATTAAGAGGTTATCCACCGTGGAATTTCTTTGATTATTGCGAATTGAAAATCAATTCAGGAAATAACAATGGGCTGGTTTTGGGCGTCGACAACGCCAGCTGTAAAGCAGCCTGAAATTCCCACACCATCACCCAGTGATGCCGCACCTGTAAGCAACACATAACATCTCCTTCTATCTGCTATTGAAAGAGAAACATCATCTAACATACCTATTCTAGTCCCGATGCCCAGTACAGCATGGCCAATCCATGAACATTAATGCCACAGCTACGTCAGAAGGCTCATGCCCAGTTCGAGCCAAAGATTCACCATTCTACGTTCCTCCTTCGAACTCCGCAAGACTGGAAGATGCAACACCTTCAGCCCCTGAGCCTGAGCAAAAATCCATTCTCTCAAAGTTGAATCCATTAAACTACATGTTTGCCGATATATCTCAAACCCGAGCACCAAATCAAACAGTCGATTTGTCCGTGGAACGAGAACCATCGTCAATTCCACGCGGTGACAACTCCGGCGCAAAATGGGAATACCCTTCTCCTCAACAGATGTACAACGCGATGCTCCGGAAGGGATACACAGATACACCACAGGATGCAGTCGAGTCCATGGTGTCGGTGCATAACTTCCTTAATGAAGGTGCATGGCAGGAGATTGTTGATTGGGAACGTACATTTTCCCAAGGCCTAGCCCAAGGCTGGCAAAAATGTAGGCGTGGGTCAGAAAATCTAGCCATGGACCTGGAGCGGGAAAGGATGAGGGCTGAGGCTAGCGGTGAAATCGAGGATTTGCCGCGTTTGGCTAGATTCATGGGTCGACCGCAGGAACTAACCCCAAAAGCTCAGTTTTTTCAACTGATGGGTAGAGTGTACCCTTCTAAGTTCGGGTGAGTTATATCATGCAATGCCCTTTTTTGTGAATATCCTGTTAATGTGTTATTCTAGCACTGCTCCTCCGTTCGACAGACATGACTGGTATGTTCTGCGCAAAACTCCACACGGCGATAAGGAAATTCGATACGTGATTGACTATTATTCTGGGCCGCCTGAGCCTACGGGAGAGCCGGTATTTTTCCTTGACATTCGCCCGGCTGTAGATACCCCAACAGCAGCGGCTGAACGGCTCTTGAAATGGGGAGGGGATGTCTGGTGGCGTGCCAGCGGTGGAGCTGCCAGAGAAAATCAATAGGTGTAAGATATAATATGTGGGCGAATGATGAATACTTCTATGTATTCTGTGTAAACTGGTTTAGATGTCTCGATATCAGCATGGGACTGGGATGGTGTTCGGATTGGTTGTTTAATGCATCGACGGCCTGTTTATTTTGGATATAGCTGCTAATAGCCTCGGGGTTTTCTCTTTGCTCATGTATCTCAACTCTTGTGGATTACTATTTTTTTTTTCTTTATCCCAGCGCTTGTTTGTATATTTAGTTTTACCATATCCTGGTTAGATATACAGTGATATGGTATATTGTATTATTATTCAATAGATGTCAAATAATTCTAGCCCCCGAGACGTAGAAATACCGGCCTATATAAGGTGGTAGAATATGTGTAGAACAACCCAAATATCCATGGATTCCCGAAAGGAAACGTGGCCCGGGGTCTGTGTTCGAGAAGAGCTTAGTATCATGCCAAGTGATAGCCACTATCAGCATGTTATCATTCTCCCTCTTACGATCAAATCCTTCACTCCTCGCTGAACAGCCTCAAATCTCACGACAGCACAGGATTCACTCTCTAGATGGTTGAATAATGCAGCAAGCGTCACAAACTCCTTGCCACACTTACTTCGGCGGTTGGGGCACCGATAGACATTCTGTTTGTGCACAGGGGAGTTCAGGTGGTTATTCAGACCACTGCGGTATTTGAAACAAGAATTGCAAATATAGCATTCCCAAGACCGGCCATTGTAGGCTCGGTCAGTGGCCGAGTAGTGGGAGTTGTCTTCCTCATCATCATCCCATGTGATCTGTTTCGTGGTAAAGCGTCCATGCGGATCGCATTCACGAACCTTTCGGAGAATGGTCTCCCGGTTCATGTTCGGTGCTTTTGGACAAGAAGCCCGTTCAAGATGATGGGCCAGGCCGCTCGCGGTGGTGTAGCCGGTTTTGCAAAATGGACATTTAACACCATTGCCTATATGGACCTTCGATTTAAGGTGCTGCGAACACGGGGATCGATATCAGCCTTTGGCCTCCTTCTTGGTGATTTGCACATCTAATACGGAGTACATGAAACCGAAGAAATAAGTCTTACCATGTTCAAGTTGTTCTGGTTTTGGAATGCCTTCTCACAAGCCTTACAATAGTATTTGTAGTGCTCAGCCTTCTTCATGTGCCTCTGGACGGCGGTCTCCGATATATATCGGGCTGTACATGTCTCACACTCATAAGGATAGTACTCCTCTTCCCAGTGGCCGAGGGCATCCATATGTTGGTTTGCCGCGCGTTGAGTACAAAATTCCTTGTCGCAGACCTCGCAATCATATGTTTGCCAGTGGTCCGTATCGTTCATATGTTGGTTACATGCACGCTGGGTAGCGAATTGACGTGTGCAAGTATCGCATTCATAGCAACCACTATGGCGGTCATAATAGGGCATCTTCAGAGGGAGTTTGGAAGTAGGCAATCTACTTCGTACAAAGGAGCTGGATATCTGATTGTTGTTGTCGCTGGGAAAGGGGACAAGTAAAGGCAGAGCTTCTAGTGAAGATGTATAACGGGTCTTCTAGAGAACTTGTCATCTACTTAAACCGTTTCCAGCCTAGAATTGAGAGCCTCCCCTAGGTCCACATAACAGCATCAAAATGAATGGATGGATTTAAGGGGTATTGCCTACCTAGTGTTGAAGATGAAGGTTTGAATCGACCTGCCGAGGCGCACGTGACTAAGTTAGTCATCAGCATCGGCAAGCTTATAACACCATATCGCTGTTAGCATGGAGTCAACGGTTTCATATACCATTAACCGAGATTGACACGGCAGAGACCTAACCGAGATGAGATTCAGCAATGTATGGGAATCTCAGCTATAAGAAGATCCAAATCTCATGTATTTAGCAAGTCTGTAGATTGAAATACATACGTCTGCACAACGCAATCTCCATTGTAAATTGAGATAGTTCGATATAACGTTCGCCAAGTCCAGCTTACTCAGCAACCTCCGCTACGATCCAACAAGAGTTCCTTACACCTAGTGTGGTTTCTGACTAAATTGGCCTTGGCAAACGTTATATCGAACTAGTTATCGATCTACAATGGAGATTGCAACTTCGGACGTACCTAGGTATGTACGTATTTCAATCTACCGCATTGGTGAATACATGGGGTTTGTATCTTCTTATAGCTGCGGTCCTATACATTGCCGAATCTCGTCTCCGTGAAATCTCTGCTCGTTGCCACTATCAATCACTGATAGACGAACTTATCTTCACGTCTGACAAAGTGCTGATTTTAGCGCCATACAGTAGCATGAATGAGTAAGCAAGTACAGCTCTTTTATTGGATAGTAATAGCAAACCATAGTTATGTAATTAACACGTTCTTATGATTTTTAAGGTGTTTAAAAGGCCCAAAACAGCCTGATTAAACAAGACACGGGCTATAAAGGATGGAATATATGTAAAGAGAGGATGTTAGAATTTACTACATGTCTCGCCTAATTAGGCTTATTTTCCATTACTGATATTACAAGTATTGACTTATTACCCAATATACGCCTTTCAGGCTACCAGAGGGTGCCGTTTGGCGTCACGCTAGTACTAAATAAATTACGCGCTAAAATCCAGCAGTTAGTCAAGACCGGCTGACTCAGCAACTTCCGATCAAAAAGTTCCTAACATCTAGTCGAAGTTTGTGATGTTTTGGATAACGAATCAAGGGCGTGCGGAGGACACAACAAGTTAGTTATGTTTCAGCATATCATCATGTAGTGAGTTAGAGTGTGTAGTACATCGCGAGTACTCCATGCTCTGGTATCTTGTCAAGTCAGCTGGGGAGTTAACTTGGCAGTGGTGGCTATCAAGGCCATGATGCATCACATGTACTACTTTGGCTGCACGCGAGCATCCAGGATGCGGCCATGTCGCGGCAACGGATAGGCGCAGGCGGCAGACATGCATAAAAAGCGACCTCTGCTGTGACCTCAGACTCGTTCCGCTTCTTCGTTTGCTCATCACATAGGGCGTGCGCTTTCCTTCTTGCAACACATCAACCGAGCCCCAGGCTGGCTCTTGCTTCGTCTTTCTTGGCCACTGGGCTACGGGGATTAGATATACCCTTTTGCTCTTCCTGCGATAAAAGAAAACACGTACGAAGCACCTAGTACCGTTATCCCTGTGCATGTTTTGAGCGTACACTCGTTTGTCAGTTCGTATTTCCTTTGCGTTTGTCGAGACAGAGTTATATTGTATTGTGGCAATATACATAGCAAACACTCGTTACCCTTGGTTAATGTACAACACCTCCTTCGCTTGGTTTCTTATCCTTCTTTGTCTAGAGAGAATGACAGAGCAGATCACCAAGCCCCTGAGACCGGCCCGTTGTCCCGTTCGCTTGATCCCGTCCCAGGTTGACAAAGAGTCTATCACCAGCCAGCCAAAGGCTCGAGACAGTCCCCTGAAGCGACTGAGGAGGGATCTGCGGACCTGTCTTCAGCTGCTCCCGAAGCTTCCAAACATCTTCCGGCCCTTGTATGCTCCCAGGCCTACTGACGAACTGTACCTCGGGAAACGGAGCATACTAAATGTGGTTGGCTTGGTGCTCGTTTCTGTCCTCGAAGCACTTCTCCTGCTTATCTCTTGCCTGTCAATACTGCTGTTGCCAGGAGCCATTAGCTGTTGCTTATGTGTGTTAAATCTCCGAATAGTGGGTTGGGTCTGCGCCCCCTTCCATGGGCCAGCCATTTTCCACGCCGAGTTGGGTCCAAATAACGCTCGGAATCCTACTACTAAAGAGGAGCGTTGGATATTTATCAATGGGGTCGTAGTAACGTAAGGCTCACTTCCCGCTCCACCCGTTCTTGTTGGTTGTTGCCCCCACTTAATAACAAACTTCGGCTGTTGAATATTAGTTCTTATGGGCTGGAACAAAATTGCAGGCAGCTCGCCCAGATATTTCAGCGGCCTATCACGGGTATCCAGAACCGCACTTATGGCCTTTTTGGGGACTTGCTTGAGTGCATCATCCAGCGGACGTTCTCGTATAATACTTACGACGCTCGAGTCGCATACGACTACCTCAAGAAAGTACTAGTCGACCCATGCACCCAGAGAGTTGTCCTAATATGCCATTCCCAGGGCGCCATCGTCGGTTCGTTGGCGTTGGACATGCTGTTCGCAGATCTGCCGGCGAAGCAGATGGCTAAACTTGAGATATATACCTTTGGATCAGCCGCAGAGCATATCAGCAATCCTTTGAACAATGCTGGTACCGGAGGGGTGATTAAGTACATTGAACACTATGTTAACAAGAATGACCCCATTCCTCAGTGGGGGGTTCTGCGTAGTATGAATGACGTCAAGGACAAGTACGCTGGGCGGGTATTCATCTGCGAGAATGGCCGTGGGCATCTGTTTAACCAGCACTATCTATCCCAGATGTTCCCTCTTGGAGGGGAAACGGCATCCAGCGAGACATGCTTCCTCAACCAGTCCGTTCAAGTCGACGAAGGAATCACCGAGGCTCGCCACCTACTTGTCTGCCAGGAGACTAACGGGTTGACTCCCAACGACGACAGCCCTTCGAGCCCAAGTGGAACCGCAGCCAGGGGAGCGATTGGCTTTTTAACGGGGATGCTAGTCAGGGAAGTGAGCAGGCTGAGCCAGTATATGGCAGGGAGGGAGCCAGATGTCGACCATCCACATGAGAAGCGAGACAGTAAAGGTTATCCAGTCAACTAGCAGTTCTAGTTCGAGTTCATCAGTGCCAGAGCCATTGAACCGGGACCTTCTTGTGGGATATGGTGGGTTATATCAGCAAGGGGGCCACTCTTAGAAACAACTGATCGTGTTCCCCTTCTTAGCTTGAGCCCTTTTTCCTTGTTTTTTGCTGGCTAGAATCCAAGTGCCACATGGTGATCCCCTTTTTATTTTCTTTTTAGTTTTTTTGTAGCACCATCTCTTTCGCCCTCTCCCAGCCTTGGATGAGCCCCATTTCCATCCCCTGTAGTCTTAGTATAATATCAGCCCCTTTCTTATATGCTCCATGGATAATCGTCCAATTTGCACTTGCCGTGTGTCTTGCAACCTTAAATAGACACACGGACTATCGTATCGCCGGAGATTTATCCGGAGCTTTGGCCAATCATGAAACTAATTCTCGGGAAGACCCACTTATTAGTCATCGCCCGTATTATCAAAAAGGGTTTATTTGCTAATGGTAGCGCTTGCGGTAGATGTTATGTTGGCAGGCTGTACAGACGCACTGCTATTGCCGAGGATATCTTTTCTGGCAGCTGGTGACGCAGAGGGACACCCTTGTTGAAGTTTGAGTATAAAGCTGGTATGGAATTACCTCCGCTCAACCGGTGCCTGGGGGGTGTAACCTGTCATATCCGGCCGGCTCCCATCCACAGGAACATAAAGATTCCTGAGTTAGTCGCTTAGTGTATATGCAACGGACCCGTAATCGGTACCTGATTCCGCGACCCCAGGACTGACTATTGGCCCGGCCGCGGTGGAAAACTGGGCCCGTACTAACGCGGTCAACGGGATGTGTCTCTGCGATCCATCATCCATCGTAAACACCGCACACGACATCTGACTTGAACCCAGGTGGAACTGGGTTCCAAAGAGGTGAACGCTGCGCCGTACCTCCTGTCCGTTTCAGTGGATAAGATTAAAGTCCAAACCCGCATCGCACTTGACTCGAGAATATGAGTAAAGCTGTCTGCATGAAAGAGTTCCGCACTCAGTAGGTTGGGATCACTTTCGCCCTTGCTTTCGGCTTTCAGTCCCCCGGGTTACGTGCAAGGATATTGAAGCAAGGGCGGCAGCCCAAGCATGCGTAAACCCGCATCTCAGAGCTCTCGTCTTGTTCTCCTACTAGCAGGGACCAAAGTAAAATTTTTTGGGCGGCTCGTTATCGTAAGGAACCATTGGTCTGGCCTTCTGCTGCGTAAAAAAGCAAAATACAAAAAGAGCCTTCCTCAATTCCCGTAAGCCAACGTCTTTGTGACAGAAATGCATGGCTATGCTCTGTGCCTTAGTTAAACTCGCTGCGCAGCCCACTCATTCCGAAGACATCCCTTCCAAGGTTTCCTTCCCTCCACCCCCCCATGCAATCTGTGATGGAACGTACCGAGCCTTGGAGCGTGGAAGCGGGATTGGGACACTTATATTTAGGGCAGCCCATTCCGCAGTCTGTCCCTGTGCAGGGTCCTTCTTTTCTTCTCCCACCTCCAGGCTGCCTGCAGCTCTCCTTGCTCTTGGACTCATCATGTAACCGCTAGGCCTCGCGGGCATGCCACTGCATCCTACATATCACAACAGACGACGGTCAGCGGAGGAACGGATGACAAAACCATTCGCTTGAACACCAACTACAGACCTTCCTTCGATCCCTCTCTCTTCCCCTTATCCTGTCCTTTCTGCCTTTTCCACTCTTCAACCAACTCCTTCCTCTCCTTTGTCTATCTGTTCTGTTGCTTGTGTATCTTTGTTTTTTTTTCCTGCTCTACTTCATGCTTCTTATGGCGCGGGAAAATCGCCGTGCCCCGAACAGTCTTTCTCGTGCGCCGAGAGCAGCCACACCACTTTTGACCCCTTTCCGTGGCACTAGCGCAACACCTGCGACATCGTTGCTCCTGCAGAGGAAAGTCCTGTCCGCACCACAAAAACGGCCTTTTCAACTGCTCGACGTTCACAAACCGTATCATCGCGGGAGGCCGAACACGACGAATCCCACACATACATCCCCCTCGTCCCGATTTTGACGCCGGAATACTCTGCAGAGCTCCAGCCTTCGTTTCCAGCGCGCCCAGAGCCGTTGTACAGTCGACAACCTTCGCCTTCTCTCTCTCAGGGCCGCATCCATTGCATTCGCCAGCAATCACGCGAACAGCCGCCTCCTTTACTCCCTATATTCAGATACTCTCGAAACCCGCCTTCTTCGAGTCTCTGGAACCCTGTTAATTACATTCCACGTCCCGCTGCCCGCTCGTCCCAGCAGCAGCGCACAGCTCTTACAGGCGATTCTCGACCAAAAAGGGACGCCGATCCGCTACTTACCCTCCCCGAGCGTCGGAGAATTCGCTCCCAGCAATCCAGCGTAGCAGGTGTACCTTTCAAGAGGGGCGTAGACGAACCTGAAACCGTCGGTCGTACCAGCGTCGGACTCCCTCGCGGACATAAACGTGGAGATACCTGGGGAGACATTGAAATGGTGAACTATCCCGGATCTCCTGCAGGACAGAGGAATGACCTAAGACCGCCAGAACGCCCATATGCAGTCAGAAATGGCAACCTTTTCTCGATGAATGGCAGTCCCGCTGCACAACAGCATCCGGATGACCCTCCAGAAACCCCTCGACATGTTAACTCTCATCAGTCTGCTAGACCGCAGACATTCATTGCTGTGCCTCCGGTGAATGCTAATAATGCCTCAATAAATCCTCAGTCACCTAGTGGGCCGCCCAATGGTGACGCCACAGAGGAACTGAGCTGGGGACCAGCACATCCATGCTTTCCACACATGAACACCCATGTATCCCTAAATTCGGAGGATTACGTTCACACTCGAGTAATCCGGATACGGCGGGACTGGATGGTCAAAGGAGACCTTGCACCTACCTTCTCCAACTTATACCCAGAGATTCTTGATCCCCTCTTGGGCGAACAAGAGTTCCGAAGCATCATCACCAAGATAAACGAGGAGCTTATCATCGCGTTTGATCCATATGGTGCGCGCAACTGGTTTGATGGGATAATGGGGTTTTTGACTGGCTGGATATGGGACGATCTAGGAGCCAGCCGCATCAAATCTCGAATCAAGGGGCTCGAAGCATGGATAGATAAGTGGAATCGCGAAGTCGGCGCTCCAGAAGGTGTCAAGATATGGGGGCCTCGACGGACTGGCTTCCTCTCCCTGGATATACAGATCCCAGATCCCAAGATTGGCATCGTGGAAAGCGACGGCGGCTCCGATGTAGGGACAAGAACCAGACCCAGCACTGCGAACACACGGTTACATGAACGACCACAGCATGTGTGACTCCGGATGAAGTTCGGTTGACCACAATACCGTCCCTCCCTCCACTCTCTTTTACCATATCCAACTACTGTTCTGATGATGCCTCATCTTTCTTTTCCTTTTTCGTTGATAGACCCACAGTGTGTCTCGCTGCACCTTTTCTGTTGTGTTTCGCTTGGCTCTTTACCCTGAATACTTCTATTACTGCCTCCTGGAATTGGGCTTTTACTACCATATATCCAGAGCCGATGTGTCTCTCGATATTCTATGCCTCTATAAGAGGTATATCTAATCGTTATCCTTTATGTTTTCTTATTCGTTCCCTTCTTAAATATACCCTCCAGATTACCTGTCATATATTTGGTTTTCCGAATGCCTGTTGCATCGCCTTTCCCCTTTTTGTATGTCGTGATTGTTTGCTTAGGATAATATGCTGTCATGGATCATGGCTAATTAAGTGTTGCTACTTTTTCAATTTAATCCTTCAACCGCACTGTTCCCACCTGCTTTCGTAGTTACTACCATCTGCGTCGGTAATTTTGTATGGCAATACCGGTGAATATTATTATCCGATACAAGCGTTTCCGACGGGGACCTCGAGCTCCCAGAACCCAAGTGTAGCAACCTGTAAACCAAGAACACCAGACACACACCTTGAGACTCATATCTGCTTTTTCTTGCGATTAATTCTCTGTCAAGATGCTGTCCGGGATCCTCATCTTCAACCAGAAGGGCGAGAACCTTATATTTCGCTCCTTTCGCAATGACTGCCGGCCTCGACTCGCAGACATCTTTCGTATCCAGGTTATATCGAATGCGCAGGTCCGATCCCCCATATTGACACTCGGCTCGACAACATTCAGCCATGTCAAGCATGAGAATATATACTTGGTCGCAGTTACGAAGAGCAATGCGAATGCGCGCTCGTGTTTGAATTCTTATACAAATTAATAATGCTGGGGAAAGGATACTTTGGCAAGTTCGATGAGGAGGCAGTCAAGAATAATTTTGTGCTGATTTATGAACTACTTGATGGTAAGTCTCGTATCTGGCACGATATACTTGGGCGATTAAATGCATTCAATGCTAATTTCGAACTTGTGTTCAGAGATCCTCGACTTTGGATACCCGCAAAACACCGAGACGGATACGTTGAAGATGTATATTACCACAGAAGGAGTGAAGTCCTCTATCGTTAACTCGGCCACTGATTCGAGCCGTATCACCATGCAAGCGACTGGCGCATTATCGTGGCGACGATCTGATATCAAATACCGAAAGAACGAAGCGTTTGTCGATGTGATTGAGGATGTTAACCTTTTAATGTCTGCCACCGGAACCGTGCTACGAGCAGACGTGAATGGACATATAGTAATGCGAACATATCTCAGCGGAACTCCAGAATGCAAGTTTGGACTCAATGATCGGCTCTTGCTAGACAATGACGATGCCAATGCGCTCCCTGGGAAGCCAAGGACAACCAGGGCTGCGGCGGGCAGCGTTACACTTGAAGACTGCCAGTTCCATCAATGCGTTAAGTTAGGCCAGTTCGATGCTGACCGAATCATCTCTTTTGTCCCGCCTGACGGCGAGTTTGAACTGATGAGATACCGCGCAACCGAAAACGTGAACTTGCCTTTCAAGGTTCACCCTATTGTCCGTGAAATAGGTACCACCAAAGTCGAGTACAGCATTGCTATAAAAGCAAACTACGGTCCAAAGTTATTTGCTACCAACGTGATTGTCCGCATACCCACTCCATTAAATACAGCTAAGATCACGGAGCGAACAACCCAGGGAAGAGCGAAGTATGAGCCAGAACAAAACAATATAGTCTGGAAGATAGCGAGGTTTTCTGGCCAGAGCGAATTTGTCCTTACAGCAGAAGCTACCTTGACCTCCATGACACAGCAAAAGACCTGGAGCCGGCCACCTCTCAGCCTTGCCTTCAGCTTGCTTATGTTCACGAGTAGCGGATTGTTAGTGCGCTATCTGAAGGTATTTGAGAAGGGCAACTACAGCAGTGTGAAATGGGTGAGATATATGACTCGAGCTGGAAGCTATGAAATAAGGTGAGACCTCTCTCTCTTCTGTTATCGCATATTCACTATGTGTTACTAGTCTGAAAAAGAAGTCTTGTGCTAACATCAATTTTCCACTATAGATTTTGATAAAAATGACCCAAATGGCCTCATTCTCAATATCTCACATTCAGACCTGTTTTCTCAACCTCGGCTTTACTTTGCTTTTATTATTTTTGGCCCCATGATTCTCTTTTCATCTTCTTTGCTTCTAACTGCACATGCGGTTTGTTTATGCATGGGGTATCGGCGTCTCGGCTTCGGTGAATAATGTAATGATCTGCATTTCAAACTTATCCTTTTCTCCAAGCTCACACGAATTTACGTAAAACTACGTTGGGCACAATCGCAAATACGGTTACGAAGTTCCCCTTGCATGAATCATCTATCCTTGACCTAGCTCAAGGCAAAGGCGATCTCCATCGTACATTAGGGGCAGTAGAGCTTGTTATTATCGATGGGGAATCACTTTACCCGTTATAATGCCGCTCGGGCCGAACCAAACATCAACAAGGCGTTGTGGCAGAGTGGTCTAATGCGATTGACTAGAATTTCTCTGAAACAGATAATCAATTCCCTTCGGGGGCGACGGTTCGAATCCGTCCGACGTCGGCCTTAACTTTTTGTATTTTTCTCTTCCAGACATTGTTTCATGTTAACTATCGGAGAGCTATTTTTTTTTTCCGACTCTTTTATAAGTATGTGGGGGGATTTTAAAAAAGGCATCAGTAGTTGTTGTCTTCGCTAACAGATTTTTCTCTTTACTCCGTACACACAAGCAACAAACTATCAACCCCCAAAATGCTCCTCTACTCTTTCGACCAGATCTGCTTTCTTGCCAGATGCCGGAAGCGAATGTGCAATCAGGAAATCTTTCAAGACGGCAACCGTGAGCTATAAGATATTGTCAGTTGGCTGTTAATATTCTAGACACTCGTCCTTGTAAAGATAAACCTTACCTTGTTCAGTGTTCCTTTCTCATAGTAAGCCTTGATATCCTCATGTTCTTCCGTTTTCGCCCTCTTAGAAGCGGGCTCTTCTTTAACTCCCTTCGCACCTGGAGCTGGCCTTTTAACGAGAGTGGATGTTACCGGCTGGCTCTTCTCCAGAGCACGGTACTGAGACTCCAGCTCTTCACCCCATTCGATGACCAATTCACCAGCTCGCTGCATGCTGTTAGCCTGGTGTCTTACAGTGTTGTTGGAGGACTCTACCTTATCAATGGCTTTATATTTTGGTATGGTCTTGTCTTCTGCCTGTTCTGGTACATCCTCATCAAGTGCCAAAGCCTGAAGAATCCTGTAATGCCATTGAAGCGCTGGTAACCGCTGGGTTAGTTTTAGTCATAAACAAAAAGAGTATTTTAAACATACATGGATTTGGATATCTGTGTGGATCAAATTGCCCTTTAGGAAGCTGAAGCTGCTGAATGATGGTTCTCATTTTATCAACAAGCGAGTCAGGAGCGGAAATGTGGTTTAACTCTGGATTTTGTCTGATATCGTCCGCAAAAGGAAGAGGTAGAATCCACATCCCAGGAGGGATAATTTGTATATCATTATCGTCGAGCTTTTCTTCCCCGGCAATCATTGCGGCCATCACAGGGGCTGCATTTCGTCGAGGTACAAACCATACCAGAGCCATTTTGTTTTGCTTCAGTAGCGTCTGGTGCAGTGCAGAGAATGTACGTGTTGAGCCGACATACCCTTCTTCAGATGGGTAAATGAAAGTGGGATGCTTCATAGATGCCCAGATCGGCAGCGAGGAGAGTGGTTTAAAACCAATGATCCGAATAATTGGCTCTCCAAAGTTCCTAAGCTCTGCTTGCTCTTCCTGGGTGAATGAGATCTGTTCGCCTCCAAACTTATAGGCTTTACGAATCTCCCATTTTTCTACCTCACGGGCACTGTCGTCTGCCAGCTGGGTAGTAATTCCTTTGGCAATTTGAGGTTGTTCGCCAGCCAGCCATATGTAACAGCTTCGAGCTGGTTCTTGTCGCTTGAATATCAGATATCCAGTGACGGAGATTTTGAAATCTGGTCCAATCTCTAGGGGAGCATTAGAAAACAGCGCTCTCCGAGGGACAGATTTGGAATTGATTGATGAAATAAGAGAGTTCAGAAGAGTGATGCCATCTCCACCCGATGTCGAAGACTTGGTTGCAGCTTGTGAGAACACAGGGGCTTCCGGGTCGGTTGGGGAAGCTTTATAGATGATATCCTATGGAAAAGAGTTAGAGATAGTGCATAAGAGTGTGGGTAGGCCAGGCTCACATCATAAAATTTCGAACGGTCAAACTCGTCTCCCGGTCTGGAGATTGGGAATAACTCAATAATCACTCCAAGGTCATACAAATCTTTCGCTCTCACAGTGGCTGCAGATCTGAGAGCCTTTTCATTTTTATGTGGGTTATCATTGTCCGTAATGATGAAGAGCCGCCGAGAAGAGAAATTAGCCGCTTTAGAGGTAAAGATCTGGTTAGCGCAGAACAGTACATTGGCCATTGTTACGGGATCCTCTGAGGGAACTAATATCTCTGACGCGCTGTCCTCGTCGTGGGCCAAGGCTCGCAACTCCTTGACATCAGAGGCAGCGGGGATATCTAGATCAGTGTAGAGGTAGCAATGAGGATAAGGGAGTGTGCCTCTGCCCTCCTCATCTTCATCATAGAATTTCGAGCTCTTCGTCCCATACAGTAGAACCCCCATCATATCTTGGGGGCTAGATATGATTCTCTGCTGCATTAGATGGTATGCACTCTTTAACGCTGCAGTAATTGGTGCATCCTTATCCGCCCTCTTTGACTTGGATTCAGGAGGAGGAGTAAGCATTGACTCGCTAACTTCTATCGCAAAGAGCACCGCATCTTTGCTGGATTTGTAGCCCTAGGTACATAGTTAACAGGTAATATTTCATCTAGTTGCTCGAGGGCGACGTCATACAGTGTCATCGATCTCGTCTTCCTCCTCCTCCACAGCATCTTCATCACGAGCCCAGTTAGAAGCCATGGCAAAAGCAGACAATTAGGACGTTTGATGATAAGAAAACAGTACTGTAGAAGGCCAGCTGTTGCCTGTTTGCCTGTGTATTTATATCCAGGCGCTTTTGCTGATGTAACTCAGATGTCGTCGCGGCGGATAAGTCACGGGGCGCGTCTGCCTAATTGACCGACAGACGCGCAAAAACACCAGATCATGTGACCTGCTGGTAATAACGCGCTCTCTTATTGGTTCATGCGGGAGCCTCGGGACCTTTTTTGGGGCAAAGCTCAAACTGGGCAAAACAGGAAAGACGAAGACGCTGAACATTTCCTCGATTTTGCTCGCAAGCCACTATCAAAACGAGGTATTTTCTTTCTTTCACGCTCTCTTAGATCCACTAGATTTCAGCATTTTTATCTATTCGAATATCAAGAAATGGCAATTCCAAGGACATTATCAAAGATTCCTCGTGGAGGGTTGGGGAGTGTATCATCATGCCTACGAGCGCCAGTCAGCTTATACAATGGAAGCTCCCGCACGATGGCAACTGTGGTGCCACCGGTTACCCAGGATGCAACTGGATCAAAGGGGCCTACTGCAATGGTTTTTCTAAACATGGGTGGACCTTCCACTACAGATGAGGTCGGCGATTTCTTGAGCAGGTTGTTTGTAAGTGACAAGTACTGGCAGAGGGTTTCTTCATCAATGGCTAACAATTTCTAGGCAGATGGCGACTTGATACCGCTTGGAAGGCTACAGTCTTATCTCGGCCCTCTTATTTCACGACGTCGAACTCCGAAGATCCAGAAACAATACGCCGAAATAGGTGGTGGCTCCCCAATTCGGAAGTGGTCAGAATACCAATGTTCCGAGATGTGCAAAATACTGGACAAGATATCGCCGGAGACTGCGCCGCATAAGCCATACGTGGCATTCAGATATGCTGCCCCATTGACAGAGGAGATGTACACTCAGCTGCTCAAGGATGGGTTTGGAGGAGGTAAAGGCGGACGGGCTGTCGCTTTCACACAATACCCTCAATACTCTTGTTCAACTACGGGGAGTTCGCTCAATGACCTCTGGAGATGGAAGAACAAGCTAGAGGGGAGACGTGGTGCTGAAGAGTCGGGAGATGTTAGTGGGAACATCCAATGGAGCGTTATTGATAGATGGCCGACGCACACAGGGTTGGTCGAAGCGTTTGCGCAAAATATTGAAGCACAACTGGCCACGTACCCTGAGGATAAGCGTGACAATGTTGTCCTTCTTTTCTCAGCCCACAGTCTGCCGATGTCCGTTGTCAACCGAGGTGAGATTTTTACCATTCTTTGTATATGTGTTGGACATGGCTAAAAATTTCGTTTCTAGGTGACCCATATCCTGCTGAGGTCGCTGCGACAGTATATGCGGTCATGCAAAGACTGAAATTCTCTAACCCTTACCGGCTCTGTTGGCAGTCTCAAGTCGGACCCCACGCCTGGCTCGGGGCCCAGACGAGTGACACGGTCCAGAACTATGTCAGCCGCGGACAGACTGACCTTCTCTTGGTCCCTATCGCATTTACTAGTGACCATATAGAGACTCTCTACGAACTAGACAAGGAGGTTATTCATGAAGCAAATAGCCCGGGCGTCAAGCGAGTGGAAAGTCTCAACGGGAACCCCGTTTTCATTCAGGGATTAGCAGACCTAGCGGCAGAGCATCTTCGAAGTGGTGAAAAGTGCTCGCACCAGATGATGCTCCGATGCCAAAACTGCACGAGTGATAGGTGCCTGGAGCAGAAGAGGTTCTTCGCTGGCCCAGAGCGCAGCGCTCTCGTTCGATAATCACGGAGAACAATGACCATGCACGCTATCTGTATATTACTATCTCCTCTTCCACGGTTACGGGCTGAATCATTTGCTCAATCAAGAAGGGAAAGCCGTTTAACACAGACGCTCATAAGAGATGCATCCCAGTAATGGCGTTACGTTTATGGACCGGGGCAGCTGTAATAATAGTAAATAAACTATTGGTAAAAAATTCCCCATGACGCAACTTGCAACCACTCCCCAGTATCCGTCCAGAGCCGGGACAATATATCACAGCTTCTCGCCACGACAACGACCCGAGGCCGTCGTATTCCAAGCTGGACTGCTAGCGAACTCGCTTCCCAGTCCCTTCGCCTAGAGAGATGACTAATTCCTTTTTCGGACATTTTTTCGAGCGGGACCGGACGAAACGCTTCAAAGGATGAAGACTGGAGTAATATGCCGGCAGCCCAAGGATACTTACAGCTTGCGCCCTGCGTTCTGGCCGGAATGCCAACGGTTTCTCCGTCATTATGCAGCAGTCTGCTTCTTTGATATACACTGGGAAAACACTCCTCTGTCGCCGGTAGAGCTATGTGCCTTTGAAGGGAGAGTAATTGCCAGCTGATCTTGTCCATGCGCCGCACATCTGTTCTCTATTGTGCCTACGATTCTCGGCTTCATGGCCATCCCCAGACCAGCCAGCTCTAGCGTTGAAGTTGGACAGGAAGACTCTATGGGCGACAACATGACGGCAGGCAGACGGACTCCCTTTGAATTTGCGTCGGAGCAACATCTGGGAACAGATATATCGGATGAGAGAACGACACTGCTGGCCAACGGCCTAGATAAAGCTGAGGTTGAGGACTTCTCCTCTTTGCCTTGGTGGAAACGGCCTTCTGTGAGTGCTGCCTGCGGCATGAGATTCATTCATGCTGCTCATACTGATTGCGAATTTATCAGGTGTTTTGGTTGTTACCTCCGCTTCTACCGTTTACCCTCGCATTTGGAGGAGTTGCCGTCCCGAAGATTAACCTCTTGCTCACGTTGATATGCCGGGAATATTTCTCTGATCGTGCAGAAAAGGACATTACGTTTACCTACGCCCCCGTAATATTTGGAGTTGAAAATCCTCAATGCCGGATACCAGAAGTGCATGCGCTGGTCTCTCGGTTTCAGCTTGTTATGAACCTCATTGCTGGCATTCTCTCCGCAGTAGTAAGCCCAAAATTAGGCGAGTTATCTGATGGATATGGTAGAACGAAAATCATTGGACTGTGTACCCTGGGCACATGCCTGGGAGAAGTGATCACTGCACTCGTCGCGACATTTCCTGATACCCTGCCGGTCAATCTTTTCCTCTTAGGGGCCTTTTTCGACGGAATGTTCGGTTCTATCACCGCAGCCGTGGCATTGACACAATCGTATGCAGCGGACTGCACTCCTGCTAACAAACGGAACGTTTCCTTTGGATATTTCCATGGTGTCCTTTTCATCGGGATTGCACTTGGCCCACTGTCCGCCAGCTATCTTATTAAAGCCACAGGAGACGTCAGACTCATCTTCTACGCAGTCGTGGCATGTCAGGCTATACTGCCGATATTCATCTCCTTTATTGCCCCAGAATCTTTGACGAAGGAACGGCAGAAGCGTAACAGGGAGAAGAGAAACATAAAGCCGCTGGATATCAATAAACTCCGTTTGCAGGATTTCAACCCTCTTCACCTACTAAAGCCATTGGCCGTCCTTCTCCCAGTTACTGACAAGACTGTCTCCAAAACAGCAGCAGAAAAGACACGAGTGAAATTGGTTCAACGAAATTTGATAATACTAGCCGCAATTGACACAGCTTTGTTTGGTGTTTCAATGGGTACTATGAGCACCCTCATCTTATACGTTGAGTACGTGTTTGGCTGGGGCAACATTGAGTCTAGCTTGTTCGTCTCGGTCTCCAGCACAGTCAGGGTCATTGTCTTGCTAGGTGTCCTGCCTCTCCTCACTCGATGGATCCGGAATCGACGCAATAGCAGTCTTAGCGAGTCTCAGACAAACCGTGGATCTGATAAGCTGGATATTGGAATTATCAGAGTATCTATCCTATTCGAATTCTTGGGTTATGCCGGGTTCTCTCTTGTCAAGACCGGCCCACTCATGGTGCTCTGCGGTGTCCTCAATGCCATGAGCGCAATGGCGTCCCCGACAATCAATTCGACATTGACAAAACACTTACCGTCAGATAGAACGGGCCAGCTATTGGGTGCCGTGGGATTACTCCATGCTTTGGCCCGTGTTATAGCACCGACCGTGTTAGGTTTCGTTTACAGCTGGACTGTTGGGAAGTTAACACAAACAGTTTGGATACTTCTGGCGAGCTTGCTATTCGTCAGTTTTATTTCCTGCTGGTTCCTCTTACCGCATAGTGAGTAAATTCCTTGTTGTTCTCTTGTGGTAAGCTTGACTAATAGATTTTCTCAGTATATCTTCCCGAGTCTATGGTAGAACATTCGCCAAGCTCAGACGATACAGAACGATCTCCCGATCATCTTGATGAAAGGATATAATTGCACGGCGTTCGATTAATACGATGGACTATATTTATATTTTTCCTTCTATTTTTCGGTTTGCTCCATACCTACTTTTGGGGCTTTCATGTAACTTAAAGGGTCATGCAGATTTCACCCCGATGGCGTATTGTTATAGTTTATAGGTTGGTATAGATTTTAGTCGTACTACATATAAGAATAATTGTAATAGCTATTCAGAACTGCCACAGACTTCGAATTTCTGATATGCTTGAATCCATAGGCCTTAGAAGTTGTATTACGTAATCAAATAAAATCCGCAGGACGGCAAAAAAAGAGAACTTCGACACCTTCGATTTCAGTCCAACAACACCTACGACCAGCACAATTGAACTGGTCAGACGGTCCTTAGCGACGCGGCTCTGATGGAAAGGGAACGTTTTTAGGTACTCGTCTTCGATCTGGGGCCATTTGGATGGTCCCATATACGGCTATCTACCCACATCATCGCCGACAAACATGTATCGCCCGTCCACCAGACACCTCGTCCCCTCGCGATCTGCTTTACGGGTTCTGCGACGATTAGCATTAGCAGGTTCTACTGCCAGTGTCATTGGAAGCGTATGCACCGTTGCTACGATTACATACGAGGTGAATCGGAGAGTGCGATTAGCGGAACACCTGGTCGAGCAAAAGCGAACTCTCGAATCGTCATGTCCCAATTACAGCACATCTGGACGGGGTTTAGCGGTGGAGAGAATGATGGAGGCTGCAGAGGCGGGGGAATTCTTGGGCCTCGACTCGATAAAAAAATCCCCATCTGTTGAACACCGAGCTCGAAGTCCAAGTACGGCACGAATAGACACACTTCCAAACGAAAGCCGAGAAAATACGACACCATCAGCAATCTGGACGCCTGGAAATAAACCCGAGATACCAAGTATTGCTTCGACCAACAATCCTCCTCCGAAAAGTCGTCGACACAGCTCACTAGATCTGAGTGCCCGATATTCTCACCCCCGCGGCATGATGAAGTTTGGTGGCTCTTCATTAAATATATCTCCATCGGACCAATATCAAAATTGGAAATCAAGGATTGAAAATCATTTAAAACAAGGCCAACCGATTGAAGCTGCACACCATTTTTTGCGCCCACCTGGAGACTTTGCTGAGGGGAATATGGAGGCCCTAAAGGAACTGTCTACCAGGATATTTAACGAAAACTTGAAAGCTGGCAATACATCACTTGCAGGAGGTATATTTCGATGGGATGAGAGGAACGGCCAAGTAACTTCAAATTCATGGGAGGCATTACTCCTAGCACAGGGTTCGCGATGGAGCGCTGATACCCTTGCATCGCTCTATCTACGCCACGCTGACCGCTTTGAATTATCATATCAACTTCGATCCCTAGTTTTACGGTCCCTTGTTGATTCCTATCGTCTCGGAGAAGCAAAGCAGTTTATTTTCAGGTACCTGAAAGATGATAACAGCTGCGGTCTAAGTGCAATTTACTTGGGCGGCCTTTATACAAAGAGCCGTAACATGGAACTGGTTGAGACACAGGCTGGGAAGCTGGCTAGCACGCTTTTGGAACTCGGGATAGCACCCACGGAGAGATTATTCAACCCCTTGTTAAAAGCATATATCGAATCAGGGTATGACGAGAAGGCCGAGGCTTTGATTAAGGAAATGAAGGACATCTACGGCATTACTATTGGGCTACGGCCGCTAGGTCTGCTTGCCTACGGAAAAGCGCTAAAGAGTGACTGGCCAGCTGTGGAGGAGTACCTCCAACAGATCCATGAGCTGGAATTAGACAGGTCTAGTCGCAAAAACTTTACGAAGATTTTTGATCGCATATTTCTAGAGTACTTCCTCGGAAACTCTGGTGAAAGCATCCGGGCATTTATTTTCAGGGCAATTGAGGCATATGGCCTAGAGATGGATGATGTTCTCTTTGAACACATTCTTATCGCCTTTATTCAGAAGGGAAGCATGGAAATGGTTGATGAGTTTTTGCAGATTGCGAAGGCGAAATCATGGAATGTCACATCCAACAAAGAGCACTTTATTCACCTGTTGAGGAACCACAGAATGACATGCGAGAAGAGTACCGTTGGCCTATGGCGAATGTTCAGATCATCCCAGCAGAAGCATGGGCGAGCTGGTGCCTCCCAGAGGATACTCGGCTTTGACAGAGATTCTTTCCCACTCGAAGAAGTCTACAAACTGCCTTGGACTGGAGAGCGAACAATATGGTCTGACAAAGTCAATTCTGCGTCGACAAGTGGACGAGACGTGGACAAGTTCGTTGCTCTCCGTAAGAGAATGATTCACAGCATTAACTCTGGCCGAATGGATGAGGCACTCGAGCTTTTTACCGTGGCTAAGGCGTCAGGCAAAGTCATGAAGCAGATTCATATAGAGCTAGCTATTGTCGCTAGTCTTATGCGCAATGGAAGTGCAAATGAGGCGCAGAGAATTCTCGAAGAAGCCAAAAGGCTGTTCCCTGAGTTTGACAAGACAAAACTGGGGACTTTCTACAAGCAAATCTTCGAGGTAAGGTCCAAGGAGAAAGCGTTGAAAATGGCTGTTTTCCTATTTTACCGGACGCTTGAAGACAACATGCTCCCAATAAAGCACCATATGACTGTTAGTGCCAGTGCAATGCTGATCAAGCACGGAAAACCCGGGGCTGCTCTTAGACTCTTCCGTGCAGTGAACAAGGGAAAATATGGTGCTACGGTACCATTTGACGCTGTTGCTGTGAAGATGATTTCGAGAGCAGCTGCGGCGAGTGGGAGCCGAAGAGGGCTTCGGTGGGCCATCTTAACAGCAATGAGCCGAAGCTCAGCATTACACAGAGATCTAGTTGTGGAGCTGCAACGGTTGGTTGCACACCTCAAGTACCTGCTTGAACAACATTCCGAGAACTCGACGCCTAACGCGGCCGACGATGCACTCTACGATGAACTCGAGTACCTTGAATACCTTGTGAAGCTGCTTGACCAAAAAGAAGCTGCCCAGAGTGGCCGTGTGGATACTATTAATATGGTGCCAACTGATGAGCTGTCTACGAGGGACCAACCCGTTCTATCTTATGATACGCATGTTCACCGCCATGGTTCAGCTCTACGAGCTAGCGGCCTTGCTCAAACGCTTGCTAACTGGTGTGAACGGTCCGAGTTTGAAACTGCGTCTGGAAAGGAGCGAAAGGGTCCTATTGAAATGGACGGGTTTGTGGGCTCTAGGGGCCCCAAAAAGATGCCAGAGCCAGAGCTGCAGCTTAGCCATGGCTGATTAAATTTTTTATTCTTTTGTATATTATTTTTTATCTAGGCACTGACATATATATACCCCTGCCTGTCATCTATATAGACCTTAGGGCGTCTCTACCACTTAACTACTAGCTATTATTAATGTTTATATGTCTGCCTAGAATTATGTACATGCCCAGATGTAAGCGACCTTCTTTTATCTTTCTCCTCCTCCATACAAGTGCTGTTGATTACGATATATACGATATTAATTTCCGTTCCCCCTTTTCAAAGAAAGATCATGCCATTCTGGAACCAACAGATTTGGTATCTTCACATGCTTTTTCTTTGGTGGCGTGAGGTACCTGTTCATGCCAAGCCTTTTCCTCCCCTGGATAAAAAAAGAAACAGCGCGAGGAAAATAAATTGCTTGAACACATCAACGGCTCGACTTCAGTTGGCAGACTCCTTTATCCCTGACAAGCAGACGATGCAGCGACAGTGACAACTACACAGTGCTATATTTACTCCCCGATAAGTTATTACAATGGTTGTAGAGGCTCCTCCTTGCTTCCAGAACCGCAACGGCTTTGCGAATGGCTCCGCGAAGCCCAAGGCCTACCGCAACGAAGCCCAGCGACGACGACACGAACACCATGAAGCGGACGTTGTGATAATTGGCGCTGGAATTGCTGGGTGTACGCTGGCCGTTGCCTTGGGAAACCAGGGACGAAGCGTCATCTTGCTAGAGAGGTCGTTGAAGGAGCCTGATCGGATAGTGGGAGAGCTGCTCCAGCCCGGCGGGGTGAGAGCCCTTGAACAACTTGGCCTGAGAGATTGCCTGGAAGGAATAGACGCCGTGAGGACATATGGATACGATGTGATATACTTTGGCAATGGTGTGAAGATACCTTTTCCCAGTGATGCCAACGAGAAGATTCTTGAGGGCAGATGTTTCCACCACGGCCGTTTGATCATGCGCCTTCGAGAGGCCGCTGCTGCGAACCCGAACGTCACTATTGTCGAGACCAAGGCCGTCTCTACAATAAAATCAACACATACGGAGGATATTCTTGGTGTCCAATGCCTGACCAATGGCAAACAAGACTTCTACTTTGCGCCCCTAACCGTTGTCGCGGATGGATATGCCTCTACCTTCCGAAAGGAATATCTCCCCATAGCACCAGTCGCCAAATCAAAATTCTGGGGCCTAGAGCTTATCGATGCTAAATTGCCGATGCCGGGACATGGCCATGTTGTTCTGGGCGATTTCCCCCCTATATTGATATACCAGATTGGAGAACATGAGACTCGGATCCTAATTGATATACCGGACAACCTGCCTTCAGCGTCAATTGCCAACGGAGGTGTAAAGGGCCACATGCGTAATGTCGTCCTTCCTTCTTTGCCTGAGTGTATACGGCCCTCGTTTGAAGCCGCGTTAGAGAAGGGAGGGTTCCGATCGATGCCAAATTCTTTCCTCCGCCCTGTCACAAACAGGATTCCCGGTTTGATGTTCCTAGGAGATTCGTTGAACATGCGTCACCCACTCACTGGTGGTGGTATGACCGTGGCATTTAATGATGTTGTCCTCCTTCGAGACCTGCTCAGTGTGGAAGCAGTGCCTGATTTAAGTAATACCAAACTTGTTTTAAAACAGCTTTCCAAGTTCCATTGGCAACGAAAGTCATTAACTTCTGTCATCAATATTCTTGCCCAGGCTTTATATTCTATATTCGCTGCTGGTGGTGAGTACTCTTTTTTTTTTCCTTTGCTGGATAATCGTTACTAACGAACATCCTACTTCATAGACCCCAATTTGAAAGTCTTGCAACGGGGTTGCTTCAAATACTTCCAACTTGGACTTATAGACGGCCCCGTCGGACTGTTATCTGGCATAATTCGATCGCCAATGGTTCTATTCCGCCATTTTTACTCAGTTGCCTTCCTGGCTATTTGGCTACATCTCACCAGCAGGCCCATCTATCTCCTCCCCATAACCCTTTTCGAATGCATAATAGTGTTCCTGACTGCCTGCAAGGTCATTCTCCCCTTCATATTCTCGGAAATGTTAAGCTAGAAATAGACTGAACGTCTCTAACTCTTTTACTACTCTTTTTTAATGACCGGGGGCTAGCTCGATGGCTATTTTTCTTTCACTTTAATGTTTTCATGGCTTTACGTTGAGACATTGGATAAAATAGATTCTCTTCTTGCCTTGTACGTTATATACTGGTACCCCTTCTCTTCTCACTGTTCATTAGCATAATAATATGTCCATTTTAATCAATGATTCAAGCATCAATCTCATGATCGTTTTGTTTCTTAATATTCTTTTTTATTTTTTATTTATTTTTCTTTTGGTTTTTGTAACTACCTAGCTAGTTAACTCTCTAAGAAAGCATCTATCCCTACATTCCTGACCTTCGACCAAAGCTTCGAGGAAAAACAGTAGAAATCTTACAGCCCCGTTCCGATGATCCAAGCAAACATAAAGAGAAAACAAGAAACAAAGTAGCCAGGTAATGATATCAAACAAGGGGGTAAACATGCACAGGGCCATTCTGCGTCTATAGGGGTAGTAGGAACAGAAAGTAAACAAGCAGAAACAACAACAGGCTAAAGGGGGCAAACAGTGTAGAACAGAACAGAAAAACAACAGGATATTGCTGGGGGTATTAGATAATCCATCCAATTTTAAACACAGAAAGGGGTGAAAAGGGGGGAGAAAATTGACAGTATAAACTATCAATCAATCAGTCAAGCATGACTTGAACAGTGCAGAGCAGTGTATTAACACTATCCACAGGTAGACATGTAGGGAGACAAATAGAAGAAGGAAGGGGGAAATAGCAAACACAATTCATCACTGACATGCTGAGTTCTTTTAATTCCCATGTAATAGCAAAGAAGAAAAAGGAGAAGTTTTTTGTGCTCTTATAGAAATGAAAAGCAACCACCAGCCGAAAGGGGGGGAAAGGGGGCCAAATAGGAAGAGAAGAAAACGGGGTGGAAGAGAGAAAGAAAGGAGGGATGTGATGATGTTCACCCCTGCTTCCATGGAATACACATACACGCTACTGCTAGTAGCAAAACCAACTCACGCGCGCGCCAGTTGAATGAGGAAAAAAAAAAGAAAAAGAAAAAAAGGGAAGAAAATCGGGCGCTGAATCTTTCAATCTTGTGAAAATATGTACGTCTGTTGTTTTTTTTTATTCTGGCTTGGTGGTATTGGTTGATGTTGTACGCATTGATGGGTGTAGGACATACCAGGACACGAATAATGGTAACTTGCTTGCTCAGTAGATATACGAAGCTGTGCTTGTCAAATTACTCTCTCCATGGAGTCGTGGATTTTGCTTCATGTGTCGAGCCCAGGACGTATTCCCGTCGATAAGGAACAACCATCATACCTATATCCCAGAATCAAATGCCCGAAATATATGTTTTTTGACTCCTTTTTACAAAGACAAGACGGACGGATGAAAACTGTTTCTTCATCCACCTTTTCTTAGCGATTCATCGGCAGGAAGGGGCTCTGCTCCAGTTACGGGTTTATTTGCTCCTTTCTTGTTCTTCTTTTTTGTCGTCGTCGTTTGCCAGCCTCCGCTACCGCCGGTAGTGTTGTTGGCGGTGGAGGCGTGCTCATGGCTGGTGCCGTTGGCGAGGGGTTTCGTGGTTGCGTGGACGCCGTTGGTCTTTGGAGCATCTCTGCTCTCGGCAGCATTTGAAACAGGCATAGAGGGTATACCGCTAACAGAATGCCATCTTGGCTTCTGCTTTTGTGATACACCATTCGAGTGATGCTCTGTGTCATGTCCAGGACCGTTGTTACCACGGCGTTTTACCGCAGACGTCGTGCCGCGTCCGCCTTCTTTGGCAGGGGTAATCTTTGAGGCCATGGCTTGCTTCTGCGGTTGTACTGGCGCATGATGCACTCCGTTTCCATTGCTGTTGCCATGTGAATTTCCATTTCCATTAGCGTGATGATGGTCATGGGTATGAACGCCGTTTTCTTTGACGAGATGACTTGTATCGAGGTGATGCAAGTATGCCGGATCAGAAAGCTGGAAGCGCTGCAATTGTTCCGACAGCGTTTCTAATCTACCAATGTGGCCATTTATGACGGGCTTGTTGCTAGTTCGGACATTTTGAGTCCACCCATTACTTTGCGGATGATGCTGTTGGGTCTCATGGTGCGGTGTGTTGAAGGCAGAATCAGCCTCGTCGTAAACTAAATGGTCAGCGGGAGACGGTTCCCTAGACCCGTTGTTCGGTGTATCTTGTCGAGACGTTCGTTGGCTGTGAACAGACGAATTCTGTGGGGTAAAGAACTGATCGATGTGTTCATCTTGCGCGGATTGGCGACGGTAGTCGTTTGCTGGAACCGACCCATCAATGATCAATGGACCATGACCTTGTTGTGTTTTTGGCTGTGTAGTCTGCTGATACTGTTGTTGTTGTTGAGGTAGTCGCGCATGTATGTTCATGTTATCTAGTTGTTCTAGGGGTATATTTGACTGATCAAGAGTTGGCATTGGAATAGGCCGGTATTCCGTTGGGGTATAAAATATATTTATACAGCCCAGTGTTACGAATTTGCAGGCCAGCATGGCCTGGATATGATGATGCCATGAAGCGCCGACCATAAGTACCCTGAGTCTGAGGGGAGTCCCCGACACAGTAACTTAGATACTCTGGCGAGATACCGGTTTCATCAACGGGACCTGTTTTCAAGAAGTACGGTCCTGTGACAGGAAAACCGTAGTCCTTTTCGGTTGGCGTACGTTGAGGCGAGTCCGGTGATTGGCGGGCACTCTGTTGTTGGACATATTGTGCTTCTGGTTGACCCATGGCGGTTGCATAGAAGGTACTGAAGTTGTTCGGAACACAAGCAGGTATTGGCCGAGCAGGCTGGGATTGTGCTCTTAAACTACTTCGCGGAGAGCTATTAGCGATCGACGACCGTCTGTGATTACGACGGGTGTCTGGCGTCACGATAGAGGGAGATGGGGAGGGAGGAGTTGTCGTATTTGGTGCTGGTTGTTGCTGTTGCTGTTGCTGTTGTGGTTGTGGCTGTGGCTGTGGTGCCGCAACATTAACGGGAACAAAGGAAGGACTGAAAAAGACGTTCTGTCGGACAGGGGCGGTAAGGGGCCCCTGGCTATGCATCATGTTTGCTCGACCTTGGGAGTTTTCGTCGGGCGAACCGCTATCCGGCTGAGGGGCTATCGGAAATTGAATATAATGTTGGCGCATTATCGAGGCGTTGCTGCGACTACTTATCATAGCCTGTTTCATGCGCAATTCCTGTTCCTGTGCCTGGAGGATCTGGATTTGTTGATAGAGGTGGTCGTGTAGTATGTATTGTGCATGTTGCGCCTGTTGCGCCTGTTGTGCCTGCAAGGCAAATTCTGCCGCAAAGGCTGCATTTTGATGTCTAGACATATTTGACCTGTTGGCTGCACTCGATGCGCGTCTGCCTCCGTGTGATCCGCGGTTGTAGTGATTCTGATTCCGACTTCCTCTTCCTCCACCCCTGCCTCCACGGGGATGTGAGAGCGCTGGCGGCATGGGGGTGAGAACCGGTCGCGGCTGTGGCGTTGGTCGCTCCCAGACCCGTTCTTCTTCCGGTGGGTACTCGTACTGCTCACAGCACTCATCCAGTTTGCCTTCGGAGATCGCCTTGAAAGCTCTCCTTAGCTCCTGGTGGAGGCCACGGAAAGATGTATCGTCAGCAGTATTGCCTAGATTCCTTGACGTGTTGAACGGTTCCTCGACACACAAACGGTTGTTTTGTAGAAGATGCCATCCCTTTTCTTCCTTGGATATTAGCTTTCCATGACGGACCGACATGACATTCTTCTCGTAGTCGACCTCGTAGGCATAGTAGCGGAAGAACTGAAACAACAGCTCGCCTAGCGTTGACTTATTTTCGTCACCGAATCCGCCGAGCTTTTCAACATCATCGTCAAACGAAGAGTATGAGGAGGTACAGGATGTGGTAGAGGCAATGGAGGCGCCATCTGTTGAACCTTCTGACTGGGCAACTCGTTTCTGCAGGCTCGGTACGATGGGCGGTATTCGTGTTTGTAGGAAGTTGATGATAAGGCATATCCAGGTGTATGAACTAAGTGTGCCTCCAAGTGCTACATGATGGTTGATGTTTTTAGCGTGTGAACATGAGAGACAGTAGAGGAAGCAAAAGAAAGGTCGCAGAGAGCCATACCAGCATCGTTAAGGATGCGCCGTTTTGTCCAATGTTTTACCAGCATTGCCAAAGGCCGAATTCGGTCATCTAGCTCGACATAGGTCTTGATCATGCGTGTGTTTTCGAGCGCTAGTGTGTTGTTGACGTTCATATCGCAAGCCACCTGCAGTTCTGGATCCCATATTTTTACAATAGGTACCTTGGCATGAGATACACAGACAACTCGTTCCATTCCACCTGTATGCAAATATTAGCAAAAAGAAAAGAAAAGAAAAGCAATCCGGGGAAGAGAAGGGGAACTCACTCTTGGCCAAAAAGTCGGCCAGGACACATACTGGTTCGAAGCATTTCGATGGTGTTGTTATGCAAATATCGACTATCTCGTAAGTCAGCTCGATGTCCATGAATAAATTGTAAAAAAATTAAGGGTCGAAACATACCATCGGACGAGCTTGTACAAAGCTTGTTCCCTGAGGAACCAAAAACGTTGACCTTGATCTCGTTGCCAGGCCATTGGGTGTCCAACAACTTCTCAAGTTTCCGTACAAACCGCACCCTTCTTTCTTCGCTTTCTTGCGACGGTAATAGCTTCTGGTAGAGCTCTTTAATATCCTTGCTTAGCTTTGCCTCCTTTTCCGGTTCGAGCTTCTCCTTTAGCGGGCCAGGCTCGTCCGGGAGCATGTCACTGCCAAGGGAGTATGGCATCCGCCTTCTGAAATGGGCCATGCCTGTCTCATACTTGCAGCCCCCGCCATATTCTTTCCGGACGGCGGGCAGGGTATGGTTGAACTCGGAATGCGCAGACCTTGGAGATATACTGCCGCGGTGTGGCGAAGGAGATCTGGATCGAAAAGGTAGGTCACGGGGGAGTTGGTAAGGGGTAGACGGGAGAGAGCTTGACTGCTGGGTAGGGAGAGTAGGTCGGAAAGGGGGCTGGTAATTAGGGATCTCAGCCGGCACAGCCCAGGCCATGGTGGGAGACCGATCTGACGCTACCGGGGAGACGTCACCCTTGCTGTGTGAAGATGCGACATTCCCATTGACACCTGCTCCCATGAAGCAGCCGGAAGCCGTAATTCCTCCTCGATGAGGTTGTTCCTGTCCGCCAGGATATCCCGAGTGGCAGGACTGTATATATAATTGCTCCCTTTTGAAAATCCTTTCCTGAATTTGAAGAAACGCGGGTTAAGGGGAGGCGAAGAATCTCGTTTGCAGTGGCCAGGCAAAGGAGAGAGAGGGTCTCTTCCTAGCTAACTAGACTTGCTAGTACGGTGTAGGTGGAGGCAGGACACGTAGAGAGAGAGAGATGGCTGAGGGATATAAGGAGCAGCGAAAGGGCGTCGTATTAAAACGGCGAGTAAGCTGAAGAAGAATCGTGGACGAGAAAGCCACCCAATCGACGACACGACAGCAGCAGGAGAAGTGTCCCTTGCAGAGAAGGAGTCCGCAGCAGCTGTATGACAGTTTGGACTCTCCAACAGTCCAGGGGAGAGGCAGTCCGTGAAGATGCAGCAGCACTGGCAGTGAGTAGCGGATGCGAGACAACCAACGCCAACAGCTGAGTTTCCAGTCAATCGAGCCGGGGATGCAGGTCAGCGACAGCAGCCGCGAGAGAGACAGCGATGGCCTTTGTCCTGGCACGGAAGAAGACGTCGAGGCTGGAGTTTGAAGGTCTGTAGTTGTTGTCGTTTGCAAGTCGAAGAAGTTGAAGAAAGTTGAAGAGTGAAAGTCGACGAGTGAGAGCGAGAGTTGAGAGGGGGCTTCGGGGGTGGTCGCAGTGGGCGACCGTAGTAGTTAGTTACCTGGCCCACGCTTGAGACAAGCAGAGACAGACAGCAGAAGAAGAAAAAGAAGAAGAAGATGATGATGATGATGATCGTGATGGTGAAGAGGATAGAAGAAGAGAAGCAGAAGAAGGAGATGGATGAAGGCAAAGGAGAAGGGAAGAGGGTATGTGGAGTGTGCAGTGGCTGCAAACGTCAAACTACTACGGTGGATGGATCCTTTCTGGCTAACTACAGGAGTTACCAGTGACCATCTAGTTTGACTACAAGCAGCGATTTACCTGGCGGACGGGCAGATAAACTACTGCAGAGGACTACGATAAGACGATAAGAAGGAGAGCAGACGAAGAAGAAAAAAGGGAGAGAAGCATGAAGCATGAGGCCTGCTCGATCGTGTGATGGCCTTGGTCCAGTGTCATGCCTGGAGCCAGCCATGCTACCTACGCTCGCACATCCCTATTGCCGAGACGAGACGACAGCCAGAGACACCCAGGACAGACAGGCGAAGACAGGAAGAGACAGACGGACGGACAGACAGCCCTCGATGGGATAGGGCAGAGCACAACGCCAGGGATGCATCTGGTAAACTAACTAACTATATGCGCTTTCTACACAGAAAAAAAGAAACGAGACGAAGTTTGCTCCCTCGTACTATGTGCGCCTCCTGCTCGATGGTATCCTCGGAGGCTTGCCAGGCCCTCTCCATGCTCCTCTTCGCAGTGTTGGACAGACGCTGGATCGGCTCTATAACTATCTACTTAAGCTGGTCGGGCCCCCCCTTTTTTCGTCTTGGAGAGGGCAAAAAAGAAGAGACAGTTTTACTGCTTGATAAGACATGGGAGATTAGGGAGACTACGGAGTACGGAGCACTGGTATTTGGTATCAACACACTTGAGCGGGCTGGCTGGCTGGCTGCTTGGTTGGTTGGATGGAAGGATGGCTTGTCCTCATCCATCAGCCTCAGACTCACTCCTTCACACTCCCTTTCTACCCCGGACTTTCTCCTCTTCTTCGAGAATTGTTCCCTTTTTTCCGGTCGTCTTATCGGGATTTTCAGACTTCCTCTCGCCTGCGGGTTGATCACCACCATAGGACGCCGGTCCACAATTAGGCTATGACTCTGCTATATATGGGGCACCCCTATATATGAACAATGCATTTACCCGGGCTAGCCATATAACGAACTAACAGATACAATAATTATACTTATCAAAAAAAAAAGGAGGATAACCTTATTTTCCGGCCGCTCCAAGCATGCGAAAATTACCCGGTTGACCACACACAGGACAAAGAATCATGGCTTTGGGCCCGGAGTGGGCGGGACGTCTACATTTTCATCCGCTGAAATCAACGCCGAAGCTGTGTTATCCATGTATATTTTTGTCCACGCGGGAGTTCTCGACACACTAACTAGACAAGACTATCAACTAACCTTTCATTACTCGAGGAATCAAGACAATATAAACTATCTTCACCCCGCGCCCACGAGGTAATATCCGAAGACAAATCATGCCGTGTCCATGGCCATGGCCCAAAATAGCACAAGACTCGGTCTCATCGTGCCCCATATATATTGTCCTTATTAGACTTTTCATATACAAATGCCCCTATCGGAAGAGGAAGAAGCAGAAGGTAAAATAAGCCGTCGAGAACAAAGAGCTGTTGCACAGCCGGTATACTTGCTTTCATATGCAGTACATATACATACATACCTTGGGCAGAAAACTGGAGTGCCAGCTAAGTATGGAGGAGTACCTCTCGGGCTTGCTCTCCGTGATATTCATGGGATGTCTCGCCGACTTCCTCCAGTGGAGAAAGAAAGAACCTACTAGGGTACACTCCAGAGCGGAGGAACCATTACAAGGTAAGAGAAAAGGGAAAGTAGATGATAAGGGGAGAGGATGGCGAAAAAGGGGGGGGGGGGGGAGGAAGGGGTAAGAGCGCCGCCTCCAACGCTGCATCCTGAGTAATTATCTACTGACTCCGTGGTTATATCAAATGCAATCTGAAGCTTCTCTCACATGGCAACCCATGGTCCGGAGTATATACATCTATCTACATACTTTATACCGCAAAGCACATCGTGATGGCTAGCGAGCCCATCCATGGCCTATATCTGGCATCGTTAACTTGGTCGAGTCAACCAACTAACTGGTTAAGGGGGAAAGGAAAAGGTTGCATATGACTGATGTCCCCTACATACATATGCCTGCCGTGGCCATCTCATCTCGTATTCAATCTGGTCGAATGGCGAAATACGTAAGGGTAGGTTACTGATGAGCCAGTGCGCCTCTGGCGTGATGCACATCATCTTCACGGTCGATCAGCCGCTGCTAACTGATGACCTTGATGGCTATCCCTTCCTCACTGCCTATTTAGCGCTCCGTATGTACGTATGCAGCTCCAAGGTGCCTTGATATCTGCCCCCGGACTAATCTCCAAGAGTAGTTGATTATGCGGAAAGAGAGAGAGAGCTTAGCTGTATAGTTCGTTAACTATATGCGGATGTTCTCCGTATCTTCATCTTCACCCTCTCAACCTTCATCTAGGCTTCTTCAGTCACTTCCGTGGAGAGGAAATTGATATCTCCATCCCTGCAGGGTCTGTCCGGCCTCCAAGGTCGAGGTTACCTCCGGCCACGCTCGCAGTCGGTCTTTCCATCCAGTGGGCCTCCAAGACGCTATTTCTCACGGCCAACATTAACTGCGCACTCAAGGCACAGACAAGCAGCTAGTCAGTTGCTGTGCAGCAGGAATCTGATGTGATGATATGCGAGCTGGCTTCTGGGGAAAGGCGCTGGAATTGATGGCCTGCAACAGCCAGGCCAGGACGAGCCGGGTCCCTCCTTGCAGCCGGTTAGAGCAGGTCACCTTTTCCACTGTCAAAGCATCTCTCTCTCTGTGCCTGCTTCATGTCCTGGCCTAGGGATGTAACTTGGACGGCCTTCTGACAGGCGAGATGTAACCAGCAGCCATGATCTCTGGTATCTGACCGGCCTGGCCGATGTAGGACTGGGAGATCATCTGCGCGGACTTCTTCTCTCATCGTCTTCATCGTCTTTCATTATCCATCTGCTTGGTCGTTTCCCATCTTCCTCTGCTGTAACTACTCCGTCCTCGTACTCTGCCGTAGCTTTGACAGTGTAACTCGAGCTGCTTCCCCTGTTCATTTTATCTTTACCTTTTCCCCCTTCTCTCTTCTTCTAAACCATCTCTCCATCCGTCAACGTATCTACCAAATCCCATCATTATCATCGTCATCTTCATCATGTCACAGCTATCTTCTAGGGCGTTTCAGTATTGTATCGTATGGTAACCGTACCGCCATCCTGCGGGGTCTAACTCCCTCTGCTATGGCGTAACTCTCGTAATTACAATACACCACCTTCTGTCCGACCATTTGCCGCATTTTCTAGTCGTTTTTACTTTTTATTTTTTTCTTTCCTCACGATTTTTTTCCTCCTTCGAAACTTCAACCTTCGACTTTTTCTCTTCCTCCTCGTCTTCTTCTTCTTCCTCCTCCTCCTCGAGCACCAGCAAGTCCATCGCCTCGTCTTGTCCGTCCTGTCTGTCTTCTACGTCTTCCGTCTCTCGCTTCTCTTTCTCTCTCTCTCGAGCCAGTCGAAGAGGAACGGAAACGGAGTAATACAAAAAGGGACACTCTTCTTCTCCTTAGTCGCCGCAGTCTCGCAGCTGGATCTCCCCATGGGCTTGCGAGGACGCGGATAACTCAGGTACCTTTCTTTTTTTGCTTTGTAAGACGGGGCCGTCGTCGTTGGTGAGTGACTCTTCTCTTCGTGCTCTTCTACAATTGAATCTGCCTGTCTTCACTCTCCTGGTCGATGTCTGTCTCGCTGCGGCAGTGGAAGCTTAAAGCTGCGCTGGAACCTTGGTTACAGATCTCTGTCCCTGGCGGGTGTTAATTCTACCCAAGAAGTGCCCTGAAACCCTCGAGTCCTTCTCCTTCTAACTGATAATACGCTTCTACAGTTCTTTTCTTTCTGCGTCGTCGTCGTCGTTTTTTCTTCCCTGCGGATTCCGGAAATTTATAAGCAAAAGTGCGCTGGAACACTCGATTTTTCCCTCCTGGCACCACCGCAATAAAACACAGAAAACCCACCACGCCCGCTAAATCATGGCATACTACGAACCTCAGGGATGGCAGGCTCCCATGCGCCAGGCCTCCTGGGAAGCTTCGGCGCCTCCTTCACGGTCAGGTATATAGCACACATCTGCCGCAACTTTGAGCACAAACTTGGGACGGACTGAGGCTGATTCAATTGGTGGTGGGGGGACATGCAGGCACTAGCTCAACCGTCCAGAGAGAACCCGAGACCAACGCCTTCGCTTCTCAATTCGATGGTATGGATAGACAATGATGATGATGTTTACGAGCTCGAAAAAGGGGCTCATGATGAGATGACGATGCTAACTGTGATTGGGTTGACTCTTGAAGAGGTGGAGCGAGCCATCGATAACCTGTCGAAGAGCGGGAAGACCTTTGGTGGTCTGCCTCGTCGGGACTCCATGCCGATGATGATGGGTCGACCATACGATTTCACCGGTAAGTCTGCCGAAAAAAAGAAAGAAGTTGAAAGTTGATATGCCAGCTGCTAACATCATTACCTTTTGGATAGATCCCCGTGCTATGGGCCCCATGGCACCGTCCCGTCACCATTCAATTGGCGACTATGACGGCATGCGTCCGCACTCGGCCTCGAACCTGCAAGGCTTCTATGCCGCTCAACGTTTCCAGGCCCGTCCGAACGAGACCGAACAGATGATCCAGGCGAAGCGTCGACTGGCTGCCCAGCGCGAGAGGGAGCTACGCAACTACCACCAAGAACAGCAATACAATCGAAGTACGTGATATGCTATCATACCTTCATTCATACACGGCTGCGAAGCTATCCAACCACCACCCTTATCCTTACACCTCGGACCTTATTCTTCTTCTTATTCTTCTCTTTATTCTTCCTCTTCTTTTTTTTGTACATTTTTTTTGGTTATGGATTTATACTTATATATCCTTGGCTTTTGTTTTCGGTGGGAAAAAAGGCCTTCTTGCCGATATCTCAGGGGACAAATCCGACCGATCCATGAGCCCAGCGGCCATGACCGAAGAGAGTCGCCGTGACCTGATTGCCCGTCAGCACCGTGCTCTCTACGGCAACGACTCCGCGCTCCAGTCTCCCAATGCTGGACCGGGCGACGATTCCCACTCGCAGGCAGCCGGCACTCCGACAACCGGCATCCCCAGCGGCCGCGGAGCCTCACCTCGAGGCGTCGACCCCTTTCTAGGAGGCCAGGCGCACGCCACCGACAGCCAGACGCAGCAAGCCACCTCGGGAGCGGGTGTGCCATCCTCTGTGGCTCCTCGCACTCGCTCTCCGACTGCGACAGCCTCTCCGCCCTCAAACACGAACCAGGGCTCGACGTACGGTGTCTTTGAACCCAGCCAGCCACCCACCTCTTCCCCCACTGGCAAGGGAACCACTGACTCCTCCCCATCCCGCGTAGGTCCCATTGGCTCTCGTCCTGCCCAGCAGCAGCAGCAGCAGGCGCAAGCTCAACACCAGCCTCAGCAGCAACAGCAGCAGCAACAACAACCACCAACTAACCAGAGCCCCAACCCATCTCTCAGCTTGCGTTCAACCACCCCTCTCCCTTCGCCGCTTAGCTACGGCTTCTCGCCCAACGACGACAGCGGCAGCGGTACCAACAACGGCGGCACCAACAACGGCAACGGCAACGGCCATGGCCACGGCACCGGGAACGGCAACGGCACGGACGCGGGAGCCGGCAGTGCAACCCAATCGAGCTCCGCGGCGGCAACCAACCGATCTGCATCGGGGAACAACAGCACCAGCCAGTCCATGAAGGAATCGTCCCCCACCGTCGGACTTGGCTGGGGATGGCGCGGCAAGAACCAGCTCGGCGTCCAGGCTTCCGTCTGGGGATGATCTATATATCTATCTACCCACCATTTTATGCCCTCGTTTTTTTTTCAGCTTTCCCATCTTTATCTATTCTGCCTACGTTTCTCAGGCAGCGGTCTGGTTGTTGGTTGTCGGTCGTTCGCTGGGTAGTTGGTCGTCGGTTTGCAGGTTGCTGGCTGGTTCCTTTCACTAATAGGTTGCTTTTTTCGGTTCATCTCTGGTCTGTCTTGTCTCTTATCATTACTGCCCCCTTCTTGGTTACGTTACCTGTCTCGTCTCATCTTTCGATATCCAAGGGGGACGGGGATGCAAAGGGAGCCCGTCCACTCAATGCTTTAATCCACCATTTTTGCCTACCCCTTCTTGGTTGCTTTATCTGTCTATCTGTCTGTCTGTTGGGGTTATATACTGTCATCGGAAAGGAGGGTGAAGGATCGGACTGGAAATGTTTTGTCGTCTGTGTGTCTGCTTGTGTTTTTCAGGTGTTGTGTCGTTTGCTTTGCTTTGCTTTACTTGCCTGGGTGCGGATGCGGATGCTGGTGGTGAGGGCCATAGATAAAAGACAGGCGCAACTTCGACTTGTCTACGCTGGCTGGCTGGAAGCCTGGGAATTGGACTTTTTCTTTCGTTCTCTATTCTTCGTCTTCTTCTTCCTTCTTCTTGATCTTTGCCCCTTTAATGCATTTGGTTTCATCGTCTAGCTTCTCGTTCGGTACTAAGCTGTAATACCCCTTTACTCTCCTATTTACTACCGGCTTGCTACGCCTTTTCCTTTTTTTTTTCTAGGGATGGATGGATGGATGGAATGGGATAGGAAGGGAGGTTCAATTTGTTACTTACAAGCGAGTCTACTTGGTCGTCTTCGTACTTTTCCTGCTTGCTTGCTTCTTTCTCGGTTAACTAGCTGCAAGTCTGCCCTGTCAGCCTTGCCGGCGGGTGAATGACTGAATGACTCGGATGAATGAAATGACTTTTGTATTAACTATGTATGTACTAGGTAGTAAATGTAGTAGTAATAGTGGTAAATATCCCAACTTCATGAGTCATGATGTATGTACCGAGATAGTATATACCGAGATAGATATATACCGAGAGCATATGTATGGGTTCAATGGCAGACATTAGACATTAGCATCAGCAGGAGTATCACTGGCAGAAGTATTGTTGGCAGGAGTATTGTTGGCCCTCCTGGCGGTGCCTATGCCGATGACCCCCCGTTCCTGGTTCTCACCGAGCCACGGCTTCATGGCTTCACCGAGCACCTGCCGTCCGAGATAGTAGACAAACTGGCCGATGATGATGAGCACAAAGGCGATGGGGTAGAGGAAGTGGATGCGCAGGCCAAAGACCTTGACTCCGATCACGACGCCCCAGAAGTTACTGGTGAGGAGGGAGATGTTGAAGAAGGCGGCGCTGGCGAGACGGAAGAGCAACGGGGCCAGGCTGTAGAAGAGGAAGAGACAGAGGGTGTATCCGACAAAGTAGCCCGCCACGGCCCCGTCCCAGACGGCGTGCTGGAACGAGGCGCGGTCGAAGATGGCGGCCTGCACGCCCATGATGACGGTGGCGTACAGGCCCAGCTGTCCGAGCACTTCGTACATGGGCCGCTTGCTGACGAGGTACTCCTCCGCGACGTTGGTGAGGCCGTAGAAGGTAGCTCCGAGCAGTGCAAAGAGGTCTCCCTTGATCAGGTCGCCACGCGACTTCTGTGGTCCGCCGCTGTTGGCGCCCGTGATGTGGTCTGAGCCGAACAGCACGCCCATGCCGCCGATGCAGATGAGGATGCCGGCGTACTGGGCCCAGTGGTAGCGGACGCGCAGTAGGGTGAAGCTGATCAGGACGACCATGACGATGGCCCAGAAGTTGATGAGCTGGGCGCTGAGGATGGTGGTGTAGCGGTATGCAAGGACAATAAAGTAGTTGCCCTGGACGTCGCAGAAGGCGAAGATGATGTACTTCCACCAGTCGCGGCAGACCAGCTGGGACCACCACCTGCGCGGGCCGTAGCGGTAGAGGGTGTAGGAGGTGTAGACGAGGTTGAGCAGGACGTAGTTGAAGAGCGTCTGGAAGGCCGGGATAGAGGTGCCTGCGGTCGAGAGCAGGGCCGAGAAGGTGTTGGTGGCCGTGATGCACAGCGCGAGTATTTGCCTGTCCCGTTAGTTAGCTTCCATCTATTATATTATAGGCAAAGAGAAGAAGACAGTACCCCAGGAGCAGGACGAGGTAGAACTGCTTGGTGCGGAAGTAGGCAAAGTAGCCCTTCTTGCTGTCTGCGTCGGCTTCACCATCGCCATCGCTGCCATCGCTGGCTTCGACCGGCCGGACAGAAGCATCGGCGCTCTTCATCAGTGGCCGGGTAGCTGAAGCAGCCTGCGAGGGCGTCGACCGGGCAGACTCAATGGGGTCTTCATGGTTCGCAGTAGCAGCAGCAGCAGCAGCAGTGGTAGATGGTATAGTAGAGGCCATGGCTGTAGATGTTCTAGATGTGTGGTAGGAGCTTTATGAGAGGAAGCAGACGCAAAACTCCCAGAAGTCGTCTGCTCGAGGCTGTCAAGGCTGTCGATGGAGAGAAAGACACACAGTCCGTCAGTCAGTCAGATGGACAGACAGAGGGATACGAGGTTTCTCTGCGTCTGTTCGTCTGTTCGTCTATTTTCTATGTATCTCGTCTTTTGGTGGAAGAAAGCGAAGCGATGCGCAGAAGGCGAAATAAGAAAAAACGAAGAAGAAACAAGAAGAAAAAAAGAAAAGAAAGTAAAAATAGGAAGAGAAAAAGTAAAGAAGAAGAAGAAGAGAAGAAGAAAGAGACGAAGAGGTAGAAGAGGTAGAAGAAGTAATAGTAGACAGGTAGATGGTAGAGATGAAGATGGTAGATAGAAGAAGCAGCAGGAGTAGAAGAAGTAACCAGCAGTGAAGAAGAGGAAGAAACAGAGAAGGAGGAGACAGCTTGATTGACTTGACTCTTGGTTACTCTTTTCCTCTTCTTCTCTTCTTCTCCTGCTTGATAGTAAAGAGTAAAGAGTAAGAGTAAGAGTAAGAGATGCTTCTTCTTCTACTATCTGCAAACTAGCGACTCCTCGACTCCTTCATCTTCCTCTTTACCTACCATCTTCTCTTCTCTTCTTTACTTCTTCTCTTCTTACTAGCTAATTGTTTAATTAACTAACCAACCCTGCAGCTCGCCGTCGCGTGGCCGTCCCTTGCTGGCTGGCCTCGCCCGTCGTCTTCGTCTTCGTCTTCCCTTGGCTTCTTCTGCGTCTTCTGCGTCTGCTTCTTCCCACCTAAAACAACTTAACACCGACCATCTCTACTATCTCGACCATCGTCGCGGCGACCCTGACCTGACTCTCTCTCGGATTAACAGACCGTCCCTGTCGGCTTTTCCATCTTTCGCCTCCTTTTATCCCCCTTCGCCAGGCAGCTTCCCGCCGTCACCGCGCTTGCGCCAGCCGAGGCAGAGTTTTTGCGCGTCTCTCGCCCCGAAAGGAAAACAGACACACCCACCGCCCGCCATCACCATCACCACAAAAGACAGACAGACAGACACAGACAGAGACAGCAGCAGGAGATACGAGACACCGGCAGAGTCTCACGGAGGGCAGCGCTCTCCTGCAGCGGCCATGGCCATGTCGTTCCCGGTGCCGCCGCTGAACGACCGCAAGAGAGTCAAGGTCTACGAGCTGCGGAACAACGACTGGTTCGACCGGGGGACGGGCTTCTGCACCGGGCAGATCACAGACGTGCGTCTTACATCTATAACTGCTTTAAAGGAATATACATGCTGATGGTTACAGGATGAGCCGAAGATACTGGTGCAGTCGGAGGACCAGCCAGACCGCATGCTGCTGGAGACTCGCATCACACGGGAGGATGGATACCAGAAGCAGCAGGGTAAATCATTCTCTTACTCTCTACATATCTATCTATACTGACTGCTGGTAGAAACACTGATAGTATGGACGGAGCAGAATGGGACAGACATGGCGCTCAGCTTTCAGGAGGCGGAGGGCTGTGGTGTGATATGGTGCGGACTTCCTCTCCTTCCTCCTCGCCTTAGGCAGACATACAGACATACAGGCATAGGGACACGCGACAGCTGACGTTTTGAGTAGGGACTTCGTGCGCCATGTGCAGCAGCATCTCACTCCCCTCGGCCATGGTACGTTACTCTATCCATTGTATATCAGATACACGGAGCTTACTGAGGCCTAGATGACTCGCTGTCGGACGACGCCATGGACGGCATGCCCAGCGCCATCATGCTCCCGCCGCCGGACCTCACCAACCTCGCGGAGATCGAACACCTCATCGTCGGCGCCAGTGCGACCCAGCCAGGCAGAGACGCCATCGCCCGCTTCGTCATCCAGGAACAGTACATCCTCAAGCTGCTGCCGCTCGTCGCCGTCGCCGAAGACCTCGAGGGCCTCGCTGACCTCCACCGCCTCTGCAACATCATGAAGGCCCTCATCCTGCTCAACGACAACACCATCATCGAGCAGGTCGTCTCAGACCCCGTCATCTCCGCCGTCGTCGGCGCCCTCGAGTACGACCCGGACTTCCCCACCCACAAGGCAAACCACCGCCAGTACCTCAACGACCGCTCCCGCTACAAGGAAGTCGTCCCCATCAAGGACCCCATCATCCTGCGCAAGATACGGCACACCTGGCGCCTGCAGTACCTCAAAGACGTAGTCCTCGCCCGCATCCTCGACGACCCGACCTTCTCCGTCCTCAACTCCCTCATCTTCTTCAACCAGGTCGACATCGTCCAGCACCTCCAGTCCAATGCCGCCTTTCTCTGCGAACTCTTCTCCCTCTTCGCCCCCGAGTCAGCGCCCGCCGACGCAAACAAGCGTGAAGACGCCGTCCAGTTCCTCCACCAGTGCATGGGCATTGCAAAGAACCTCCAGGCTCAGTCGAGGGGGAACCTCTTTGCAAACCTCATCAACCATGGCCTCTTCTCCGTCATTGCATTCGCCGTCAAGCATCCCACACCCGCCCTCAGGACGACCGGCATAGACATCCTCGTCGTCCTGCTCGACCATGACCCCGTCACCATGCGCGGATACATGCTCAAGGCGTTTACCGATAAGAAGCTGCCATTGACAGATACACTGATCGACCTGCTACATACAGAGACCGACCTGGGCGTCAAGAACCAGCTGGCCGATGCATTAAAGGTCCTCCTCGATCCGCAGCCGCAGATGCAAGAACTACGGTCCGGAGAGGTAGTCAAGATGCGCCAGGGCCAGCAGCAGCAGGGTCAGGGCCAGGGCCAGGGCCAGACACAGATACAGCCACACCCCGTTGCAGACGCATTCATGCAGAACCACTTTGAAAGCTCTGCTAAGAGACTCTTCACTCCCTTGACCCTCCTCGCCGCCCACAACGACCGTACGTCTACCCTTTACCCTAGTATTTATATCTACTCTGATGCCCTTGATGATTTATATATACTAACTTATACAACCTAACAGTCTCCGGGTTGACGTTCCAGCAGGTCTCCCTATTTGCACACCTAGTAGAGATACTCACCTTCTTTGTTCGCCAGCATCCCATCCGCAGCCGCTCCTTCATCCGCGAAGAATACCTCATCCCGCGTGTTGCGCAACTCTTCACCGTTCCCCAAAAACATCTCAAACTAAGTAAGCCACAACACACACATACTCTTAACTTTACATCTAATACTAACAGTGATAGTGGCATTGAAATTCTTCCGTACTCTCGTCAGCCTCCACGACACCTTCTACCACGCCCAACTAACCCACAACAACACCTTCGACCTCATCCTCAACATCGTCTACGAAACCATGCCCCGCGACAACCTCCTCAACTCCGCCTGCCTCGACCTCTTCGAATTCATCAAACGCGAAAACATCAAACCCATCATCGGACACGTCGTTGAACGATACCGTGAAAAGATCCAGAACATCACCTACGTAGACACATTCCAGAACCTCATCCTCCGCTACGACCAGATGCAGGGCTACGGACCGAATGCTGCGGCCGGTGCAGATAACAGTGATGCCGCAAGCACCGTCTTCAGCCAGGACGAAGCCTCCTCGACGCCCACGAGGATGATCATCAGCGGCGGTGCGCAACGGTGGGGAGCAATGGGTGTTCGCGAAATGACCGCAGCCGAGGAAGAGTACTTTGAGGCCTCAGACGATGAGGAAGACGAGGTAGGATTCTTCCCTGTTTCTACTGGAGGCTCCTCTAGGCAGAGAACTGTGCAGCTCATGCTCAATGTTTTATCACAGGTTAAACCCGAGAATGCTGCGAGCACGAACGCCGCGCCTCCGAACGGCACGCCCAACAAGCCACTTGTCGATTACCCTGACGACGACGACGATGATGCCATGAACGAGCAGGATGCGCAGGTACCGGCTCAGAAGCAGCAGGAGCAGGAACAGCAGAAAATCGAGCGGTTCTCGTTTTCTGAAAAGCGCCGTCGACAGGATGACGATGACGACGATGAACTTATCAAGCTGTCCTCGGGTTCAAAGCGGCGCAACTCGGTAAACACCGCAAACTCTGTCTCGCCGTTATTCCAGCGCGGTAACGGCAGCGGTAACGGGAACGGTAACGGGAATGGCAGCTTGCGAGTGAAGAAGGGAAGTCAGAGCCGGAGTCCCAGCGGGAGTCCGAGTCCGAGCCCGCGTTCGAAGGGCAACGGTGTTGAAAAAGACGGTTCAAAGGAGTCAACGGCAGGGAAGAAGATTGCGATTACTTTCAACGTTTCATCTTCAACACGGAACGCGCTTAAGAGCCAGGAGAACCCGACTGATTCTGATTCAGAACTGAAACCAGAGCCAGCCAAGCTGAAGGAAGCTGGTGATGCCGGAATAGTTGATGCTGCGCCTACATCGGTCAAAGGTACAGCCATGAGCGACGGCAGTGATGCTGAGACTGGCTCGGCTGATGATAGCGGAGGAGGCGGGTCGGAAGATAGTACGGAGCCTGCTGAACCTATCCCTGAGAGTACGACGCCGTCGACAACCACGACAACGCCGGTAGCTGCGACGGCGACTGCGAGCTAAGAGACGGATAATCGTGCAAATGTATAGCTAGATTGAACAAAGCAAAGGGAGCCAAAAAGCGTTGAAAAGTTCCGAATTGGGGGGGAAAGTTGATCTATAGAGGGATACCCTTTGCAAGCAACAGCATACTCTATCCGTCTTCATCTACGCCGACCTCCATCCTATACCCAGGGATCCGTTACTCCGTTATACTCCCTCGTCCGCGCTGCTGCATCCACTTCTGGTCCTGGTTTCGATTCATATAATATCCTTACCTTTTACTCCTTTTATTCTCATTCGGCATGCATGCATGCAACATCTAGTTACCAGGCATAGAATGATCCACGCTATACCGACGATCGCACCCTACCCTACCCTCGCCCAGCCTGGGTCCAGCCTCCGCTCTCCATCTCATCTCTCTCCCATCCATCCATTCATGTACTGATAAATAAAAAACATACTCGGGCCCGTTTCTGCCTTGGAGTTCGTTGCGTTGCGTTGCGTTGCGTTTTTTGTCCTGCTTTAGCTTGCTTGTTTGACCGATTGATGGACTGATCGTGTTTTTGTTTCGTTGTATAATTTGTCTTCAGATTGTTTGGGATTGGGATGGTATGCTGTGCTATGCAATGGAGTGTGACGGACTGGTATGGTATCGGATAGGATGCAATGGGTATTTGATACGGGTGTGTATGGGTGTTGATTGATTGATTGATTGATATGGGAAATAGGCAGAGGCAGGCAACTTCAATGATGCGGAAGTTGCCGTTGCTGTTGCCGTTACTGTGCAAGTCATCGCATCAGCCTGTTTGAGCTGGCAAAAAAGGCAGTTGTTATAATAGAGATATTTCCATTTCAGCTTGTGTTTTGTCTGGTTGTAGATTGATGTGACGTTGGTTGGTGATGTTGAGTTTAACGTGCGGCTCCACCTCGGCTTCTCGCACGTCCAAGGATGAACGAAGTCGATGTAACTTCCAACCATGCATGGCCTGGCCGATGATAAAGAGCGTATTCTCTAGAGCAAGCGCAAGTCGTCTCAGCTCGAACTTGTACAGGATGTTGTCTCCTTCTTCCAGCTTCAACTTAAACCCACACATCACACCCAATTCATTCCTATCACATGTCTCCAGAGCAGAAGGCGGGAACACCTCTGCCCTCTCACCATCCACGACACTGATATATTTTATTTCTGGAAACCCAGGACTGATATCATACTACCATCTGTTCTTCTCTCTGCTTTCCTCGGATCTATCCCAGTCATTCTCCCACGACCCCGGCGCCAATGGCTCATATATCATCCGCGGAAGAAGCCTGGGAGGCTTTGAAGTGCCGGAAGCTCAATCGGTTCATGTCAAGGGAGAAGAAGACACTAATGCAAAAAGCCCGAAAGCCCGCCTCTATAGCCTAGATGAACAGATATCGTTTATGGAGCGTGATTTAGAGGTGTTTGTTCGGACATGGCAGGACGCCGCGATGCAGCAGCGAAAGTTGGACGAAAGGCCCAGAGCGAATGTTATCGTCATGGGCCATTCGGTGGGAGCTTACATGGCTATGGAAATCATGAGACGTAGAAGAGAGAAAGCCGGGCTTCAGAGGAGAGTTGATGGAGTTGTGCCTCAGAGCACCGGTGCTAATGGCGGCGGGGACGAACTTGGGCTAGATATCATCGGTGGTATCCTGCTGTTCCCTACCGTTGTGGATATTGCGAAGTCACCTAATGGGAGGGTACTGACGGTATGTGTGTCCGTGTGGCTATATGGGGACATGACGATGCTAATTGACAGGATAGAAATTACTATATATACCGTCTCTACCTCTTCTAGTGAGTTTGTTTGCAAGGTTTCTTGTCCTGATATTGCCCGAGCTGGTACTCTACAGTATTGTCAGCAGATTTATGAGAAATCCTCGAAAGGAGGCCGTCGAGACAACCGTATCAATGCTGAAGAATGCTCATATCGTCAGACAAGCATTGTAGGTTTCACATAGTATACATCTCCTGTGCCAAATGCTTAACTAACGGAATCTACAGGCACATGGCCGCAGATGAAATGAAGGATATATCGGCTGATAAATGGAACGATGAGATTTGGGGGTTTAGTAGCCCTACTCATGCCCCCAAGGACAGGCTTACGAAGATGGTATTCTATTTTGGCCGGAATGACCACTGGGTAGCTGAGGCCACTAGGAAAGATATCATTCAGTCGAAGTCGAGAGCTGAACAGGACGGCTCGGGTCCAGTTCTGAAAGTATGTGAGGATGGGGTTGCTCATGGATTTTGTATAGGTGAGTACTAAAGCACCGTAAACTTCCCGATGGAACCAGGAGCTAACATTTTCATCTTAGGGCATAATGAAATAATGGCGAAGAAAGTTGGCCAGTTCATCAGGGATATAGTTCAGGAGTCTGGATTAGATAGTTAGACTGCGCTTTTGAGTGCTAATGGGCAAGAAAATATTCTATAGAGTTATGCCCCGAACGCCTCTATCAATGCAAAATAAAACCAAGAAGCAACCAATGGGTATCAGTAATGTGTTTTTAATATATGGTTAGAACCTGTTATTGCCTCTGGTAATTCATACTGGCGCTGCGGAACAGTTCTCCCAACACATTATTCCCACCCGAAGGATAAGGTGGTGCTGGCTGATGGGAAGGTAGAGGGAAGGGCACGGGTGGCTGCCCTTCATTCCCGACAACCGGGCTATGCACCTTGACACTCCACTCGTCGTCCTGGGCTCTCTGCTGTCCAAATAGTTCCTTGAGTGAAATCTGTCTGCCCATGGGTATCCCGCCTTGCGCATCCTCGCCGTTACCTGCCTCACCAGGATAAAACCCGCTCAGGGCAGCAGCCTGGCTTCTTTCCGCAGCCAGTCGTTCTTCAGCAAGCTTCCTGCTCTCCCCCGCATATACCGCACATTCCTTAATTAGCTTTGCATTCGTCGCCCTCGCATCAGCAGTCGAGCTCGGAGCTGGTTCAGAAAATATCCATAGTCCATATATCATCGCCTTCATGCCTGGCGAAGCCACCATTGCGCCTTTCTCGGGTGTCTGTGCAGCTGTAGTGTCTTGCTCATCTACTTTCAATATAACGTATTCCTCTGTGATCTCAATATCGTCTCCGGTAACAAGGCTGACGTCAAAGTTGTTCATTCCTCGTCGGTTCAGTAGGAACACGCTGTACCTGTCCTCGCCTATCTCGCCAGGTGTAAGTTGGCAGACAAATAACGTCCCTTCCACCCCGATCTTCTCCCATAGCTGTGTTGTTGCGTTGAAGTGGTAGACGACTGCGTATTGTGCGAGAGAGAGAATGGAGATTATAGATGGGTTATGTCGCCGGAGAACAGAAAGATTAAGCTCTTCATTTGTTCTTGTCGGTGCCAGTGCAGCTGCCGGCGCTGAGCCAACGGCTCCCGTGTACTGAAGCATCTTGAGCTCAGGATGTGTGGTAATATCGGGTGTTTGACGTGTTCGGCCTATCTCTTAGCTCCTTGTGTAGCTGCGCAAGCCGTATATACTCAGGTGAACAGGTAGTAAGCTTGTGGAATATGGTGTTTCAACTTGGATAGCTGGTCGTTGTTCTTCTGGTTGAATGTGAGGATGTCGAAAGTTGCCGTTTCTGGCCATCTTCCGCCAAGGCTCCTGGTCGTACGTAAATAACGTTAATATCTCCTCCTGCAGGCAACCATCCCACCTCGTCCTTCCTTCCGCCAACTACATACGGAGCACAACCAACTTTCCCTCTGGCCACATTTACAACATACATCCACCAGGGAGGCCAACTTAACCATGGTACCTTAATGAGCTGCGTTTGGTGACTGGCTAGACTCGCCGCTTTGTGTGGACCTGGATCTGTCTCCCTGCTGCGCCTGGCTCCCCCAGCTGCTCCACAGGTAGTTATCAAGCGCAGGTGACCACATTCATGACCTACAAGTATCCGATCACAAGCTCTGTTAACGGCTTTGGACAGAAACTAACACCACATATATATATGCCTATATAAGTGGACTGTTCTCGCGGTGAGATGAGAGAAAACGGTTCTTCATTTTGGTTGCTTAAAGGTGTGCGGGGTTTAAGGAATGAGCAAGATGGCGGTTTCTGAAGAGGAGACGCAGACTGTTCCTAATACCACATCTACTGCTAATGTCGAGGGGTTACCTGGCGCCTTTCCCGACGCTCAAACCGAGGAGCCCGTCGTGGTATCATTAAATGACTTGTCCCTGTCTGCTGGAGTTCGATCGAGGAAGTCGGAATATATTCGCCAGAGAAAGCTAAGAATAAGGATCGGATCATGGAATGTTGCAGCTCTGTCCGGACCGGAACAAGACCTTAAGAGCTGGCTGGTTCATGAGCCTGTTGCTGAAGAAGAATCCACTGAGAATGGAGATAACGGTGTTGCTGATATAGAAGCTACGTTAGATGATGAGGCGGCCGATTCAGTTTCGTTCAAGGCCTATGGAAAGGGACCAGATCTTTATATCCTAGGATTGCAGGAAATTGTGGATGTAGCCTCTGCTACAGAGGCTCTGAGGACATATGTCGACCCTGGCCCTTCTGCCAAATGGAAAGCAGCGCTCCAAGATGCGCTACCTCCGGGATACACCTGCATAGCTTCCCAGCAGCTAGTGGGTATGCTTTTACTGGTTTACGCTGCTCCCTCCCTAAAGCCCCATGTTTCATCAGTAAGTTCCACTAGTGTCGGGACTGGGTTTCTGGGCTATACCGGGAATAAAGGAGCAGTTGCAACACGTATCGTTATCGGAGAAACGACGCGGTTAGTGTTTGTCAATTCTCATCTGGCAGCGGGGGCGGAAAAGGCCAATTTAGAACGAAGGAACTGGGACGCAGCACAGATAATCTCCCGCTCGAATTTTGCCCCTATAGACGAGCAGGACCTTATTTCCGGAGAGTTGAATCATCATTTTGGAGAAGAGGAGTTTAGTTTTTGGTTTGGAGATCTGAATTACCGTCTAGATGGTATCCCCGGAGGTGATGTTCGCCGTCTCCTCCATTTACATGTTCAAGATGAATTCCGTCCAGCGAAACGGAATTCTCCATTACAGAATGTTGAAAACAGTCAGCCTGAGGACCCTCGGAAATCATTTGAAAGCGACATCACCTCGTTGCCCTCAAAGGAGGGAATACAGATGGAGGGTAACGGTTTAGATCCAATGGATGACCCAGCATCTCTCTTGAACACACTCTCGTCACTTTTGCCTCATGATCAACTACTAGCTCAACAGAAGAGTGGAAAATCTTTTCACCAGGGCTGGCAGGAAGGGCCAATAACTTTCTTACCTACTTATAAGTATGATGTTGGGCAGAAAGGTGTATTCGATTCCAGTGAAAAGCAGCGCAGTCCAAGTTGGTGTGATCGAATTCTGTTTCGAACAAAATCTCACCACGCGAGGCATATCAAGAAAGTCAAAGAGGCAGAAGAAGCAAAGAAGAGAGACGAGGAAATCAAAACTCTAGGTCTGGATAAGGCTGCAGAAGATGATAATGTCCTCTTTGATTATGATCCAGATCAAGATGCCGCAGACTACGATCCTGAACAAGACGATGTGGCAGAAGATGCGGCGGATAATGATGCTAACGATGAAAGCACTATTTGTCTTCTGAAATACACATCACATCAGCATATTGTTTCTTCCGATCACAAGCCTATTCACGCTGACTTCGATGTCACACTCGATGTGGTTATTCCTTCCTTGAAATCGAAGATTCATCAAGAAGTTGCCCGAGAATTAGACAAGGCCGAGAACGAAGCCCGCCCTGACATAACTATTGTAGTGGATCAACTTTCCGAAGCCCGCCGAACCAGCTCTGCCGGTGTTGCTCAAACCTTCCAGCCAGATACTGTCCACTTTGGTAAAGTGAGGTATGATGATCCCACGTCACGGAGTCTGACTCTCGCAAATACAGGCGGTGTCCCTGCTACGTTTGGATTCCATTATAATCCATCTATTGGCACAGCCGGTTCTAATCCGTCACCTCCCTGGTTAAATATCCGGGTCGATTGGCCTTCCAATAATCCTAATCAAGACGAGAAATTGCCAAAAGAATACACCTTCCAACCAGGCGATTCTGCCAATGTCCGTTTGACATTATGCATATCTGACATTGAATTTGTCCGGAAGCTTAATGAGGGCAAGGCCAAAGTGGATGATATCGTTGTATTACGTGTGACCGATGGACGGGACCACTTCTTATCCGTCCAGGGCCAGTGGCTACCTTCATCCTTTGGCTTCTCCTTGGAAGAACTTACTCGCATACCTGAAGATGGTGTGCGTGCTATAAACGGATCACTGACCTCTTCTGGAGAGAACGATTCGAACTCTCGATCATCCGGCCCGCGTGAGCTATTCAAGCTAACAGAGGCAATCGCTGAGCATACCGAACGAGCCATCGCTGAGTGGGGGATGGTTTCTAGCGACATCAGCCCTGAAAGCAATGGCGCTCCATGGGAAGCTGACAAAAAGCCTGGGTGGCCGTTTGATTCACGGACCTGGTCATTTAGCGATATCAGCGAACGAGAGAAATTGCTTATTAACGTGAGAGAAGCAATTGACACAAACACTCCGTTTTCTGACCGTTTCCCCGCAAATTTCCCATGGAAATACCGCACGGAACTGCTTGCCGAGACATTGATTGCTTTCCTTCGGTCTCTACGTGACGGTATCATTACTGAACAGCTGTGGCTTGCGCTAGATGAGCAACAAAAGCTTCTCCGGGATAAGACAAGGCAACAGGAGCCTATTTCCAGCGAACAGATGCAGTCATCAATACTAGAGACTCTCTCGATATCCCCTTCCCACAGTGTCTCTTTCACTTTTCTTACTTTCATGCTGAATCGCATCGCCAACGAAATAGCTCCAATCACACCTATGCCTACACCATCTGCTACATCTACTCCCGTGAAGACATCAACGGTTCCCCCTACGGCCGGCTCAGAAAATTCACCAACACCCGCTCCCCCGGCTCAGTCTACCCTCTTAAGCAGGCAACCGTCTCTTTCATTCCCATTCCGGTTACGAGGCCGAAACAGCACTCTATCTGGAAATGGTGATGCAGAAACTTCTCTTACAGTACCGCAGAAAAACCCATCGGTTACCAGACGAGAAGCTCTTAACGATGCATATGCCTCCATTTTTGCTTCTGTGATGTTTTCTTCTTCTATTCCAACACCAGAGAAGGAGAAAGACAGGAGACTAGTTGAAGAGAGAAAGAAGGGAGTCATATCACCCTTTTTGTATAGTGATACCAGTTAATCCTGAGTATTTAGGATTTTATATATTTGTATATAACGCTTTCGTTGGCTCTTTGCAGTTAGTATAGTAGTAACCTTGGGCTTGGATACCTTTATTATGTCAAGCTAAAGCCTAAATTAGATGTGTGATTTGCAAATTATAAATGGAGACCTAAGCAAAAATCTACAGAGCAGCTGAAGGAAATTTCACCGATAGTATATACCAAGTAACCACAGCCTACAAGCTGCGTTCTTTACCGCTGCCTAAGCTGTCACTCCTATCATTCTCTTATATGCATACCCCTGGCTTACTCCCTTATACCCTGGCTGATATTCATATTGTGGTATACTCGAGCAAAAGGGTATATGGGCAGCTTGACAACAGACCAAACAATCCGTAAGGGCGAAGTAGCAATAGCACAAATAGTGGATATCATGCTTTGCATCGAAGAATGCTTAGATCCGTTATCGGGCCCAGGTCTCCCTCGCTTCCCTGAAGTGGCTAGTGGGCCGAGCTCCACCATGTAGCTGTCTATGGTGCGTATATGTGCATCCACTTTGGCTGATATAGTGCTATAGCGCCTCTCCTGACTGCGAACCAGTTTATCAAGGGTATATATATCACTTTTCATAGCTTTCCGTGCTTCCTCAATAAGTTCCCTGGGAGGCTTATGTTTGCTGTGGCTTTCTTCAAAGGAAGTAAGCTCTAAATTCGCTGTTGTGAAGCGGGATTCTAGATCATCAAGCCGCTTCGAAAGCTCAACAACTGCATCAGATTCAGGGACCTTATCGCTAATGCGTCTCAACTGGCTAGATTCAACCACACGTTGCAGGTAGAGGGTTCTGGCCTGCACCATTTTTAGCAAATGTGAGACGGGACGTATTTCGGCAGCGAGTAAGAAGAGAGTAAGACTGTAGTTTGAAACCAGGCCTTCGGATGGCCGTGATAGCCGAAATCTGATATAGTGCAGAAGGTATGCGGCTAAAACTGGGAATAGAAAACATGAGGCGAGTGCTGAGAGTTCGTGGGTTTGCAGTTCACGTTTTGCATTTAGATATGCTACCGCATACTTCTTTCGGCGTAGGGGAGGGTGTGGTTTTCCTTCATTCTCTGGATTGTCCTGGGAGGCGCAATCCTCTGCACTTTGCGGAGGTGATCCAATCTCAGCATCAGAATCATCTAAGTCTTCGGCATCATAGGCATCATGTGCTAATCGAACTCGCTCCTGAGCGGCAAAGTACCATTCCCTATTTGGTATTAATTATAAAGCACGATAAACCTAGAAAATGCTTTGCAATTGTTAGGTGCCTCACCATGGTAGCCTAACAGACCAATTTAAGAAGACCGCTGCAAGAGATAGCAAGGCGACATCTGTGAAGACGGCGGCTCCGTTGTGAAAGAGAAGTCCACCTAGGCCCGGCAAAAGAGCCAGTAGGAGGGGGCTTGAATGCCAGGGCGAGTCTGTATTATCGGGTCTGGTACTCCCGGTACTAATGTTGGCACGGGGAAAAAATAAGTCGTCTGTTGACGATTTTATAGATCGACGAGTCTCCGAAACAGCCTCTGAGAAGGTTGAGCTGCGTCGGAGCTTGCCGGGAGAGGAAGACAAGGGTGCAAAGCCATTCACATTCGATCCGGTCGATGCATTCTGTCTATGTCGGAGCTGTTCTGTTGCTGGTGACTTGACACGCGACGTCGTGGCTGGCTCCTGGTCTGGTTCCATGGATGGTGTACCCATGGTTCATGGCTGGTGTGGTCTGGATGTCTTCTGTATACTCTGCATTAACACAAGCGGTAGCGTTCCCCAGATTAATAAAGGTCGGCCTTCTCGCGCTCAGCTCACATCCTTCCTGATAGTTGGAGTTGAGATAACTAGTTAGTTGTCCAATCCAGTTTTTTGCGGAGTAGTTCCATCTTTGGTAGAAGATAAAGTATTCTTGGCATCTCTTAGTCTTTTCCGATCTTATTTCCATAGTTATGACGTAAGAACTTTAAACAGCGCTTGCGCCAGCAGAGTAGTTATATTATGTCATCTGATGAGTCAGCTCAACTTCAAAAAAAGGTGAAATGGTGAAAAGACAACAACATGAGATGAAGGATGGAGTAGGGGAAGACGATGATACCACCACGCCAGGTCCAAGTCGTGGATAAAGCCTGAGCCCCTGAACCTAGAAACATGATTCCGTTTGCTAGATCTTAGACTTCGTGTTCACTTTCCCCTATAAGGATAAAAAATAGGCTTGTCGCTCTCATCTACCTTCGCTCGAACGAACCCTGATATTCCACCATGCTAGTTGGTGTCTTCAACCTGCTTTCTATACTTATCTCGGGAAATAGCATGAGGAATGTCTTTCAAACGGGACCAGTCTGGGCGAGGAGGTCAACACAAATAAAATTAACTTTCCTTATTGATGCAAGGTTGACCAGAATACAACCCCGGCTAAGCCAGCCATCTTCACGGCCCCCGTTTATACCACAAAGAGCCAAACGGCAGGTCACTTTGCATAAGGCGGATAATTTATACAGAGGCTCTACCAGGAGAATTGTCTATAGGATCTGCACTAGTCACACATGCCGGTTCGACTCCCACAAATACGTGCCCTCGCGCAAGCATTATGGATATACTTCGTTCATGAGATCTCCTTGATAATGGGTTCCCCCACTGACCTTCAGTGTGCAGGAGAGCTATCAGATCCATTCTGTTTGCTCTGTTCATCCTAGAATACTTGTGTCTGGGTCTTTGGAAGACGCCTCGAGGCTAAGTCTGTCTAGTGATCCCACCGGGCCATGACAGCTGCAGATGGCAAAAACTTATCAACGGCACCATCCTCGTGTCCGGCTCATCCGCAGCCTGAAGAATTCTTAATGTGTTTGTAGCAAATGGATCCATCCCCGGGGCGAGGAGCTAGTTTTCCGGAAGTCTTCCCCACGCGTAAGGGCCTTCTCTTCAGGCACAACCTTTTCTTCTTTCTTGTCATTGCACGCCCAACAACTGTAAACGCCGTATTGCAGCAGCCCGGTTTACAAAGGGTGTACAAACGGACCAGCGGTTTACTCACAGGATGCGCTGATCGAAGTGCCCGCTAGGATAAGTTCCTGGGATTTTATTGATGGAGGAGGACTTATTGATACCCCGATGCGGTTTAGCGCGCGTTGCTCCCGCTGGGCCCACCCAGACTTCAGCGTGCTTTTGTTTTATTCTGCTTATTCAGCTCCTTGTTTCTTATTCGAAAGATGGGAAGCTGCAAGAAGTGAGACCGAAGATGCATTCACGCTGCGTCGAGCCTGTTCAACAACAGCGGCTTATTGACACCTACGGAGACATGACTGATTGATTGTCCTTATTCTGGGCAGCTGGGGACTCAGCGGCGCTGCATGACGGCCTCCCGAATGGTCATTCAATATGTCCTTCTTTTCTTTTCTTCTCTAGCATCTGGAGTTTTGCAGGTCTATAAATTGTTATACCTGCTCTTTCCTTTGACATGTTTCTCGTCGACCATTTCCTTCCTGATACTCCAAGGGCTCTTGTGTATCTTATTTACCTTCATCTTTCAACCCCCTTGAAACGCAAGATCTACCCACGGGTCTTACTGCAGACGTTCTCACAGCATCAAAGGCCCCTGTATTCTCAAAAGTTTGCTTGAGCTTGGTACGATTGGCTTTACAATACTATTTTTGTGTCTCCATGACGTTACGGAGGCAGATGCTCAAGAGCTATAGCTAATAATTATCTGTGGTGTCCATAGGCGTGCTTTGCACTGGGTCTTGACAGAATAGCTTCATCATGGAGAATAGCAATCTACCTCTGGTGTATGAGATGTCAACACAGGCAGTAGTACTCTGTACTGTTGCCTTCATATCATTTCTCGTCTGCATTCCACCATTGATCTGGCACTGCCGGAATGGTAACTTTCCTGCCTCCTGCTTGATTTTGTGGATTCTCACCCAAAACCTGTTCAATTTCATTAATCCATTAATTTGGCCTGATGATGATCCCAAATCCTGGTGGATGGGTTATGGTTATTGTGATATTCAGTCCAAACTTATCACCGGTGCCGGCGTTGGTATTGCTGGTCCCTTAGTCTGCATCTTTCGCAGTCTCGCAAAAGTCCTGGACACGGAACGAACTACCCTCGTGCCTACCAAAGGCGACCGAAGATGGAAGGCTACGTTTGAGGCCATATATTGCGTCATTATCCCAGTCGTCATTATGGTCCTGCACTTTATTATCCAAGACAGCAGATATTACATCTACAGCATCGTTGGCTGCATGCCAGCATATCACTCTAGCTGGGTTAGCTTCATTGTGGGTTACATCTGGCCTCCAATCATCTTGATAATCGCCTGTTTTTATTGCGGTAAGGCCACAATCACCTGAAGTGCATATTTCATGCTTTCATGATACTGTATTACTAACTCTCGAGCTAGGACTTGTTCTATATCGCTTGTTCAAGTACAAACGTGAATTTTCCCAGCTTGTATCTTCTGACAGCACAACCAGCAAGTCCAAATTTGTCCGCCTACTCACTATTTCGCTTGTACTTCTTCTCGGAAGCCTCCCAGCCCAGTTCTTCGTCTTCTACACCAATATCACCTCCTACAAGCCTTGGGCCCCTTATTCATGGACCGAAGTTCATGGCCCTCACTGGGGTGAGATTATTAAGTTTCCAATGCACGGCCAGGTCTACTATGATCGTTGGATACAAGCTGCTGCGGGATTCCTTCTTTTCTTTTTCTTTGGTATCGGTCATGATGCCACCATGATGTACCGGTCCATTCTTCTAAGGCTCGGCTTTGGAGATTGTTTCCCTGCACTTCAGCATCCACATATCATGATCAATCAGAGACAAGGCTCATCTTCTACTCGATTCGGCTCGTTCAGCAGCACTGTCAAAATGGCTTTGGGCCGAAAGAAACTTTTGACATCTACGGTCGACTCAGATATCACTCTAAAGTAAGTTATATGTATCATCTTCTTTCCGTTCGCATTTATCGTGAGTCTGGCAACTGATATAATTCTGCAACGTACAGTGAAAAAACAGGAAATATGTCACTGGATGGATGCTTGTTCACTAAGCTTGAACCAACTTACTCCCTGGACAATCAAAATGGCCCCCAAAAGTCTTATCGGATGCCAACAGTGCCAGGACCTATAACTCATCCCAGCAATTTCAACATGCCCCAAAAACCACGCCGACAATCCGGGGACTCTATTTTCCTCGAATTTCTTACAGAGTCACCTAAGTCCAGTACTGCAAAACAAGGTAGAGGGACGCATAGCGGGCACGATATGGTTTAGGAGCCTTTCAACCCTTTCGACGTATCCTGTTCAGGCTTCCTCCAACTGGAGCAACTATTTGACACTTGCTTATTACATTTTTATTTACCAGAGTTTTACTTTTTCTATGTTCTTTTTTCTGTCTTTTTTTTTTTTTAATATGCCAACTTTGGCATTTGTGATACCTATGGTCAGATGTTTCGTGGCGTTGGCTGGGTGGGTAGTTAGCCCGGTTCTTCGGTCGTGGCTTGGGAGCACTGGCTGCCTTTAGATATATTGAGTGGATATTATATTTTCCTCTTACTGGATTGCTCCTCATACCTCATTTTATCTGGTATTTATGTAGGTCAGATACAAGCGAAATGGGGTACGATAGCAATTGAAACATATCAGCATTAGGCTTCATTACTATAAACCCACAATCTCCTACTCAACATTTACCATGACGGTTGTAGTAAAAGTGAGGTAAAGTACAATGTTTCGAGGGTGGAGAACTGTATCGACCAAAATATAATACATGGATATGAGCCAGAGGCTGGGAGAAAAGATGCGACCAAAAGATCTAATCAGGTGGCACGACGAGCTAAAGCCAGGGTAGACGATCGTTGCAGAGAGTCAAAGATGGGAGTAAAGTAACTATCTGTACAGTAGCAGAAGCTAGAAATAAGGATGGGAGCTGCGGCATCCGTCCTTAACAGACTACTTCGATTCTTCTTCGCGGTTGGGATTGAATGGTCTGCTGAGAACTTCATAATGGCCTGATTCGAAGAGAAATGTTAGATCGCCAATCATGTATGTCGAGTATGTTGCAAAACGGGATGGATAGACTCACGTTGGACAAAGCCCAGCATACTGGTTTTCCTTCCCTCATTATCTTCTGATACTCGCATAGTAGCATCTCCTTCAACCAGCATTAGAGTTCTATAAACGGAAATGACAATGTTAGTTTCTGGGGCTTTAACATGTGGTAAAACCAGTGGAAGAGTCATATACAAGGGGGACGCACCCCTTTGGAAGATTGAGCAAGTGATCCCTGCCGGGGCCCTCAGGAACAAAGCTCGTCACTCTAAACCAGCTAGTTTGCTGGTTATCACGGGGGCCATGGTTGGTCCCGACGGAGTATTTCACATATTCACGTCCATTTGACGACGTCGCAATCTCTGGCTGAGAACCAAGACGACCAACAACGGTGAGACGGGCATGATCCCGAATGGCGGTGCTGCTGAATGAACGCGATATGGGGTTTGTAGCCCGAGCGGCCTTGGAGAAGGTTTGGAAGGCGGATTGACGGAACATTATGGCGAATTGAAGTGGTATATGCTTCGATTATGGCTCTCTTGGTTGTAAAGGGAAGATTTTATCGTGGTCTTGCAGGTTCGTCTCTCTTTTCGCTGGTCAAAGGCGAAGAAGTTGTGACGTTGGAAGCAGTTGAGCTCGCGTCAGTCACGTGACAATATTCGCGTTTCTCGGGTAGCTCCTATTGTCATCGCAAAAAAGGAGGAACATGTAGATCTAAAGACACAAATAGTAGCTGTATAAATAGGCTGCTATTTGGTTTATTTATATCAAAATCTAGAGCATTCTCCTCGTAATTCTGCGTACTTGTTTATGTCGCGGCTGATGTTTGTATATACTGACTAAGCAATATTAACTTTCAGCGCATAATATTATTTCACGTGACACTTCTGGCTTGAGGAAGCTGGAATTTATTCGAGCCTCAATATCAAATTTCTCTGTTACCACGACCAGGAGTTCCAATTGGCATAGACAGACACTTTCTAGTGTTGGATGAAGGAGTGTGGTTTTACCTGCATGGAATTGAAGCCACATATCTATGCTCAGGTGTGTTTGATCATCTACAATTCATTTGCAGATTGAAACTAACCGAGCGAGCTGTTCTTTACCAGTCTAGATGTTTATTCACCCATCCTCCATGCCGGCCATCCCCCTCCGGCTTTCCCTTAGAAATGTCCGCCATACTCGAAAGGTCCCTGGTTCGCCGTATGGGCAGTCCCTAAACGCAGTTTATAGGGTATCTCATTCAAATGGCTACCGCATAACTGGGGGACCCGGGGTTTCTCGCATTCAATACGTATCTCCATGCACCTCTCGAGGCTATATTACAGACAGAACTTCACCCGAGCTATCGTATAACCGGAAACCGCAGCCCCAGTCACACGAGAGATCTGTCTCGACACAGGCGGTCGATAATAGATTACTGGCGGGCGATCCATCCGTGAATTCCTCACCAACGGAATCAGTTATATATCCCGAGCCGTATTCTAGGTTGACAGAAGCCCATGCGAGGGAGAATGCGGCCCTACCATCTTCAGAATCGCTCTTGGCCTTACCTACCCTCCTTTCGAAGCCGCAATCCTCACTTTATGCTCTATCGCAAATGGGGATTGTTGAGATTGATACGGACGTCGCCAAACTCTCTGATATAGGTGCTGTCATGTGTAAATTGGTATGTCGTATTACACCTGCGTCAGGCGTAGGTATTGGAGAACCAATTGAGGTCGCAGGTCTTGGGCAGAACTCCGTAAGTCTTCCGTACAGGGCTTAATGCAGCGCGTACCGTTCAATCGCATTTGTTTAGCCTAATGTATAAGCTTGCTAACTGTGTCAGCGCTCTGCGGAAAATGCTGCTTACGTCTTCCTTGTGTCCGCGCTTCATACCAAGGGCTACCTTAACAATATCGTAAAATCTTTTAAGGCGTTACGGGACACAAGGGCACACCACTTTGATCTATCAGATGTCTACCATTACGCCTCTCGATATGCAATCTTACCCGAGGTTCATTGCACATCCACACCGGATCCTGGTTTTACATCCTACGCCCAGCATGAAGTCAGGATTGAATTACCGGCTCAAAATATTCGGTCTGTTGCTACAGGGAATATTCTTCCCAAGGTCGTCTCAGAGGCTGCCCGCTCCTTTATAGCTCAGATATCACAACAGGATATCCCGGAAAATCAAGGACAAGTTATACCCGATTCTGCTCCTCTTACTGTGGATATTGCTCCAAATTTCCTCAATTTTTACTTATCAAAATGTAATCAATCTAGCGAGATTGAATCTCGTTGCACCCAGGAAAAGGCTGGTGCTTCTACGGTCTACTATGGAACACTTTTTATCGATGGCCAACCTGTGTCAAACCCAGTAATGGCTGACTCCCCAAAATCAGCGAAATCTCTTGCAAGGTTTGCAGGAGCCGTTCATCTCATTGGCAAGGATCCCTCTATTTGGCCGGAGTTCATAACGGAGGTGCGGGAGACTGCGCCCCTTGTTCACTCTGTCTCCGTTTCAATGTCTCCCGCAACTCTTTGTGCCATCCAAAGCTCCCTCGAAAGCATATATTATCCCAAAGACCAGGCTAAGACTGAAGAGACTCCTTCAAGTAACATTGAGTCACTGTTTCCAAACGTCCTTGCTTCCGCCGTGCGCCAGGCCGAGTCCACGGAACCAACTTTTCTACCTTTTAGCGACCGTACTTTGGAGGAAACGCTCCACGCAAGAAATTCTCTGCCCACAAGGCAGCACGCTAAAGAAATCCTTGACACTATAAATGAAAATACTGTTAGCATCATAGTTGGGTCCACGGGGAGTGGAAAAACCTCCCAAATTCCTCAAATGGTGCTGGAGCAGTCCCCCGATTCTCATATAATGGTTACCCAGCCACGCAGGGTTACTACTACGACGATTGCGAGGCGAGTCGCATTTGAACGTGGAGAGGCACTTGGAAAATCCGTTGGATATGAAATTCGATGGGATGCTATAAAGCCGTCGTCCAACAGTGGTATCACCTATAGAACGACTGGAGTTATGTTACTGGATATGTTACGGAGAGGTGATGAGATCCTGGACACCGTATCCCACATATTTGTTGATGAAACTCATGAGCGTGATACCCCTACAGACCTTCTCCTGGCATTATTGAGGAGAGAAATCAATAGACGTACCAATGCATCCATGTCTGTTCCAAAGATCATTATTATGACCGCAGATCCCGAAACAGCCGCACTTGAAAGCTATATGGGAACTGTGTCCGAAAATGGAGAATCTACTCCAGCAACTCGCATGGAGATGCCGAATTCACATCATCCTGTTCAGCGTTATTTCCTTGAGGACATACTGCACTCATTGTTTTCCACTCATTCTGCTGAAGATCTGATGCCCCTACTCTCTGACACATCAACAAGTCAACATATTGCAGCTGAGAAGAATTTGATAACCCCTGAACCCTCGAAAGACAATGACGAGGCTAAGCTACCCATTCCCAATGCCTTGTTGGAGGAGGCTACTGCCAATTCCCCAATCAGTGAGAAAGAGCATTTCGTTCCTCTTGGACTGACCGCTGCTACAATTGCCCATATTGCTAAAACTGAGGACGAAGGTGTGATCCTAGCTCTGTTTCCAGGCCTTGACGTGATGAAGCGCCTAGAAAAACTACTCTATGAACATCCTCTAGGAATTGATTTTAGCGACGAAGCCAAATTCCAAATTTTCAAGTTACACTCCGGTCTGGGCGATATCGACGAGACTGTGTTACGTCCAGCCAAGGAGGGATGCCGCAAAATCATTCTGTCAACAAATATTGCTGAGAACTCAATAAATATACCAGAGGTTCGATATGTAGTTGATAGCGGAAAGAAGCATGATTCGGTCTATGACCCTTCAACTGGCCTGCGGAAGGTAGTGGGTGGCTGGGTTGACAAGCTGGCTATCCATCAAAGGGAGGCTTGTGCAAGCAGGACTGGAAACGGGTCCTACTATGCCACATTCACACAGTCCAGATATGACACTTTGACAAAGAGCGCCCCTCCTCGAATCTATGTGGACGAAATCGAAACCGAATCGCTTCAGCTGAGGGCCACCCTGCCCAATTTACCTCTCCGCGATTTCATGCGTCAGGTGCCAAATCCACCTTCACTGGATCGCCTCAACAGTACCACTGCGAACTTGCAGTCAATCGGAGCAATAGACAACAATGGTGATATTACCGCTCTAGGTCGTATCCTATCTCTATTACCTGTCCCGCTAAAGGCTGGTAGGATGGTCATGCTCGGTATCCTATTGCGATGTCTTGAGCCCGCTTTGGTTCTTGGTGCCGCCACGCACGCCCGCTCCCTTTTCATCCCATCTAGGTCTGAGCGATGGTATAATTCACCGCGCCGGAAGTTTGCTGGGGACACCAACAGCGACCACATAGCAATATTACGAGCCTATCGGAAAATTCGCCAAATTTCCAACAGGGATGGGCAAGATGCTGCTCGGAAATATTGCTTGCAGCATTCTATGAGCCACGCGACATATTTGGACATGGAGTTATTCATCTCACGAATAACCCTCACTCTTCGTCATCTCAACCTCATCCCGGCAACAGAGAGTGAGTCTGGGGATCAGCTTCAGAAAGTCCTCAACGAAAACTCTGGCGACCATTCAGTTCTCAGGGCACTTATCACTGCCACCGTGACCCCAAATATTGCAATCAAACCCAGTGATAGTGGAGGCCAATGGCACACCAAACGTTTCCCAGCAGCTGTCGTTAGCAATAAAAGCACGAACTCGTTCCAGAAAAGCTGGGCGGGTCGAATGCTGGCGTTTAACGAGGCATTGAACTTCCATAGTGAGGCAGACGCAATCATGATGGACACAACAACTATCCACCCATTGATGGCCTGTCTCTTTGGTGGAAACCTGGCCCGCGAGGATAATGCCCTGTTTCTTGATTCCCACTTAGCAGTCAAAGTCAAATCCCCTGATGGCACGCTGGAAGGTAATTCTAAGGCTGCCAGTGCCGTTGTCAAGGCAAGAAAGCTGATAGACAAGGTATGTCCTAGTGCCATGCTGTACCATTAAATATTATAAGAGCTATACATCTAACGCATCGCTTATATACAGGCATCCGAGGATTTCTTCAACGACCTCGCCAGCAACAGGAGCTGGAGGGAGGCTGAATCAGATCGGCGAACCCTTGCGACTCAGATCAAAAGCATCATAGATACCTTGCCTGATACCCGTCAATCAGGCCCGTTGATACGAAATATCCCCTAATCACGGACTGTTTATTGCATAGAAATTTTAGGAAATGTATACATACTCATCTCAGGCTTTGGAGGGCCCCGATTTGTTCATTGGATTTTGTATTATCATCAGGGGCAGGAGTTGTGACGGATGCTTGTTTCTTAATCATCAAAGATTTTACGTATAACCGGCCGGGGCAAAATGGAGAATGTATATTATTCTCAGCGTACTGTACCATAGAATAGAATCGAGTACTTGATATTATTTTTACTACCGATAAATGCTTCACCTTTTTGCTTGGCTGATATACGGCCAGGAAGCACCAGGGGAAGTTTTGCAGTTTTGCATGTGTAATGACGTTCTTGTACCTGGGGGCGGAACTTCCTTGCTGCAGCTTATAAAATCATTGCAACCTCCTACAGTTCCACCAAATACCTTCGCATCATGTCAAAATTAAAGGCCCAGCCTCTCTAAGGTCTTCGATAACGCCGGATTAATGACTACTAGCCCCGATAACTACTCGGTTTCCTGTTCTGTGGCAACATGAAGCTGGTTCTTCCCAGCAACCGACTCTGTTCCAACCTGATCCGACAGCAGCCAGCTTTGCGCACTCTATCCACCGTTACTTCGCGATACCTAGCCTCCTGCTCTCCCGTATATACGCCGGTGTCTACCTCGTCTTGCTTATTCTCTACCCGACGGTTACTGAGATGGGGCTCAGAAGGCCGCTGGAGATCGTGTCAGAAAAGATATTACGGCAATAGTCATGGAGGGAATGGCTCACATAACCAGACAAACCAGAATGGCGGTCGATACTCAAGAAGAAGCTATGTTCTTCTCGTAGCTACAATTGGTGCCGCCACATTGACTCCGGCTGCTCTGCTTGAGCTGGCAGAGAAGAAGAATCAAGAGGACGGGTCGAGCACTCGAGAGCGTGAGATGCTACATGCATCACGGGCGGAAGCACGGAGCCTAAGACGTACCGGAAGAGGTATAGAGCATGACAGCGATGGGGATGATACTGAAAGACAGAGAGCTCGGAATGTCCTATGGCGTATATACGGCTTTCTGGACGAGTACGTGTTCGAGGTTATTGCTACAGGGTTTCGATTTGTTCACCTGGTGGCTCTATTTATCCCGGTCATAGCGAGCGTACCAATAGTTTTCTTTGGAAGGAGGGTGAAGGATCGAGATAACCATAGGCGTGGTGCTCTACTATGGTATGCACTTGTAGTGTACACCATGGAGCGTGCCGGGTCGGCATTTATCAAGGTAATATCGTCCCCGATAGACAGCTACTATTCAGATTACCAGCTAACTATGCTTTCTATTAAACGTGCAGCTTGGGCAATGGGCTGCTTCAAGATCCGATATATTCCCCCCTGAGCTATGTACTATGATGTCCTCCTTACATTCACATGCACCGGCACACCCGCTACACGTTACGAAACGCACGATCAGTAGAGCGTTCAATGGCCTACCATTTGACGAGATCTTTGAGGAATTCGACGAAAAGCCACTTGGTGTGGGTGCTATTGCCCAGGTATACAAAGCAAAACTCCGGCCGGACCTGGCTGGTTCCCTAGATCGCGCATCTAAACCTGCGAATCTCCGCGAGAAGATGAGGAAAAACGTGAATGTTCTGGTTAAGAGCACTCCAGAGAGCGTTCCATCCTCATACATTGCGATCAAAGTTCTTCATCCAAATGTTGATAGGACCGTACGGCGAGACCTACGCATTATGGGATTTTTCGCTACTTTAATACACTGGATACCTACCATGGAATGGCTATCATTACCCGATGAGGTCGAAAAGTTTGGAGAAATGATGAAGCTCCAATTGGACCTACGAATTGAGGCAGCAAATCTGGCGTTTTTCAGAGAGAACTTCAAATCGCGAACTACGGCTAGGTTCCCCTACCCCTATACTGAATATACCACCCGTGAGGTGTTGGTAGAGGAGTTTGCTCAGGGTATCCCGCTTGCTGCATTTCTAGAGAATGGCGGCGGTGTTTTCCAGCATGACATTGCCCATGAGGGATTGGATGCATTCCTCCACATGCTGCTCATTGATAACTTTGTCCACTCGGACTTACACCCTGGCAACATTATGGTACGCTTCTATAAACCAAGCCAGCTAGACCTCTCCTTGAGCGTGCAGAATCCCCACGGAGCTTTGGTATCTGAGAGCGGGAACACTGTAACGGAATCAGTTCTGTCACGGTTGAGGAAACACCGGAAAGACCCAGCTGCCTGGAATGAGACCCTGAAGCAGATTGATGCTGAAGGATACCGCCCCCAGTTAATCTTTATTGATACCGGTCTTGTCACCGAGCTCAATGCTGTCAACCGACGTGACTTCCTCGACCTGTTCCGAGCCATTGCCGAATTCGACGGATATAAGGCCGGTTATCTTATGATCGAGAGATCCCGCCAACCTGACACTGTTATTGACGCAGAAATATTCGCCCTTAGGATGCAGCATCTTGTTCTCAGCATCAAGGGAAGAACATTTGCACTGGGCAATGTGAAGCTCGGCGATGTGTTAAGTGACGTGCTATATATGGTGCGGAATCACCATGTGAGACTCGAAGGTGACTTTATCAACGTTGTCATTTCTGCTCTTCTCCTAGAGGGAATTGGCAGGAGATTGGATCCAGATCTGGATATATTTAAGAAGTTCGTTAACATCCTTCTCCTCATCCTCTTTATCTGTTGCCACTGACTAAGATTTGAGTAGTGCACTGCCAATTCTCCGCCAACTCGGATCTAAATCTACGCTGCTCAAATCTGTCCGCGATGGAGATACATCGATGCTCCGTGTATGGGTTGGACTAGAAGCACGAAGCTTCCTCAAGGCCAGTATCTCCAGCGTCGAGAAGTGCGTGAAGTACGACCTCCTGTCCCCAAATATTTAACCCACGTATACTACCTACTACGTGTTGTGTATTATCTCCATATATCCCTTGCATGGCCCCGGGTATTAGTCTTTTAACTAGATACATACCTGTACATAATCTCGGCTATATCTCCTTGCATTTGGCGGATTACCTTGCATCCTTGCATCCTTGCTTGTACATAGACAGAGGCTTTCCCGAACTTTGGTTGCGCCATCTTCGAACCATGGCCTGAATAAATAGTTAATAAACACAAATCTCTACAGCGCATAAGCGGCTCTTCATCGTCTTTTGTATACAAACATATGAATAGAATCATGAGTAGAAGAGCGTTGATATCATATTCAATGCCCAGCATTGGGCGCTGCCATCGCTCGGGATTAGTCTGCCGAGAAAGAGATGATTGCTTCCTCCTCTGCCCTCCTTACTCCACAAGCAAACAACTTATCCCCGTAGATCTCACACAGGAGCTGCAGATGGGAAAAATTCTAGCAATACTGTCTGAAGGAGTTGACAGTTGCCGGCAGATTCCGACACAGCGACTGAGGGGGATCGAAATGCCATCCTCCAGCCTGTGTCTGCACGGCGACTATGGCGAATATTCCGAGATACCTTCGTCGGCCTGGAGATGAAGGATACAGAACTCCCACCATCGAAGACACCGAGAAGAACCTCGCTGCCGGCGTGCTTCCGTTTATATTCCCTTCTCAGCCGCCGACCCCTCGCTGTCCGACGCCGCCTGTCCTGTCACAGTTTCGTCAACGGCCGCCGCTGGCACATAACCTGCCAAAGATAAACGGAGACGGCGATGGGAACGGGACGATAACGCCAGTGCAGGGCCTAGAGGGCCAGCTTCCTTCACTCAGCTGGAGGGAACGCATTCGACATCTGACATGGTCGTTTTTCACGCTGACGATGGCCACGGGCGGGCTGGCGAATGTGATCCATACGATCCCTGTCGAGGCCCGGTGGCTACAGATAATCGGGCTGGTTATTTTTCTGGTCAACCTGGCTTTCTTCGTGGCTGTCGGTGCATTGATGTGTGTACGGTTCTACCTATATCCATACACCTTCAAGGCGTCGTTTCTGCATCCCACAGAGTCTCTATTTATCCCCGCCGTGATTGTGTCGTTTGGGACGGTTCTTATCAATGTCGCACAATACGGCCCCAGCCATACGGGAGAATGGCTGGCCCATGCAACAGTGGTTTTGTTCTGGCTAGACGCAGCATTGGCCGTCATCTTATCTGCAGGCATATACCTTATCCTGTATGTACGCCCGAGGTGTGCTTTTCCTAAAAGGGGAACGAGGTGGCTGACCGACATCATGTCTGCAGGTGGTCGACACAGACCTTTACAATTGCTAAGATGACGCCCATATGGATATTCCCAGCATACCCAATGCTGATCATTGGGCCCCATGCAGGCATACTGAGTGCCAGCGTGCCTCAGAGCCAGGCTCTTCGGATCATCATCGGCGGCTGGACGATACAGGGGATCGGGTTCCTGGTCTCTCTCATGGTATACTCTGCATTTATATACCGATTGATGACGCAGAAGCTGCCGAACGAATCCCTCAGGCCGGGGATGTTTGTTTCTGTGGGACCAAGCGCATTCACTGTAGCGGGGATCTTGAGCATGGCGGACAATGCTGCCAGATCGCTGCCGGCCGACTTCATGGGAGATGGGGAACTAACAGCAAAGATAATCTTTGTCGTTTCGAACTTTTCAGCCCTATGGCTATGGGGGTAAGTCAGACGGTGTGCCCTGGATGTCAGTACGTATGCTAAAAGACGGTCCAGTCTGTCAGTTTTCTTCTTCTTCATCGCAGTCTTTGCGCACTGGACGCCAGCTCGTCGTGGGCGGATGACCTTTTCGATGACCTGGTTCTCCTTTGTGTTCCCCAACACTGCGCTGACAACAGCCACTTTTGCTGTCGGAAGAGCATTTAACAGCAAGGGCATCCAAGTAGTCGGCTATGTCCTTACTATCCTGCTCTTCATCACCTACTTCTTCGTGTTCTTCGCGATGGTGAGGGCCATCCGGGCCCGCCAGATACTGTGGCCGCAGAAGGGAGAGGACAAGGACGAGGGAGGCTTCAAGATCAAAGAGCACAAGCCAAGTACCAATGGCATACTGCCTGCACATTCGTAACTGTAGCCTAGCATATATCTTATCTGTATTTTTCTATCTTTCTGTTATACTACTCCGTGCATATACATGTTTTTCTCCAGTCTGGCTGAGACGCGCTACCCTATGAGGCACTGCCGCCGCCCATCTGCCATCTACCAGGCAAGGTGGCCGAGTGGTCTAAGGCGTCCGACTCAAGTTTCTTACTTAGTTTGTGATCTAACACGAGCTTGCATTCGAATGTGGTTTACACGCGTGGGTTCGAATCCCACCCTTGTCATTTTTTTATTCTTTCATTTTTTTATCATACTTGTTCCATTCATTATTTGTTTCATTCATCTACTTACTGATGATACTTGCTTTCATATTATCTATCCCTGATGATAGATCGATGGCTGTGGAATCATTATTTCATCTATCGATCGAGAATCTTGGAACTGTTTGAGGTAGCCTTGTCGCTGTTCCGTATCAGGGATCTTGTTACGAGATTTGATACATGAAAGCTTACGACAACGAACGAACTTCACTCCGACTACTCCCCTAGACGCCGTACTATCATGAGAGAGACACCATCTTTTCTACCTTGTGAGTTTGGTGTTCAGGATGTACTATACACACAGTGGATCGCTAGGTAATACGGTATGTCGATAGCAATATCAACAAACGGAAAGACGATGACTAACTACCTTGATAGGGATGGCTTGAGATATCTCAGGAGCACCTTGGAGCCCCCAAGACAAAGATCAAACCCTTCGTTATCTCAGACCGGCTCTTTTGATGAACGGAGTAACTCCTACACGGTTCTCCACGGTTCACCGAGTCAGAGATGGACTTGGCCGTTCGGATTTCATGTCGAGACCATCAGAAACAGTTCCCACCAGAGCTGAAGTGCCCCAGGATTCTAGCTGATCTATGGAGACGGCTATCTATAGTTATCGGTGGAAGCCGGATCATCTGTTCATGAACCGGACGAGAGGGATTGACACCACATCCCAGTTGCAAATACGGTGCTGCTCGGGGGCAGGCAGTGTAGGTGTTTGACAACAGATGTCAAAACACCAAGCTGTCTGACAAAAAACCTGAAAACACCAAGACGTCTCTCAGTGCTCCTTTACCAAACGATAGCATACATTCCCTATATCCGTGAATGTCTCGTCAACCGACCACTAGGATGGGGACGAGCCGACAGCTTGCTTGTGGTCGGGTTGCTCGGACTGATGATCCCTTAGCATCCCGTATTGGAAGCGAGACTCTTTGCTCCATCCGCCCTTCTAGAAGACATCGATATGACGGAAGTCACTAACCAAAAAGCCATCTGCAGGTCCCCGGCCCGGCTTCTAGCTAGCTATTCTACTCGTCTACCCCACAAAGTCTTCCTCCACCCCAGCACCGTCTCGGAGGCCAGCCCAAAATCTAGGAGTGGAAGGATGGCAGCAAGGACGAAGGGTAGACGGCGGAGATGACGAAGAGGACGAAAAGTACTGTTGTTACGGGAACTCTGCCCCCCGCATTTCCCCGTGCAGGGAACGGCGCAAATTTGCGCTCCGCGTTCCGTAGCGCCAACAACGTGGCATCCATCAAAAGGGTGTCTAAAGCTAGGAGTGTGTTGTTGGCTCCCGACGGTCGACTTCCGTCAAGCTGGTTCCCAGAGACAATGATATTGTCCTTCCAAGTCATATTCTCTATAGCCAAAGAGGATTCTGGCGATCAATTGATCATTGTCGTTTCTGCTGGCAAAGAGCGCGAAGCCCCGGCTAATTTGAGAACGAGAGATCGTCATCGCGAACACCAAGTCAAACGCAGCCAAGCAAAACTGCTTCGGATACTGACAGCAAAAACACCATCTCCCAAGGTAGTCGATCGACACAGTCTACGGGGAGGAAGGTAGCATCTATCCATCTTCTTATTCCTCCTTCTCTTCTTCTTGAGGCGTATCCGGTCAGCAACGGACAGACCACGGTCTTTCCGCCGATCCAATTCTTCCAAGAAAAGATGGGTTCTATGATGCCAGTAAAGCATCTCTCATATGATGCATTTACAGGGGTGTTTTTGTTCTCAATGTGCTGTTATGCTGCCACACAAGGCCTTCCCCGAATGTGTGGGGAGTACTCCGTAGTTGGCCAAGCACAGCAGGAGGAGCAGGAGCAGCATGATAGTCATGGTTCTTCAGCTATGCCAAATGTGAGAGTTGATGGATCATGAAGATAAGGAGGCAGATGATGGCATTAAAACACCCTCTTACTTTACAGGGTAACATCACAGGATATAAGGGATATGAATAGAACAGATCTACACGCCACCATGTGCAGAGATCGAGTCCTCTCCATCTCACAGAGCGCAGGAAGGACAGGCCACAGGCTTTCCAGGACAGAGCATCTAAATTTATCACGAACGAATCAACACGAAGCCAACGGATTCTGATTCGAGGAACGAGGCCTGAGCTGCTTTAGTGCCACTAACAGGCTACTCTGCTCCGTATTTACAGCCTCCGCACACCGGAGGAAAGGCGGAAGATAGGAAGATAAATATGCCCGTCATGGAATAGACCAGTGGAACCGCCAAGGCAAGGCCGTCCTTGCGATCTTCAGACAAGCCTTGCCGTGGCGGCTCACTCGGGCCTGTCATTTGTTGCCCAAGGGCTCCATCTTCCATGCATTGCTCGGGGGTTCCAAAAGATCCATGCTCCTGGTCACAGAACCTGTTCTGCGCCTTTCTCTTTCTCTCAGCCCCTTTTCTCCCCCTTGCCCTGATAAATTGCTATATGTGCGTTGCTTATAGCTTCATTACGTCATCTCATGCAACAAATCACATGTTTGGGATTAACTTTCCCCCGTTATATCGCATAATAAGCTTACTTTAACGCGGCGAACAAATTAAAGCAAAAAGAACAACACAGACGAGAATGACAAGAATACGACAAGACGGAGGACCGCGTCAGCCAAACCGGTCGCTATTCTCTTCCCCAAGGTATGGAGGCTGTGGCTCAAGTTGCCGGTGGCATGGGGCACGAGGACAATGGCTTGGTGTTGTGTGCTAACTAACTTGCCTTGCATGCATATAAAAGTTGACGATATCAAACACCCCTGCAAAATCGCCGGCCATGGGTGTCTCAAGGCTCAGATGGTGCAGAAGAAGGCTCAGGCGGACACCCGTGCTAATTCTGTGTTACGGGTGACGACCACTGACACGAGGAAGAAAGAGGCGAGTCGGGTCAGTAGTGGGCTTAAACTCACTCGTGGCAGGATAAACATTCTCTAACGGTGTGAAATTTGGTTAACTCACTGACTCACTCCCATGGTTGGTGATCCTGGGGCGGTGGATCAGCTTTGAGTTTTTGCCTGTCCTGACGGTCTTGTCCGACATGTACGGCCCTGTACAACAACCGCCTTTTTTATACTCCCGTAACGTGGCTGGGCATTTTTACTCGGAGAGCAAAGTCTCTGTTTCCAAGAGTACGGGGTACCTGGGCCGAATGTGCCACAGCGCCGTAGCCAAGGAGAATGCTCGTTGCATCGTCAGATGTTACAACAATGCCTCCTAATTAAACCAAGAGGTTCTAAATTAGACGACTAACTCAGTGACCCTCTCCAAATCCGACCTCATACAGGGGTATGAGTGCGCCAGGCCGGTGGCCACACCAAAGCAAGGTTCTATGAAGCTTCTTTCCAACGGAGGCTATGGTCGCGTATGGCGCCATAGACTCGTGTTAACACCTGTGTTATGATGTCGACTTGCCGCCCATGGAGAGGGTAACTGAAGGAATTATTTGTTCACTCATCTCTGGCGATTCGATTTATGCCTTTGCCTCTCTTCGAGCGTCTCTGGGCGAATCAGATACTATATATTGGGTTCGTCGGGTGCAGTGGCTTTGTCTGGCGGAAGATCGACATGCCGCTATGATATCTCACTGGCCTGACACCTCAGGACGAAATATCAATATCATAGCTGCTCTCGAGAATGTCTCGGTACATTGCCTTGCTCATCCGTTGAATATGCCTTCGAATGCCGAGGTTGGCTGGAATGGAGAGTTTGGGTTCGGTGCCCCTGGATAGGCTTCAAGGATAGCCATGCTTGAATAGCCTTTTTCGCGGGGTTTCATGCCATGTCTGGGATTTCGCAATGAAAATCTCCGCATGACCCCTGCCCTCACATTCTACCTATGTAATATGTAATCATGCTGTTGCCCATGGTTTAACCCTATTGTCATGGTTATCAGAATGCGGGGGCCAATCCACGCCTACCGCTCTTCTCTTGAAGAAACGGATCTGCATTCTTTGGGCCTCCCAAACCCCAAAGCCTCACTCGTTCCCACTATCGTCTCATCTCTTCCCCTTTACGGATGTGCTCCGGTGCTTCAGCATTTGTATCTGTACATGCCTCTTGACCCACCGAATAGCAGAGAGCAATAGGGGCCCCGAAACCAGCCGGCCTCATCTCCCCATTCTAGTGATCTTCGCTGAATGTTACATTCCAGCTCTAATACCAAATCGCCAGGTGACTTAGGAGCTTCGGCTGCATATTCTCTCATTGCTCCCCGATACGACGAGACGAACGCCGATCATGAGCATAGCCTGCCCAACCAAGGCTGGAACACTACAATCATGTCCTTCGGGAAGCGCCTTATCTAGGCATTCCTAATGTCAGGGATATCGAAGGCCGGGGGTTTAGTACCCAATTTTACTGCGGATTGGGAAGAGAGAATCCGCCAACGATGCTCTCATAGTTAATCACCGTAAATTGGTACCTTGGTTGGCATATCCGTATACAATACCCAAATTCCAAAATCTATATCAAGGCCTTCCCCTCCCGCCAGAATTCTGGTTTTTTTTTCCTTTCCCTCTCCAAGCAATCAATTGCCTTCACTCCCACTCTTCACCAGTCAAAAGCACACAAAGGTTATCACTCAATATGGGTTTCATCACCAAGGCCATCCCTCTCGCCCTGGCGGCGGCATCTGTCATCAATGGCGCTGAGATCTTGGAGACTCGCGCTGGTGTCCAGACCCTCGCTGACAAGTATATTGTCGTGATGAACGATGGTATGACCGACAAGGACTTCGACTCCCACCGCTCCTGGGTCAACCGCACCCACCGCCGCCGTCTGGTCCGCCGCGGTGCCAAAGCCATGACTGGCATGAAGCACACCTACCGCTTCCCAACTGGCATGAAGGGATACTCTGGTCACTTCGATGAGCAGATGATCAACGAGATTGCTAAGCGTGCTGATGTAAGGATCAATTATACTTCCTTTGATGAGCGCATCAAACTCACAATACTTCTAGGTCAAATACATTGAGCGTGATGCCCGCGTTCAGATCAACGCCATTGAGATGCAGGACAATGTTCCATCCTGGGGTCTTGCTCGTGTCGGCTCCAAGGAGCCTGGTGGCACCACCTACTACTATGACAGCTCTGCTGGTCAGGGCGTTACTGCCTATGTTATTGACACCGGTACCGATATCAAGCACGAGGAATTCTCTGGCCGTGCTACCTGGGGTGGCAACTTCGTTGATGACATCGACATGGACTGCAACGGCCACGGTACTCACGTTTCTGGAACTGTCGCCGGTACCAAATTCGGTGTTGCTAAGAAGGCCAATGTTGTTGGCGTGAAGGTCCTTGACTGCGACGGCTCCGGCTCCAACTCTGGTGTCATCATGGGCATGGAATTTGCTACCAACGACGCCAAGAAGAAGGGCGCCGGCAAGGCTGTCGCCAACATGTCTCTCGGCGGTGCCTTCTCCCAGGCCTCCAACGATGCCGCTGCCGCAATTGCTCAGGGCGGTGTCTTCCTGGCCGTTGCCGCCGGTAACGACAACGTAAGTGCCTTCAAAAGGCTAGCTGCTAGATCCCTTTTACTAATCAGCATGTAGGTTGATGCTGCTATGGCCTCCCCAGCTTCTGAGCCATCCATCTGCACTGTTGCTGCCTCCACCGAGCAGGATGGCAAGGCCTCCTTCTCCAACTACGGCCAAGTCGGTATGTATATCCAATTTCATTCACCCTTACCCCGCCACTAGCGACAAAAGGGAAATGACGCTAACATCTGTTCAAGTTGATGTCTACGCTCCCGGTGACGGAATCACCTCCGCTAAGCCAGGTGGTGGCTCTCAGGTCCTCTCTGGAACCTCCATGGCCTCCCCACATGTTGCTGGTCTCGCTGCCTACCTTATCGGCACCGGCAAATCTGGTGGCCCTCAGCTTTGCGACACCATCAAGAACATGGCCATTGATGTCATCACCAACCCCGGCGCTGGTACCACCGGCAAGCTCATCAACAACGGATCCGGCAAATAAACTGATAACCTTCTTTGGGGGTTTGCTTTTGACTGGAGAGTTTACGAGTAAACTACGTCCCCCGATATGATTTCTTTCCACCCTCTTGAACATACATGAAGAGCAATGGTCGAACTGTTCGGCTTGTAAATAGCTTTTTGTTTGATGGCTGTGCCTCACTTCTTTCTTTACAGCGGGTAGCTTTATCCATAATATGTACATACCAATGGATTACCTTGAAATTCTAAATTTATCCCTCTTTTCCAGAACGCATCTTTTGTAGCTACTGCTTTTTTTGAGGCGCAACCTACCTTAGCTTGAGATTGGCAACTCGACCAAGTGGAGGCTCTAATAGCTGTGCAAGCTCGCTTTATGCTCGTAAGTTAAACTAGTGGCGGAAGCGGCGCTAGTTCGACTTTGAGCTTAATTTTACCTCTGGGCACAGCTTAAGGCGGCGAGGATCCCGCTTAATAGACGCCAAGGACCTTAAAGCGGCCACATGAATCTCCCACGAGTTGACTTGCTCCTTTACATAGTCAAATCAAACAGCAGCAGAATTCAATGCACCACAATGCGGCTGCAACTAGCAGTCAAATATTAGAGGACAGTTTATATGGGTATCTTCTGTGTAACAACGTGATAGGATAATTTAATAGCAATATATCACAGGAAAGCGGTTTTCTTTCGGCTACTATTAATAGGTTCTTGATGTTCCCGTCTCCACTTAGCCCAAAGCGTACTCCGGCGACATGCCGCCGTACGTCCGTGCAAGTTCACAGATACGAGATATAACTAAATAGGGACTCCGGGTAAACAAAACCTCAAGTTTGACATTGGGCCTTTTATCATCGAGATGGCTATATAACAGGCTCGGTTTGCTCTTTCATATCGAATTATACAACGCACAACTATCGCTTCTCTACAGCCTCTTGATACCATAGAACCAGCCATCTACAATGGATCTGACCCATAGCCTAGAGCGTACATGCTCAAAGAGTGACTCTAAATTCCATGCAGCTGTTTTTACGGCTGCCAATAAAGGTAGGACAAAAGTACACCTGGATACTTCAACATGATTGCTTAAAAGTTCTAGACCAGGTATTACACTCTATTACCTATGGCACCCGAAAAGTAGATGGGTCTGGGGATGCTGTGACAGAGGACTCAATGTTTTGGTGCGCGTCTATGACCAAGATTGTCACTGCTGTCGCCGTTATGATTGCCGTTGAGAAGGGGTTAGTAGGCTTAGATGATGACGTTGGAACCATCCTGCCGGAGCTAGCTGAGCCTGAGATAATCGTCGGGTTTGAAGAAGGTGACAACGGTATGTTTGCGTCATCCTGCAGCTGAATATGCAAACTAACCAGGTTACTAGGCAAACCTATCCTTCGTAAGGCAAAGGAAAAAATTACCTTGCGACGGCTATTAACCCACTCTAGTGGGTTCGTATACCTGGCTGTTAATTCATCTGTTAAGAGATGGGCAGAGTACTATAATCACACCGATACGACAGATATAACTTCCAGGGTAAGTGGAATGCAGCCTGACACACACCAGATACATACAGGACTTCGGGATAAGAGAACTTAACCTTCTTTTGTAGGACACATATCGCCTCCCGCTGGCTTTTGAACCAGGAACGTCTTGGGGCTATGGGCCCGGGGTTGACTGGGCTGGGTGTGTCGTCGAAAAAGTTTCGAACCAGAAACTCGGGGATTTTATGCAAGAGAATATATTCGGAAAACTCGGTATGACAGCAACGACGTTCCATCCCGAAAATCATCCCGAGTTCGATGCAAGATACGTTGAACTTTCGCAACGAGCACCAGATAAGAGTCTATCCACGATCCCGGTCCCATACCCAACCCCTGCGAAGGATGATTTGGGTGGTATTGGTTTATACTCGACGCCCAGTGAGTTTATCAGATTCTTGCAAATGATACTTCGCAACGGAGAGAACGTGCTGCGACCTGAAAGCATCAACGCAATTATTTCTCCCCAGCTCGAGTGTAATAAAGAAGTAAACGCAATTCGAGACCGAGGCCCGAAGATCATGAGCCGCCTTGTTAACCCTGGCAAGGTAATTGACATGGGTCTGTCGGCGGGTATCAACTTGGATCGAGTTCCAGGAGCCCGTTACCCAGGTGCCATCTCCTGGACTGGAGCGGCAAACACTTTCTGGGTATGTATTTCCACCTTTCTTCGATTTCTACTTCTTTCTAACATGTTATGTAGTGGTTGGATATGAAGGCTGGTATCTGCGGAGCCCTCTTTTTGCATTCATTCCCTCCTTTTGATATTGCCGCTCTGGACTTACTGGATGAGCTGGAGGCTGGTGTATATAAACTGCAAGGTGCATAGCAACCTAGCAAAGTTGGTAGAAAAGTGATTTTGTGGTGTTGAGTTTAACAATAAATATCGACTAGTTACCTAGGTACCTAGTTAGCCTACCAGGGAAGTTAGCTTAACTAACTTGGCCTCGGCAAGTTTATTGAGACTTCTTCATGCATTGATTGCCAACTACAACTTCACATGCTCGTTTTTGCTTATAACACGCAAGAATTGCTACGTGCATCTATACCATCTGAGGATATAACTGACAAAGACGTACCACCATGACTTCGCCCGACAACCGTAAATCCGTCCTCATAACTGGGTGAGTATCCGCCTTCCAGTTTGATGATATCAGAAGAATTAACATTCTCCTTTTAGCTGCTCACCAGGGGGTATCGGTCATTCCCTAGCCCTTGAGTTCCAGCGCAATGGCCTGCGAGTTTTTGCAACCGCCAGAAACAAAGAGGTGCTTGGGGACCTCGAGGAGAAGGGAATTGAGGCCATGAACTTAACGGTAGACGACGAGCAGAGCATCCTAGCATGCTTTGAAGAGCTCAAGTCTAAGCTAGGCAAAGGGAAAGGACTGGATATTCTCGTCAATAATGCGTAAGGGCTCTATTATTTTAAAAACATGTCGGATTGAGCCTTTTGCTAACATACTGAATACAGTGGACGGAGTACGCCTGCCATTGTTATTTCTACTTTATGCATCCCAAGCTAACCGTATTCATTTCAAAGATTATACCGTCCCAGCACTTGATGTTGACATGGACGAAGTGCGTCAGACGTTCGCAACTAACATTATAGGAGTGATTCATATGTGCAAGGTCTTCACTCCGCTCATCATTGAAGCCAAGGGCACTATTGTGCAGATTGGATCTGTTGCAGGGGTAAGAGATGTTTCCGAAGGGGTTAAAAAGCTGCCTAACAAACTGATAGATGATACCCTATGTTTTCGGCTCTGTATATAATGCCACCAAAGGCGCATTGCATTCATACAGTGACACGCTCAGAGTGGAACTAGAACCCTTCGGGTACGTACAACGGGCTGCAGCCTACATATACCTTGACAAGATCTAAAGTTGACGGAATATACCAGCGTCAAAGTTGTCACTATCATAACTGGCGGCGTTCAATCCCGGATTGCACGTACGCCACGTCGTTTGTTGCCGAATTCTCTCTACCAGCCCATTCGATCCGAATATGATCGAAGAGTTGTGCACAGCCAGGATAATGCCACCCCAAATGAAGCGTATGCTCGCCGGGTAGTGACCCAGGTACTTTATGGGCCAGCTCCGTGGCGTTGGCTGTGGCCGTGGGGTGTAAGCCCGAGAAAATGGGTTTGGGCTGGAAGCAAAGTTACCTCGATTTATCTGCTGTACGGCGCCTTTTTTTGGGTCGGAATCTTCAACTATGCCTTGGGGCGTATGTTCAACTTGGGAAAGTTGAGATCCCGGTCATAAATTTCAGTTAAGGGTATTCGGCCGTCGAGTAACGGGTATGTGGAAGAACAGCGGTGGAGGGAATATTGTAATAAATTTGAAATATACCAACTGTTAAGCTCTGTCTCAAGGTCATTCATAGTCAATATTTTCTCCTCTTACATATCCTTATACATAACTAGTTACAGATTTCCAAAGAAAAAAAGACGAGTCCTTCTATAGATTAACATGTGGCGTATAGACTGAACCCACATTTTACGTGCTAAAATAAAAATAGTGACACAAGATGGAAAGTGAAGGGAAGCAAAAAAGACATATGGACCGATAACTTGAAACAGGGGCCGTGGGTTCACCTAGTGCTCTTTTTCTGCGACAGTAGGAGTGAAAACGGTTAGTATGGCATGTCAGGGATCTGAGAAAGGAGCATACGCCTTGATTGACTCGTTGGGCCTTCCCTCACTCCCGGTGAGAAGGGCTCGGACACACAAGAAGGGAGGGAAAGGATGCAAAAAAAAGTCGCAAATGGTGGTCCGTGTTTTAAATACCGAGGGTGAATTCAACGCCGACATCAATGTCTCTGGCCATCTTGACGACCTTGGAGAATTGGACGGACTTCTCAGCGGCGACCTGGAGATCCTCGATGGAGAAGATCTTGAGGCCAGATTCACTGATCTATAGGAAAGAGTTAGAAAACATGGTAACCTTGCTTTAGCTGCGGGATAGACATACCAAGGCATGGGCCTTCTCCATGTTAGTACCCTGCAGTCTGGCGACGATAGGGGTACGGAGGTTCATCTCCTGGACGACATTGATCAAACCCTGAGCAATGGCATCACATCGCACGATACCTCCGAAGATGTTAACGAAGATGGCGGTGACCTTGGGGTCACTGGTGATGAGCTCGAAGGCAGATCGGATAGCAGCAGGGGTGGCACCACCGCCGACGTCAAGGAAGTTAGCAGGGCTTCCACCGTTGAGCTTGATGATGTCCATAGTGGCCATGGCGAGACCAGCACCGTTGACTTTGGAGGCCGAAGAGTTAGTAAAGTTTCCATGCAAGTTAAGAGTATTAAAGACGGAGCTTACCCAAGCAGCCAATGTCTCCATCCAACTTGATGAAGTTGAGACCGGACCTATGACACAAGTCAGAACTGCAAATGAGCTATGGAAGATCAGAAGTGGGAGCATACTCGGCAGCCTTGACTTCGTCAGCATCTTCTTGGGTGGTATCTCTCCAGGAGAAGACCTCCTTCTGTCTGAAGTCGGCGTTGTCGTCGAAGCCAAGCTTGGCATCCATAGCAAGGACCTGGTGGTCGGAGGTCTCAGACAGAGGGTTGATTTCGATCTGAGTGGCATCCCTCTCCATGAAGACCTTGTAGAGCTTCTTGATGGTCTCGACAGCCTCTGGGACACACTGCTCAGAGAAACCAAGACCGGTGGCAATGTTGTGGGCGATTTCATCAGTGACGCCAGTGTGGATGTCAATTGGGGTGGTGGTGATGGCATCGGGGGTGTCCTTAGCAACAGCCTCGATGTCCATTCCACCCTGGGAGGAGGAGACGATGACAGGGGCCTGGGTTTGACGGTCCATCAAGATAGCGAGGTAGAACTCTCTGCGGGCGAACTTGCGCTCACAGATGTACACGGCGTTGCAGAGACGGCCCTGAGCACCGGTCTGCTTAGTTATCAGCTTGTGGCCGATCATCTGGTCGGCGAACATGCGGGCCTCAGTTGGACTGAAGTAAAGGTCAGTTTAGCTCCGTGACGCCGCAAAGGGCGAGTGCAGCCATTGGGAGAATTGAACACGTACGAGTAGATAACTCTGACACCTCCCTTCAAGCCATTGTCGAAGGTACCCTTTCCACGGCCACCGGCCAAGACCTGGGCCTTGATGACCATGTCCTCACCACCTACATCATATCATCCTCTAGCCTTAGTCTCGGTTTTCCCGATTTAGTCAAATTTAGGTGAGACGGAGGTAAATATACCGATCTTCTTTGCGATGGCCTCAGCCTCTTCGCCGCTGCGAGCAACTTCACCCTTGGGGACACCGACGCCATACTATATAGCGGTCATGGGCGCGTTAGAAAAGCTATGCCTGGCCGGCTGATAAAAGAGAGCTAGAGCTTGAACTGGCCGAATACTGACAGACTTGAGGAGGTTGGCGGAGAGGTATTCGTGTATGGAGAGGTTCCTTCGCTGCGATTGAGCGAATCTGCTGCGAAGAGGCGACTCCTACAGGCATCACAGGTCCGGCATGTTAGCATCGCGTTGCCGTCCAGGCATGAAAGGAGGCCCGTTGAGGGTCAATGGCTGTGGCTCGTTGCAAAGCGGGTGCAGGTAACTCACGACGGCGGATCTGAAAGCCGCAGCAATTGGCTTGCTACGGGCGAGCTTGAACATCTTGAGGAAACGGCTCCGGGCGTCCGAACAAAGAGGATTATAAATACAGGCAAAGAGACGGGCGATGGAGCAGGAGGAGGAAAAGTCGAAGACGATGTTCGGATTTTGTCGAAGGAGCGAAGAAAGTCGAAGTTGAAGTCGAAAAGAAGAAACAAGCAAAAAAAAATCGGAAACGTGGTAAAGCTTGGTAATACGGATACAAATACAACCCGATCTGCTCCGGATACCGCAAAAAAGCTAGCGAGCTGTACTGAAATATCAATACCACAGTTACGGGCCTAGCAAAATGCTTGTTTTGCTTTCTTCGACTTCTGCGATTTTCATGTTGATTTGATATTTGATAATTCAAAGAATTTCATTTACTTGCAGCTATCTACGTCTACGGGAGAGGAAGAAGAAGACGAGGGAGAGAAGATGCCGGCTACGAGTTCAGAGGCAGATGTGATATTCAACAGAGCCAACGTTGCTCTCGCGAGAAGCCAGAGACTGATCGCATCCTGGCTGCCGCCTAAAACCGCTGATGAAACAGCCAACGCAAAGTCTGAGGAAGAGCTCCAGAAGGAGGAAGATGAGATATTCACGGCAGTTCCAGAGAAGTGAGTAGTAGCAGTTGTATTTGTATTCTGTTATTAAGTAACTGTAGAAGGTCTTTAAGCTAATATGTCTTGCGTGCGTTTTTTGGTAGACTCGGCCTGGGAGCTCCTCTTCCTCAGAAAGAAGCTGACGGCAGTATCAAACGAACTGAACTCAGCTCCAACGACAAGCTCCGGAAGCATCTATTAGGGAAAAACTTTCAAAAGGCCGAAGCGTCAAGGCTGAAGAATGCAAGCACTCGAACCAAGCAGGCAGGCCCTGCTCCCAGCCATAAAAATGAAATAATCGAGGAGAGTGACGAGGAAGATGGCAGGTCGGCGTTGGGTAAAGGCAAGAAAGGAAAGAAAGCTGATAGTCAGCCGCCAATTTCCTCGGGGACGGACTCCGGTAGAAAGAAGAGGACCAGCAGTTATTTGGACGAGGTTCTATCCCAGAGAAAAGCGAAGAAAGGGAGAAAGTGAGAGAGCCATCTTTCATCATCACGGTGCATTTCCCCTTGGTTGGCCGGTTTGGAATTTCCTCAATAAATCCTCACAGGTCGTAATCTCACGGCTCTTTTGACTCCTAAGACCCGAGCCAGAACCCGAGATGTTTGGTGGTGGTGTTGGTGTTGAGCCAGGCTCTGTCCTCCCTACCCTGTTTGGCTGAGGCGTCGATTCTGGCTGTAGCTGCAGCTGTAACTGCCTCTCCTGTTGTTGAGCCTGCGTTTCAGCAAGCCTTTTAACATACTGGGTCGCTGTGCCGTTCCGCGAGGGCAATTGATGGCCTGGTGTCGACGCGCCATTTGCCTGCTCTGGCTTCCTGAATGGCTGCAGCAGGTCTTCCATGTCTGGCTTGTGTTCTTGTATCACGCGTCGTTGCATCTGGTTCAGGTCCTGCAGGAATTCGATATTGGTACATTCTCCATCCGCCTCACCAAGCACGTTGAAGGTCACCCATAGGTGTCTCATTTCGTTTCCCTTGGGGAATCTCTCGTAGATCACGGAAGCCAACTGGCCAGGGACCTTTCGCCCTGCCTGATCAAATAGCTCAAGCATCTGCTTCATGACCAGCACCTTCCAGCTTTCTCCTCCTCCCAGCTTTTGGCCAACACAATACAAGGCGATCACTTTGCCATATTCCACATTCGTGTCCACAGTCACTCCAGGCCGCATGTAGGTGCTATAGAGCCATTCCACAAAGTTGGTGAATGTGTTGGAGTCTATATCCCGGCGCCTGACTGGACCTGTAGAGTTCTCTACTTCGAAGAGGCTTGCAAGCCCAGTAGATTCCAGCAAAAACGAATGTACCTGGAATTCCTCCTCGTCTGGTCCAATGATGAACCGGACTGTAGATTTGAACTGGTTCCTATTCATCTTGTCAGCGTATTCGTGTGTATGTTTTTTTTTTTTGGTATGTCCTTCCAGGAGGGATAGCTGGTTAAGTGGTAGGGGAACAAAGCATGTAGCAAGGAGAAAATGTAAACATATAACTACCTAGTAGGCAGTGAATGAAAAGAGAGAAAATACAGACAATGACTTTGTGGGTAAAGCCGTAGCTTCACTAACAGACTCGACAGGCTCAGCAGGCTCAGCAGGCTCGACGGTCTTCTGCCTCTTCTCTGGTATCGCCTTCTGCGCTGCCGCCGAAGTAGACGCCGCTCTCTTCTTCCTTGCCGTCTGTGATGATGTGCTCCTCCGCGGCGCCATCTGGCGCTGACGTTTGGTCAATATCGGCGTTTCACTGTCAGATAAAATGTCATACACACTTGACGGCGAATCTGAAGAGTATCCGTCTACTAGATCGTCCAATTGGCCTATGACATTTGCTCGCTCTGCAACCCTGCTGGGCGGAGTGTGCGAGGACGAGTAGTACCTCTTCACTGGCATGCGGAAAAGCTGGAGTAATAATTAAATAATGCCAAGATTGCTGGATCGTTGCTATCAAACGTATGGCTTATGCAGGCCAAATTGGTAGTTGATGAAATATTTGAATCGAGACTGTAGAAAGATGTAGGATGGGTCTCTCTTTGTCTGCTGAAGATATTTATACTCATGAAGTCTGCTAGTCAGTGAATTTAAGCCTGCTTGCTCGGCAGTAACAAAATAGTGATGGGTGCTGAATATATAAAGAAGCCCCTGGCCAAAAGCTCTCATTTGCACATTGAAAATAAGGATAAAATAGCTACAACTACCTTCCTATGCCATGGTATATGCATGCTTCCGCACAAATGCTGTGTCCATCCAAAAGAGTAAAAAAGAACACCTCCCTCCCGCCATCTGCCCCCCAAAGAGGAAAGAAAGATATATAAAAGCCTAGACTAGGAGCTGTAGATCCCATTCCCAATGGCTTTACTGTACAGCAAACTAAAATGGTACCATCCCGACCTTAAAACACCCTACAACCGTGAAGAGCGAGACTGAGGTAGAGATAAGACAGGCAGAAGGAGTTTGAAATGAATGGAGAAGGGTGGGGTTGAAAGAGAAAGAGAGTGATAATAAGGAGAGATGAGAGGGAATGGAAAAGAGTATGTATATCTGGTATGCCGGGACGAGAAAGCCTGGGTTTGATGGATATAGGGTTTGCTGGTGGTATATAGAAAATGAGAGGGAGAGGGAGACCTCCGCCCATCGATGCATGCCAAACCGAAGAGGGAAGGGTATTGAGATGAGATGTACAAGGAACAAAAGCTGGGTTTTGTGGATGGCTGTAAAGCAAATGGGTATTTTTTTGACTTTTAGAAAAGGGACCGTTGAACGGATCCAAGATGGCTTCTGGTATGGAATAATGATAGAAAGGAATAAACCAAAGAAGAAAAAATAATGAGCATACGCAAAGAAAGAGAAAAAGACTGAGGATAAAGTAGCGCAAAAAAAGTAAACATGAAAGAACTGATATAGTAAGGGAAAGGAAGGAAAGCTGGGCGCATCACTGGAGTCTCTTTCGTTTCCGGTCTTCTCCTAATGGACCATCGGGCTCTTCTGCCCGTTCAGCTGCACTGGACGGGTGGCAGGCATTGACTCTACTGGACGGGGGAACTTGGGTCCTCCTAACGCCCAGCCGTTGTCTGGCTGAGACGGGTCAAGAAAGGGTGGCGTGACATGTCTAGACTGCTGTCCCTGCTGCTGCCGCCGCGGTCCACCGAGCTCATACCGTGCTAGTGCATCCCGGACATGCTGATCAGAGGAATTGGGATTTCGATTTGGTGAAGAAGGCCATTGGACGGATGCACCGGGGCCGTACTGCGAGTTGGGAGAGGGACCGGCTGATGGCGGCCAGCCGTGCTGTCTGATGTCGGCTGAGGTGTGGCGGCGGGCAAGGTTGGGGCCTGGAGGAGACGAGACTGATGCTAGAGGGTGGAGGGTTGATTGATGAGGGATCTGAGGTTTGCTGTAGACTGGTGTTGGGTTTCCGCCGAGAGAGCCCTGACGGTGTGGCGAGATGGTGATATGGGGTGGTAAGGGATGGCGGATTCCGGACGGCCGTCTCCCGTCATCCTGGCAGACCTGGCGTGGGGAGAGCGGCGGAGGGCCGGGGTCCATGGACATGGAGAAGTAGGGCTGTCGTCCTGCCAGCATGGCTTCCTGGGGGTTTTCCAGAGTCCGGATGTAGTCCAGCTGTCGGGTTATTTCTCGTTGCATATTTGCAGCTGGTATAGAATGTTAGCTATACATCTATATACGTCTCGGAGAATTAAGTATGGGCACTTTAACCGACCTTCTTTATGTATAGAATTCTCGGCATCAGGGACCAGGGAGACTATAAAAGACGACATCGTACTTGTCCACTGTTGACGGAGGTAATGTTAGTGAATAGACCCAAACAACAAGGAGTGCTAATGGTATTGTCTCCCACCTGATGACATCTAGCTAGGCCGTCGGCGAGGATATGGCAATGTGAGCTTAGAAGCGCGTTGTGATCCTCCATCCGCGCCAGGCGGTTATGCATGTCATACAAGGATTGTTCCAGATTAGCCATTCTGGGGTCGAGTCCGTCCATGGCGGCTTCAGCGGGAGTACCTGGCTGCGACTGATTTGCCTTGTGGGTCGAGAAGGAGTCTCGGTGAATCAGCGCATGTCTGGAAGCTCTCCGCTTGATGTCTCGGAGGCCAGCAACATCACCCTTTCGAAAGCTGCCGTTTCCGTGTCTGAATTCCCACATTGGCGAGTCCGGCGACCCTGTGTGGAAGACATCGCTCACTTTGTGGAAGCCATACATGTTTAGCTGTCTGACAAATGACGATATATTGGTATGTTTGAAATATTGCCTATACACCAACAACAACAAAAACTGTTGATTAGACACAACACAAACACAAAACCATATATATATGTATGGATCAACTGAAACACACTGATGAGACAAACGTACGATAGAACCTTTGAAAAGTCTGAGGAGGGAGACATGACGAAGCTCTCATTGGAGCTTGACCATGATATCAAATGTTGGATGCTGGGGTCCTGCAGCATACTATAGAAAAGCCGTTAGCATGTCCCGCAACAAACAGTCTCCCATGAGAGGAAAAAGGGGGTCTAACCTATATAGTTTATGAATGAACGCGGTCTGGACGACCTTGGGCTGCTGTCCGGCAGCTGCGGCGCCAATTGGATGGTTCGAGTTCGCAGCTTGCGACTGCGCTGCTGCGTCCATGGGAGAAGTGCCGTTTGTGTGGTTTGCATTGGCATTGGCATTCGCATTCGCACTTGCAGACTCCGGCTCTGCACCGTTCTGGAGCGGCGGAGCCATGGAGGTCGAGGTCGAGGCGGACGGGCTCATGTCCATGGGGTCACCGGGACTGATAGAGTCGTTTGCGGGACCGGGGGGACCTGTGGGCGAGAGAAGTGGTATTGTCCTGGACTTCGTGGCGAGGTCGCTGACCGGAGGCGCATGGAACGGGTTTCGCAAGGGAGGATCAAGCATGCGGTTCATGGTCAGGGCAGAAGCAGAAGGAGAGGGAGAAGGGAGAGGAGGAGGAGCCGAGAGCGCCAGACTGAGGGAGGCCGCCGCGGATAACTAGTCGAGTATGTATGGATGGGCTGTGGAGAACTAAAATCGGCCGGTATCGCCAAAGCTCTCCCAGGGTAGTTTAGCTAGTCGAGACAGTTAAACGGCCTGACCGTTTTACGTCCACCCGCAAGCGAGGACGAAGGCGAAGACGAGGACGAAGACGGGGACGAGGGAGAAAAAGGGAGCGGCCGCGGCTGGAAGAGAAGAAGAAGACGAAGACGACGGGTCGAGTCCGGGGAAGCTTCGCGCAGAGGCGACGGCTTGCAGGGAGACGCAGTGCTTGACTCGAGGGGAGTATACGAGAGAGAGACCTGCCCCCCGGCTGAGTCCTTAACTAAGGGCAGGGTTTACGGGCTGTCGCAGGCCGGCTTTGGGTGGGGGACGGCGATGGACACGCTGGAGCTGGTGGAGCCGTAGAGGGGAAGCAGTCGACGGTATCGCAGAGGAGCAGCCAGGAGCATCGCATTCACGGTGGCAGACGCTGTAGATGCTGCTTGTCGGTGGTGATGCTGGTGGTGCTGGTGCTGATGGTGATGGTGGCTGTAGCTAGTTCGTACTGGCGACGGCGATGGAGGTTTTGCGCAGGAGAAGCTGCAGCGAGCCTTGCAGCAGCAGAGCGGCGGCGATGAAGACGAAGACGAAGACGGCGACGAAGAGGATGAGAGAGACAAAGACAGAGAGAGGACAGAACGGGTCGAAGGGAGGATTCGCAGGACTCGAGGAGCGCTGTTTCAACGGGTTTCGTCAGGGCGAGGATGGTGCTTTTGAGGTGGCCCGTCAGTCAGTCAGTCAGTCAGTCGAAGGGGACTCTTTTTCCTCTAGAAGAGACGAAGAAGACGAGAAGAAGAAGAAGAAGAAGAAGCAGAAGCAGAAGAAGAAAAGAAAAAGCAAAGGAAGACAAATAATAATAAAAAAAGGAGACAGAGAGAGGCGAAGGGGCGGAAGTCCTTCAGGAGGTCTTGGGGCGAGCAACAGCAGAACTACTCCGGGGGCTTTCGTCTGGATGATCTGGATGATCTGGATGTCTGTATCTTGTGTATTATCTATCTTCTACGGACAGAAGAGAGAGTTACGACTTCTGCTTACCGCTGGCATGGCACGCCTGCTCGATGGTACTTTTTTTGACCGACCGACAGGCAGGCAGAGGACTCGACAGGGACTGGGGGTGCTGGCGCTGGCGCTGTACGGGGTGAAGACGAGCCCAGGGATCAAGGGGGCCGCTGCGAGCTGTGCAAAGGAACTATTTATAACAAGACGAACCAGGAGCAGCAGCAGGAGATGAAACAGTCGAGAAGATGTCGAGAAGCGATCGAGAAGATGAGACGAGAAAGTCACTAGCTAGCCAGAAGTACCTCTGGCGATGTAGCAGTCATGTACACCAGTTAGTTATTTAGCTCGTTATACGGGCGGACGAAGCTGAATATAATATTGGTCGGTAATATAACTCGACTAGCTAGCCAGCAGCAGGTAGCAAGTAGCATCAAGCAGCAGCAGCAGGCAGTGGATGGTTATACATCTTCTCCTGCATTTCAGCCTCAATAATCAGTAGGATCTTCTTCCCTTCTCGTCACGTCGTTTCCCCTAGTCTCTGCTACTATTTCTTTTCTCTGGCGCCCGTTTCCCCCTTCTCGCTCTCCCTGCATCCCTGCTCCAGCGATTTGCGCTCGAATGTAGCTAATGGAGCCCAAGAGGCCCTCGGTTTATGGTTTTATTTATGGGTTCATCGTCCATCGGGGGCGCAAAACAACCCGGCATTCCCCTTGTATATAACCCAGCATTATTTGACGTATGTATGTATGTACGTCCATACTGATGTAGCAGGATGTCTTTCCACCTGGGGGCCGTGTGCTGCTGCTGCTGCTGTTCCTGCAGGCCCAACTTCCTCAGAGCCCACCTGCAGAATTCCGTTTTTGCTTCTTCTGTTTCTGCTTCTGTTTCTCTTGTCTGTGTCTGTGTATCCCGTTTTCCCCTTCCTTCGCCTCCCTTGCCTTGGGCTTCTTCTTTCTTCGGCCTTTCGACTCTTCCTGTCTCGACGTTGAGCGGACAGGGGGCTTGTCAGATCGATCAGGCTTGCATTCGCCCCCAATCAGTCAAGTCAAGCCCATCAAATCATAATCAATTCCAACACAGAAAGCCGTTCTTCTTATTGCCATCTGCTATTATTGTATTGAGCGGCTGAGAGAGCTGTGTCTGTCTGCGCCTACTGACTGGTATTCAGCTTGCTGCTGTTAAACATGCATGGAATCGGTGGGTTGGGTTCCGCAGAACTTCTCGAACTGGAAGTAAATTTGGAAGTTTCGAAAAACCTACCCTGACAGACGTGAATCTTGTCAGACCCAGTGTACCACTCCCCCCTTTCGACCCATGGAAATCCAGAAGAGTGCGAGACCACGAATTAGAACAAGAGCAGCCGATCGTGGGGATGGCTTCCGACGCCGTGGGTTCGATCCGGTGGGCTTTTTCTTCTTCTTCTCCCGAGTAAGTAGGTGAGCTGTCACTCACCCCTTATGGGATAGGTCACCTTTTTCTCGTCCCTTCTACCTCCAAAAGAGGCTTGCGATAGGCGGACGCCATCCCTTTGGCCTTTTGCCGTTTTCCTTTTTTTTCCTCTTTACCTTTCTTAATTCCACAAGTCAACTCCCTTTCCTCCTCTCCTTGGGAGCTTTGATGGTTGCACAAATACCCAGCCAACGGCCAGTAGGAACCGCTCCCATCCGAAATTGATATTACCAAAATTTTCTTGGTGCTCCCGTGCAATGGAAAGATTTCAAGTCCTCAATTAGCGATCGGCCTTTCTCAGCTGCTGTAGATGTTTTTTCTCTCCCCCCGCCTCTCTTCAGTCATAATCCCACCCCCCTCCATCGTATCTTGTTGAACTTGACCCACGACCCGTGGCCCTGGGATATGGACCAGGTCGTACGCTCCATCTGCGCAAAACTGTTAACTAATTCCATGCATCGTGCCAATCCAGAACTGGAGATGGTCTATAATAGTCCGAAATAGTGCGAGATGGCGCAGGGGACTGGATTTCCCTTAGGTTATTTATCTTCAGGCTGACATGGGGGCCTTTGTTTTCCTTTTCCCTTTCTGCGACTGCAACCCTCCGGAAGATCACCTGCTTGTTCGACGATGCAGGTATACCCGGGGACGACTCTTTGAAGGGTCAGAACGTAGATACTTATGCACGTTGTCGTAAAAGTGTCACGGCCAACCAGGCTCGCCCTTGACAAAGCTCAAAGCGCGCTGGGCGATTTCACAGGGATCATCCGATCTTGACACATCTTGGCTGGAGTTCGTTCGTCCGTTAGCTCGTTCGCAGCCCTGTGATGCTTTTTGCCCAGACTTGCAGACGGAAAGAACATGGGTTGTTGTTCACGCATTTTCTCCTCGAGTTAGTCCGTCTCTTTCTCTTTATCTTCCTTTTCCTCTTCCATCTTGGGTTTTGTTTCTGTTTCCACAAAATTAATCCTTGTCCCCCAGTCAGGTGGATTGCTTGGGCCCGCGCCTGGAGAAGTTACTCTTCTCCGTGCAAGGGATGTTTTTTTGACATCATCCCAACTCTGCCGAGTCTCTGTACATCTTAACAGCACGAATCACCACACAAGCCCGCAAGACAATGGCTGAACGCAACTGAGCTACTCCGTAATACGAGCGGGGATTTCCTCTGAATGTAACTTGTCACCGTCGTCAGCCCGTCCGAGCTTGCCGTCAGTAACTAGCTGAAGCTCTTTTATTTTTATTTTTTTTTTTTTCTTCTTCTCCCATCTTCCCTTTTCGTTTCCTCCCCATGCAAACGTTAGTTCAACGAAACGGGCTCAGACTTGCTCGAAGCTGCTCCTTGCATAATATTGATCCTTGGAAGTTGCACAGCCAAAAGTACGAAGTGTGTCGTACGGGCCCAGTTCTTAAGATAGTGGCGGTGGGTGGCACTCCCGACGTAAGCGTTGCCTTACTTTTTCGATGCCAAAACAGTCACATAGTTGGCTCGCTGGCTCGTTGACTAACTAGCCTTAATCATCCCTTTATACCGGGGCCATCCTTCATCGCCTTGTCTCAGGAACAGTGCTCAGATGTTCTCTCTCCATATCCGTATTATTTCTGTGGAAGATCTTGTCGACTCAGGTATACCCTGATAAAACTGAAAGCACGGAGTAGTCTCTCCCTTTCTCTCTCTCTCTTATCCCGCCTCCACAGTCTCTTGAGCTATCCCACGCCAGACGCCATTGGGCTTTGTCAGGGAGTTTGCTGTTAAGTAGTAGTACTTGATGTCCATCTGGGCCGGAGACGACGCCATCGAAGCCTGCCACAAAAGCATTGACCACTACTTAGTTGGCTGTCCGTCTCGTATCTCTCCGTGGCGTCATGGCGATCCTGCAGGCATGACCGGCCATCTCGAGACGAAGGCTCAACGCTCCGTCAAGTCCGTCATGCTTGCTCAGAGCCCGTTGACTGGCCTAGTTAGCCTCTTCGTCATCACCAACCCGACTATCTCTCTTCATCTCTTGCTCTTCCTATCTCCTCTCTATCACCGTCGCGTGTCGATGTAGTCAAATGTCTTGCCGTCGCGGTCGTAAATGTCCCGAACAGCTATGCCGACATAGCCTGATTAGATCACTTCTTAGGGCTTGAGCCCTTATCAATCAGCTCGGGCAAAAAAAAAAAGATGACGGGCGCAAAAGATCCATCGCGGCGGCCTCCGCGTGCTGTCGCATGTCCGGTGGCAGAGATATAAAAAAGAGGATTTTTTGCTGTGCCTGTTTGATTCTGTACATTTATTCTGTGGTAACAGGTTCTATAACTATCTAGTTAGTTATATTGTGAAGTCAGGTACGTGAATGGTAGACTCGTTACAACGACTGCGGAGCTGTCATACCGAAGTTGACTGAAGAGGCCGACTGGCGCTTCTGCTCCGCTGTTGTGCCCCTCCGACGAGTGCAATTTTTTCGCCTTTGCATGACTGACTTGCTAATACGTTGCAGTTGATTAATATAGAGAAGACTGGCGCATAGTTGTACAGAGTATACAAGGAAATCAGCCTGCCAGTAGTTACGCCCAGGTATCAGTCAGCCACCATGGTCGAGAAGGTCTACGTCACATACAACCAGGTACGGGAACAGGAGCCTCTGTAGAAAAGAGACCCCCTGTCTTCCTCTTCCCTCAGATAAACCCCAAAGAAGAGGAACAGCTCAGCTTTAGCCTCTCCTTTCCCTCCGCTGTCATACCCTCGCTAGCAGCTGGCATACATACAACCCGAGAGACGGCTTAGCATATGTCTGACAATCTATAGGTGCATAAACTGTGCCAGGCCTCTGCAGGTCACATCCTCGAGAATTTCCGTCCAAACCTCATGATCGCCATCGGCGGAGGAGGATATGTCCCTGCAAGAATGCTAAGGTGCGAAGCAATCAATATACCTAGCTGAGACCCATAGAATCGTCTTTCTCAAATTCTAACTGGGGAATTGCAACATAGATCGTTTCTCAGGAAGAAGGATTCCCCAAACATTCCTATTCAGGCTATTGGACTGTCACTGTACGAAGATCTAGGCAGAGGAGACCCCGAGGAGGTCCCCGGCACCAAAGTCACACGCACTCAATGGCTGGACCTGAGCTCGCTGGAGATGGCCAACCTGATCGGAAAGAACGTTCTCATCGTTGATGAAGTTGATGATACCCGCACCACTCTCGAGTATGCTGTTCGTGAGCTCGAAAAGGATGTTGAACTTGCGCAGCAGCAGCTTGGTCGGCAAGGAGAGAAGACGACCTTCTCCATCTTTGTCCTACATGTAAGCATTCATCTATTCTACAGCTTCGTTCCGAAAAAAAAGGGGGAGGCGGGAAGAGTATAAGAGCTAACATCACCTTTTCGCCATGTAGAACAAAGATAAGCCAAAGAAGGGTCAGCTCCCTCCCGAAATGTTTGCCGAGAACCGATATCTTGCTGCTGTGACTAGCGGAGATGTCTGGATCTGCTACCCATGGGAAGCCACGTTAGTTCCACCCCTTCCCTACCTCCCTCACATATCTATGCTTGTGCCGGAATACTGACTCTTAGCTATAAAGTGATATTGATGAACACGACCGACTAGCCAAAGAGAACCCTCTAAAAGCCACATAAATGACCAAAAGAAAGTATTTAGATTTTATTCTGTCACACGTTACATGGTAGACGCTTTTCTATCTCGCTCCCTCCATTTGCTTATTTGATTTGGAACTCTGGCCTTATCTCATGAATTGGGCGTTCTTTTCGTCCTATGTGAATGTTAGATACGGAGACGCGTTCATGACATCGCTGCTTCAGAGCAAGGGCTGTCAAAACATACTCTAATTTATCACTAAGGGTATGAGGTTCAACTACCTCATAGAGCTAAATGAATATCTGGATTCCTCCCTAACTTCAAGTCTCGATCAATCCGTCAATCAATCATTATCTCAATGCTTCGTGACTGACTAGAGTGGCCGGGTGACAAGCAAAAGAGGTAAACCTCTAGTCGGCTTTTATCGAACTGCCTACTTGCTCTCTCAGTTTCGACTCTCTCAACGCAAGAGCGAACGATCCCGCTGCCCCTGGGCCAATGAGGAGAGACCCTAAGGTAAGATATAGTAGGGCCTTCTCCTCCCTTGGGGTGTCCGTGCCACTTGCACTTGCATCAGGTAGAAGGAGGTATGAGAACACGATACAGGATAGTGAGATCACAATCCAGTCGAACTGGGTGAAAAGGTGAAATTGCTCTAGAATTTCTTCATATTTGGCGGGTAATCCTGTTCCTGCATGTGATGCTTTGCCGGTGACTATTCCTCTATAACTAGAAGTCCATGCTGAGGGCAATGTGTTCGCTTTCCGTAGTGAGCTAAAAGAAGGGACAAATAGCCTCTGGATGGTAGCATCTGAGCTATTCGCTCTAAGCGCCACAACCATGGTAAGAACATGTACAATTGCCGCCGCAGTTCCCACCAGTACGAACGAAGAAACTATCCAGGGTTCGTCGACGTTGTGGTTTTGTTTTTGTTTTGAGGGGTTCAACCCATCCCCCGTGTCGGAGGGTGTAAGCCTTTGAATGATGCCTGCAATTGCTGAGAAGAAGAGAGTTGCTAAGAAAGGAGTGGCATGGAAGAGAGCAATGAAGCCGTGGTGGTCTTTGGAGCTGTAGTCCAACAACACGGGGGCAAAAAGCAGTAAAGGGAAGGAAATCATCGCAAAAGTGGTGATAAATAAAGATATGGCCTCGTGTTTTGGAATAGCGGCGTCTCTTCGCGTGGCTTTACTTTGTAGCAGGCAGTATAAATAGTGAGGTAGAATCAGTGCGGCACCGATACAGTTCCAAAGAAATATAAATATACCGGGCCTGGGGCATTCATTTTAGTTATTCATTCGTACACTTCCCGAGCACTGAGTAGGTAGTTAAGGGGATGTTCACCATTTCAACACCAAGTTTCTAGCACCTCGTCGACGGCTTTCAACAAGGACCCAGATATTGGTGCATGCCACCACAAAATTAATATCAAGGAACAAAAGGCGAGGCCCCAACGAGAGTTTGTTCGACAGCACTTCGTAAAAAGCTATAACTGGGGCCAATTGGGAGTCGATATATTTTACCCTGGTGTAGTCCATGCGCATGGGACGACCATCAGGGAGGGAGCCTGAAGCAACAATAGCATCAAAGTTATCGAACATGCCACCCCAGTATCCAATGAAGCCCCAAATGGAGATAATGCCCACGGCTCCCAGCAGCAAGAGGTGACTGGGTCTCGGCTTGACAAGTACTAACATCATCTCCATGGTTCTGATTCCTACAGGATCAAGGTGGACGCTAGGTGTAAGGAAGCCTCCTCGTTTTTCTCCCAGACCGAGTCATGCAATGCAGCTCATGCCAAAGAGGCCTGCACTCGGGTATTTATGCACCGACCGACATGATTAGACCTGGCGTAGCGGCAATGATGACCCCGTTCCCCGTTCCCTGCCACCAGCGTTTTCATTTTGAATGAACCATGTCGGCCGCTCCAAACCCGCTTCCGTTACGGAGTATATAGTATACGGCTCTGCCGCCGGGGGAGGAATAAAACAACAGTCCGGTGTTGTAGCGGCCGGCCCTGTCACTATTCGGATCGGGAATAGAAATGATCAAGTTGTGATTGTGTGCTGATATAGCGGAAAAAGGTGATGAAGAGACCCTTTATCAAGCAGAAATATAGATAGGTCTGGTAACCAATTTCGGATTACTCTATACGTAAAGCTGAACTACCTAGGTAGTCTACTGATTCTTGATCACCTAGACAGTTAATAGGTAGAGGTTAACTTAATAAGTATAAGCGATGGACCAAATACCTAAGGTAAAGTGTAGGAAAGCGTGTAACCGCGTATAAATTAATAATAGTAATGAGATTAAGCTTGTATAAATATAATGAGTATATATAGAGATTTCGAGCTCTAAATACGGATAGAAGATGGCTAAGCTAGATATAAAAAAGCAGCCTACTCAATTATTATTTAATATATTATAATTTCCTGTTTAGCTAGATAGCTATTGAAATATTTGATTGAATAAGAGGCGAATAGAGATTTGGTGCTGTTTTTGATAGGTGTACATTTGACAGTGATATACATTGGGTGGTTGATTAGTTAGTTACGTTATTTATTTAACTAGTTAGTTAAATATTTAATGAATTAAAAAAGGAAGAAAGACGTGTTAGAGACGGAGAACAGACAAGCAAAGAGAGCGTTCAGTTAGCGGCTACTCCGAACAACGGCAGCCAACGACTTGAAGCCGCCTTCACAATAAATAGCAATAGAGTGGACACAAGCGTAAAGAGAAAGCCAAGTACTGTCAACATGTCGTGCGTCAAAAATCCATGATACCAAGGCCGTTCTTTATCCATCCTTGCTCTTGCAATCACTGTCTTCGGTGTATCTTGCCATCCAAGGAGGCCTCGTCGTTCGATAAAAGGCACATAATCGAGTTTAGGAGCCGAGCTTGCGAGCTTTGCGATGTTAATCGCAAGTGCATCTAGACCGATCAATGGTGTGATCCATCTATGCCTAATATACATTGCCCAGCCATCGCATGCCTGAAGCCTAGTTAAATCACTAGCAACTTTGACAATTGCCTTTACGCGGCTAAGACGTGAGTCCTGGTAAAATTTTAAGGCGGCGCTAATCTCAACATCTGACGGTTTCTTGTTAGGGTGTAGGTTGAGGGCCGCGTGCAATGCGTTGCTTATGCAAACGACATCCTCCATTGCAGTGCAGCCTCCTAGTGCTGAGTTAGGAGTAACCTATTGCACTAGTTAGTATAAATCAACCTTCTGAATCAGATATGAGAAGGTCAATCCAGAATAACAGTCTATACCTTATGAATTGCATCACCTGCCAGAACCGTTCTCCCAAAAAACCAATGATTTAAAACGCCCTCTTCTAACGAGATCATTTGGGCTTTGGTTCGGGTACGCCAAAGCTCTCCAAAGACCACAGACTCACAGATAGGATAGTCGGCGAACTTGGCTGCGAGGGCCTCCATATCAGCCTCGGTGAATTTCGCTCGGCTGGGCCATCTGCACTGTTGATTTTCTGGTAATTTATAGTGGAGTATATATGATATAAAATCAGGTTGGCATAGTAGGAGGAAGGACATTTTATCATTTGATATAGAATGCATGTCGGTTGGCCCTAAGCCCGGCATGGGAGGGCACTGTGCTACGATAGCACCATAAGTTGTCACCATCGCTAGTGTATGAAATGCAAAGTTAATGGAGTGATACCACATATCTATGAGTGCGGTCTTGTACTGACATCTTTTCTCAGAGGTAGAGATGAAATGGGGAATGGCCTGGTTTGCCTGGTCCCACATAAGCTCGCGCACCTTGCTATGGACGCCGTCTGTTCCGACAACCAGATCACCAACATACTCGGTGCCATCAGAAAGGATGGCACGAACGATGGAATTCTCTTCAATAATGTTGACGACACGGTGTCTTTCTAAGATCTTAGATGGGTCTGGCAAGTTATCGTAAAGAATCCGGAGAAAGAGACTCCTGCTCAAAGTTCGTGTGTCATATCCAGCACTTGTTATAATTTAGTACAAGTAACTATTGTGTGAACCCCGACCTCATGGGAGAGAGTATTTATTTACTTACTACTTTTTGACTATTGGAAAGAAATCATTCTCTAGGAAGCATTTACCATCGGAAGTGCGGTAATAACCTCTCCCCATAGTCGAGCAGTTGTCAAGTACCTGGTCCAGGAGGCCTAGTTGATGTAAGATTCGACAACCATGGGGCTGCATAGTGATTGTAGTACCGAATGGCGGCGCCACGACCCCTTTGTCCAGGACGAGATAGTCTATGTTCGCTTTCTCAAGGCAATGCGCAAGGCATAAGCCGGCCACTCCTGCGCCAACAATAATGACTTTGAATGGCATATTACTGCCCTTCGAGGCTAAAGTTTCGGGTATAGCAGCAATCATCCTGACCGCGGAAGGGTAACCAACTAGGATGTTGGCAAAATCCAAAGATCGCAAGGAAGCAGAAGTTAAAGACTCAATGGCTTTGGCATGTTCTTTTTAAGCTCAGGTAGAGCGCCATTGCACCAGGGAGATTGCATAGAATACTCGGAACAGCGGACGGGTTCATCGGACAGCTCTGTTCCCTCCCATAGTCCGACATACCGCGCGGTGACCGGTGCCCGGTGAATCAGGAAGGGTAGTTAGCGGCGAGAGCGCGGCCGCCTTGCCGCCGGTGCAGATAGGGCTCGGCCGCTCCTTGCGTCCTCTCTGGCACGTCTATTCACTTAGATAACACCATCGTTCATTGTTTTCTCGGCCAGGATTGCTCCGCCCATAACTAGTATCTTGGTGTGGGTGGAGTCATGCATCGTAGACTCCGGGTAACCAAGTAGCTAGTCGTATATAGATAGCCCTGCCTAATCCTCCAAGGAGTCTGCAGTAGTGTTATATAGACTCTCACATCTTTTGCTCCCAGCCTCCTTAATTCCTACTATCAATTAACTTGCGTCGCCAAAGTCCTCTATCGACGGATGACTCATTATTAGTCAGTTAGTTAGTTAATACTCCGTAGAAACAGGGGCATTTAAATAACTAACAGGTAGTTAACTAATTGTCAGACGTGCCATTACCCTCATCATTCACCGCTAGTTACTAGTTAACTAAGCAGTGTTGCTTTTTAGTCCAACAGTAATCCAGAGTGTCCTTATCTCAGGGTTAACGATAATATGCCTACCTAGGTACTCCATAAGCTGGGGACTCAAAAGATTAAAAAATTAAAATTGGCTCAGCATACTCCGTACGGAGTACAGAGTAACAAACTAACTGTGGATGTGGGTAACTAGTTAACTAACTGCAGGCTAGGCAGAATACAGAGTTGCTGTTGGCTGATCGACTGGTTACGCTTTGGACGATTGCGGCTGTCGACAGGGTATGTTCATATTAAATAGCTAACTTAAAGCCACCTGGATGATTAACATTTTCTTTAATACAACCGCCGTCGTGGTTCTCGGTAGTACCTAGGTAGCTCAATAGGTAATTACTCGGCTGTTATCACTGTTCCCAATGCCTTCTCCGGAGTCCACAGGAGAAGGCGAGCATAATGCCCCTAGGGCGAAACGCTGGAAATCTAATGCGAGCAGTATCACTGATCCGAAGGGCGCAAACACTGCCGTGTCCACTCCTGGCCGTCTGGCATGCGATATCTGCAGAGAAAGCAAGTGTCGTCTCATCCATATAGCTCTTTGCTTCGGCTAACAAGCTCAATTGTGCAGGGAAAGTCCGCTGTGACCGGGCAGACCCACAGTGCGGACGATGTGGGCGGCTTGGTTACGAGTGTAGCTATCAGGGCCGGAAGCGACATCGTGTGGCCCAAGCTGACCTTCCTCGCCAGCTATCGGAGCTTCGAGAGAGACTTGGTAGGCCCTTGTTCGTGTTGTTATATACTTGACCAGCTTCAATAACTATTCGGCGCAGCACAAGCCGAAGCTCTGCTCAGCCCGTTGAAGGCCTCTATACCCATTCCGCCGACCGAACAGGAACCAACATCAGCAGCCACAGCCCATACAGTGGGAACTTACGGAGGACCCTGTAGTTTTCCATGATAACAACAACCCCGGGCCCATGCAAATTGACTACGGAAACGAAGGCTTCGATTTACTCGCTAACCTTACCAATGACATACCGGATTTCTGGGACTACTCAGGGCTAGATCTATCCGCTCCCATACCGCTCGTGGAGGACGCCGGTGAATTGCCGCAGCTGCTAGATCTACTGAGCACCCCGTATTCAAACGCTTCCTCGCAGCCCCAGTCAGAATTCGGAATATATACCTCTCCCATTGACAAACACTGGGTAGAGAAGGAGATATCTACACAGGATATGGCAACATTGTGAGCGAAATGATAATGAAAGAAAGCCTGATTTACGAGATAACGAAGGAACTAATACAATTGAAGACATTATAATTTCTTCGAGTACTACTACCCTGTCCTACCGATCCTAAGCCAATCCCGCTTCAGGACAGAACGGAAAAACAACTCAGCATCCCTACCGATACAGGCTTTATCCTATGGTGTTGCTCTCATTGGAACTACCGTGTCCAGTAGATTCAATCATTTACAGCAAGTCTGCTATACCGCTGCGCGCAAGTACGTTGAGCTCTGTGAGAGAGACGAGGATGAGACCCTTTTTATGAATTTAAATACTTTTCAGGCCCTTGTACTCATTATTCGATACGAACTGACCAAAAGCCATCTGACTCGTGCGTGGATGACCCTTGGAAGGGCAATCGCATTAGCAGGCTTACTGAACCTGCATGAGCTAGACAGTGAGGCTTCTAGAATAGTTAGCAGATTTCAGCACAGTTCTACTAGTTCACCGTCTAGCCTCGAAGCTCCCACATCGTCTACTAGAAAGTCTATACAGCTAGAGGAAATGAGGCGGTCGTTTTGGGCACTTTATGTGTTTGAGGGCTATGCGAGTGTCCGAATGAATAAGGCCTGTCTCTTGGACGAAGATAACTTACAAATCCGCCTGCCCTCCCCTGGACAGTTAACGGATGATTTCGTCCCTTCGCCAACAATACCCTTCTTAAGTAACCCGGAACGGCTACGTGCGATGATACACCTCGTTTCGCCATTCTCTGCTGTCGTTATCATGGTAAAATTAGCCCGCCGGAGTTACAAACATGTCTATATACTATCTATCAGACCTACCGACGAAGGATTTTGGGACCGGCACTATCGCTTAGTGAAAATGATTAGTGACTATACCGCAATATTCCAAGACCACCTGAGTGCTACGGCAGTACGTGAGGATCCTCTGGCATTTTCATTACATACAAACCTTTGCGCTACACACATATACTTGCATGAGGCTGCCATCCAAAAGGTTGAAGACCAGGAGCTGCCTAAACTTGTGGCAGCAGAGAGCAAAAAATGTTCAACTGCCGCAGCGCTCAAGATTCTGAGCGCTATACGCATGAACTGGCCCACGCAGAGATCGGAGGTAAAGCCTCCTTATCCAGATTTGGATTATCAGCTTAACTAGTCACTAACATTTCTATAGAGAGACTTCTTTACCCTTCAAGCAACTTTTCTTGGCCATCCTCTAGCTACAAGCATGAAAGCACTCACCCGCTGCCTACAAGAATCGGGCGATACCACTTCTATCAACATTGTGGATTCTCTACGGTTGCTACGTGCCGCTCTAGACCAGGTTGAAGAGCCTGAAGGGTATTGGCACGTAACTAGTTTGGCGGCATCCACAACTTTGGAGAAATGGGATAAGAAGCAGGGAGGTTCCAACACTGGAAGATGAATTGCTGCATCTACGCTATGCATTCTAACCTATATCTTGTTTATATGTTGGATTGGGAACCCGGCGGGGGAAATATCGTGCCCAGCGACCTCCAGAGAATACAAATCCCCAAGTAAAAGCGGGAATTTTCCAACAATTTTTTTACTCTTTTTCACACATATTTATGTCTCCAAGTAGATGTCAAAAAATACCACTTATTCTCATCATTCCGCTGGTGCTAGTTAAGTAGCATTAGTTTTCAGTTTAACGGGATAGAAACCTTAGTGTCACGCGCTTATCGAAATTGCCATTAGTTATTGTTTATTTTACCTGCTAACTAAGGCGGCTGTACCGGGTCATTCTATCGTAACATTCTACCTAAAATTTGCCGTGAGCGAAGACACGATAATGGAAAATCGAAGAGAGAGAGAGAGAGAGAGAGAGAGAGAGAGAGAGAGAGAGAGAGAGAGAGAGACATCGAGAGAATGTTGATTTGTCGCTCGTGGATTGCTTAACTAACTAACTAGTTAGTTGCCGCGAGCCGGCCTTGGCCGATAACTCTACAGCCACACGAATCAGGTCTTTGCTGGGCTGTCGTATCGGCAAAGGGTCACTCAATTGATAGTTTAGGTACCCCCACCTTTGACAGTGGCACCCACTAGCCTCGTTTTCTAAAATTAAAGTTAAAGATGTTAGCATCTAGTCATCACAATATAAGAGGATAGTATGGGGTACATGAGAGATTGGGGCGTACTCCAAGCATTGTCGACAACAAAAAGCTCAATATAGCAGCGACTAAGAAGAACAGCCAAACATTACGCATAGGACCAGTAATATGAGGAATTACTGTGTCTTTGTCTGCCTGGGATAACGCCTTGAAACTTCGGCTGCTTGTTCCGGCGATCAAGTCTGTCAACTCGCTTTTGCTGGCGGAGGGTAGCGCTCGAGCAACTTCTTTTAAGGAAAGATTTTGATAGGTTGATCCCGCTAGTGAAAGAAAGACAACCATGCCGAGATCTTGGGCTATATAGGCATTAGAATCAGTTTGCACAAATGAGCGCGGAGGGGAAGTCTTGAATCACATACAAATAGCCATGGCACCCACAGCATTGGGTATATCTCCGGGGGATACTAGAGACTGGACAATGGCAAAGCCAGCTACAACATAGCACCCAGTCCCAGCTCCAACAAGAATGGTGTATCCATATATTTTAGCATTAGATGTATCGAGGTTAACGGTATCTGTAAACCTATAAGATGAGGGTCGACACGAAATGAAGGGAGTTGGTGGTACATACACATTAGCGCCGTACCGATGACGACAAGAGCACTTCCAACAGTATACCAAGGCATAGCATAAGGTAATGCTGGCATAAGAGTCCCATTTATCATAGAGACAACAACCAGACTTATGATGAATGGTAGTAGTCGGACACCAGCTTGGAGGGGTCCATCGCCCTATATAATAAATTTTATTAGCCCATTCCATTACCAGGCTCTGGGGGGTTACTCACATGGAGGAACTGAAAGTACAGTGGGATATAATATGTCGTTGCCTTAAGAACCAAGTTAGTTAAAGTATTCCAATATCAAAACTAGTAAGTAAACCTACTAGCGCTATTCCGGAGACCAAAAACATCTGAATCTGTAGATTTATTAAAATCGGCCGGCTGAGGAAATGCACCGGGTATAGGCGATTTTCACGGCTAACACCTGGATGAAATTTGGCGACAAGGATAGACACTATAAGCAGAACAGCACTCATAGCCCACAGCACGATTGTAGATGCGGAGTTCCAGGAATATACAACACCTCCAAATGTAATAGCCATAATTAGGCATGCTGAACCGCCTAGGAAAATCGTTGTCATGATCCAATCAATCATCTTGCATTTTTCCTTGAATGATTTGCTAGGCTGGGGGTCAACGCTAGGAATCAGAAATAGGTAAGCTGGTAGAAAGGCAGCCCCGATGGGAAGATTGATATAAAATGCCTAGCAGGGGTATTTCATTAGCTGTACCGTGATAATGTAGATGCTCACGGTTTCGATTTTTGAATATGAAATAACATACCCATCGCCAGGACGCCGAACTCTGGGCAAATGCACCACCAACGATAGGACCCAGCACGCTTCCAAGGCCCCAGACCACCGTACTGCCAGCCATATAAATTGGCCTTTCCTTGATAGTTGTCAAGATTGCCACAAAGGAAAGTGTACCAGAGTACATCCCGGCACCACCGACACCTGCAATTACACGGCCCAAGATCAAAACAGCGATGTTTGGAGCAGATCCACAAATAGCGCTACCAAGTTCAAAGAGCACAATATTAAACAGGTAAACCCATTTTGCATTGAAGACTCCATAAACCTTTCCCCAGGGCAGAACACACATAGTCCCGAGGGCGAACCCAACCCCTATCCACGGGAGAAGTTGAACTTGACCAAATAACTCGAGGATGGCAGGTTGAATATCAGCGACCTTGGATTAATGGGTCAGTATGCTTTCCAAACATTTTATAACGGGCAGCAATCTAGAAAATACCTACAATGGTGTTATCGAGCGAGAAAAGAAACGTAGTTGAGAGCATTGAAGCATAGGCTACTGCCCACTAGAAGAAAGTAAGTGCCTCAGCCTTTGTTTGACGAAGCGCCATAGTAACATGAATACTCACCTTCCATCCCTGGATCTGACGGGGTGAAGAATCCCCATGGGCATGACCCGGACTGGGGTTGTTGTTACTGTTGCCACTGCCGCTATCACCAGCAACAGCCATCTCTGCTTCTAGTTTTTCGATGTCCATATTGAGATATGTGGGGTAACGGTAGTATGAGATGGGAATGAACCAAAAATCACATTGCCATTCTATGTAAAGGGCAGCCATCCAGCAGTTTTATATTATCCGTGGATAATATCTATATAGAACATTCCTGGTTGAAGCGGCCGCCTCAAGTCCGTGTGGTTCTTTGTTTTTCTAGTAGAAGCGGCCGCCCCATCTCCGTGTAAGGTTTGCGGACCTTAACCTTACAGAGAAAGCACTAAATCGACCAGTAGAAAGGTGCATCGCATCGCACATAAAAATTGAAACATCAAATCAGTCGCCGTTAGTCATGGACCTGCATGCACCATTCTGACCTCCATGTAGTGTATGTAATTTGACCTTCTTTTTTTCTTCGCTTGCCGGTTTAGAAGCCAAGTACTCGTCAATCACCCCGCGATAGTCACTAGGCCGATAAGGCATAAACCACTCCGCAAAAGCATTTTTCTTTCTATAAGGATTGAGGCCAAGGTCCCTCATAAGAGTGTCAAGGTACTTGGGAAAACAAATTAGCCGTTAAAACATCTACACGTAGAGAAAGAGAGTGGAAAGTACTTACAGAGATATAATCATATATGAAATAAGAGTGCTTTTTCCCCTGTTCGATATATCGCTTTCGCGTCCAAGCATTGAAAATAGCAGCCTCTCGTTCCATTTCCTCTTGCGAGGGTAGGTCCAGCCAGCCATGCATCCAGGCAAACCCCCAGAGAGCCTGTAGCTCGGCCGCCAGCGGCGTAAAGGCCGAATGGATATGCCCCGGGAATAAGATGGACCGGTCGCCTTTGGCAGCCAGATTTGGCACCACCAGACGTCTATAATGCCTATTCGGGCCCTGAGTATGCTTTCGTTGGCCGTCTAGTACATCGAATGGAGAGTTTTTGAGTATTGGCAGTAACTGATCTATATGTGCTTCAGCTTGGGAATCGAGCACTGTCCATTTAGAGAACTGGGAAGAGTCATAACGCAGGCCTAGCTCATCTTGTAGCTCGGGACTGAAAGTATCATAGCCCTTGTCAAACCCAGTGCAGTGTATCACAATGTCTGTGGGGACGGAGAACCCATCTTCAAGGTTAACCACATCCTGGTGGGACAGAGATTCGATTCCTGTTTGGTGTATGGTTACATCTCCATTATGAATCACCTGCCAGAAATCAGGCACGGTTGCGATGCCAATCCCACCACTCCCCCAAAAAAGGCTAAGCATACCAGTTAGTTCGCGCTGGAGAGAAAAAAGGATGGGAGAATAACGAGGCTTCTCTCCCCTACATACCCGTCATTATGTGGCCACGGTCGAAGGTACTGGGTGTGTTCGCTCTCGGAAAATTGTGCATACTGGCTGGCCAAAGCAGTCGCCACTTGCCAATATAAACGAGTGATGAATTTGCCGGGCGCTGTCCTTTGCAAAAACATGTTCCAGTGGCCTGAGATATTCATGATACTAGGGCTAAAACTAGCCGCAAGTCGTGTCGATATGTGATCTGAGATATGCCATAGGCCCATAAACGTAGGCGCAAAGAGTGAGAATGGACCTGAATTGCTCTTCCGTATGATCCAGTCGATTTTCTTTCCAGACTTGAGAAGATTGTAGACTGTGTCATAGGAGGACTTGGATGCCCCGACCACGGTGGCTCTCTTGACGGCATCACTCTCGATATGATGGCGCCAGCTACCAAAATCGAGCGAGTGGATGACTGGCTTGTGGAAGTTATCTTGCGGCCAAGCGGGTCTGATAGGGCTTGAGTTTGCTCCAGTTGCGTATATGAGCTTTTTACATTCAATCGGGGGCCCATTGTTCACCTCGACGATCCAACCGCTGCCGTTGCTGTCTCGCTCCACGGCCAGTACCCGAGTCTCCAGGCGAGTACGGCCGAGCAGGTCATGGTCTCTGGCAAAGCTGACCAGGTAGTTGTGGATTGCAGTGCCCGAGATGAAGCCGTCGGGTGAGATGTTCTCATTCTTCATGGGGTAGAACGAATACTCAAACAGAGGATAGCATATCTGCGCGTAGAGGGTAGGATAGATTCTCTCCTCGCTCCATACTCCGCCAATGGTCTTGCTGTCGTCGATGACAAGAAGACGGCTTTCCGGGGCCAGTTTCAGAAACGTATGCGCGGCGACAAGGCCATACCATCCTATGATATATTTATCAGCATGTTTATTACAGAGTACATCGCTAACCTAGGTAAATAACTAGTTATTTAACTAGTTAGTCTCTTGGATGTCCCCAAAAAAATGACGAACTAACCAGCACCAACGACCACCACATCATAGTGCTCGATGTCAGAAATCGACGGCATATCTTCAAATCTTCTATCTGGAAGGGCGTTGAGATGCGCTTCTGGGCTGAAGCGTAGAAACCTGATATTATTTCACAACATACTTATTTATCACCACCCTAATGGGGATTTTTCCCGGCGAGAGCGGCGTTCTGAACGAGCGCACAGGAGAGGGACGGCCTTGGGAAATCATCATTCCCGCATATTCTCTGGTAAGACGGCCGATATTTTAACGAATGCCTTTGGGTAGTTATATCCTCGGCCGCCATATTCCCGACGGTGGACTACGCTGTATGGGTGCCTCCCGCCTTTTCTCCGTCGCTGAAAGGCTCGCATCTCCGCATTCTCTCACTGTCCGGGACTGGAAAATTGGCCATTTTGCGCCGAAACGGCTTTCAAAATGCATTCACCTTGAGGAACCCGCTGCAGATGCTCTGTCGGTACTCGGTACTCGAAATCGGGCACTCTTCCGCCGACACGCAGATAACTCCGTTCTGCCATAGGAGGCAATGGTTGCTGTATTCTCTCTTTTGGAGTAGCTTCGATGAGCGGCACCGCGGCGGAGGGCATGCAGATTCGTCGTTGTGAATATGTCTATATGTCCGTATATTGGCATATATATGCTACACCTATGGCTGTCGGGGCATATAGGCAGAAGTCAGGTTTCATTCGGATAAAACCGAGAGTTATATAGGTCTCTTGCCGACATCCACATTACGTTTCAAGCATATATCTGATATCCAATTCCGTCGATATGCCTCATGCGGTGGCCAAAGGTAGCTCTTCTGCTAGCTCCACGGACTTTGAGCCTGGCCGTTACCCTCATCTGAGCACTCAAGGGGTAATAGATGACGCTAGCTATGCGGAGTTCTCTCTGCCCAATTCCCCAGAAGTCCCGCTTAGCGAGCAGCTGGAGCCGATTGCAGTCATTGGAATGGGTAAGAAAAGACGACCAATCTACTAAGCACCAGGTTATAAATGCTAATTCCCATGTAGGATGTCGTCTCCCTGGAAATATCAGATCCGCGTCTGACTTGTGGGAAATGATAATCAACCGGAAGACTGGTCAAACGCCGAAGGTCCCATCCTCCAGGTTCAACATCGATGCACATTTCCACAAAAGAAACGACCGCCCGGGTAGTTTTGGAGTACTGGGAGGATATTTCCTCGATGAAACACTGCAAGAATTTGACCCGGCCTTCTTTGGAATTACGCCAGTTGAGGCTATGTGGATGGACCCTCAGCAACGGAAGCTATTGGAAGTTGTATATGAGAGTTTTGAATCAGCTGGTATTACGCTTGATGATGTTTCCGGGTCAGATACTGCCTGTTTTATCGCCACCTTCACGGCAGATTTCCAGCAGATGTCTTTCAAAGAGCATAATTTTAGGCATAGCCTCGCTGCTACTGGTGTTGATCCAGGCATTATCAGCAACCGAATCAGCCATGTCTTCAACCTAAAGGGTCCTAGCATCGTGGTTAATACCGCCTGTTCCTCTTCGGTATACGCTATACACAACGCCTGCAATGCATTGAGGACGAAGGAATGCACCGCCGCAGTTGTGGGTGGCAGCAACTTAATCCTCACAGTCGATCAGCATATGAATACAGCGAAACTTGGTGTCCTTTCCCCTACTTCAGAATGCCATACATTCAACGAGTATGCTGACGGATATGGGCGCGCAGAAGCTGTTGGTGCTATATACTTAAAGCGGCTTAGCGATGCTATTCGTGACGGTAACCCTATCCGCGGGATCATTCGATCTACTGCCACAAATAATAATGGAAAGGTGCCAGGCTATGGGATTACTCATCCTAGCTATGATGGGCAGTGTGCTGTTATTCAGCATGCCTACCAGCGAGGTGGCCAGTTGGATCCTCGCCTTACTGGCTATTTCGAATGCCATGGCACGGGAACTGCGATTGGAGATCCGCTCGAGGTTAATGCTATTGCAAATTCCATGAACCAACAAAGAGACGAGAGCCATGGCCCGCTCCTAATCGGCGCAATAAAACCAAATATTGGCCACAGTGAGGCTGCCAGTGGCATCTCTGCTATCATCAAGGCAGTTTTGGCTGTTGAGCGTGGGATAATTCCGCCTACCTATGGTGTGACCAGGCTTAATCCAAAAATTGACTGGAATGGATGGAAAGTCAAGACCCCTACCGAACCCATGCCCTTCCCTTCTCATCTAGCAGTGAGGAGAGCCAGTGTTAACTCGTTTGGGTATGGCGGTACCAACGCCCATATTATCGTGGAAGGGGCAGATTCATTGCTGACAGATCCACAGCGATACCGATATGTGTCGCAAATCCGAGAGTCGGGAATGAGGGTTAATAGAAAGGCGCTTGAGAGAAATCGTCCTTTCCTTCTACTCTTCTCCGCTCATGATACAGCAACTCTGAAGAGGAACCTTGAGGCTCACGGAAAGGTTGCTATGGGCTACAATTTGCTCGATCTATCTTACACTCTTGCCAACCATCGGACACATTTTGCGAGCAGAGCAATGACGGTCACAGCCAATTCTAGGCGCGATACAGCCTTCAATGATTTCCAAGATTTCTCATTCGCTGATAAGAAGAAGTCACATAAATTGGCATTTGTCTTCACCGGTCAGGGTGCACAATGGGCACGCATGGGAGCAGAGCTAATGGTGTGTTACCCTTCCTTCCTTCAAAGCATCAGGGAACTCGATATGGTTCTTGAAAGGTTGGATGAGGCTCCAGATTGGGTTATAGAAGATACCCTGCTCGAAGACCCAAAGACTTCGCGAGTAAATGAAGCCGAATATTCCCAGCCACTATGCACGGCCGTTCAAATCGCACTTGTTCAGTTACTACGAGCCTGGGGCATTACCCCCTCTATAACCTGTGGCCACTCGTCTGGCGAAATTGCGGCCGCGTTTGCCGCGAATTTCATCTCCGCTCCAGAAGCCATAATCTTAGCATACTTTCGTGGCAGGGTGGTAAAGGATATCAATACCAACGGCGCGATGCTGGCCGTGGGCCTTGGTGCAGACGCTGTGGCACCATATATGTCTGATATAAACGACGAAGTGGTGATTGCCTGCCATAACTCTCCGTCTAGTGTTACGCTTAGTGGTGCAAGCGATAAACTAGAAATAATGCAGAAAAGGATGGCCGGCGACAATATCTTTGCGCGCGCGGTCAAAACTGGAGGCAAAGCATACCATTCACATCATATGAACCCAGCTGCAGCCCAATACGAAGCACTGGTCTGCCAGGCGAAGAAGGCACTCTTCTTAGAACCTACCCAAACTTTCGAGGGTGTCAAGATGATCTCATCTCTCACCGGCTTTGTCGTATCTGAAACAAGCGTGCTAGATGAAGAATACTGGAGCGCAAACCTTCGTAACCCGGTCCTGTTTAACCAAGCCATGCAAATCCTATGCTCCAGCCCTGAATTTGACGATGTCGATACGATTATCGAAATTGGACCTCACAGTGCACTTTCTGGTCCAATTCGTCAGATTAAAACCGAATTCAAGTTTGAGAAGATGCAGTACTTACCCTCACTGATCCGGGGAGAGGATTCCGCTGTTTCGATGTTGAAGCTTGCCGGTGAACTTTTCCTTCGGGATTATCCGCTAGATTTACATCGCATTAGCGCTATAGAGGAACGTTCAATGTCTGGGAAGGTTCTTCAATCGACCGGAGGTGTTATAGTGGACCTACCCCCTTATCAATGGGATCCGAATAAGAAATTCTGGGCCGAATCCCGCGAGAGCCATGAGCACCGTCACCCACGTTTTATGCGCCATGATATATTGGGATCTCAAGTTCCGGGGACCTCATTAGCGGAACCCTCGTGGCGGAACTTCTTACGGATGAAAGACTTGCTATGGCTGAAAGACCACTGTCTCGGTGGGGAAGCAGTCTTCCCAGCTGCGGCATACTTTTCAATGGCGATTGAGGCTGTAACCCAACTAAATGAGAAATCGTTGAACCCAGCTGATATCCACGGATATGTCCTGCGAGATGTAAGAATCGAAGCGGCACTTGTGGTCCCTGACGACGACTCAGGTATCGAGGTAATGTTGAATATGCGACCATCGACCCAAACAGAAAATGACCCTGAAAGCACCTGGCAAGATTTTACCGTCTCATCTATGGTAGATGGCCGCGTTAAAGATCATATGGTGGGCAGGATCTGTATAAATAATTATCCAACAAAGCCTTCCATCAGACAGCCACCAAATCTTCCCCAGAAAGCATCTGGGAAGTCTTGGAACGAGGCTTTAAAGAGAGTTGGATTCTACTATGGCCCGACTTTCCAGGACATGAAAAACATCCGATTTGATGGAAAAACCTATGCTGCCACCTGTGATACCACCATTAAAACCACTGTTGATGGTATGGAAGGGGAATCCCGCTATACACTTCACCCTGCAACGGTTGACTCTTGCCTACAGCTACTCATTGTTGCAAATTGGGCTGGCAGAGCCAATGCAATGACTGCTGGCGCTGTTCCAATTCAGGTTGACCAGGTTTCAATCTGGAAGCCAAACGATGCTCAGATAGTAGACCAACACGCGAAGGCATTTTCATGGATTGACCCTAGGGGTGTTCGCTCTTTCAATGGACACAGCCAACTTACCGCTAATGGTGAAGTTTTGATGGAAATCTCGAATATGCGATGTACTGCCTACGAAGCTGTCGTCCCCCAACAAGAAGAGGGGGTTCTTAGGACCCAGCCATACAGTGAAATATTGTGGAAGCCGGATGTTACCTTGCTCTCAAATCCTGTCAACTTTGATATTTCATCTTTCACCGAATTGGTTCACTTTAAGGAACCTTATTCAAAAGTCCTGTCAACTGGGTGGTTGGAAGAGCTGGAGTCTGTGCTAGCTAAAATTCCAACACTCTCACTTACCATTTCAGAGCCTCCAGGGGGAATGGTTGATTCTATTCGTGAAGCACTTGGAGCTTTCCATAATACTAGCGTTCAGAAACTCGACCTAGGTGAAGAGATTAACAGCTCGTTTGACCTAATTATTTCAGCCGCAAACTTGGTGTTTCCCATCTCGACACTACGTAGGTTGCTGAATACGGGTGGCCGGGCCATTGTACCAGCAACCATGGACCATTCGCCGGATGAGTTGGCTTGCGCGAATTTTTCTCCTAACGTCCTAAATTTGAGAGACGGGTACGTTGTTATTACTGCTGTCGAGTCCACCTCCAACAGCGTCAAGGTTCATGAGGATACTTCCTACAATATACAGCTCGTTTATCGCCAGAAGCCCATTCCGTTAACTCATGAGATACAGAAAATCCTCCAGTTCAAAGGTGCTAACGTGACTACCTCTTCCATTGAGAGTATTGACAAAATTGGAGAACATATCGTTCTTGCTGACTTCGAGGATCCTCTCTTATCAACTATTACGGAGCAAGAATTTAGAGGGCTTCAGGAACTTACAAGCAATGCTAGCAGCATTTTATGGCTAACCTCTGGCGGACTTTTGAGCGGCAAAAGGCCAGAATTTGCTCTGACCCCCGGCTTGATCAGATCTCTGACTTCAGAGCAAATTTCTTTGGATATCATACATCTTGACTTTGATACTGATAATACTCCAGAGGCGGATATCGCCCAGATTGCTGCTCACTATGCCTTGGAGCAATCCATGAAATCCAACATTTTAGAGAAAGAATATTATATCTCTGAAGGCAAATCCTTCATCAGCCGTTTGATCCCGAGTCGGAATCTCAACAGTCAATACAGTCGTGACGATGCTGAGACGGAAATGATAAAATTTGACACCGATCTATCGATTGTTGGGAAACTTCAATCCGGAAAGGTCATTTTTGAGGTCGACAGCCGGGTTAATGACCCTCTTGCCCGAAACTATTTGGAGATTAAAGTCTTGACCACAGGATTAAACAAAGAAGACACGATAATTATTTCCGGAACCGATTTTCTCACGGATTTCACCCATGAAGTGGGCGGCATCGTAACCCGGGTTGGTTCTGCTGTGGAAAACTTTGCCCCAGGAGACCGCGTGATCGGTTTTAGTTTCGACAAGTTTGCTACCTTGCAGCAAGCAGACGCAAGACTCTTCCAACGACTCAATGCGGATGAAAACCTAGTCGACATGACTAGTCTCCCGATGGCTTATGCCGTTGCTCTTCATGGGCTGAAGTCTCTTGCAAATTTACAGCCTGGTGAAACGACTCTTATTCTTCCGGGTTCTGGGGTAGCAGGAGTCGCTGCAATCCACGCCACTCGTGCCCTAGGCGGCCGTCCATATGTTGTAGCTTCAAACAACGAACAGGCCAGTTCCATCCGGGTACTGTTTTCGCTTGACCACGACCAAGTTCTCGTCCAGTCTAATACAACCCAGCTAAGGGATATAGACGGCCAATATCAAGTCGATGTGGTCTTCTCCTCAGGATGGGTCAACCCGTCTATATCCAGGGAGGTGTGGAGGCACCTATCTCCATTCGGTCGATTCATAGATTGTGGGCGAAAGGACGTGCTTACAAGAAGCGTTCTAGATACCGTTCCCCTAAACCGTGGAGCAAGCTATCTTTCGTTTGATATTCTTGACCTTTACAACGCGAAGCCAGATATCATGGCCCAACTCTTAGCCCTAACGGTCAATCTATACCGTCAAGGCCGCCTACCTTTGCTCCAACCGATATCTCTAGGGTATATCACCGAGCTAGATAGAGCTCTCTCCGCATTCTCTGACGATTTCGAAGCAGGAAAAACTATCGTCAAACATGAGAGTGCAGGAGATGGATATTTGCCCATGTTGGCTGCCGAAGCTGAAGCGGAATTGGACCCTAATGGAACCTACTTCCTTGTTGGCTGCCTCGGAGGCCTGGGGCGCAGCTTGACCTCACGGATGATGAAGCTGGGGGCTCGCAATTTCTTCTTCCTCTCTAGATCCGGAGCAGATTCAGACCAAGCATATATGCTTGTTGAGAATTTACGACAAGCTGGTGCGAATGTCAAAGTATTTAAAGGGGACGCCAGTGTATACTCAGATGTGGAAGAGGCAGTCAAAGCTGTCCCAGTTGAGTGCCCTGTTAGAGGTGTTATCAACGCAGCAATGGTTCTCCGAGTGAGTTAAATCACATTTCTAAGATGGGCATAACTAACATACCTTAATACAGGATGGGTTATTCTATAACATGCCCTTCGAAAACTGGGTTGCATCTACGAGCCCAAAAGTGAAGGGCAGCATAAATTTGCATGAAGCTTTTAAGGACCATGATCTTGACTTTTTTATTACTACCAGCTCCGTCTCCGGAACCCTTGGTACTCCTGGTCAGAGCAATTACGCGGCTGGCAACTCATTCCTAGACTCGTTAGCTCGACACCGCCGAGCGCAAAAGAACAAGTCGACCTCGATAATTCTCCCCATGATTCTTGGGGTCGGAGTCGTGGCAGAGAGCACCGAGCTTGAAGAAACGCTAAAGTCCAAGTGGATGTATGGAATAGATGAGGAGGCACTGCTTAGGGCTTTTGAAGTTGCAATCCTGGAAAGCAAGAATCAGGCCGCTGGTGATCACTTTGTGGCGGGCCTCGACCCCAGCGAGCTCTCCAAAACTGCCAAGGAAGCTGAGGGGGAGCTGGACAGCTTTTGGGCGGCGGATGTGCGGTTCAAGCATCTTGTTCATCAGATGAAGTCTATAAATGACAACGCTACGGCAGGCTCGAACCAGACAATTCTATCATCTCTTAAAGAGATGTCGCTATCGGATGCAATAAAGGCGGTGCGAATGGAGTTCCTTGGGAGGCTCGAACGGGTACTCCTCCTTGAAATTGACAAAGAAGAGGAACACCGCTCGATCGCCAGCTATGGCATTGATAGCATGATTGGAGCCGAGCTACGGAACTGGATTTTCAAAAACCTTGGGTTGGATATATCGTTCCAGCAACTGCTAAATCAATCTCTCACCGTGACTCAATTTGCTCAAAAGGTTTGCGCCAACCAGCAAATCGAATAGTACTTGTCAGTCATTATGTTGTCCCAAATTTGATATTTTTTCTATGTATCCAGCGGAAGACGGGCCCTAGCAGGTTCTACTTAGTTATCCTTCTTGGATTGTGGCCTCTTGTGAAGATATTCTGTCATCTGATTCAAGATTGTACGGCGGACCATAACTAGGTGCCATTCCGTGAAAATGAAATATTTTGCAAAAATTATAAATGGAAACGTATGAAATCAAAGTCCTTAGAGCCGTAAATAGTGCTATCTCTGTATGGAGGAGCAAGCTCAGCGACTACTACAGAAGTAAGGAACTCAACCTTTTCTTTGAAGATGGCTGTCTATAGACCTAACAAAAAGCCATGTTAAATTACAATTATATTTGCATAAATTCCCACCTAAGCGCCGCCGGTTGATAGTTTTCATGAAAATTATCCCATGTCCGCAAAAATTAACGAAGCAACCCATATAAATACACATTTATATAAGACGCAAATGATTATCCTCTCTCGGACGTCTCCCCCTTCCATGGCCGTCGTGAACCCACGCGCTTCATTCCAAATCATTTCGCTATTATTATTTTGCTGCCAAGCTTAATCGACGTCAACACTCATTGTCCTCAGCTCGGTGGTTGCTTGCTTTATTTCTGCTTGTAGGGATTTATATGCTTCTGGAACATCGTGGAATGTGAATACTCCCCAGCCAAGTCGGAAGAGGAGATAGGAGCCTAGAACCATAAGGAAGTATGTCGGGAGCTTTATAGGGAGATCGGAATGAATTAGCCAATGCATTCCTCCGCGGTTCAATTGATTCGTTTGTTTCGTCAGGGGAAACGTACATGTGGGATGATTTCCTCCTGAATGGTTTGGTTGAGAGGTAGCAGACCTAGGTATAGGGCTAGGTAGAGCTAGACATTGAATAAGGATCAGTATATAGTTTGTTTCCCTCGTCCCTGAACATCTGTAGTAGAACCAAAACCGGCACGATGCCCAACTTACTGATGTGACTAGCAATGCAATCGAAAGAGTTTGCTGTGCGCGTGTCATGGCTGCGACTGTAATGAGCGACGGTCTGGGGTATTAGTGAGGGTATGTAGCAGCTTTCTCCCGAAAATTATAGCTAACGCGACGACTGAATGGTGCTCTGTTCTATGCAATATGTCAAGAAAGGTGGCATGTAACTATCCCCCTTCCATGCTGTTTTCCGCCGCTGCGACCAGGGGCGCCGCGATTCCATCACGTGACATTTTCCACGTCACATGTTTCCCCTGAGACCAGCCAGTCGAAGAAGAGAGAGTCGGAAAAAATAAATAATCAACCAATCATAAAAAATTGCTAGTGAGTCTTTTAAAATTTCACCAATCAAAAATAAAAAAAATTACATACGACAGTCGGGATTCGCTGGTGGTCACCCACCCAACTACTAACCGACCGGCAAGTGGCTTAAGTACAGCTGAGCGGACGGGAAGCTCTGTTTTCCACTTCCTGTGGTCGTATGTGCTAGATTCTTAATTGACAGCATTGGTATAGACAGGGAACGTAACGTACATACAACTTTGAGATATGAAAAGTAATCTATATATCATTCAAGATCACGCATTTAACCTAGTCTATGAGTTTGAGTGTCAGCGGTAGCCATTGGAACCTTAGTTCTTGGTTTGTTTGAGTGGTTATCGTCTGGTTGGACAATGCACCCGTTCTGGAGGTTTATCACGGAAGCTTAGATATTTCCTGATGTTCATAGGTGCCATAACTTCTAGAGGTGTCGAGACATGCATACATGACTCAAGGGGTCGGAGATTTCTTCTTTGATATATCAAATTGCTAGATGCTACAATAACCCGGTTGCATAGAGAACCTTGATACATAGCCGTCAGGGGCATTGAATGCCGTGCCATCCATCCCCTGGAAAACCGCCGGCCCCCATGTCATGTTTGTTTTGTAGCCTGTCAGTGTGCGCCCCACCCTGGTATGTATAGCGAAATTCCATAGCAATGTAGTCTCGGTTCCCTCGAACCCAGGCCAATCGAAAGGCCTTCGTGGTGTAGCGGCTATCACGCCAGTCTCATAACTCAAAGTATGACTCAGGAGCACAACTCGCTGGGATATCTGGAAATGCCAGTTCGATTCTGGCCGAGGGCAATCCACCCTACGCTCACGCTGTTACTTCGGCGTTCATTTTTTTTGTTGGCTCTCGCTAGTAACACCGCCATGTTCTTGTGTGCCAGTTGTGGTAGTAGTATGTACGTATCGAGCATTTATCATCTGTAGTCGACGTCTGCCGCCTGTCTCTCTGTTTGCTATCTGGCTGCTTTCATGTCTCGCTCACTGTTGTCGCTGTTGGAAGTTGTCTCCGTCTCAGGCAGCAACCGAGGAAGCCCTAGAAGGACCGGAGTGTGGATTACATAAGGGGCCACCCACCCCTGACGGCGGCTGAGCAGCTCGAGCCTTGGAATATCTATATCGTCGCAACATCTCGCATCCTCACCAGGCACCAACAGGCTAAAACAGTGAAAAGGTGAACAGGCGCTTAACGGTTGGGTCTTTTTTGGTCACTTGTCCGGCTTCTGCCTGATGCTTGTCGGTTTGTCTAATGCTACCCTGGCCACCGTTTCACCAATAGATAACACTTGGTATAGAGGAGCCCATATAGAATAACCCCACTGGAAGGCAACTGTCCAATAGTGCCTACATTAAACCAACCCGCAATTTTGAATCCTGGGTTAAATAGCTATCCTTAACCGCCAGCGAGGGCTCTTTCTGTGTCCACATGACTGAGAAGGTGTCATCTTTAGAGCGTTGAAGCCTGGAGTCACCCTGGGAGACGTCTAGAGTCCCTTGTCAAACTCCGGCCTGTCGTCGTTGCGGATTGGGCCGTTCTTGAAGCGACTATATCCATCCTAGGTCGCTATCTTCGATATAACTAGGCATCCACGCCAGGAAAGTGAGCTCTCATGGATGGAGCCATGGATAACAATGCTGGGCCATCGGCCAACCCGGCGCAGAAGGGAGCAGGGTCGGATTTAGATAAATACCCTTCCGAGTCTGCGCAGAAGATGGATGACCAGACTCAAAAATCACCCGATTCAGCTCCTGTTAGAGACCTGCCAAAACTCCCACGGGACGAAGAAGAGAACATGATCCGCACTCTCCGCACGAAGTTCAAGGGAGGAGATGTCGAAGAACTCCACAACCTCTTGAGCTCTTTAGAATTAGCGGACAAGGAGCGTAGAAGCGGCAGTCCAAGCTTGGACGGGCTGGCGGCGGTGCTAGACCAGATTGATATGTTATGGAGAAGTAACTCTACTTACATGGCAGAGGTGGCAGAGATGTTGGCTGATGCGAGCCGGGACGGTAAGTTTTCTTCCCTTTTTAGATAAGGAGCTGTTGTTATTATTTACTGATGATATATAGCAAAATGGAGACCATTCTTCGGTCAAAGTGGAATTTTGGATTACTTCCTTCGAATAATATCAACTGAGGAGGTCGAAGAGGACACTCTATTACATTCACTGAGATTTATTGGAAATTCATGCGCAGACACAGGTAATTAATCATATCTAGCACCATCCGGTTCCCACAATTTTCCCGGGCTAACATTACCAACAATAGATGAGAATAGAGCAAGAGTGCTAGAGATGAACTATACCCTGCCAATAATACAATGGATTACTCATTTACGTCTAGTTCATGTTGCTATACCTGTTATCTATAATATATGCATTGACTACGGTGGGTAGATTACTCTCTACTTTTTCTTTATTTCCTAACTAATGAAACTTTTTAGTCCCTGCACAGGCCCAGGTCGCTCAAAATGGCATTTCAATTGTTTTGTTGAAGCTTTTAGAGACAGGGAAACTCAAGGGTAGCGCATTATTAGGGGTCACTTACGAGCTATTGGAGATGGCGAGTGAGCAAAGTGTGTCCTGCCTCATATCCCCTATTTCAATACCATGACTGATCACAATAGGTCAATCTGTTGATATTACACCCGATGAGTCGTTGCCTCTGATAATACATGCCATATCAAGCTCCGAATCACACGGGGAGGGATATGGTTGTCTATTGAATGCTCTAAATGGATACCTCCAAAAGGATAAGTTCCAGCAACTCAGCATTATAAATGGACATGTCGAAGCACTCCTCTCCATTTTTATGGATACCTTTAAAGGAGACGATTCAATCATGGCACCCCTCCGGCTTAAGCTTAACCACTCTCTAGCTGATATCTCCGCCCTCGCTGCATATCCGAAATATTACCCTTTGCGCTGCTCAGTGACCGAAACGTTGATTTCATGGTTAGCCAGTGAAAAGGATGACCTCAAGATATGTGCTTGCATTATCCTCGGCAACGTTGCTCGGGATGATGAAGTCTGTAAATCCATGTTACACGATTTCAAGGTTCACCTGCCGTTGATCTCCATGCTAAAGCGCGAAGACTCGAAGGCAACTGTCCTCCATTGTTCTCTCGGATTTTTGAAGAATCTAGCAATAGCTGGAGACAATCGCGAGTACCTCGGGGAGGCTGATATTATAAAGGCTGCTTCCCGGCTTTGGGCGATCGACACCCTGCCCCATGCACAACTCATGGCGACGAGCTTGACACGCCAAACAATATTAACCTCAGTCACCAATATCGGCCGTCTGCTAGAACCGATTTCCTCTGACTATGATTCACCTGGCAGTCGTCGTACCTATCTCTCTCTGCTCCTTGCCTTGTTTGGCAAGACAGACTCATCCCCTATCAAGACGGAGATCGGGCGTACTATAGCAGCTATCTGTCGTACACTCATGCGACTTAAAGGAAACTCTGAGCTACCAGTTGGAACAGAAGAATTGGTTACTCGGTTATTTGATTTACACAAGGATATTGCACGCCCAATTGGTACTATGATAACTCAGACCGAATGGCCCATTGTTCAAAGCGAAGGTTGGTTTGCGCTTGCTTTAGTAGCATCCCATCCGGCCGGCTCTCAAGCTGTTATCGATTGTCTGGAGAGCATGTGTGTTATACAGAGTCTATGTGATACTATACGTACCCCAATTTCACACCCAGAGCCCGGAGAGCCAGCCAAGGATAAGACGGAACGTCTGAAGAAGTCGAAAGATCGGGAAAATGCCCTTTTCCTACTTCATGGCTTAATGAGGAATAATGTGAGTTTCACTGCCTTGATCGGCACTCGTGACAGAGCTAACGCACTTGCGCAGGCTGCATCTGAGCTCCCGGAATCTCTTCGTGATATGTTTGAGGGCTTGCTGCGTGAGGCTGGCCATGAGCCCGTCAAATGATAATATAATGTTTTCAATAATGTTGGAAAATTCCTGATTTGATGCAGCTTCATGATATTATGCTACCTCACAGGTTTCATTCCGTATTCATCAAGAGCCATAGAATTTACAAACCATTGTTCCCTCCGCCTGCGAATCATCCCGAGTGGCTAAATCTAATGTTGAAGCTTCTCTGTCTAATTCATTATGGTAGTATGTATTCTAAACTATTTACACTGATGTCTCTTAACGAGATAGATCCTTTCCTGCAAAGTTGCTGCCATAGCAGCACAAGAGTATTCCACAACCATGAGCCCACACAGGGATTGGTAATGGAATGCGTGTTCGTTCTATCTAGGCTTTGTCTTCGGTTTTCTTACGCTTTTCTTTTAGTTTCTTCTCCGTTTTCATGAACTCCCTTATTCCAACAGGAATGTCGGCAAACAATGCATCCGCATCTGCTTCCGTAGGAATATCGGCATTCCAGCTACCTTGGCTTCCGCCACCATCATCATCCATGCTTGTACTTGCACTGTCAACTTCGCTCCGTGGGTTTTGTCTCATATCATGTAGCGGGCGCGGTCCAGCCGCCTTTTTCTTCCTTGGGCCCCCTCTGCGAGGTGCATCTCGTTTCTTCGCCTCATTTATTCTCTGGGCCCAGGCCTCGACATCATCTCGATAGTCATCCCAGACACAATGGACACATCCGCTCATACAGCAGTTATCGGGCTCTTCTGGCCGTGGCGGTATGGGTACGCCATTGATTGTACGCCAGGCCGACTTGGGCGAAGCAGATGGATTGTAGCGTGTTGAGGAGTAACCTGGTCCAGCAAGCCGGGTACCAAAAACTATCCCAAATTTCTCCTGCGGCGTTTGCTCCTTTTGCGGTTCTGATTGGGTTGCTTCGGCAGCTTTAGCAGAGGTCGAGTTGGTCGTTTGGGATTGAGGCGTTCGGCTAGGATTTAATGGCTGCGACTGCGCGTTCAGGAGTTCGGAGTAATATCCCTTCAATGGATATATTTGATGCACTGGCTTTCCGACTGAATTTTTCTGACTCTTTGCATTCGTATGCTGGTATCGTGTGGCTGCCCGTTGGTTCGGCCCATGAGTTCCCCAAGATGGTACTCCGCGGAACCGAGAACCTCCGGTCGACAGCATTAGAAGGCAGCGGGAGCATATAGATGCCCCCAAGGGGATCCCTCCCCTCTCGGAGAGAACTAGGGATCCCATCTGTTCTTTTGACTGGTTGTTGTTGACTTTGAGCTTGCACGGCAAAGAGAAGCCCATTTCGGTGTTATTCAATCTCGCAGTGGGATGCCGGTGCAAACAATGCAAACAGATGTCCTCAATCGCGTCTCTTTTTTTTGTTGATGCCGAGGAAGCTCGAAAGGAGTAGAAGATGCAAGTCCAAAGAGCTTCGAAACTTACGAACTATTGCAGGCAGTACTTTCACATTTGGCTTAGACCTTCTGTCTCGATCAAATATATGGAAGCATCGTGTATGCGAACGCTCATTTTCCCCGGATAGCTAACTAGATGCGAACGCGCGCGCCCGAATGATACCCTCACCCTCGAAACGGCGCAAGTCCAACTCTTCCATCCCAATACCTGTAGGCGCGTCAAATACTACAAGGAGAGATGGTCGTGGACGTACTAGCCCTTCGCGATCCCCGAGCCGTCGGTCATTTCAAGCGCCAACCCGGTCGAGTCTCGCGCGATACCATCCAGACGTTTTGTCGAAGGTCATAGAACGGTCAGCGTCTGAGAAAGCGCAAAGGTCTTCTGGCCAGGATTTCAGCTCGTTTGGGGAACATGTAGATAGCTCACCCCAAATATCGGGCAGCATACCTCTACGGCCACTAGCGGGCGCATCTCGGACGGAGCCAGAGGCGGATGATGGATTGCCCCTGCTTAACAGCACTATATCAAGACCTGGCTCTAGACGGCAGTCATTTGCGGAACGGCCGTTGCCTGGAGAGATATCTAGGGTGGATGAGCCAGGCACACATGGGAAGCAAAGGGTACCAGCACCGGATTCATTCACGGACAGCCATGATGCAAGTCCGGGATTATCACTTTCTTCTCCGGAAGCGGATCCTCCTCCAAGAGGGACAATTGCGCAATTCAATGGCAGTCCAAGCCAGCGGGCAGGCACGGCAAAGAAACAACAATTCAAGAAAGCGGAACTCTATCCCATCTTTAAGACAAAGAAGCCAAAAAATACGGAAGCCGGACATGGTGCTGGCGAGTTGCAACCAGACACTGCTATCGAACCTGATAAGGAGCTTCCAAGAGAAATACAGGAAAAGAAGAAACTCCGAGACTCCCTCAAGGCGCAATTGGCGAGGCTAAAGGGAGAAGTTGCTCTCCTAGAAGAAGAAGCTGGTCGATTGGAGACACCCGATCACGAATCAGTGGACGAAAGCTCTCTTAGACGATTAATGTATGCCCCAAGTCTATGCTATGTATATTGCTATCTTAATATTCCCGTTATACTAATTCTTTCAACGTAGTGGCCTTCTTCTGTCTAAGAACCCGTCTTGCGCACCTCCGCCCCCTAAACCGCCGATACCTCCACCACTATCTTCAATGCTTTCATATCTGCTCCCTTTCACAGCTCAGCGATCTATACCACTGTCAGAACCCGAATTACCACCTTCACCACCACCCGAGAACCCCTATGCCATGAAACAACCGGAAAATTTTATCCCGTATCTTACTATTTTTGCACCTCTTATACTCAATACAGAAACAATAACTTCTACCGTGAGGACCCCGTCACGGGCTTTAGGGATACCCTCAGATATAGTGCAGACATACCACTTCATCCTCCAACCACCAGCTAATTTCCCACTATCACTTTACAAGATCCCCCTCATCCTCAATACTGACCCTGAAAAGCAAGCCGTGCTCTCTATCTCTGTTCCTGAGGCAAATTCTAGGGTTCCTGGACCGTTAAAAACCTGGATCGCGTCTCGTTTGTCAAACCTCTTGCTACAGCATGATGTCTCCGGTTTATGTTGGGGTATCTGCCGGTACTGGGAGGCCGCAATATCACGATCAAAGTTCTGGATACAATTGCAGACATTATCTGAAAAACTTGAAGAAAACCCTCGATATCTAGAACAAAAAAAGAAATTCCATAGGAAAGCGGGAGTAGATACCTCTCGGAGCTCAACGCCTGATACGGATGGGCAGCAATATGCTGTCAGGGCCCTGGTGCAGCATTTCGAGCGTACAAGTTACCGGTTTTCTACTTCGACGGGATCTAATAAGCTGGAGTTACTCGTATCCTGTCCTTTGACCCTTGATTTATGGACCAGTGAGCCCCAATTGGAACCCAGTATTTGCATATCTGGTTCCTCACTGAAGAGTACTGCGGCCAGTAAGATAGAAAAAGAAGCGAAGCGAGTGTTCCAAGGGATGATTCAGCGTGGGAAGGGTGGCGATGTTGACGTCGATATTGGGTCACTGGTCAAAGCTGTTGAAGCCGTAATAGTTATCCTATTTGGACTTGTTTAGGATTGTTCCCAATTGAACATATGACTGTGCTTGAGTTATATAGAATGGAAGTGAGTGACGGTTTACTTAATGATAAGACGATACAAGAAGCTACTTGATATGCGCTGCCACTATAACGCTTTTTATACGCGCATATCCATCTCTATCGGTTGGGGCCAAGTAAACGGCATTATGTGAAGATTTGTTTCCATTTCTACATCATGGCCACATACAAACAAGCCCATTCGGCCAAACAACGCGGTGCCGACATGACTTCACTATGGCTGCTCACTCTCCCCATTTTTATACCTTTCGATGAAGAAAGGCGGTCCAACGATGTAATGAATTACCTCCTGGACGGCAAGGAATTGGACCCCGGATAGGTTTGGTCATATGATATCGTATTATTCATGACACAGGAGGCTGAGAACGGGGGATTATAAAAACGGAAGGGCGCAAAGAATACTAGAAAACATAATAAAAGGGTAACACCGTAAGAACTTCCATTTATTTATGTCTTTTTTTATTTCTGGTATTTTATTTCTTTGCAGCAGCGGCCTCTTCAGCCTTGGCCTTTGCGCGCTTCGCTCTGACACCGACAAGTCTGGCGTCGCTTCGGGCAATTCTCATTCTGCGGTATGCGTTCTCTTCTCCCTTTGGTAGATCAGACTTCTTGATCTCAGAAATGGCGTTCTCACGAGCAGGGTCGGTAACGGGGAGAACGGAGCTGATGGTCTTAGCGAGACCCTCCTTGGCGGCCTTGATCTCTTCGGCGGAGGAGTCGAGCTTCTTGAACTGACCGCTCTTGCGGGGGAAGAGGATCAAACGGGCCTTGTAAGCCTTTAGGCGGGCGACGTTGACGGAGAGGGATTCAGCGGAGACATTGCCACGGCGGTAGTCAACGGTGATGCCGATGGTTGGAGCAAGCTTGCGTGGGATACCAGCTTCCTGTGTAATGAGTTAGCCATGGCATTCTTTCTAGTTGATTATGGATATCGAATATAGAGAAATGTAGATGTACCTTCAGCTCCTGGAGGGAGAAACCACGGCCAGCTCGGACGCGGCTGTTGTACTTAATGGTGGGACATCGGACAATTGGGCGGAGCTTGTCAACTGGGCGAGGAGCAAGGGCAGCAGCCTTTGCGAGACGAGCCTCACGACGTCTGTGTTTCCGGCCGGGCTGGAGAGCGTAATTCGTTAGTTGACCCGGTTCATCTCACTCCATCACCCGTACTTGATTGTGGTATATATCGTACCTGGTCGAAATGTACTCTGACACGTCGGTCCCAGTCCTTGTGGAAGTCTGTTCAAAATGTCACGAATTAGAATGGTGTTGCAATCATCCAGCTGACTTCGCAGTCGTTTGTTCGATACGAGTAAGATTCCACCTCTTCCTCAAAACACTTGTCACGCGCTTTGCTCTTCCATATTTTTATTCTCTTCTCCTCACTTCTTCGTAGCTCGCATTCATTCAACAGGGCAGTAACTCACGGTTCTTTGGGATAACCTGGTTGTGCTTGATCGCCTATATTCGAAAATTCCCTTGGTCAGCTTCCACAATCTCTCATCTCTCATATTGCGACTTCGACTCCTTCTGCGTCGCGGCTGCGCACGGCACAGGCAGAATATCAACGTCCACAACGAGGAGTGCAAAATAAGGACGTACCATTGTGTCGGCCGGTGATCAAGTTGTCGAGAGCCCGGGTTGTTGAATTGTCGATGGTCGTGTCTCGACTTTGGTGGAAAAGTCGAAGTTCTTCCTTTCTTCAACTTTTGGTGGAAACTTTTTTGGTGTGGTGATGCTTATGTCAGCACCACTCGCTTATGCTGAGTCAGCCACTTAGCCCTAGCTCTGCCTAATCGGGTTAATGCCGAGGCTTCTCGATATCATAGTTTAGAAAGCAGCTATGGAGTATCAAGTGTAAATAACAGTAACCAAGAGAGTATACAAGAGAGTAAAAAGGGGAATTACGGGCGACAGAGCAGAAGTAGACTGTTGTTTCGACGACGGTTGAGACTATGTTACATCGTTTGAGGCCAGAGTAAATGCCCAATAGCAGAGAAATCTCATGATTACATGTTTCAACAGGAGAAATACAGGAGCCGCCTTGAGAGATGAAAGAAACCGTGGTAGCTGCTGGAAGAGAGAGGCTCATTCCCAGATAACAAACAAAAAACCATTGACCATTAAAGAAGAAAGAACAGAGAAATAAGGAACAACTCCAAAATCACCAGGTTTCGTTATCTGGGTGCGTCATTGCGGAGGTCATGTTGAAGGGGTCATTATTAACGATAAGCAGATATCGTCAAGGAGCGCTGCAGGCATTCATCAACAGCGAAAATAGAAAGGAAAAACACGGCCAAATTGAGCTCGAGGCTTAGTCATGAGTACGGGAAAGGGAGGAAAAAAATTTTCGAGTAGCAACGGAGAGGGAAGACTAGACGGCAACATTTAGATGGAGAGGAATCGACCCCCTCGCCTTTTTGGGAGAGAGGGATTTGCCCTCAGAACTAGTATTCTTGCGCTTCATATGGTCAGAAGGACGCTCAAGACCAGCCTTTTTCACATGGCCGAATAATTTTGTCTGAAGCATTGCACTGGATTTGCCTATGTTGGTAGGGATCGATGGCTCCTCCTGACTGGTCCCTGGATAGCGACGAAGCATGCTGGTGGCTAGAGAGCTAGCCTGAGACGCTGGCACGTCTTCGTCAGTGACTGCCTCGATGTCAGATGCGGACAAAGTGCTGTCACGGTCATGGCGGCCCTCATCTTCCTCGTCCAGGCGGCCAGATACAGGTGTTGGGGATATCCGGGGCTCTCGCATCTTTTTGTTTACTGGAGTAAAGAAACGGGGTTGAGCGGGTTCCGACATTCTGGCATGGGATATGGGGGTCAAGGAAGACATCGAATGCGCACCACGAGTGTGAGTGTGGTAGTTTCTGTGCCCTCGAGGCTTGGACTGTGAAGGGGGTTGGGTGCGTGAGCTATCTCCGTGCAGGACCTGGTCTGCTGCCAGGAGAGTAGCCAGCAAATCCTGGCTGCCGAGTTTACCATTGAAAGAACGAGAGCTCTCTAGGGGAGCATGACGTGGAGGCAGTACGGCTGCTTTGCGTTGTGGTGTATGTATGTCAGCACGAGGACTTGTCGGGAGAGATCCGCCGTCCATCATCATAGTGAAGTGTTCACGGTTGTCTCGAATACGCTTCTTCAGTCGGCCATTCTCCTCCAATAGCATCTCGTACTGGTCTGACTTCTCCTCGATGATCTGTTTTGCCCGGTGAAGTCTGCGGTCCAGTGTAGCATTCATCTGCTCTAGGTCCTGGATCCTGGCTCTGGCGCCAGAGAGCTCATGGTTCTGAAAGCTGCGTGCTGATTCCTCCTGCGCAATACCTCGACGAACACGATACTCATCACTCTGTAGGATCTCAACTTCGCGTTTGGCGAGCTGCTGCTCTACCTCTGCGCGTTTGACGGCCTCGTTGCTGGTGAGGGAGAGAAGGCTGTTTTGAAGCTTGAAGTGAGCTGCTGACATGCGGAAGTCCTGAGCAACGACAAGCAGCTCGTTCGCTATCTTTCGAAGCGCGGGCTCATCAGCATCATCAATCTCGCTCACGGTGGGTAGGCGCTCTGATATGCCGTACGCATCACACAGCGACTGGTTGACGGTGGATGGCGGCGAAGCAAGAAAGGGGTGCGACTGAGAACGAGCGCGCTGGGATGGTGTAGACACATTCTCCGGTGCCTGAGCTGACGGAGGAGGCGTCATACTCGAAGATGACTGCCTGACTGCTGGTGAAGCTATCGTGGGCTTCTCGGAGTCGACGCGGTCAGGTTGCGACTGGATTTGGGTAGCCTGTGAGTCGGGCGCAGGGCTGCTGCTGCTGCTCAGCTCTGGAGTCGGCGTGCTTGGAACTGCTATCTCGACGGCCGGTGAGAGAGACGGCCTAGCCTGACCGGCTCTGGCAGCTGTATCACTCTGCGCGTCCATGGTCCTGGCAGGGACAGCCTTTGGGTTGCGCAGGTCTTCCAAGGTGGTGAGTGGTGACGGTGAAGCTGGCTGTCTGCGCGACAAGACCGCGGCGGGGAGTGCCAGGCCAGCGTTCTTTCCGGCCAGTGTTCTTTCCGGCCAGTGAGTATTCTCAGCAGCCAGACGTCCCGTGCACACGTCAGTGGTGAATGGCAAGCCTGCTCGGCCTCTCGACAGCTGGCGATGGCAGGTGAAGTCGGTGGTTGCCGCTGGTTCCTCTCCTTGTCTTCGTCTTCGTCTTCTTTGCGTCTTTGCGTCTTTCTTGGTTGTTTTGGTGGAAAAAGAGAAAGTCGAAGGCTGGGGCAACCGTCACGTGACATGCATGTTTTTTGGCCTAGACGAAGACGAAGACGAAGACGAAGATGAAGACGACGAGATGGCATGCATAGAGCTGGGGGTAAAGCAGATGGGGAGGAAGAAGTCGACGGGGCGAGGTCGGTGGCAGGTGTTTTTCTACGAGTTTTTCGTAGGAAGAGTGTCCCAGCCGAGGCCCTGTCAAAGGGGCTGTCAGTCAACACCCGTTTGACCGTGGCCGTTGAGGATTAACACAGGAGATATAGGCATAGATAACAGTTAGCTAGACCAACACGTACATGAACCTGTCTAGGTTACTATATTTTACAGCTCTACTCTCGGTCTCTGCCGCTGTCTGCTGCCGTATCAATTTCTACTGTCTTAACCTCGCACAGAGAGCTGCGTCTCATATATTCCACCAACGAAGGATCAGATATCAAAACAGATAAAGTATGATAAAGGCAACTATAGAGGCCCAGGCTAGCTAGCTAGTGGATAACTAAATAGATAACAAATATGCAAGAAGAAAAGAAAAAAAGGGGGTTTACCGTCTAAGCAGCAGGTTAACTGGGTAACCGCACGGCTAGTAGTAATATTTAACTATCACCGCCGGACGAGCCAACCCTTGCTCGGCTTCGTCTCCCCCTTCCACCCCCTGGAGCTTCAACTTCCAGCCGTCCAACTCCATGTCCTGCACTAATACTACCGAGACGACGACGGAAGACTGTTAGAGCGTCTCCCACCCGCTGTTCGACTAGAGAGATAGGGACCACAGACACGGCCGTTCCATGGTTCGACCCTAGCTCTGAGGCTATTTTCCGCTACAGCTACTCAGTTACCATGGACAACAAAACCGCAGCAAGCGGCCGTCCGCGGCTCTCACGGCTGCCTCTGCCCACGGGAACGCCCTCGAGGTCGTTAAGGCCGTCACCCTCAAGGGACAGGCTGCAGGCAGATGCGGGACTCAAGATATCGAGGCTTCGGCGGCCGTCTGAGGACATCTTCAACAGGCCCTACTCCCCGGCGTGCTCGAGTGAATCGGACCCTCTGGACGGACACCACGAGAACTCGAATGCGACTTCGACTGCGACCACTCCTCTGCGCCCTCAATCGTTCAGTAAGCAGTATCACCTGAACGAGTCGCTCCTCGACCCGGCAGATACCCGACAGGGCCGCAGCCCCTCGCGCAATGGGCCCAGACCCTCCCTATCAGACCGGACCATTGAGACACTTGCTCAGATCCCCGGCTCACCCTCGCCCGGTAGAAGAAAATCTGGCTTCGTTGGCGAGCTGAGGAGGTCTTCCTCAAGGCAGTCCTTGAATGGAACACCTTTATCTCCTGCTCCCTCAGCAAGGAATGCGAGGATGCCCAGATCCCCTTCTGCGGCTAGCACCTCACGCGAGCGTCCTGTGGGTCAGAGGTCAGTTAGCATGTATATAAGATCACCTGCTGCATCGATAAGGAACGGTATGCTCAAGACAAGTGAGGAGGGTATCGAAGAGACGGAAACTAGCATGTTGCCTCCACATAAGCCGGTATCCGCTGCTGCCACCCGCCAGCCGATGAAGAGCCAGAGCATGATATCACGAAAGCCGAGAACGATGCCGCCCCTGGGTCAGGTCTTCGGAGAAGCCCCAGATTCAGAGCCTACTGGCATAATTGAACCCCTTTCAATCCCCAAGACAAGGAAGCCACCGTCTACCATATCTTCAAATTTTACCTCACCTACATCTACAACCTCGAAACGATCGCCGAGAACTTCTATCACATCTGACGGATACACGGCAAATGATGTACCGCCCAAGGAACCAGAACCAAAGAAGACCGCCAAATCATCAAGTGCCCTTCGAGAGAGTATAGCCAAGGCAAAGGCCGCTCGCAAAGCAGCTCAGCAGCAGCAGCAGCAGCAGCAAGAACAACAACAACGTGAACCGTCATGTAAATCTCCAGATACTCTTGAGGAAGACAACCTGAAGGATCCATTCAATCAGCTATCCGGTATGGAACCTACAAGTGCCGCCTTGCAGAGTAGAACTGCTTCTGCCAGGAAATCAGGACTTCTGAACATATCTGCCATGGGACTGGCCGCTATCCCCGATGAGGTCATGACCATGTATACCTTTGATCCAAACAGCAATGACGTCTGGTACGAAAACGTCGACCTGGTGAAATTCATGGCTGCAGATAACGAGCTGACTTCACTCCCGGATGAGGCCTTTCCCGATGTGGACTTGACCGAGTTCAACCCAGATGAACCCGCCCCAAATGCTCAATTCGGCGGCCTAGAGCACATTGACTTGCACGGAAATAAGCTGTTTTGTCTACCTACGGGGCTTAGAAGGTTGCAACGCCTTCGTACCTTGAACCTATCGAAAAATAAGCTGGATAGCATGGATGCCCTCGACGTTGTATTCAGCATACGGAGTCTGACAGAACTAAAGCTTGCAGAGAACAATTTGTCCGGAATGCTGACCTCTGATATCAGGCGCCTGGTCAAACTGGAAGTTTTAGATCTTCATGGGAACTGTCTTACCGGGCTTCCTGATTCAATTGCAGACCTAACAGCGCTGCGGATCCTGAATGTCTCCGAGAACAGGCTCCCTTCTCTCCCGTTGATGGTAATGAAGGATCTTCCCCTGACAGAACTCAACGCCTGGAAGAACAGGCTAGATGGCCACTTCTTTCCAAAGTCCTTTAAGCGTCATGATACCTTGCAGGTATTAAATGTTGCAACGAATAATCTGGATGAGCTATCTGCTGAAGATACCATCGAGTTGCCGAACTTGCAACAGCTGTTCATAGAACAGAATTGCCTGAAGGCTATCCCTAATATATCATCGTGGAAGTCCTTGTTGAGTATAATTGCCTCGGAGAATCGCCTGTCTGCCTTGCCAGAAGGACTGGCGGATCTGGCGAACATTAAACATTTGGATTTTACAACCAACGATATCAGGCTGATCGATGATAACATCGGTTCCATGGAGAGCCTTGTTACTCTCCGGATTTCCAATAACCCTCTCCGCGAGAAGAAGTTCCTAAGCATGGATACCGATGATCTGAAGCGAGAACTTAACAGTCGGCGTGAAGTCAAGGAACCATCTCAGGATGAGGAAGAAGGCTCCGTCCAAACAGAATTCACACTCGCACCAGAAAGCCCCACGGCCACTATCACTCATGCATGGAGAGTAAAACAACGCGGTGTTCTCGATCGCTCTTCGACAAATCTCTCCGATCTAGAGCCAATGGATATTGAACCCTTGATCGCCAAGTCCGATATCAGATGTCTCTACCTCCAACGGAACCGCCTTGAAAAATTCCCTGTACCGGCTCTCTCGCTCGTAGCTCACTCTTTAATCGACCTGGACCTATCTAATAACCCCATCGGCCGAACAGAGCTCAGTACACCCATATCCCTCCCGAACCTGCAAAATTTAACCCTATCCTCTTCAGCTTTGACATCCCTAGAGCCGCTTTTAGCCAACCTCTCGGCTCCTTCACTCTCTTTTCTCGACGTCTCAATTAATCGTCTCAAGGGGCCTGTGCCAGTAATGCGCGCCACATACCCTAACCTAGTCACTTTCCTCGCCTCAGAGAATGCATTTGACAGTCTTTCATATGAGGCTGTTGAGGGGCTGCAAGTCCTTGACGTAGCAAACAATGATATCGATGCCCTGCCCCCGAGAGCTGGCCTTCTGGGAGTTGATGATGTTCCTCCGGGAATGAATGCATTGCGCCGTTTCGAGGTTGCTGGGAACAGGTTTAGGGTTCCTAGATGGCAGATTGTTTCAAAGGGAACTGAAGCGATACTAGACCATTTGAAGAATCGAATTAGTGAAGCCGAGATGAAAGAATGGAAGACCAGCGAGTGAATGAGATGGTGGGTGGCTTTTGTTCTCTCTTTTACGAATGGGCAAGTTTTCTGAGGAAGGGGAATCAAAATATTGTACATTATATACTCTTCTATTCGGGTAAGGTAGGCTCTGAATCAATTTATGTACGTTAGGCTGGGTACGCCGAATACATCAACTAAACCTCGTTTCATTTAAATCTATGGCTCAAACTCATACGAGGAGTATATTATTTTCCATTGGCAGCACCAGGCTTCCCCAACTCGCCGACAACTTTCAACCAAACTGTTGCCCACTTTGAAAATTTATCCTCAGTTTCAGCTTCTTCATCAGCTGAAGGGCTAACACTGTTCTCGGGGTACCATGGTTTTCTAACAATCTGAACTGTGGAAATGGCGCAACTCTTTAACTTGTGTGTATAAGAAGCCACGGCATGGGTATCATGTTCATATAGAGATCCAGCAGCCTCGTCAACAAGGTCTGCAACCTGTTTGAGTTGATCTGTAAGTTTATCAAGGTTGGAAGCATGCTTTGGGAGGATAGGCTGCAGTTTCAGTGGCTTTAACCGCTGTGTGGTCACGGCCACATAGAGCTTAGCAATGGGAGTCAGTAGGCGAAGTAGTTCTTTCTTCTCCCCAGTCAACATGGCAACCATCTCCTCACGACCCTCATCGTCGTCTCCATCCTTTTCAGTATCATCATTTGCTTCATCGGCAAAGTCATCTCCTAGGCCCCAATCGTCGTCGTCTGATTCCTCTGGATCCCACTCTTCCAGTTCTTTAATACCATCACGTATAAGTTCCAAGAACTCATTCGCCTTCTGAATCACCATCCCAACAACCCCATCCGTAGACACAGCCACAAGCTGGTCACATACTTTCCAGACTCTCCCCGCGGCAGTTGTGACTGCCACTTTATCCTCTTCTTTCAGAGTTTTCCCATCCCCCATCGCAATCTTCTTAATTTCGCTAATCAACGTGATGTATTCTCTCAGAGCTGACTTGACCAATGAGCTGATTTCCCCATGAAACATTTTGGTATAATGGTCCGGGTGGAGGAGCAAGGCAGCTGTGACCAGTGACGGGAGAGCTGAATCATTGATTTGCGAAAGAACCGACGTAATTGCAGATGGTGTAAATGGGGTATTAATTGCAAAGAGGGAGATCTTCCCCGTATGCGACTTGAGGGTCTGGGCAGCGGCTGAGAGTAGCGGGAGTGGGAGATTCTTGTTCGTTTCCTCTGCGCTGCGGGGTGTTGCGGTGGATGTTGATGCAGCGGAGAGCGAGAGAGACGAGATAAATTGTGAAGAAAGCCCCAGTGTTGATTCTAAAAGAACCAGTAACTTCTTGTCGCCCGCCATGATGGCTTTCTGAGTTCCTATATCCCTTCTGACTCTCACAATCTATATTGATATCGATGGACGCTGCCTTGCGGTATAATATTATTATATATTTTTTTTATATCTGTAAAGTTTATTATATAAGCATGCATAGATAAGCGATAGGAGAGGATAAATAACATTCCGGTGCTATGTTTTTCTTTTTTAAACCTTGGAACTTTATAAAAATCACTTCATAGACGACGACGACGACGAGATAATTTCATAGCTATTGAAGGTATACCGGGAGTATGGTCTGAATATTTCACCTTGAGGGTAATAATGGCTCCAGCTAAACCCTCCCGTGCTGCCAAAACTGCACCTCCCGCATCGGAGACGCTTCCCGAAAGGACCTTCATCATCGACAATGGGGGGTATAGCTTGAAGGCGGGATATAGCCCGACGTCCAGCTCCGATCCCCTCGCCTCTTGCGCGGTTGTCCCAAACGCACTTGCAAAAACTCGAGATAATCATATATACACCGGCCTAGAGCTCGAAACCGACATATCAGACTGGAATGAGGTTAGCTTCCGCCGTCCCGTTGAGAAGGGATACCTGGTCAATTGGGAAGCCCAACGGGAGATATGGGAACATACCTTTTTTGATGAGAAGACAGCTCGTAGGCCAGAGATACAATGTTCGGACTTCTTAGGAACAACTTTGATGTTAACCGAGGCCCCAAACGCATTGAGCAGCTTACAAAAGAACATGGATGAAATGATTATGGAGGAATGGGGGTTTGGTGGGTATGTACGGTACCTGGGTATGTACCCTCATTCTATACTGGAGTAATGTTATGGAAGCTCTTATACTTACGAGCGGCCTCGCATGCGTAGCTCCCTGCCTCAATGCCTGGAACGAGGTCCGATCCCTCTTCGGAGACCCCCCTAGCCTGGATACGAATTCGCCAATCATTCCAGCTGAGTGTATGTTGGTCGTCGATTCGGGTTATTCTCACACGACTGTAACTCCCGTATACCAAGGACGTCCGATCCAACGAGCGATACGGAGACTTGATATTGGAGGGAAGCATCTTACAAATTACCTGAAGGAACTGGTTTCAATTCGACAATATAATATGCTGGATGAAACACACATTATCAACAGTGTTAAAGAAGCAGTTTGCTATGTCAGTCATGATTTCAACGCGGATATGGAAAAAACGTGGAAAGGACGGAAAGATGGCCCCACCGACATTGTGGTTGATTATGTTCTACCGGACCCAGGTGCACATAAAAAGGGGTATATGCGGCCGCACGACAGCCTCTTGGCTGCTGAGAAAAGGAAAGGACTCATTACTGGGGTTAATCCCTCCGCAGCAGAGGATGTTCTTGTTCTAGGGAATGAGCGGTTTACTGTGCCAGAGATACTGTTTAATCCCCAGGATATTGGACTCCAACAACCAGGGATAGCTGATATGATATTGCAATGCTTGTCTGTTATTCCCACGGGCCTTCATCCATCGTTTCTGGCAAACATCTTTGTTGTTGGGGGGAATGCATTGATCCCAGGGTTTATAGAGCGGTTGTAAGTTCTTGTTATGCATTGCATCGAGAAAAAGGGGAAACCCCGGGATGACCAGGTTGCTAATGCATTCAACCCTAGGGAAACTGGAGTCCGGCATCTAGCGCCCACGGAGTGTGTCGTTCGCGTGAAGGCTGGCCCGGAGTAAGCAAGCCCCTTACCCTTCTTTCCCCGCTCCTGTAGTTGCGGCCAATATTTCTAGAACCCAATGGCTGACGTCTCGAGAAGTCCCATCCGTTCAACCTGGTTAGGGGCATCTAGGCTGGCGACCAACCTGGAATCCATGAAAGAAATTGCGATTACTCGGCAACAATACCAGGAATACGGTTCAGCCTGGGCCTGGAAAAAGTTTACTGGGTGAAAGTGTGCCCGAAAGTATGCAAAGGGCATTAACCATTCCTGAAGCCCGTCCGATTTTACGACTTGACACGCGGTTGACCACCGGCGCAACAATCCAGAACATTTGAACCGTACAAACGCCATTTAGTTAAGCTTCTATTCGCAGGGTTGATCGGACGAACAACCCAATTCTGTGCTCCCTGTCATATCATAACCTGGTAAATAACAGATCTCGTGCGCCGGACTGGTGTGGATAACAATAATGGAACTGCGCACTGCTACGACTGACGGCCGTTGCCTCTCGGCAAGGCGCACGCGATGCCAATTAGCACAGTTTCAACTTATTTAGCTGGTGGATATGGAACTCTCTGCACTGTTATCGCACCAAGGGCCATCTTGGAAATTTTCCGATCCAACCCCTTAGTCTATCAAACCCCAGTCTAGCTTTCGATAAGGAACTGGCGCCGGGCTGCCAACTATCCACCACCTCCACGCTGAGAATTGTGGCTGCTCTAGCACGATATCTCCTTGCATGTGACTGGATGAATGCCGGCCTTGAGCAAACATACGCAGGACATGATCACAATATCAGCTTGGCCGTTCGTTATCATGGTTCAACCAGAAACGGGTATTGTCTGATAGGTGTGCCTGAGACGCTGTTCCTGACCCCTTGTTAGACATGGAGCTGTATTTCCACCACGCCGGTACACAGCCAACAGACCAGCCGGAGTACATATAACAATTAGATCAACCTTCGACGTCTTACATAAAAAATAACTTCGACGCTCTCATATTAGTCTAGGGTTGCGACACACCAGTTCGGTGTTCAGGGGGCGACAAAAGAAATATTTTCAAGGCGACATACGAGGTCCAGCTTCGTTATCGGACTTCCTATCTGACACAAAACTGCGTTCAGCTCACGCTGCCCCTTGGTTCATTTGCAATCCGGCCGTTGGTACATGTCAGAGGCGCTCCCTTCACAGCCCCAAGGAGTGTGTCGTGCATATTACATAGTACGGAGTACATGATCTGCTCAGTACCTTTCATCGGTGTAAACTGTTTATCCCTCACAAAGGGTGCCGACTCAGGGTCTAACAAAGGTACGGAGCGCTGCATCCATCATGCATGCTTGATCACCGCTCGTTGCTACATCTTCCATCGCACAATCCCATGCGTAAAGATCGATTGGCAGCAGGCCCCTGCCGACAGGGGTGCACTTGTCCTCCACCATACAGATACATACAAGGCTTCTTTTTGCTTTCAAGGGAGTGACAACGCCCAACCAACCACCAAGCGGCGCCATCCGATTCCATAAATAAACGAACTTTGATGCGGTCGAGTCAAGGCAGCTGGAGCCTAGCGAGCCTCACCCTCCTTGGGGCCCCTCTTGTCGTTCGTTTTGTCAGCCTAGCGACGGCCTTCAGTTGGCTTTCGGTCCATCTCCAGACTCCGCTCCCCCAGATTTATACGACCATGGTTGCGCCCCAAGAGTTTCTACTCTTATATTTTATGTTTCCCCCCACGTGAATGAGTCTTGTTTAGCGATTTTAATACCTCTTCTCACAAGACTTGTCGCCGGATATTGTCGCTGAAATCTAGTGTTCTTACTACCTCCGTCGGCCGTGTTGGTTTGGTAGAATGAACCTGCTGGTGAATGTTGAACCCCAGAAAACGACATTTGGTTGTTCAGAAATTACCCTATGTCGGTTCCTCAGTTAACTCGCGATCTCGAAGCTCCTCTGCAAGGTCTAGTGGACGATGCTGACCGGCTTGCGGAGTGGCCTGAGCTGGTAGGGTTAGAGGATCTACTGCTTGACAATGGCCAGCTACCCTCTCACCGTGCGGATCGGCCATGCCCTCAGGAACTCCATGTGTTTCCCGACGATGTCTCTCCAGAACTTTTACAAATTATCAGTCAGCCGCTGGAGACAGAGCAGCCTCCGAGGTCTGCCGACCGACACAGTGGAAATGAAGATGGACGGTCGCAGCCACCACCATCATCATATACAGGGGATGACCGATCCTCACTGCCGGTTAGGACTCAGGCACCTGCAGTAAAGGATCACACTCGCGACAACCATCTGGAGCGATGTCTATCACCCGAGTCTACTGCCACAGGAGCGACATTTAGCCGCATGGGCCACAAAGCAACGAAAGAGACAAAGAACCTCAAACTTCGGCTTCTAGAACGCAACAATTTTCGGTCAGTATTTCTGTGTCTACCCTTGCTATTTTCCCTTGTCACCAATGCTGTTTGATTAGTCGCTAATCAACCACCCGATATTTTAGTGAATGTGCAAGCTGCTTTGTCGAGCTACTCGACAAGAACCTGGTCCCTTTAAGCTGTTCACACAAATATTGTTTATCATGCTTCTCTGGCATGATAGAAACTGCCATAAATAACGAGAGCAAGTTCCCCCCAAAATGCTGCCTCGAAGATATTCCTACAAAACTGATCCTACACAATGTGGATTCTGTACTTCGGGAGGAATACAAATTAAAGGCACAAGAGTACGCTATACCTCGGATGAGTCGATGGTACTGTCCTTCTCCAAACTGTGGAAAATGGATACCTCCTAAGAAGATCAAACTGGGCGCTCCGACACAGAAATGCCCAATATGCAAGTGGTCGATCTGTACTGCCTGTCAAAGGACAGCCCATCAAAACAACGAACACTGCCCGCAGGCCCCCTATCCGGAAAGAATAGACAGTATCGCCTCGAATGGCTGGAGACGTTGTTACAAGTGTCAGGCTATGGTCGATCTAACTGCTGACTCTGGGTCTGTGGTCTGTCACTGCGGTGCTGAATTTTGGTAGGATAAATCTGTCCTGCGTTCTATGAGACTAGCTAACTGAATGCGTACACAGTTGTTTCTGCGGCGCTAGAGGTGGGACTTGCGGCTGCGTTCAACCCAGCCAATATGGAACAAAATCTAGAGCGGAGTCCGATACAATAATGCATCGTGAAAGGGCCCAGCTCGCTGCCATTGTTAAGGAAAACGAGCGCAGCGAGCGACGAGAAGTTGAAGAGCGATTGCGGAAGGAAGATACCCAAAAACTCCCAGACGGCGACGGACAAAGGAGACAAGATGACGGACGACGCCGAGTTCAACACGACAAAGAAATGAAACGCCTTATATCCATAGCCAACCAAATCCAGAAGCTCCAGGGAGAGTTGGCTAAGATTAACAAGATCCAACAGTCTATGATCATTGACAGACATCAGGATAGCGCACAGCAGATCCAGGTCGCAGCTGTTTCAAAGCAAGCAGATTTTGATCAGACGCGAGTGAAGTTAGAAAAAGCCTATGAATCGAACTTTAAGCTTCGTAAAAGCGCTTTGGAGGTTCGACAAAACGCCACAAAGCTTGAACTCCGCACTCGCCAGGAGGAAGATGAAGATGACAATTTTGTTCAAATGCAACGCCATTTAAAGGGCAAGCCAAACAGGGAGGAAAGAGAAAAGGTAATACTTGACAAACTTAACGCGTCGCACAAGAGAGAGCAAGATGCACTGGATAAAAGTCATAAGGAGGAGATGAGCGAATTGGAATACCATGGCAGCTTGGAATCTTCGGCACTCCAAAGTGGCATCATGAAGAAGCTGGGGGATTTACAGCGCGAGACAAACTTTACCCTCTACGAACTGAGTTCCACAGTAATCTCGGATCGCCGATGGTTCAAGGTTGCCGTTGAAAAACGTTACGGCCTTCTCGAAGAGCATAGGATGTTTTTGATTAATGGCCCCGACGCCATTAAGGACACGGCAACTTCTAGCAGCAGATACTCATCTGCAAATAACTCTAGCCACTCAGGCACAACGTATTCAGTTACAAGTGGCAGAGAAACACCTCAATCACCTCTATCACCGCCCCCAGTTTTTACTGAGTTTGGGTATAGGCGCTCCGGGCCTGATGCTCTCAAGACTGGAGGCGATGTGATTCCAGGAAGCCGATCGAGGAGCATGTCAAGGAACGGTCTAAGGCACGTTTCTAGCCAGTCGCAGTTTTTGTATCGATAATTACGAAGTGTAGGAGTGCAGGCCTAGTGTTTTCTGGCATAGATGGATGGGATGAGTTGATGAGTGAATCTCTTTTTGTATATATACGGTCATGTTATACCCTAATTGTTATTCGTCAGCTTCTGAAATATCTTTCCCCGATGTATAGTGGTCGTATTCCACTCCCGCAAAATCAATCCCAAACTTGCGGTATCCAAAAATGGCAAAATTCGAGTTCTTGAACTGCTTATTCTTCAATGTAGTTCTATATTCTCCGTAGATTGATTCGGTATAGCTTGGAGTATCTATTTTATGTAAATTACAAACTTTAACAGCTGTTTCACACCATCGCTTGACTGAAGCGATTGACCTTCCGTGCACAATCAATAATCGTAAAAGCCCTTTCCGGCCTTCTTGCCCACCCAGCCAGCATCTACCATTCTCTTCAACAGACCAGCGGGTCTGTACTTGCTGTCACCAGTCTCCTGATGTAGGACGTTCATAATGGCCAAGCAAGTGTCAATACCAATGAAATCGGCAAGAGTCAAGGGGCCCATGGGGACGTTGGTTCCATATTTCATGATGCTGTCAATATCCTCTCTGGTACCAATTCCATTCTCCAAGCAAGTAATTGCCTCATTGATATAAGGCATAAGGATTCGATTGGCCAAGAAGCCGGGTGAGTCTGTCGATCGAGCGGCGATTTTACCCATACGTTTCATCAATTCAAGAGAAGTGTCAATGGTATCCTGAGAAGTCTGGAGTCCAGTAATAATCTCTACACCCTTCTGAATGGGGACAGGGTTCATGAAGTGAGTAGAAATAACTCGAGATGGGCCAGAAAGGTCTTTAGGATCCTCAGTGGTTGCTGCGGCAATTCGAGTGATTGAGATGGAGGAAGTGTTGGTAGCAAGGATGGCGTGAGCTGGAGCAATCTTAACGAGCTTGGAGAATATAGTTGTCTTAAGGTCTGGAATTTCGGGAACAGCCTCAATAATGAAGTCAGAGCTTGATAGATCCTCGAGTTTTGTGGTAGGTGTCAGCATTGAGCGGACTTTATCGGCGGTTTCTTGGGTGATGCGCTCTTTTGCAACATCCTTGGCAAGAAGTTTCTCTACGATCCCATCAGTATATATTCCATTTGTTCAATCCGTAGAGGGATATCGTGCGGTTCTCACCCGCGAATTTGAGTCCTTTGTCTAGAGACGCCTGAGAGTTATCAACCAAAGTAACTGGAATGTTCGCCTTCTGCGCTGCAACCAATGCAATTCCCAATCCCTATGTAAAGTAGCCATTAGCAATAAAATTCTTTATTTGCAAGTTGTATGGAGCTATTGATCAAGTGTTCATACCATTTGTCCGGCACCAATGACTCCTATGCTGTTGACTTCGGCAGCCACCTGGGCAGCAGGAGTTGAGCTAAAGGCACGAACCCCGCCAATTGACCGTGTGGTCGCCAACAGGCGCCCTGCAACCGCACTTCGGAACATGATGGGCTTAGTTAATGTATCTAAAGACAGAATAAGAGCAAACCAGGGTGGAATAGGGACACAAAGTCTGTGTTTTCTTCAGTTGTTCCTGTTGGGGAGTTGCTTTGGCGCGGCTTCACGTGGTTTTGAACCTCGGCGACGTCACTTTTCCTTGGGAAGCGGCTATTTTCGGGGGTTGCGGGATATAGTTTAGCCGCGCTCCGTGACGCGTGCCGCAAGCTTTGACGCGTTTGCGCGTTTGGCGTTTAATTGAAGAAAATAACTCGACGACAGGCGGTAAAAGAGGACAAACAATGGTATCGAACCCATTCCTCGCGAGCCAGGATGATGGCATTTTAATGACGAAATGCTATATGTGATTTCCTATTTTATTTGAAAAAATGGATGTTGAGCCATTTGTAGCGCAGCCGGGCGACCAGGTGGTTGACCCTGAAGTGCGCTCGTTTATCTATGGCTTGGTGACTGCGGTATGATAGCCTGCTTCCATTCTGAACCCTATCCTTATTGTGCCAGTACCGACTAAATCATTGTAGCTCGGTGGATCTGCGAACGATGAAGCTGGGCGATATATGCTTGGAGACGATGCCCTGGGTTGCTTGCGTGACCTGAAGAAATGGCTGCGATTCTACGACGAGAAATTGAATCGGCTTGACGTCGCGAGGTGCATTGCGGAGAGTAACCTTGTCAACGGTGACCTAATACAAATCTTAGCTCTATGGGATGATGTTAAGCCGACGGACAAGTACAAATCAAGAATAAGTTTAGCATGCTGTGAGACTAACCTTCCAGTTCATATGAAGAATTCATTTTGTTTTAGGATATGGCTAATATTTGATCAGTAGAGCTTCTTGTCCCGTTGACATGGCCGGTTGAAATTCATAGCGAGATGACCGTTAATCACCACAGACACACCCCCTACCTTCAACTTGCCCAGATTTCCTATAAAAAAGGAATACTTGGCCATGCTTCGAAATCAATCCTCCGATCGATTATACGTATTGGTCTCCCAAGTATAACAACTCCCCGAGCGGAAAGATCATCCCGAGACGAAGGCATTCTAAAACTTGTCTTATATCTATTTAGAAATGTGGCAGTTCTAGGCGTGACCGCAAATCTAGCCGTTGAAGGAGACGAGGATGAGGCTTCGAGGTCAATGACAATCAGTGCATTCCATGACCAAGATGTGTTTGCCCTCATTCTTACACTATGCTCAAATATTGGAGAAGAGTTTACCTTCCAGGATGTCATTCTGCTTGAGATATTGTTTCATCTTATCAAGGGTGTCGACGTGCATCAGCTATTTATGGACGATAACCAGCGGAGTGCAACACGCACTGACGAGCTGAAGGGGCTGATGGATGCTGAAAGCAATTTAAACCGTGATCGCTCAAAGAACGCCCCCACTCGTCATGGTAGATTTGGGACTATGATTTGGGTAAAACGAGATAATGAAAAGATGTCCTCTGTATCGGGCCAAGATGTTCTGCTTAATGACCAAGCAGCCTTTGATAAAATGGATAAAACCAAAAAATGGAATAAACCAAGAGGGAAACGGCCAGTGGTTGATGAAACATCGAACAACTTCAATGTGCAAGTCCACTTGACCTCCTCTGCTCTCAATTATCTTCGACTTTTTGTTGAAGAGTTTCTTGACTCAGGGTTCAATCCTTTGATGACTAGCATACGAAAAGCAATGGAACGAGAATCTGATCGCTTGGGCGAAACCTCTTCTCGTCATTTCTTTTTCGTCAGCTCTTGGTTTTTAAGCGCTGAAAGGGCGCGGCGTGAACAGCAGGAGGAAGCTCGCCAGAACGCCACTGGTTCCGCGAGGAACATTGAACCTGATAGTTTTGCTTTAGTAGCAAGCGTTCTAAATCAGGAAACCTTTATAGCCCTGAATCGATATATGCAAACCAGCCTTGATAACAAAGAGTGGCAGGACCTCAACGCCGGAATGCTGTCTTTCACACAAACGTTGCTTACAGTTCAAGAAATGAGCAAATCTTCTCTGGAGGACGATCAAGAAATTGCTGAGAATATCCTTAGCCGCATTTTCTACGAAGAATCAACCCATGATAGAATATTATCCACCCTCAGAGGTTATAAAGGACAAGGGTTTTGGTATCTTGATGCCTGCACAGAGCTTGCCCATGTTTTCCTGCGCATGTTGGAGCAATATTCAAAACAAAATGTGGACATGCAAGTCCGCTCTAAGCGAATATCAAGACGGAAGAAAAAGGCACAAAACCAGGGTCAGGAGAACCAGGAGGAAGAAGACGGCGGATTTGGTAACTCAGAGGACGAAGAAGCAAATGACAGGGCGGAAGCCGTCCGCAACGTCGCAGAGAGATCCTTCGATTTCAAGCGGTTTTGCAATAAATTTTGCACTCAGAACTCTGTCAACACTTTTGTTGCGCTGACGTCCTATTATCGCGATTTGAGTGCCGAACAACTGAAACGAGCACATAGATTCTTCTACCGTGTTGCATTTAAACAGGATGTGAGTGTGTTGCTGTTTAGGTTGGATATAATTGCCCTCTTCACTAGGATGATTAAGGGGCCTGATGGCCTACTCTCCTCAAGACCTGAGTTCAGAGAATGGGAAGAACTTGTTCGCCAAATCCTAAAGAAAATGTTCCGAAAGATTGATGAGCGACCAGAATTGATCACGGAACTACTATTCAGCAAGATTCCTGCGACGGTACACTATTTGGAATATGGTCATGAGAAACAGACTGTGTCAGTGGCATCTCGACCTGCTGTGGAATTGGAGGTAAAGCACAATTATACTAGAACCGCAGACGAAAAGCTCCGAATCGTCATCTCGGTCTTAGTTGCAGATAACTGCGAGGACTTGGTTCGATGGTTATATGGGGTCATTGATAATGCACTTAAGGATAGGAAGAGCTGGGAACTCGCAGATCTAGCGCGGGGAACGCAAGACGCTACCGATATGACAGATATCACATCAAGTACACCCGCAATAGGTATGTGGTTAGAGAATCGCCTTGAATTTACCGGTGCTAACAGTTTCATAGAAGTCTCGGCTCCTGGCGAGAAGCATAAAACGGCAATGTTCAAAAACGGTCACCTACGCCTCCTTTTCACTCTGGCTGGCCTAGAACTGGCGGGTGAAGATGTACTGGGTACCCCTTGGAGCATCCCAGGCTCTATTTCATCCACAGAACTCGAGGAAACACGCAGCTCCATCCAGAAACACTGTGATGACCCTGGCACTGAAATTGACGGTGTCGACCCTCATAAACTCATACACCGAAAACGCGTAGCTGGCAAAGCTATGAATGACGAGGCTACAGCCCAGGTTGACTTTGGAAATGATTCTGAGGGAGAGGAACTTGGCCTTGACGAAGTCCTTTTCCCTCCAAACCCCCGTTCAAAGTCAAAAGTCTTGAAGGAGTTAAAACAGAAGAGGCGTAAAAAGGCAGGCGACGATGAAGACAACCAGCTAGATGAGGAGACCTTGAACGCTCGACGGCTTGCTCGTGAGCAGAATGCGCTTGAGCGGCAGAGGAAAATCAAGAGCAGCCTTTTTGTTAACGCCAGTGATGATGAAACTGACGATGAAGCCGATCAAGAATTTTTTGCTCGAGAGGCAGAAAGACGAAAAAAGCAGGCTCAGCGTGTAGAGGAAGCTATGGACATTGATGGCTTTGGTAACAATGAGCTGGATAATACTACTAAGAAAGCAAAGGGGAAACGGAAGCAGGCCATCTCAAATGATAGTGACGACGAAGATGAAAATGGTGGTCACAGGAAGCGCGCAAGGAGCGAAGAAGACGAGGAATCGGGTGGCCCCCCTGGGCGTAAAGCGCAAACTCCGCCCACGTCTACGGAGGACGACCTCATATTCGATATGGGAGAGAAGTCGCCTGCCCCTATTTTCCAGTGGACATCAACTGCGGTTGACAGGCCGTCGAAACCTATGGCTACAGCTGAACACAATCCTGATGACGACGATGAAGACGATGAGCCCGTCATGACGACACGGACGCGACGGCCAAAGGTGATGGCTGGTTTCGTGGTTGACAGTGATTCAGAGTAAACGGCCTTTGCTTAATGACTTTGATATATACTTGCTAGTTATTTATCCTTGGCCGGCGTTTCGGGACTTTTTAGCTTTCGGCTCCCCTCACCAACGGCGAGATACGAGAAATCCCACGAACATTACCAATCAACGACATTCACTCTCTGCATATATATTTGGCCATTACCAGGAGCAGCGTTCTTTCGTTTCTGCGGTATATTACTTTAACGATTGTCAAAATGTCCGCCTCTTTGAAGTACGTGACGCTGGATGTGTTTACCAGCAAGCGGTTCAAGGGTAACGCCTTGGCCGTCGTCTTCCTCTCAGACTCCAACCAGATTACCCAGGAGCAGAAACAGACGCTGGCCACAGAATTTAACTATTCAGAGACGATCTTCTTTCATCCGGCGAACTCTGACCCTAGCCAGCCCCGGAAGATAGACATATTCACAACCGAACAGGAGCTTCCATTTGCCGGCCATCCAACAATTGGCGCCGCATCGTGGCTACTAGTTCACTCGAAGGATCAAGCTTCTGCAGAACAACCGGAGAAACCAACCTCCCTCACCACTAAGGCTGGAAATATACCAATTTCTTTAGTACCAGAGAACCCAAACCAAGTCTCTGCTTCAATCCCGCATAATGTGCGAATTCATTCCACCAGGATGCCACTCTCGGAACTGCTGAGACTCCATCCCAGCCTAGAAAATTCACTAGACGCTCAAGCATACCAAACCGGCTTCCCTGTGGTCTCCATTGTCAAAGGGATGACAGCAGTGCATGTTCACCTTCCCAGTCTCGAAGCACTAGCTCAGGTCACAACAGCCACTGAATCTATCCCAGCCAAGGGGGTAGCAGCTGGCGGTTACTTAGATGAGGGCTGGGATGTCGAGGGCCATGTCTCAGTCTATTTCTACGTTCGGAACGTCTGGGATGAAGAGCTTCAGAAAAAGGTCATTCGTTCCAGGATGATGGCAGGAAACTTGGAGGATGCTGCTACCGGCAGTGCCGCTAGTGGACTAGCTTCCTACCTCACACTGACCGATCCTGAGATAATTGCAAAGGGCAAGGAAAGCTACACCATCATCCAGGGTGTTGAGATGGGGAAGAGAAGCGAGATAGGGCTCCAGGTGGTTCTTAAAGACAGCAAGAAGGAAATTAACGCCGTCTACCTCCAGGGAAGCGCTGTGAAAGTGGCTGAAGGGACAATCTTGACAAGCAGTGAATAGAGAGAAAGAGGTTTACGTTTTTGTGTATTCCTAAAGGACCTCAACTGCTATAATATACAAAAAGATGGGCATTTCCTTCCAGCGACCATGGCTATAACTCTAGCCATGGCCAGACTAGATAACCGGCTAGCCCTACTTTTTATATACTTCCCTTCTACTGCGTTACGCATGCTTATGTCGCCCAAAGCGTGCCACAAATACAGCGTCCTACTTTTGCCATTTTCTGTCCTGACAAGGAACTGATATAAAAACTTCTCTTCTTTATTCCTTTTATCTTTCTCTCACCTACAACAACTTCCTCCTTCACACTTGTACCTTGTGTAGCACTACTATTTTGTCAAATTAACAGTATCAGGGCTGGAAGAGGCCATTATCCCTCCAGATAAAGCAACTGGGATAAGGGGGAAGATGCCTCGATCTCGGTATTTGCGGGGGACCCCGTCCCCTACTTCCTCGCGCCCTCTGCTCCAGGGAGACAAGGAGGCCGGGAAGTCTGGCAGGAAATCGTCTTTAGCGGGCTCCTTCCATCACTTTGCTCGAGCCGCGTTGCAGCCACTGATCCGTCGTCCTCCAGACGAAGCAGAGGGTAATATAAAGCCCGTCGTTCCAGGTGCGGCAGCATCACGAGCAAGTACTAGGAGCAGCTCACTTCCAGTCCGTTCCAAGGGTACCATTAATTCGAAGCAGTCCTTGGGGCTCCAGTCTGCCCGGGTGAAGTCCCCTGAGCCTCCCCTGCCTCCGTTGCCAAAGTACTTGGCCCGTGGAACGACTTCCAACATTCCAAAGCCAGTCCAAACTGCTACTAATTCCAACACCACTCTGCGCTGGCCATTATCAGGCGACGACCAGAAGGAGAACCAGACACGTTCTCAGTCAGGCGTAAAGCCTTTTATCGGGTATAAGGACTTAAAGGCTTTGCGTGGAACTGCCGATATGAAAGAAAAGGAGAGCCAGGCTAACGAGGCCCCCTTAAACCCTTCACCTGAGTCGGTTTCTGATACCTCCTCTCAGTCCACCATCAAGGCGAATTACAAGACGGGCCTTCCACTGCCTAAGTCGGCTTCTCGCTACTTTCCATGGCCGGAGAGTATTGCAGCCCAGCAGTCGTCCGGCCCTCCACTCAATTCTCTTGCTGAGAATGAGGGATACAATACCACCACTATGCAAATGCCAAAGGACATGCAGCAAATGATTGATGACTGCGAAAAGGGGTCCGTCGAAGCATTCAGCCGCAAGCCAAACCTAGTGACTCCGCGCCAACTCCCCAAGAGCAAGACTATGGGGGATATTCATCGAAAGTCGGATTTTGAAGTTGAGCCTTCAACGTACCCCGCCCGTAAAGGGGCCAAGTGCTACTGCGAGGACGCTGAAGCAGACACCTTATCTGTCGATAGGTTCGGGCGTGTTTCCCAACGCATTGCCTCCGTCGAAGTCCCAGCTTCTAGTGACATCGTTGATATCAAAGTAGTAAGTGGAACCTTCATTGACATCCCCTATCACACTCCAACACGAAGCTAACGAGGAATTCTATTTGAAAGGTCAGAGTTGCGAAGCCATACGGTTACTGGCTCGGAAGACTAGTCACTTTGTCAAACAGTTTCCATTATGAGGGGGCATTCAACAAGCCTGACCCTTTCACCGGATATGGAATCTCCGGCAACACCCTCGAAGGGAAAGCTCCAATGTCCGTCAACCTGGATGACTACTATATCAAGCGGGCCTTCATGGTCTTGGAGAGAGCCTGTCTTACGTCTGAAGCGAGTGCCAGCTTGGCTGAATTTAAAGCCGCCTATTCTCGACGTTTCGGCCGCAAATTCTCCCAGCGCTTTGCCACGGAAATCGAGAAGGGTTGCCCCAAGCCCGAAAAAGAGGGTGGAAAGAGTGAAGCCGGTGTCATGGATATTCTTCGCTCTGTCAAAAAGAGCTTCGGATAGGGAATTCCAGCGCGTGGAGACACGGCTACCATACACAAATGGTGCAGCATCAGAAGCATCGGTGGTTCAAAGCTGTAGTTGACATTTGTACATTCGGGAGCTTCGAAAGATACTGGTGACGAATTGATGCTTTTCATGAAATAACAATGAGAAAAAAAAAAGAGGAAAGTAGGGAAAAGGATAAAAAAAATTAGGGGGAGATGAGAAGAGGGTAAAAAAGGATGACTCATAGTTAGCCCTGCTTCAAGTGGTTATTTGAACAGACAATACTCCGTACATCAGTTTGATTCCATGTGCGCCATCATAAACCTAATGCTTACCCTAATTTTCCTCCATTAACAAATGATATCATCGTGAGAAGTTGGAGCACGGTAACTCATTATTAGCCCCTTGATGCCGCTCTACTACGTAGAAACGCAGCAACCTGTTCATGCCTGGTAACAAAAAACATCCGCCTCGAATCAGACCTCCAAACCAGGACCCCGATTTCCTCGGCATATTTGCATGGGGCTTCAAACTCCGCAAAAGTGTCGAACTCCTTGAAGAGGAAGCCTGATGTTGCTTTGATTCGATCTCGTTCTAGCTGCCAAAGCCGTATTTGATCGACAACTGTAGGCGGCAAGACTGTCGAAGAAACGTTTGTAGTAGATTTCTTGGTTTTGCGCATTTGAGGATGGGCATGTGTGGTGAGATATGACACGATCTGGTCAGCAGTGATGCCCATTTCGATGGCTCGACGGACAGATTGGCGGGTTATTTTGCCTGTTATAAGATTGGGAAATCGGAATTTTAGCGTTGTAAAGAGGGAGATGAGAGATATCTGTAGAGGCGATGATGTGTATGCATATAAACGGTAGTTTGTTTCGACGATGATGAATCCGGTGCCAGCATCGCCGGCTGTTGTGGCACCTGCAGCGGCGGCAGGGACAGTAGGTTCTCCTGATATTGGGCCTGACATGGCCAGAGAGTCAGAAGTAAGCGTTGTGGCTAGTCGGGTAGGGTAAAACCGAGTGGACCCAGAAGCGGGTGTGTGCTGGTAAACAATGCCAAAATCAGTGAGATCAGCAAGTGTCCGAAGCTGCGTAGGTGTGAGGTTCTTTTTCTCATAAGACTGGCCGAGCTCGAGGCTGCTAAGCAAGAAAATAAACGAGAGCACTTCGACGCTTTCCATTCCTATAGCTTCTGCGTTCTCAACGTAGAGGATGAGTATATGCCAGACCTGAGTGTTGACGTCTTGTAAAACAAAAGCAAAACCCTCTTTTGTGATTTCGACTCTTCGATCCCGGATTTCCACTAGATGGCAGGCTTGGAGAAGCTGTTTGACACCTTTGCTCAACGTGATAGTTTCCCTTCCTCCGCTCAAAGAGCTCATCCCAACCATGTACCCAAGCACAGCCTCCCACTGCTGTCTTGCATATTCGTCTAAATCCGCGACGGAGACTGGATACTTATCGGGAGTCACTGATATAACTCCAAATGAGCCCTTTTGGTCTTCTCCCATGAGCGCTTGCCGCAAGGAGGTAGAAAATGGCTCGGTGACCATGTATGCGCGAACATGGCTTGAGGACGTTGTGCTAGAGAGGATATGTAGACGACCAAGGATCGAGAGCGAATTATCTCGTTCACTATTGCAATGCCGGAGCTCATGTTAGCAGGTGTTCTGTAATTCTCATCTGCGGCCAAAGACAATATATACCGTCTGCTGTCTGACCTCACCCATAGCTCTAGCTCAGTTGCTGGCAGAGGATCCTTAAGGTATAGCAGTGCCATCACGAAGCATTTCGCTACCAAACCTATTAGTAAATATTATTATAACCTCTCAAGCTAAGCCATACCGAGGTGCGGCAGCATCCTTCGAAATACCGCTAGGGCTGTCGAGGGCTGCTGGTAGAGCTTGAGGAATGTAGTGCCTGGACGGCCTTCCAGGTACTCCAACGGCCGGAAAGGCACGGCCGCCATCTTGTACAGCTGGGCAGATAAACGCTCTGCCGTACAGATTGCCTTCTCAATCTACCATAGCGGGTATAGTGCTATCGCAGCTAGAATTAACTGTGTTAACTGCGTCGCTTTTGAAGTCGCAAAGATTATTTAGCTAGTTAACAGGCAGACATGCAGTCACTGATTACATAATACAAACCTATCTACATCTATAAAAGCAACAGCGAGTTGAGAATTTAGAATTGAAAATTGAGTATTGGTAGGACGAATGTAATGAACGGATGTAAATCCGAAGACCAGATCACCATGTAGGCCGGATATAATAGTGCTGCCAACGTTTTGAGTGGGCCTCTTGAGGATATCAAACCTATCCAAGGCCCCTGTTGGATCGATCGCTGGCCGGATTGTTCGGCGTGACTAGGAGGCTGCTGATCTCTAGGGGCTGAGAACCCATGATAGAGGCCAGCTAGTAGGTATACGAGGAAGATGTTGTTAGGATATTAGAGCTGTTGGATTTACATCCATGGATACATCAGAACATGGTGTGTATTAATTAATGTATCGGAGGGAAAGGTTCTCTGAGTCACTCTCAGTGGTGAATTCTAGCGAAGATGACGCTCATCAAATAACTAGTTCTAGTCGCTTAAACAGAAAAGGGAAATCGCATAAAAAAGTTGAGCCTTGATAAAGGTATGATATTATTAGACAGAGTGTGAATTGGTCTCCGGAATCTTGTGCTCAACACTGCTCTCCCTGTCTGTATTGAGATGCGCTGCACCATCGGCAGACTTCTCGTTTGACTCAGCCATCTCGCTGGCGATGTCTTGAGCTTCCCGTATAGACACGGACTGGATGAAATCTTTCTGCGCCTTGACGGGTACAAGATAATCAAGCGCAATCGAGACGGTAAAGGCTATAATATTGAGTTAGCAAAGCCCGATTGTTGATAGCTCCCTCCGTGGTGAAGATGAAGTGAACTTACGGATAAAGAAACCGGTTATGGAGGCAATATAATAGAGGTGAGATGCGCCATCCGTGACGGGGAGCTTTGGGTTCACTGAGTGTACCATGCCGGGCAAGTGAGGAATTACTCCGACGAGCCACTGAACAGATAAATTAGTATAAAAAACTGGAATGGAATTGATTCTTGGAAGGCGGCTTACCGCAAGGACTGTCCTCCAGTTCACACCAAAGTCATACCAGTATATAGACTGGTTTCCGGTAATATAAAGGTCCGGTACCTTGATTCGTCGTTTTTGGATGATAAAGTAGTGGGCTGCGGCAATTCCGACGAATGGCTGTAGGAAGACAACGTAGGAAGACAGCACCGAGATGAAAACAATAGCACCGCTCAAAAGGTACCAGGGATTGATCACGGTGCCGAGAATAGCAGTCAGGGCTTGTCCACGTCGGATATTGATGTACTTCGGGAACAACGCGGACATATCGGTGCCTCCGCAGAAGGAATTGCCCGAGATATTGAGTACTAGCTGTGTGATGCCAAACACAAAGGCGCAGAAGAAGATACCGACACGGGTCTTGGAGCTGGGATCAGCGTCCTGGATGGCCATTAACAGGCTGGCAACGCTCCATAGAGCAGATCCGAAGCGCTTCTGAGTTGCTGCGATGGTCAACATGCCTATGACATTTGCTAACCAGACGGGAAATGCTCCCATTGCCTGGGACCAGATTCCGTCAGACGGTTTTTTGGCAAACCGAGTGTAGTCACCGATACTGAGGGTACCGGCAGTGATACTGGACATGGTTGAGCCAATGCCGAGGAGGAACATCCAGCCTGCATTGCTGCCACTGAGTTTGTTTGTGCTATCAAGAATCTCTCCAAAGCCCTGCGAGCCCTTGGTGCCGCCAGCCCAGGACACAAGGACGAGCTGGCAGATAAAGCCGCCGATGGCACCGACATGTAGCATGTACCTCAGCCGGCCAGGGCCGAGAATCAAGAACGGGATTTGTATGAGCGAAAAGATGATGAATCCAACGAACATGGGCAGTGTCATGCCGGTACTAGCGGGAATGGTGTTGGGTATGCGGTCGATGCTGGGCCAGATGGCACGGATGCAGACGTATGCCATCTGCCCGCCCTGCCATGACTGGACGCCGAACCAGACAATCGAGAGTAAAATGCGGTTTAGAACAACAAATGTAGATCCATAGAAACCTGAGAGAAAAAATGAGGAGTCAGAAATTGGAACTGATGCTCTGGCCGTTGGCGATGATTGTTCAAAGGTGGTTAGTTACTCACCCCAGCTAATGCGCATAGCAACCGGGAATGAGATGTGATATTCGAGTCCGGGAAAGCTGGTGATGACTATGAGCACAGCAGCCAGAATATGGCCAATTAGAGTCGCAACCGTCGTTTGCCACCAGTTAAGGCCTGTTGCAAGAAGAGCAGAGCCCTGCCGTAAAGGAAGAATAACCCGTTAGTTTCTGTTTCTTCTTCCGATTGACATAATAACCTCCCTGTTCCTGTCGATTGATCAAAGAAAAAGGTTCCCTTACCAGCTGGAAATTGGTGATATTGAAAGCACCAACGCACCAGAACGAGAAGTACTCATACCAGCCTATAGGAAACTGTTAGTGCGAGTCACTTTCTCCGGAGTCAACCCGACAGGGCTATCGTATCTCCTTTCAACGTACTCCATGTGCGCCGGGCCTTTTCGATGGGCTTGATGTCGTTGTTCAGCAGCCATGTCGGGCGAGGCTGCCCAGGCGGATGGGGGACTTCCAGTCGCTGCAGGAAAGAAGACATCTTTTCATGGACTTTCTCTGTGTCTCAGTGGGTCGAAAGGAGGCGCCTGGAGAGAAAAGACGAAACCATCCGGGCGAGGGGAGTGGCCGGTCGATAGTTATATATATATATATGTATGTATCCTCCCAAGCAAGCGGTCCCTTTGTGTTAACCTCGTACTTATCTAGCACATCCACCTTTTTTTGGTCAAAAAAAGCAGGGGTGAGATAATGGCAACACCAACCAGCTTTAACTCGCTAGCAGCAGAAAGGTAGCTTGGAATTTTAATAATGGCCTGCAGAAACTTCGGGTTCCATAGCAGTTCTAGTTCGATTTAGTTTAAGTATATACGGTTCCCGCGGCGCGGAAGCCACCGACATGGGGGAAGCAAGCGAAGGAAAAAAGAGGAGAGAGCTCTCTTCCGTTCCGTCCGGCTGGGCTTGCAGCGAGCAGAAGCCAATGACGGGCTGTATCTAGCTATAAAAGGCCCCCAAAGGCGCGTGTTGGATGGCGCTGGCAGGTGTTTTTCGCTTGCTTGCTTTCTTGCTTCTGCGGCCTCACAGCAGCCACCCAGGCTCGCTAACCACGACTCCTAGCTATATCAGGCGCTGATATAGATGGAGAGGGGACTTGTGTATGTAAGTAAGTGGTTATGGCAAGCCCGAGGTCCATTTTCATTTTACAGCTGGACGGTTCTCCCAGCTAAAAAAGCTGCCTGCGCGAAGTCCGGACGGTAAGTTAATAGGCGTCTTGGCCGCCTTCTCCCGTCGACAGGGGACCGATTCCTGGTCGCAAAGAGAGAGCGCAAGTGAAGCCTGGATCGGCAGCTGGCCGTGTTTCTGGTCTGCGAGCAGCCTTCGTGTTTCGTCTTTGCGGTTTGCGCCAGCTTCAGGCCGTCATCGAGTCCGTCTTCTGTCCGTCTGTCTGTCTGCCTGTCCCTCTGTCTGCGGTCAGTCAACAAACCGCGAACGACACGCCTGTCTCAGAGGCTAGCGCCGGTGATGGAGACAGTACGGAGTAGTTTTATGCACGTACGAGTATGGAGTAATCTTAAAACCGACCATGGTGCAGAAGAAGGCCGGAGTACAGCAGCTTGTCGCTCTCGTCGGTCTTGTCTTCTCTTGCTTGTCCCCCCTGCCAGCCAGCTTTTAAACCCGGCTGCGTGTGAAGAAGGCTTAGTCAGCGATATAAGATGTCCGGCGAGGTGCATAAAGTGAGGACAAGGGGCCATGTTTACTCCGTGTAGAGCAGACACGACGGACGGACAGACGGACAGCACTAGAAGCATTCCTAAGTAGAGGAGCAAGACGAGACGATGGCCACGCTGAAGTTTGTGAACTCGGTAACTAGCCACCTGCGGACCAGGGCTCTTGTTTGGTCGTTTCCCACGCTCACCCGGTTGGCTGGCCTCTAGGTGTGGGCGAACTTCCGGGCGACCTCAGGACTGGAACCAAGGTATGGACGGGCTACCTGCTCTACGTGGATACACGGACTAACGAGAGATGCGCAGGCTACTGGACAATGTACGTTTTGTCTCTCATGACGTGCTTTTCTTGCATGTTCATCAGACATTGAAGGGCCGGGGCGGGGGTAGAGCGCAGGGTCTCTCTTCGCCGGCGTGAACACCCTGATATCCTTCTCCTAAGGGGGTGGAAGGGTTGTTACAAGAGATGCTGATCTGCTCTGTTGTTGACGTAGCTACGCATCACCGCTGCTCGTCCAGGGACGGTTCATTTTGAGCTGGATGTGCAAAAGGAACATACGGTATGCGGCAGTCTTCTAACACGATGGGCGGGACTGTCATGCTGATCGATGCTCGTCTGCCTCAGAACCGATTGGGCATTCTACATGGAGGAACAATCGCCAGCATGGGTGCGCTTGTCCTTCTCTTCTGTTCACTCGCTCTGCCTGGCACGCTTTTATAACATGAGCGTGTGTATCTAGTGGATCTCGGAGGCTCGCTTGCCGTCGCTTCTCATGGCCTTTTTGCGACTGGCGTATCTACTGACTTGAACGGTAACTTAACTAGTCATACGACATCTGCGCCATTCAGATGCGAACGCTTTGAGCCCTGGGTAACTAACTAACTTAACTAACATTTACCTACCAGTCACATATCTAGGCTCAGGCGGCAAAGTTGGCGATAAGATCCTAGCGGTAGGTGATCTCTACTACACATAAGTACACATCCTCAAGAAGAAAAAAGGCCTGGGCCCTCGTTCTAACTAAACGTTCTAGGAGGTAACGTGCGATAAGTGTAAGTCCGTCGATCTTCTTTCCGCCTGAACAAACCACAGCATTGTGGCTGGATGCAGATATCATATATCATTGGGCAACTTTTGGCGAGACGGGAGTGCTTCTTAGGAATCTAACGACGGTTCCAGTTGGCAACAAATTAGCCTACACAAACATAAAATTCACCAACAAGGCAGATGAAATTGTGGCAAGGGGCAGCCACACAAAGTAAGGCTCAGAAGGCGGTTGTTCGATGCAAGGCGGGCTGGAATGTTCGCTTACGCCTTTCGTGATAGGTACATCGCCCAAGCCTTCAGGGACCCGAGAAACATCATCGAACAAAAGAAGCCCTGATCTTTGAGCGCTCACTGGCTAGTTGGTTATTTCTTCCAGAAGCCTCGAAAGTGAGTACCTCGCAGGCCTCTTGCCCCTTGATACTTTCTAACCGTTTCACCTCTGTTTGGTTAGATAGACTCTTCTAGTGAATCCTGGGAGACGGCTCTTGGACATTGAAAATGCTTCTAGCTGGTCCTTCCTTGACCGTTGAAATTTTCGGAACACGGCTGACAGGGCCAATAAACAGGGTGTACCTATCTAATTAACACATAGGAGATTGGCTAAAAGCATAACTCACTTGCAGGATAAACGTAAAAGTAAATACCCGTTAGTTATTCCATAATGAGTTTTGGTCGTGCGTGGGTGATCGATCACTCGCGAGAATATAGCTCTTGTTCATACATGTAAGAAAAGAAAAATCACAGTCCAAACAAATACCTAGTAACTAAACACCAAAGTGCCATGCCTACTACTCAATTGCGCCTTCACGTGCAGTATCGTCTTCATCATCGGACTCTCCTGCTGGCACGTCGTTTCCATCGCCAGCCTCAGTAACAGTCGTCTCGACCCCAAGGGCCTTCACTTTGGCCTGAGTCATCTCGAATACATACTGGCCCAGGTGCTCGAGGTTCTCCATAGGAGTGCCCTCGTTGTCTGCGGCATCGACAGCCCTTGTTGCTGGGAACGTCTCGTTCGGCATAAGCATCAGCTTATCCGGACGTTGAGCCAAGATATCAAACGCAGGCTTGAGTTCAAAGCAGGATTCAAACACCTCTCGACGGCCGAGAATGTAAAGGCCTAGACGTGCTCGTGATAGTGCTACAGTCAACCGTCGTACGTCTCGCAGGTAGCCCACAGACTTAGTGCGGGTCAGAGAGAGAATGATGTCTAGAAGACGAAAAGTAAAGCGAAATTAGCGGGAAACAGTCGAAGTTAAAAAGTATACTGTTGTCAATGAGCACTTACAGTCATTCTGCTCGCCTTGGTATTTGTCTACCGTTGTGACTATTTTGGGCATACCGAAAAGCGAGTTCTTTGCACACCTATGGCTAAGGACATCCCTGATCAATGCCCTCTGCCCTGCATATGTCGCTAGAATAGAGATCTTCGATGCAGGATACCCCAGCAATCGCATATACTGGTATATTCCAACTGCATATTCAGCCTCGCCGAGATTCTGGATGAAGTGAGGAGTTGGCTCTCTTTCACCTTGGCCCTGGTAGTCTGGCACATTGATGAGCTGGTAGTCATAGCGGAAACCGGCGTTGGCAAGTTTGAACTCCTCCTGGCTCTCGATGATGGGGAGATTGCCCAGTTTCTCATACCGCCATTTGAACAGTTCTGCAATGGAGGCGCGGGCTCGACCCTGCTGATCGAGGCTAATCGTAGGCACACCTAGCCTCACCAACCGTAGGAATAGCGTTTGTTCGAAATTGGCGTACTGACGGAATGCAATGTTCTGGACAATTGGCGAATTCTGCAAGTGGTCGCCACACAGCACAATCCTCTTCAGGGGGAATTCTCCGTTTCTTGTCTTCTGCATCATGCACGGGATTACGCTTTCAATTTCTGTGATTTGTGCCGCTTCCTCCATGACTACGCTGTCATAGTGGAAGCCCAGGTCAGAAATCTCCTGTCGTCTCATAGCGGCGTGGGTGGAGGTCATGGCAATAATCCTGGCCTCTTTGATTAGTAGGTAATTTGCCTTATCTCGCTGTTGTCGTAGAATCTCAAATGGCCGTATATCTTCCAGTTCAGAGAAGAGTTTCCTTATATGTCGCTCACAACCTTCAGCAATGTCAATGAGCGTATCTTTCGAGGCATCCGTCGGGAATACCGGCTGAGGGGCATTGGAGAAAAAGTTATGGAAAGGGAAGCACTGAATAATATCTTCGTTTTTAGAACCCTCGGAGCGTGCCTTATCCCAGAATTTGATCCATGCTGGTCGTATATAGACAGTATCAAAATACCCAGCAGTTTCACAGGTACTTCCATGGGCTCCTTCAGCTCCAATTGAAGCTGCGAGACGGTCAACCTCCGCGAGGAACTTTACTCGATTCTCAAGGAAAGACTCAACTCGGCCAAACTTCCCAAAGTTGGACTCTGTCTCTAGCTCCTCCTCGCCATGGCCAAGACGAAGTAAATGGCGTTCGTCGATATCCAAAGCAACAATCTTCTGGAATAGTTGGTTAAGGGCCTGGTTGCTGTGGGCTATAAGCAAAGTACGCTCCTGAGGGAAGTTATGGTAGATGTTATTGATTATCTGGGTGATCACATCCGTTTTTCCAGTTCCTGGAGGGCCAACTATCACCGTTAACCCTGGTTGAGTCCCAGAGGTGATGGCTTCAACCTGAGCAGGAGTAAATCGAACGTAATTGAGTTTTGGGGCATCCATCGGATAAGGACCAGGGTTCGGAGGTTTGTAGGTAGATACTCTGATTGAATTGGAATTTGGCTGTACAGACTCTGCCTGGTCTCTTCTTCGTTTCTTAGAAGGGTTCAGTGTCTCAGCCTTTGGAGGTTCGTCAACCATTTCAAGGACATATGGAGGTCCGAAGATGGTTGTAGATCCCTCAGGGGGTTCGATTTTCTGCCCCGGGAAACTCTCCACAAGGTGATGCCAGTCAAGAAAGGTGTCCCGATAGTCAACCGACTTCACACGATTTTCAAGCTCCGTATATCTCGCCCCAGTTGGATCTCCATATCCCAGGAAAACCTCCTGGAGCCAAGATGGGAGTTCTGCATCGGTAATGGTCAATGATCGCATTGTCTCCAGGATAGGTCGGAAGTTGTTCTCGCGTGATTTTCGGCGTACAAGCACGTTTATGGAGCTGTATATATCTGGTTTCCCCTTTTTTACTTTGTCGAGGTCAGCTTTGTAAGACACTGCGTCTAAATCCACAAGTAGTCTTCTCAGACGAGGTCGTTGGGGATATCCGTTAGCCCTGCCTTGTGATGTGTCCCGTAGCTGGCGCCTATTTTCATCCAGAATTTGAACCACGGTAGCAGTTCGAACATGCGAAATGCTAATACTATCTTTAGACTCGGATCGTGGGTTGGCAACAAAACCAGGCTGTTCTGTCTTTTGGTGGGTTACTGAAAGCAAAAATACAACATCGTCTGGTCGTAGTGATTCCCACTCTTGTCGGATAGTGTCACCGAGTCGACCAACCTCGAGAGTTATTTCCGAGCGAACATAAGCTGGGTGAAGAGATCCCACTCGTGCCTCGGCCACATCGATTATAGCAGGCTTTGAAATCGGCAAAGCCATTCTGGAGAACCCATCAAATGAAATCTTGCCATCCTGTCCTGCTTTAGGTTGCATTCGTTTGATAACAGATTCAAGGTCGCTCTTAATCTCATAGAAAGACTCAGACCGATATAGAAGAAATGACCTCCACAAAAAGTCTCCTAGACTAAGATATTGAAGGTTTAATTTTGGAATCGCGAGAGGCCTAGAGCCATCGTATGTTTCATTTCGAACCAAGGCAGGGTCATATAATGAATCCTCTGTAGGGAGAACGCTGACATCCGCTGTTGCTTCTTGAAACGTTGGTCGCCATTCGAAATGCAAGAGGAGCATTTCTAGAAGGAGTTCTCGGTCAGGTATGATATTAATGTGCTCAGGATAAGAGGTCCTGAATCCTAAAAGATGGCATAGTTGTTTTAATTGCGTGTCATCAATACTGCGAAGATGTTCTGCAAGCTCAGACCGTTGCTCAAGTGATCCGTAGTTTGCTAATGCTAATAGCGTTAAGTCGTCTTTGAAGTGTTTAAGCGCAGTCCTTTGAAGCCGTGCCAGCTCTTGACAATGAATGTTATAGGCATCTTGCGCTGACTGATGCTGGCCGGTTTGGTCATCAATTGAGAAGTTGATAAACCGTCGTAGGAGAATATAAAAATCCCTGAAAAGAGTATTTTTATCATCATTATAGAGTTTGCTCTTGCGAAGAACGGCCAAAATATTAACGTCCTTTAAAAGCTCATTCACATATCGTCGAGTAGGGAGCTGGCTCTCAAGGTCCACCAATAGCTCAAGGAATCTCTCACAAAACCGGGTATTATCTTCACTATTACGTTCTCCTTGGGCTGGGTTTATACGCCTAAGAAAGTTTAGGAGCATAGAGTATAGCCATGACCTTTCAAATCGTATCCTTGATTTGCCTTGCTCGTCTGCCGAGTCATATCGTTTACTGGCCAATCGCCATGCCTTTTTCAATGCTCCTGACTGATGAAGTAAATTGTCCCTCGCCTCCTTGCTAAAAAGGTTGTCCCAGATAGCTATCGAAACCAGAGGAGCACACTCTTTTCGAATTTGGCTGCATTCAAGAGATTGAAAAGCACCGATGATGAAGGACAGGAGGTGTATTTTCGAAGGCAGAGGCAGTGTATCATTGAGGCTCATGGAGAGTATACGTCTGAAGAGGATTGAAAAGTCCGCAGGGCGATCAAAAAAATGGGCTAAATAGATACATGGTGTTAGGTATAGATTCAACATCTATGTGTTTCTCGGGGGTAAACGTACTCCAAATAGGCAAATGCTCCCTTCTCTTTGTCCCTACAATGACTGCAATTAACATAATATGATAGTTCGACGCATCTTCCGTAAACGTTGGCCAGAGAAACCTTTGCGAAAGCAGGTCAGTCAAACAACCAATCAACCATAGGGCTCCGGGGGGTGAGTGTACTTCTCAAGGATGTGAAGATTTTCGAGTATTAGAAGTGAATGCAGAGGGAATCCATCACGCTGCAAAGGATCCCAGATCTCATTCTTGATCACCTCCGGCCTCGCTTTGCGCACTTTGCTAGGCTTCAGCCAGTGAGCTTTCGCTAGAGACACCCATGGATTCTCGTCCTGGAAGTCATTAACTGTCGGCCGGACATCGGGGTTACGCGCCATTGCCGGGCGCATCTGTAATTCAGTCATTACAGCGAAAGAAATTGCGCCTCGTTATTTCCGCGGCGGTACCTGGAAACGACAGTACATCGGTTGTTCGTAGAATCAAATTGGATTTGATATTTATTTGTTAGTTTTAGGTGAAGTTTTGGCGCGGTGCACGGATCATGTGCGGCAAAGCTCCAAGTCAAAAAAGCTCAAAGAGGGAAAAAGGGAAAGCAACGACATATACTATTCAACCACAGCTCTCTTTTTGCGCTTCTTCGCCCAGGTCAACAGCACGTACTTTTGTCAGTGGAAGCAGGAATAAGAGAGTTCCTAGGATGGGTGGAAAAGATGTGGGAGCCGTGAAGGTATACAGAGATGTTATCCGCAGCTTGTTGGAGAAAGCTGCCGCGAGCAAGGATGCGCCTTCAATCGAGCCACCGGTGACGGAAGCCAGTCTGGGAGGCGTGGTCGAACATGTCCTGACGGGTGAGGATGGCATATCAGCGGGGATTAACCAGCAGACTCAGTATGCCGCTGTTGAAACCGCATTTCGCGAGATATTTTATGATTTGCTTGTATGTTCCCCTAAGACTGGCTCTCTTCCACTCTAGGAGATCATCTACTAATGGAACCGCTCCTAGGCCACAACCTCTATTAACGAGCCCTCTTTCATGCGGATATGGAACCTCCTAGATATCGTCTCCATATTTTCGGACAACGGTACGTTTTTTGATGGATTGTGAGCGTGTTACAGCACTAGGCAAATTATACTAATGGTTCCCCCTGTAGAAAAATGTGAACCTGGCCTTATCTTCTGGCTTATAGAGGAGCTTTTGGATAGCCAAACTATAGACGGGTGCAGAAAGGTTTTCGATTATCTCGAATCTAGGCGAGAGCGCAATACTGCTGTGAGTCCCATTGATTTGATAGAGTTGTAAGTCAGTACATACTTGCTAACTAATATCTGGCTAGAAACACTTTAAACAAAAGAGCCTGATAATTCTCAGATCATGCAATGAACTGCTGAGGAGACTCTCGCGTGCTGAAGACACAGTCTTTTGTGGCCGTGTTTTCATCTTTCTTTTCCAATCATTCCCTTTGGGGGACAAGAGCTCTGTGAACCTCCGAGGAGAATACCACACCGAAAATGTCACTACGTTCGATATACAACCTAAGATACAAGCAGAAGGCGAAGAGGCGATGGATATAGACATACAAGGAGATGTAACCCCAGCCTCCAATGCAAAGGATAGCCAGCAAGAGCCAACAATAACTCAAGCACCCTTGGAAGTGACCAACGATATCTCATCCCAGCGCACAAAGGAACCCGAGATTCAACTGGAACTTGACCTTGATACCCTTTATGCTGCGTTTTGGGGTCTTCAAGAGAGTTTCTCTAAACCTACCAGGCTGTTCGATGCTGCGCACTTTGCATCTCTAAAATCTGGACTGGAAGCGACACTCTCAAGTTTCCGAAAAGTAAGCTCAAAGGTAGAGGTTCGTAACACAACAAAGGGCTTAGACGAATCGCGACGGGGCACAAAACGCAAGCGAGCTGAAGGAGGGTCGGACTTGCCAAATAGTTTCAACCCCAAGTATTTGACTAGTAGGGATCTATTTGAACTCGAGGTATGACGAGCAGGATCAGGGTTGTTGCTTCAATTGCTAACTGTGATCTAGATTAACGACGTGTCTTTCCGTAGACACATTCTAGTTCAGGCTTTGATTCTCCTAGATTTCTTGCTATCGCTAACGCCCAAGTCGAAAGCCAAGTTAGCTGATTCCACAAATAAATCTGTTCTTTACGGCTATGTATTAAGTGATGAAGATGTAAGTACAAACATATCCTGTTTAAGATCACGAACTCTGGCCATGGCTAAACCTGTTCCCTTAGGCGAAATGGGCAACTCAAATGAGATCGTCTATTGCAAGCTACCTACAAAAGGGTGCAGATGGAAAGTTTTACTTCCGAATGGTTGATACTGTATTAACGAGAGATAAAAACTGGGTTCGATGGAAGGCAGAAGGATGTCCTCCAATTGAACGGCCTCCTGTTCCTGTACAGAGTCATTTGGACACTCAATCTAGTGCCGTCAAAATCACAGCCAACAGGCGGCTCCGCTCAACTCCCATGGGCTCGTTAGATCTTGGCTTCCTTGCTGCAGAGTCAAATCTCGGAGACCTCGATCGCCTAAAGGAACCTGAAAGGTATGCAAGCGCTGGTGTAATATGGAAGTAATGATTTACTGACTCCGCGATAGGTTTGCAACGCCTAGCCTTGACTTTTATATGAGTGGTATAACAGACGATGATTTTAACATCGACATGGCAAAAGACGACGATGAAAAAGAGCAGTCCGTCAAAGCCAAAGCGAGCAAAACCTGGAGGACACTGAGAATTGCCTCGAGGAGTAGACTCAACCAACTGGATAAAATAGAGGATGGAAAAAACCTGAAGGTGCTTCTCGAGCCAACACCCGCACCAAATTCCACTTCGGCTAAATCTCAGCCAGACACCGACAATAGTGCTGACGTCTCTAAAGAAGATGAAACCAAAGGGAGCAACGTTGACACTACTGGCCCAGGACAACCCCAGCCCACTCAAACTTGACCTTGTATCCGTTTTCCTAAATTGGCGCATGTCTGCAGATCGTTCAACAAAATTTCGGGTGGCTTCGACCCAGCTTCAAGACGAGTCATGAGCACTACTGGTTCGTGAACCTCCACGTGGTTGTAATGCAGATCTAGTAACTGTGCAGGAACGAACAGTTCTTGTGTTCAGTTCCTACGTACGGTTGGGTGTATAGAGCCTACTCCGTATATTGGTTTCGACTAGATTGCAGTACCAACGTTGTCTTTCATGCAGTGATATGCATGAGCCCAAGGTACATGCTACATGATGACGATAGCTATAGGTGAGCAGATGTGATCAGTGGTATAATTGACGCAGGCGCGGCGGCAACAGCCAGGATCAAATCCCCGGCACTGGGTTCCGGACCGATACCTACATAGTTTCAAGCGATGCCCAGCCTGCCTATTCCCCGGCAGATTTGAAGATAAGAGAACTTATATACAATAATGTATTACTTGAAGAGGGAAAGCATTGGTGCCTGCTTAATAAAGAAAAATGCGAGGTCCGACGGAAGATTTCATTGCGGCAGGGCTGAAACGAATTTGAAATTGGTTTAATGGTTAAGGAGGAGGGAGAGGGAAAAAAAAAAGAAAGAAAGAAAGAGTCGAGGAAGATGACTTTTCTTTCTCTCTCTTTTTTTTTCAAGGCTTCAGAGCAGAAGAGACTATCTGCCACCAACCCCGGCCGGAGCTCGCCATCATTCATCATTGTGTATATTAGCGTGAGACAGCAATGGATTCCCGAACAACAGAGCAACCGGCTATTTGCAAGATCCCGCAAAACGGGGAGGTTTCAAGCAAGCACCACCCGCAAACATCAATGCAAGGTATCCATGGCTAGATCGGCGCAAAAGATTGATCGACTGAGAAAAAAACACGTCAAGCGCGCAACGGAGTCCTCCGTCAGACACCAGAGGTCTCTAGCTTAGATCCTTGAAGCCGTGCTGACTTTGCTACCTGCAGGTACGCAGCAATCCCTCACCTGGCACCACTCTGACCTACTCCAGCCTTTCTATCCGTCTCTTAAGGTAACTACTCTGAGTATGTGATTCGGAGTGGCGAGGAAAGGGGATGTATACGGAGTAGCCTGTGCGTAAAGCAAAGCTCTCAGATGGCGGATGGCGTGTTTGCCGTTCGTCGCTCAGTCAACCTCTCTGCTTGCTCTGTCGGACTCTTTTTTTTTTTTATTCTGATAACTAGCTCCCACGGCTATCCCGGCTGCATGCATGTAACTGTCTCAACGGTTTCGTGACTTCGTTCCCACATCAGAGCCTCTAATATTAAAATCATTGACAGGTAGTTAGCGGAAGTCCGAATGGCAGTTTTCCAGCAGAGTTTTTGTTTTTTTAGCTGTCACAAAGTCTGCCGCGGGCACTAAAAAAAGCTGTTCCTCTGGCTGTCCATGGGCTGGCTCATGGAAGCACCACAGAAGCCCCGATCTGCGGCAACCTTATACGCCTAGCTCGTCTTCCGATCGCTGGAGATGGTGGGCGGGCTATAATTATCCAGCCAGTCTCCATCTCTAGTCATCTCCGACAAGACTCGGCGGGATAACTGGCTTCTGGGGCCGCCGAGAAGACGTCGAGACAAGGAAGATGACGGTCGAAGAAGAGACGAAGAAGAGACGAAGAAGACGGGGCGAAAAAGGAAAAACATAACACTTGGGATGTCACGTGGACGGTTTCAATATCCCAGTTCCCAGCCCTTAACAGTCCTTCACACTCTGGCGACCTGCACATTTCGCTTTGTTGCAAGGTTGAGATGTCCAACGAAGACCTCCGCGGTTGGTGGAAACGAGAGGCGTCCTTTCCTCGTCCTTCCCGTGTCTCCGGATCCCTTGGGCCTGGAAACGGCTGAAAAATCGTCATCCATCCATACGGAGTACACACAACTCACACAGGCATGCATGCATAATACCTACAGGCAGGCAGAGATACGGAGTACCTGCAAGCAAGAGTCGCATCTGGCTCCGGGCCGGGTTAATGCCTTCTATCCCTGTCCCTCCATCCTCCATCTGTTAGGCTGGCCTCCCAGAGCAAAAGAGTGACCTTCGCTTTAGATCAGCCAATTACTCGGGCTGCTGCACCCTTGGCTCGACTCCTTCCTTGTCATCTCCATGGATGCTTTCCTTTCGAGACTTTTTTTTTTCTTTGCACGGCGGGATTATTTACGTTGTACGTACATACTTACATACTTGCATGAGATACGGTAATTGAGCGACCCACCTTACACTTTGCCAGCCTGCTTGCCTCCATACCCTTACGCTGCCTGCCACATCTGCGGATCATCTGGCCTGCTGCCTGGGGTCGATTGATGGCAGGAAGCCTCGATAAGAAGAAAAGCTTGATGTGGGTGATTCTCGATGGCTAGCTAGCCGATCCATGACACGAGCCGTTTTCACTTCCCGCCTGATTGTTTCTCACCCGCCCAAGAAGAGAGCAACAACTAGCAGCCTTTGGAGGAACTTGGACAGCCCGTTACTCCTGCATGATATATCCTCACGGCTTTCGAGGGTTATATTAGAAAGGATATCTTCACTACTCCGTAGAGGGCCTAAGCCAACTTCGGGGGCCGGTCCGACCTGACCGTGGCTTTTGCTGCATCTCTGTCGATTGGCGACTAGTCGGGTTTGCAATTCTAGCGGGCGCAGCCCCTATCCCTCTTCCAGAAATCCAAGGGATGGGAATTTTGGTTTGTGGCAGCCTTACTTGATCTCCAACTGGCGGCTCCCGTTCAACACTGCAGGTTTTGCGTCGAGCCGTGTGTCGGTATTCGTTCTCGTGCTGTGGTGGCCAATCTCTCTCCGGTACTTCTGTCCAACAACCGCCCGTCTATGATGCTACCCTACGGGCTGTCCTGCATGCCCCGCATTGGTTCCAGCTACACTTGCGCCCCTGTCCCCCCATAAGCCACGCCCGGATAGAGCTGGGAAAGATAAAAAAGTGGAAGAAGGAGAGCATGACTCTGGATGCTTTGTTGAACGCCTCTCTTTTCTCGTCCTTCTCTTACTGCTGCCAGCCGGTATTATTGGCCCGCAGGAGAGGCTTAAGATTTGCAGGGTCTCTTAAGCGGTCTTACCCCGGCCTTCCAGGGATCTCCAAGGCTTCAGATCCAAGACTGAGAATAATACATGCATCTTACAGATACATACTTACATCTCCCACTTTTCTTCTGGGGGCCTTTTGGCCCTTCGTCTATTTTCCGGAGAGAGACGAGGTTGGCATATACGGCCAATTCTCCCTTGTTTACTTTGCAAAGCATAAAAAACGTTTTCTCTTCCTGTGTTACAGCCAATATGATAAGGGAGCCCCTCCCTCTCGTTTTCGGTTTCTGGAAATCTGATATTACCTACAAGGGGGAAGAAGAAGATAAAACAGACTAGTTTATGTTGAGAAACGATCTTAAGTATATGTGGTCGGTGCACGCGACCCCCAGTGATCACGTACATGACGATAAGGAGTTGGATCCGATCAAGTGCAGCATCCTCTTAAAATAATTTAAGAGTGTTGTGATCTTCGCATCAAGGTGAGACTTTGGCATCCCCATCCTTGAATGACCCACAACCCATGCATCGCAGACTTCCCCATGTGCTAAGCTAAGCTAGGCACTACTCCGAGATGCTGGTCTGAGCATGACAGGGTCGTTGTCTATGCTTATCCTGGCCCCTCTTATCATTTGCGGTCCAACACTCCTGGCAGACCGTTGTACCCTGGCTCCTGTGCTTTTTGTATCTGCTGTTCAGATACTCGGATATCCCGTATTTTTTCTTTTCAAGGGAAGAAAAAAAGAAATGGGAAGAAAAAGAAATGACTGCAAAGTCGTCATTTTCCCGTGGCTACGCCAACCTTAGCACACTCTTCCTTTTCGTTTGTGCTCCTTACGGCGGATTTCCCACCCTTGGCCGCCTTGTTCGATGGCCGCCTGTTTCGGTCAATTATCCGCTGTTATCGATATATACGGCAGCGTTCTAACTTTCCCACCGGCGTGCCTCCAGCTACCCTGTAACCCAACTACCTCCCTCTTTTGTCATAGGCCAGTCAAACTCTATTACAAGTTGTCCTTGATTCCCAGAGAACTGGGTCTCTTTTTGAGCCTTGAGTCTTCCCTGTTGATCATCTCTGCTTCTCACAACCACCACGCACAAGAGCACCAAATTCCCTGACTACGGACAACATTCATCGTTCCCCTTCCACATCAACGTTGTGGGGGCAAGCTATCCATCTTATTGTTTTGAACCCACAGCGATTCAGTGGAGCATATCTCCAGAGAGCTAGACAACAGACAGGCAATTGGTATATCTATGGCTGAAACATAGGTGGCCCTCCGGCAACATCGGATTTCTGTAATCGTTACTACCACGAGTTGACGAGATATATATCTGCTACTATAGCCCCTCCCACGTTGAACCATTTCCCCGTTTCTTCTGGCTTGGGACCTTGTTTCTGTTTCCTTTTTAATCCAGCATGTCGACCCATGAAGTCTACACAGACGTTTCTGGCTGGACCAACACGCGGATAGGAGAGCAGTTGCCATCATCACAGTTGCACAATTACCATACTTCTACGATGATGATGCAGTTCTGTGGATCACCAATTGCTGAACCACTCAAGCAAGAACCAGATGCACCCGTGGGGCAGTGTGATATTCGAGGCCTGGCCTATTTGAAGGCAGCTGAACAAGGACACAGCTCACAAAATCCTAGTGATCGTTGCTATATGGGCTCCCACAAGGGGAGCCAGGGGGACCTCTCTTGCAGTGATCTAACAGATGCCGTGCAGTCGAGTTCGGCAAGTTCTTGCCCTGGGAGTCCTCAGACTCCCGTTGATGGAGAGCAGCAAAGTGATAACGGGCATATCGATAGCAAGCAGGATATCTACAGCCCTGCTACGGAGGATGTTGAAATTCATGACGCAGACGACGAACCCAAACCGACTGGGGAAGAGAAGATTGACAGGAAAAAAATGAAGCGGTTTAGGTATTGAGTCTCCCCTTGCTTCTGGTATGGAAGTCGAATTCCGCTAACTCACCCGAACAGACTTACCCATAACCAAACTCGATATCTTATGAGCGAATTTACTCGTCAGGCGCATCCGGACGCTGCTCACCGGGAAAGATTATCTAGAGAAATCCCTGGGTTGAGCCCACGGCAGGTCCAGGTCTGGTTTCAGAATAGGTACGTTCCCTTTTGATTCCTTGATCTTAATACCTTTAACATGCTAATATAAACCGATGTTGAAAAAGGCGGGCAAAACTTAAGCGTCTATCTCTAGACGATAGGGAGCGAGTCTTGAAATCTCGGGCGCTTCCTGATGATTTTGACATTGCCCAGTCTCTACAGTCATCCTATGCCACGGAACACCATGGTTATACCACGCCTTTAGTCTCCCCTGGGACTTTCTTTCCTCCAGAAGAAAACGACCCTTACCACTCAGCGCGGGTGGGAACATCAGCTGCAGATGACTACGCTACTTCTCCCTTAAGCTCTACATCGGCCTATGGTAGCTATTTTAGCCGTGGTAACTCTGCCTTTAGCCGCGGCCCTGACTCTATGTCCAGCATGTCGACATCTAGCGACAGCATTAGCAGCTTTGGATCTATGGCTTCTGCAAACCCATCCATTCATGGACGTATGCACTTCATACCCAGGACTTTTGGAGAGCAGCAGGGAGCTATGCGCCCGCCTGTTCCACAGCTCCACATGTACAATACTTCCCTTAGGTCGCGGGCAGGGTCGCTGAATCTGCCTCTCCGCGGTACGATGCCTTGCCATACTCCACCTTTGGAGTACGCAGACACAGATTCCACTACAGACATGAACAGCGCCTACGGTAGTCGATCCCTGGACGCGTCTACTCGGAGAGATCCATTTGGCCTAGGTAAGAAGCCATGAGAATGTCAACATAAACAGCCCCTCCTCGACACTTGCTAACCAACCAATAGGTTCTGTGGCAGAAGAATTCAAGCAGAAGACGGTAGGACAGCCTGTGACGACTACGCCAAGGATAGGCGAAGGATCGCCGCCGAAGGCAGACCATAGTCGTGCAGCCGCCGTAGCCTTGCGGTCTGCGCCCCTTCCCTCCACACAAGAAGAGGATCAGCTCTCGGGGCTCGGTCCGCAGTTCAACCTAAGCTCATTCGGAATTACCTACTCTCGACAGAGCCCATCTACCAACACGAACGATCTGACCTCTCATCCATCTAACAAGATGTCTGACATGCAAAGTGCCTATAACAACCATGGCACAGCCTGGCTGCAGCAAACCATACAACAAAAACTAAGCTGCTATCCAGCGCCAGACTACTCTTCCCCAAGGCAGCGAGGCTTCTACTACCAATCCAACACAGAGACAATATGAGGCCTTGTCAGCGCGCACATGTTGACTTCGGTACGGTTTCACGAAAATGAGAGCACTAACTCTTGCAACTTCTTTCTTTTCCACACCGGAAATGCATTACTACTAGTACTACTACTATTCTTGTCTATTACTTTACAGATTACCTCCCCCCTTCTTTTGTGTCATACTCTTGCAGGCCTTGCGTACCTTTAACTTTCCCAGCACATACTTTTCAGGATGCCATTTTTTGCTTGTCTTTCACGGGTATACTTAACTACTGTTTAGTTTTCCGGGGTTTACTGGCGTTTCCGTTGACAGCATCTTTTCAGCTTTCCTTTTTGCATTAGCATTTTTTTTCTTTCCTATGGGGAAACATTCTTTTCTACCATTCAATATACCTACCGCCGGTTTCTCTACGTCCCCCTTTTCATTTGAATAGCGGTTGAACTCTGATGGTTTTTACGGCGCTACTTGTTCCCCATGTTTTATCCACTCTTTATCTCAGGCCCCCTTTGTCTGAGACGATTTCATTCCAATTTGGATGATAATGGTGTTGCATCCGAGCCCAACTATCACCTCCTTAATGACCACCACTCACTCTGGCTTCTGTACTTAGCATATTAGGCTTGAGGAGTTAGCTTCCTCATCTCTAGCCAGGGCCCTGAGCCTGACTTCTAAATCCTAATCCATCTGCTATTCCTCTCTCTCCCTTCTTCATCTTCTCTATTAATAGCTGCTTTCCTCCTATGACGAAACAAATGTCACCTGATCTGAAATGCTTATTAAGCATATCGCCCTCCAATCGTAGTCGAGATGTTGGTAATTGCGCGCAGGAAGTAGGTGAAGTAAAAGGCGCCATATAAAAAGGCCATATCCCACGGTCGATGTGCAAGAACAAAGAGCCCATCTTGCCTTCTTCCATTCACAGCGTGAGGTTGTTCTTTGAAAACCTGTCCCTCCATCTGCTACCGATACCTATTATCCGCCTTCCCGTGCAAGCGAGCGGAAAAATACCCGGTTGAACAGGTTTAGAATCAAAACAAATATAACAACACGCGAAATGGCTGCTCCACCACAGTCCTGCTGTCAAGCATCCAAGGAGGGTTGTGTTTGTGCCGCTCAAGCAAGGTGCTCTTGTGGCAAGGAACAGGCTCTTCACTGCAACTGCACCAAGGCAGAAACCGAAAACGACATGTCTGGCCCACGTTGTTCCTGCAGTAGGTTAATGTTCTGGCCATTTTCTTCTTGTTTTGCCTGATTTCCGGTCCTTTGCCATTGATTTTATATCTTTATCTCCTCCCCTTGTCCCTGTCCCTCCGTGCCGCGGCTGCGTGTCGAGGGGGTTGTTTTCTCGCTTGCAGGAAGATAAATCTAACAAGGGCACTCGTGGCACGACTAATAGGAAGCCGCCCGGCTGGGCAATGTACGTGTGAGAGGGCCATGTCCGAAAACCAACTTATTTCCGGTGATGCATGCCCTTGTGGAAAGAGGGGGGCTGGTACGTTTCATCTTCTATCCTCGACCCAGCATGGCTCGACTTCCCCAACTCCACCTCTTACCGTGTGCTTGCATGGTGGACAGACTAATTTTCGAGATTCCCTTAGACTCATGTACGTGCGAGAAGGCTGTTGACTCTGGAAACCTCCCCGGAGAGATCGATTTCACCTACAAGGCGTAAAATAAGAAGGTTAAATGCGGTGCTCAGGGGAAGCTGGTAGGCGTGTTTGCGACACTGTAGGCGGCATTTTTCATTTCTTTCGTCAATAATGGGTCGGGGTCGCCGTTTTTCTTCTGGTTTCGGCTTTTTGCAAGGTATATCATCTTCTCGCCGTTAGCTACTCCATATATATATCAAGGAGTCAATGTCCATCCAACTGCATTCCCTCCGCGTTTTGTTTTGGCTCTGCATAACGTTTCCGGTTACATGGTAGGTATAATATTAGCCATAAGATCGTAATAACTGGATATGAGAAACCGGACTTTGTACGTCAGCGTGTGCGTGTCTTTGCATGTTGATTATGGTTTTTGGTTGTCCTTTTTTCTTGAGAGGATGAGCTGGAGGTTGGTTGTGCACGGACGCAAATGCCGCTTATCTTACGGTTAAATGTTTTTCCGTGTAGAGCTTGCCTCGCCCGATTTGGACCGCCGTGGACTCCAGGGGAACGGGCGGCCAGATCGCAATCAAGCAAGCAAATAAACATCCTCGCCCTCCCTACGCCCTGTCACTTTGCGGACGCAAACGGTGAAAGCTCGAGGAGCTTATAGTGCTGTGTATTTGGATAGCAACCTTGGAGACGCGTGGCTTTTCTACTCGGTTTCGCTGAATTGTTGACACCCGTCCCTCATTTTAGCAACGGTTGCGCGGCGTATAGACACCAGATTGCGATCGATATTCCACGAGACCCGGGTTTTGCGAATACCAATACTCTCATAACTAAAAAAAATAATGCTGGCGTTGTTGCCTCGCAATGATTAAGAAGAAGAATGCACTTGTGGAATGCGCATGAAACCTAACTCGACATCTCCAAGTTGGAAGTTGGAACGGAACTGAAGGATAGAGAGGCCAGAAAGGAAAACGAGACCACAGAAAGTGATATTTGGGACTTCGCGCCATACTGAGTCGCTATGTCTTCTATGCGTGGGCTGGTCCAGTTCATAGCTGATCTGCGGAATGCTCGAGCTAGGGAGCTGGAGGAGAAGCGTATCAATAAGGAGTTGGCCAATATCCGACAGAAATTCAAGGATGGGAGCTTGAACGGCTATCAGAAGAAGAAATATGTTTGCAAACTTCTCTACGTCTATATTCAGGGCTATGATGTTGATTTTGGCCATTTGGAAGCCGTCAACCTGATATCTGCTACCAAGTACTCTGAGAAGCAGATAGGGTACCTGGCCGTCACGCTGTTTCTTCATGAACAGCATGAATTGCTCCACCTGGTAGTGAACAGTATCCGGAAAGACTTGCTGGACCATCATGAATTAAACAACTGTCTTGCTTTACATGCGGTTGCCAATGTCGGTGGAAGAGAAATGGGTGAAGCCTTAAGTGCTGATGTGCATCGTTTACTGATTTCGCCGTACGTTATATCCTTGGTTATACGTTTGGTTAACCTAAATTACTAATGTAGCATGAATTCAGTGCCTCAAAAGCTTTTGTCAAGAAGAAGGCTGCCCTTACCCTTCTCCGGTTATATCGTAAATACCCAGGAATTGTCCAACAGGAGTGGGCTGAGCGCATCGTATCGTTGATGGATGACCCAGACATGGGCGTAGCCCTCTCTGTCACCTCTCTAGTCATGGCTCTTGTTCAAGATAACCCTGATCAATATAAAGGAAGCTATGTCAAAGCAGCCCAACGACTAAAGAGGATTGTCATTGATCATGATGTTTCTCCGGATTACATCTACTACAATGTTGGGTGTCCCTGGATGCAAGTTAAACTGCTTCGATTGTTGCAGTATTATCCTCCTTCTGGTTAGTTAATACCAAATCCTGAAACTTACAGTAGCTAACCATACTTGTTCCTAATTCAATAGAGGATGTCCATGTCAGGGATTTAATAAGGCAAAGTATTCAACAAATCATGAACTCGGCGATGGACATGCCCAAAAATGTACAGCAAAATAATGCTCAGAATGCAGTACTTTTTGAAGCCATCAATCTTCTAATCCACCTTGACAGCGAACACACCCTCATGATGCAGATTTCCTCTCGTCTTGGAAAATTCATTCAATCCCGGGAAACAAACGTGAGATACCTTGGATTAGATGCAATGACTCATTTTGCAGCCAGAGCAGAGACCCTTGACCCGATACAGAAGCATCAAAATATCATTCTTGGGTCTTTGCGAGACAGGGATATTAGTGTGCGACGAAAGGGATTGGATCTGCTTTACAGCATGTGCGATACCTCAAATGCACGACCGATTGTTAACGAGCTTCTTAAGCATCTTCAAAGCGCTGACTTTGCTATTCGGGAGGAAATGGTACTCAAAATTGCTATTCTAACAGAAAAGTATGCTACGGATGCCCAATGGTATATTGACATCTCGCTCAAGCTGTTATCTGTGGCTGGGGACCATGTCAGTGATGAAGTCTGGCAACGAGTCGTTCAAGTGGTTACCAATAACGAAGAGCTTCAAGCTTACGCTGCACAGCACATTTTGGGTTATATCAAGAGCGAGTGCCACGACAGTCTGGTGAAGATTGGTGGTTATATCCTCGGCGAATTTGGCCATCTCATTGCAGACAACAAGGGATGCTCGCCCATAGAGCAGTTTTTGGCACTCTACTCGAAGATGGCATTCTGTTCCGACAACACTCGCGCACTGCTCCTATCCTCCTTTATCAAGTTTGTAAATCTCTTCCCAGAGATCAAACCGCAAATACTTCGAGTCTTCCAAGTATACAGTCATTCTCCTGATTCTGAGATGCAACAACGAGCTTATGAATACTTAATGCTTGCGACGTTACCCACTGATGACCTGTTGCGGACCGTCTGTGACGAGATGCCACCCTTCTCTGAGAGAATATCGGTCTTATTGTCTCGACTACATCAGAAGAGTTCTGGAACAAGTGATAAGCGAACGTGGGTTGTTGGAGGCAAAGATGCCAACGCGGATGATAAAGAGTTTATGCTGACACAGAATACGGGCTTGAAACGATCGTTCACGTCGGCTGCCAACGGATCAGTTACTGCACAACAGACAGGGGCAAAAGGTACAATTTCCAGCGATCTGGAAGGTTTGGACTTTGCTTCAACCAGCGACACGGCACCGAACTTGGCCAGTGCCGCCCATTTATCTCCAGACTGGGAGCCCGGTTTTAACAGACTCTTCTTTGCGACTGAGGGAGTGTTGTTTGAAGATGCCCAGATCCAGGTTGGCCTTCGTTCCGAGTACCGAGCCCACCTTGGAGTCTGCAAACTTTACTTTGCTAATAAATCCGCTTATTCGATCGGATCATTCACCATAACGTTGGATAACCCTTCGCCGGAGAGCCTGAAGATCGATACCAAGGATATACCCGATCCAGATGTTGTCGCATCCGGCCAAACACACCAAACCGTTTGTTTCGAGTGCTTGGGTCCGTTTACCAAAGCGCCTACAATCAGGATATCATATCTCGCGGGTGCACTACAAGCGTACACCCTGCAGCTGCCTATCCTAATGCATAGATACATTGAAGCTTCATCCCTGACCTCAGACGATTTCTTCAAGCGTTGGCGGCAAATAGGCGGCGGTCCATTGGAAAGCCAAGCGACGTTTGGCCTTGCGAAGAAGGGCCGCCCTCTTAGCGAGAGAGATCTTCAGTCGATCGTCGAGAGTTTCAAATGGAAGATCCTTGCGAATGTTGACACGAATCAGAAGAACCTCGTTGGTTGTGCTGTTTACCAGACCCAAAGCTCGAAGACTGGATGTTTACTGAGGCTTGAGCCTAACTATGAGAAACAGGTAAGTGCCGTTTGCATTTCCCTTTATCATACTATCTTTAGTCAACTAATGCACGTACAGATGTATCGCATCACCATTCGGGCGACCCAGGAGGATGTGCCGCGAGCCTTGGTCGGATTGATGGAAGACAGGATCTCCCGAGGCGCTGCTGGCGACATCTTCGACTGAATGCCATAGAGAAGCGCTGCTCGAGTTCTTCTTCGTTATCTATGGTACTCAGTACTGAGTACTCCATGTATATTCACCAATTTATTCCCCTGAAAATAAAATACTCCAGGCTCTGAGTCGCCGTGGCCAGCCCTTCCAATTTATATTCTTATGATAGCTATACAGATGGCTCTATTGTAATAATGACTTTTTATAATTTACTACTTCGCCTCCCCCTTGGGTGGACGAGCCCCGAATATCGTGCTTCCAACTCTGACCTGGTTGCTGCCCATCGTAATCGCACCCTCGAAATCGTTACTCATGCCCATGCTCAATTCCAACGTGTCCTCGCCTTTCAACGATAGCTTCTCTACCACCATATCCCTTGTATCTCGTAGGCAAGCAAAGTCTTCATTCTCGTTTTCCGGCGTAGTAGCCTTTGACCGTGCGATGGCCCCAATAGTCATTAGACCCTGGAGCTTTAGCCGAGGGCACTTCTCTCTGATATACCGACACAGTTCCAAAGTAGGCTCGCCTGGTTGTATGCCCGATTTATTCTCTTCTCCTGACGTATTGACCTGCACAAACACGCGCAGTGGTCTATTTGCATGCTCGTCGGCATCGCTATCCTTATCCTTGAATTCTGCTCTTTCACCCCAGCCTTTATCCAGCAACGAGGCCTTTTTCTCTGTATCTACGCTCTCAACGGCCCATAACCCCCGTACCTCCCGTGCAAGTGTAACGCATTTATTTGACTGCAGTCCGCCGATGAAGTGCCATCTGATCTCTGGGGGTAGCGCCTTGGACTTCTCAAGAAGTTCCTGCATATAGTTTTCTCCGAAGTGTAGGTGGGATGTAGGCGGGGAGTGAAGCGCGAGGATATCAGAGGCCGGCTTTAGCTTCGACACTGCGACAAGACGGACGGACGAGGCTGCTGGGCTATTGCTGTCGTTGTTTGGGGCTGAAGTAACAGAACTGGCGCTGGTGTTTGTTTCATTGTGATTCCGACTGCTTGATGCTGCTGCAATGCGTTTTGAGACAGACGATAGGTTTGCGATCAGAACAGAGGCGCGAGTGGGGGCAGACATATTTTCTTCGGCTGCTCTGCTCATGCTGAAGCCACCCTTTGTGTGATGTAGGCTCATGCAGTTGTTAAATTGCAGTGGTTGCGAAAGCATGGAAGTTGTAGATGCGGTGGCGTGCTTTGCAGTTATAGGTACGGAGTACCCAGGTAACTATTCAATTATTTAACTACCTAACTAACTAGCTAGTTATGGTTAGCTAGGTAATTACATGCTTATGGACGGTATTCACAGTCCGACGAAAGAGCATCAAATAGTCAAACATGGTTGTATCTCTAGCTATCCGATATCTTGATATAACAGCCCGAGCTACATAGTACACTCCTCTTCCACTCTAGTTATCCAATTTGCCCCAAGTCTTTCAAGGCTTCTTACCGACTCTATCCAATTACGCCGTCATCAAACATATCGTTAGCCACACCCTCACACCAGTCGTTTTCGCTTAGGAACATGGCTTTAAACGGTTAGTATCAGGCTCAAAATGTTGGAAACAAATTGATATAGCGAGGACGCATTACCAAGGACGAAGTAGGCAAAGTTGTCTAGAAGAAACTGGTCAGCTGGCGGCATTCGTATTAGTCGTTAACCACGACATCTCGACTCACCGGCATTTGCCAAGGCGTTAAGGTGGTTGTTGCGGCCATGATGGATGGCCTCTGCCCAGCCGTAACCGTCGCGTGTCCCTGGAACATCGTCTAGAGAAATCTGTTGTTTAGTAGGATCAAAGGAAAACAACTAGGCAGATTTGGGTTATCTTACCCGTCCAAAGGTCACCAAGGAGGTGGACACAATGGGATAGTTCATGTATCAAAACAAACATCAAGGAATTAGAAAACTTATCGATGTGCACGCCTCTTGAGAACATCGGGGGTCGAGATGTCATATCTACTTTAAATTCTCCCAAGGCAGCGGAGTCACGGAATAGCTTGGGACATAGGACGATAGTGTCGCGCTGCACACCGCGCATGTTGAAACCCTGAACATTATCTTGACATGCCCTACCTGGATAATCTACCCAGCATTGGCCCTCGTCGCTCGCGTCCCGCGTGTCCCAGAAGAACGTATGTCCTGGCTCCACTATGAAAAGCAAGAGAAGTCTCAGTATCACATTCTAGGGGATATCGGCATTTCTGGGCTTACCATCTCCGTGGGGCGACGCATCAGGGGGTGCAGTCAGGGACAGAAGGCTGTCATCACACCAGAAGTCAAGGTCACCGTCGTTGAGATTCTTAATCAGTTCATCTAGCATCTCTAGAAGATAGAACATTTTGTTCGATTTGCTCAGCTCGAGAACTCTTCAGTGGCCTAGAAGGTTAAGGGGGGTTCATATTGCCAAACTTTTAACGTGTTCCATTGTAGTCCTGCCACGGAAGTCCCCCGTACTATCTCGAACTAAGTAATCCCCGTAGAGACTCTCAAAGGTGTATAAAGCTGAACGATCTACGCCACTCAGTGTGGTTTGCGCAGTGGGATTGTCGTCTAGGATTTTCTGTAGCCTCATCAATCGAATACGAGCATTGCTGAGCTAGTTGCTCATATCAGTCCCTTGCAAATAATAACGTTAAAGGTTATTTGGGAAGACTCACTCCAAGTAAGACCCCAAGGAGGGCATGGTTGAGTGTATCATCTTGTTCTTCACACCTGAACATTCTTGTAGCCCTTGATTTTGGATGAGCCAGATGTGTTGAATTAGACCCAGGGCGATGTGGTATTCTGAGTGCTAGCGCAGCATGGCTGAGGTATAGTATAGATAGCCACAAAACAAATAACATAGTCCCTTTTGACGCCAGGCACGATGCTGTTGGAAGCTGTTTCATCATATCCTGCAAGAACTACTTGGAGAAGTTGTAAAAGTATGAAGTGTGCTATTAGTATAAGAGTCCAAGGAA